AATCACTGATTTTATTAACGAGGATTTATCTTCTTTAAAACAACAAATAAGTTACAGATGTTTAAATTAAAGGCCTTAAATAAACATTTTCTCCTGTTTTAAAATGAAAAAGGTTGTTTTATGTTGCAGAAATCAAAACCTAAAGATGAGTGTGTAAGAATAAAGCTGCAGACAAATGCAGAAATGTTCATGATCGAGTGAAATGGATCGATTTGTGATCACATTCAGTGGTTTTATTGTTCAGCCTCTTCTCTCTACTTTAGTTTGAGTGTCTGTTCCCAGCATAAGTCAGTACACTCCCTATTAACACTCATGTATTACTCAATATCTAGAGTACAATTAAAGTACAATTTCTAAAGTTTTGGCAAAGCTGAGTTTAATTCAACATTTTATTTACCATCAGATGAAAATAAGTGTGATCTGGAAACTCAACTTCAGCTTTGTTCCCAGAACTTTGATTTGGGTGTACTCATTTTTACATCCTGGTTTTAAATTGAAAAGAAATATATAATTTTTTGTATGCAACTTAAAAAACCTAGTTTTTAACCAATGGCTGACATTTGGGAGAGTATTTTGTTGTATAGTCTGACATAAAAAATGTTGATTTTTAAAGGAAACCAAAGGGATGTACTCGTTTATGCTGAGCACTGTGTACTCGTTAATAGTCTGAAAATAAAACCTGCTGGTTTCTGAAGAGTGACCAGAATGACCAGTAGAATGAAGCAGAAACTTCCTCACGCCTGCATGTTCATGTGCAGATGTGTGCTTAAACAGGTTGATGACTATCTTACCCAGAATACACTTGGAGACAATGTCGGTGATCATCTTGTAAATTCGCACGCCGTTAAGCTAACTGTGAGAGTGCTGTGACTCATCCTGACTGAGGAAAACCTTCTCAGATCCACTTTCACTGTCGCCGCACATCAAGCACGAGTAAAATCATTCGCGCGAATGAATTACATGTTAAGTCAATGCAAAGACGCGATTAGGTGCGAATGACGCAAACTGGGCGGAAGCTGAAATTGTCTCAACTTGAGCAGATATTCGCGTCGCGATAACTAATCAGCACGAAGGTTGCCGGGTGACATATGAAAACAGACGGTTGTTCACTGGAATCTAAAATGGAGGACAAACTGATCGTGTCGGTGTGTGGATGTCCCGAATTATATGATAACTTTTCTTTGAATTACTGAAACCAAAATAAAAAGGAGGAAGGAAAGAAGAAGGAAAGGAAAGTGAGTGAGGAGGTCGGATTACCTGGTAAATTTTAAAATACCTTTTTCTATCACTTGATAGACAATGAATGAAGCGAGTAAATACTATTCATTCACACGTCTAGATTTGCGCGAATTAAGCAAGTAGATGATTTTACTTACTTAGTGAGATCGCCCCATTAGAGCGAGCTGCGATCATGACTGAGCTTTGCTGTGTAATGTGTAAAATCAGTCACATTAGAGCTGCTGTAAACACTAAATCAGTAAAAATGAAGAATTAGAAATGTCACCTGTCTTCATGAGACCAAAACCTGAATGAAACCTTTTAATATTTTTTAAAATCTGCGTTAAACTCATGATCGGTGAGGTCTGATGTGATCCTCTGAGAGTTTCGAGTAAAGCTCCTGAGTTTGGTGAATTTGTTAAAATGAAAGAAAATAAAATCTGACATGTGCAGTTTGTTAGAATTTAACATCTGTGTTGTAATAATAATAAAAATCTTTTTATAATTTTATTCAGCTGCCTTTGTTAAAAAAAAAAGTGTAATTCTGCTTCAAATATTGACAAGTAGTTCAAGTTTATCCTGATAAATCTGATCCAGTGACTTTTATCTGAAACAGAGGGTTTTTAAAATTAAGAGAAAAAGAAGAAAATGATAAAACATGGCGGTTCGACTCCTAATAACTGATTATATTCTGTTTTAACACTTGATTGAAATGTTGGTTTGTGTGTCAGCGTGTGTTCATGAAGAAAAGGAGGATGTGATAAGCGGGAAAGTTTGTGCGACTTATCATTGAAAATGTGTGTGTGTGTGTGTGTGTGTGTGTGTGTGTGTGTGTGTGTGTGTGTGTGTGTGTGTGTGTGACAGTAAAAAGAGATCAAGGAAAAGAGAAAGTGTGAGAGTGAGTCAGTGTCAGCACCTCTGCGTCAGCTCACGAGGGAGACTTTAGTCGTGATCCCGACATAAAGGTGTGTGTGTGCGTGAGTGTGTGTGTGTGTCTATATATTCAGTTAATGTGTGTGTGTGTGTTTGTGATTTTCCACATCATTTCAGGAACACTGAATGAGATGAATGAGCTGTTTTTGTGAATCTCAGTGTAAAAAGTTTGTCAGAACCTCAAAGTCCGAGCAGCTGAAAACTCGTCATTAAAAGTTGTTCAGAAATCTCTGAACTCGAAGTAACTCGAAGAAACAGACGCAAACGGAAGAATCTATTATTAGACCCACGACGCACAGGGGTGTGTGTCTGTTTATGTTTTGATGAATGACGTCAGATAAAAAAAAAACATTTCATTACTTCACATGTTTGCACATTTATACTAATTATTATACTAATTAAGATTCACAAAAACAGGAAACAGCAAAAGCTTCTGAAGAGGCAGGAATCAGACTCATGAAACGCACCTTTAACCTTTAACCTCCTTTCTCTGAGATTTGTCACTAAAACAAAAATAACTCCACCTCCTTTACATCCAGAAACTCTCATCAGACAAACACACAAAAAAAAGATTAAATTGGACGTTTGAGTAAAAAACTAATTGTGTGTTGTGGTTGTTTTTGGAGGAGGACACCCTCTTTACAATTCCTAAATCAAATCTGATCTTCAGCCACATTTTACAGTTTAAAGTCGTTGATTTTTTACTTTAAATGGAACAGGATAAACCTTAATTTTGTTTGGTTTAAAACAGTCTCCAAAATGCAAACCTGAAACAGAGCAACAGTACGTTTCTTTCTCGTCCTGTTGGTCAAATCCTAAATAAAAATATAAACGGTACCTCGCTTTTTCCAAAGACAAAACAACAAAGCGATAAAAAATTTATCATGAACACAATCAAAACATGACAGGATGTTAACAAACAAACAAACATTAAAGGTTATCTATTAAATGACTAAACCATAATCTATTAAAATCATAAAAAACAACAAAGAGTCAATGAAGAAATATGAAATAGGAGAAATTTCACCAAAACAGTTTCAACAGAGACTGAAAAGTGACTAAAGTTTGAGTCTATTAAAGTGTTTATTTATATATTGATATCATAATAAAAAATAAGCTTGCAGTAATACTGTGGGTTCATAATAGTGTCCTTTTCTGCCAACTGTCTCATATTACAAAATAAAAGAGAGACGAAGAAGAAGAAGACGCTGCCAGCAAGTTAGCTGTAGCAAAACTGACATTCAAAGATTTAAGAGCTCGTGCCTCTTTGGGAAATGCCTGAATTAAAGTTTTTTTACTTTCTAATGTTGTCTGGACTGTTTTTATTCTGGTCTGTAACCTCCCATCCTGCAGAAGAAGCGTTTCCTTCAAAATAAAAGTTTTACAGCACAGAGGTATTTGGGCCACGTTAAGATAACGTCACTTTGACTTTATTTTCCTCAGATTCTGACTTTGTTCTGATTTGATTCTGCTGATATTTTGACTTTATGATGACTCTATTCGCTTTATCTTCTTCTTTATTATTTTATTTATTTTTATGTGTCAATGTACAGCACTTTGGCTACCATCTGGTTCTTTTATAGAAATAGAAATAAAGTTGATTGATTGATTGATTGACTCAATTCCTTCTTTTGACTTTTTTTTTCTTTAGGACTTTATTTTCGTAAAACTTAATTCCTGGAAAGTAAAAAACTTCGATGTGTCTCTAATTTTCTGTCACAGGGTAAAAGAAAAACAAATATCAGGACAGAAAAACATCAAAATAAAAGCACGTCAAACATTCATTTTTTAAAGGTGTTGTCCTCTCCAGACAAGCTTTGGTCCCAGGACTGATAATGTGGACAATTGTAATAAAAATGGAAGTTAAATGGGATTATCAATTAAGTTTGTGAACTAACCAACGTCTCCCTTCTTGTTTATATCTGCGTCCCTCTTTGTGTGGTTCAGTTTCAACCCTGCCTGTGTTCACAGACGATGGATTTTAAATGGATTTGAGGTCATGCTGTGATTTCCGCTGCAGAGTCATGTCCCTCTTTTAAACGTCCAGTTTTGCAATTCAATTCGAAACACAATTTCAATCTCTTATTCTCACACAGTCTTTCACTTTTTCCTGAGTGTATTTCTGATAAACTCAGCCTCTCTATAATTTTATATGTTTTTATAAGTTTATATCTGACTTGTTTTTAGTCTTTCCCACATTAACCTCATTATTTGGGAGGATTTACTGCAGGTGTTTATTTGGTTTAGTGTTGCTCCTTTTCTCCGTCCCAACATTTTAGAAACATTTTAATGAGAAATCAAAAATTTTAAAAGAGCTTATATGTTTAGATAAAACTAAAAACTTCTCTGTTTCAATATTTCATGTGTTGATGTGTCGTCTTTGCACTATTTCTGATCATAGATAACCTTTGAATGATTTACAAATCATCTGTTTTTATCAACATTTTTACACAGAGCTCCAATTGTTTGGAAATTGAGGTTGGACTCAGTTTAAGCAAAAAAAGGACTTTTTACATTTTCACATAAATCAAAATATCAATAAAATGAAACATCACTTTTCTATGTTTTTTTTTGGAGTATGTGTCAAAAATGAGGTCAATCAGACTTGCTAAGTATGAAATATTAACATATATGTCTAAACCTTGACTTTTCTTTCCTTTAGGTTCACATAAACACATTTGAGAGGGTACATCTATAGATCTATAGTACTAGATTACACCATCATGTAGACTCTCATTGGAGACTCATGTGCTTCTGTACGACGCAGCAGTGTGAATAGTTTAAAAGCTAACCACAGTCAATGTCTGGGTTTATTTTGTTGTTTTGGTTTTTCATCATACCTGCGGTCCTCATGGTGGGATCTCACTTTGGCCCTTAAACCACCAGAACCAGGATCTCGTCACCGCTGAGGGATAACGTGGAGTCCTACAGAAAAGACGTAAAAATGACGTCAAATTAGTTTCAGGATTAGAAATCACATCTGTTATAAACTTCTAAATACTTCACTTTAATGTGTCACTGAAACACATGAATTGGGGGTCATCTTCACGGCTTCAAAAACCGTCTGCACTAACTGTAAAAAATTAAATATTCAAAAATATTCAGCCAGAGGTGGTAAAACATTTGACTTTAATCGCTCATGTTACTTTGGCAGAATCTGGACAAGTTTTATCTTAGTTCTGACTTCACCAACAAAAACAAACTATTCGGATTAAAAAGTTCAGCAGCAACCGCTAATGTTAGCAAGTCGTAGTAGCTAGCATGTATCAGGTAGTTGGACCGAACACTTGATCTCATCAGCTATGATGAAATTGGAAAATCTCAGGCTGATATATGAGGTCAACACAGAAGTGCCAAAAACTGAAGTTCCTCAAATCGCCACTAGAGGCTGACTCCAAAGTGAGTCAGCTCCCATAGAGCCCCATATTAAAATGTTAAATTTAACAGCAGAGCTAAACAAGTCTGAAGACAGGAACAAAAATAGACGGTGTCCTTCTATACTTTATAAAAATCCAGAAAACACAGAGTGAAGTGTTTAGATATCTCCATGGTGATTATGGCTACAGTAGCCCCGCCTTTAGCCCCTCATGTAAGCGGTTCTGTCTTGTAGCCCAGAAAGGAGTTAGTTCTCCTAAAATACTGTTTTTTTTTTCTTTTCTTGCTGAGATCCAGGACTTTGGTCTTTGGCCATCAAAACATAAAGAACTGGTTCCAAATTAGACACTGGCTCCAAACCAGCCCTGGAACTGATTAGGTGAAAAAGGGGTGAAAGAGGCAGCTGACTGGGGGGAGATCAGTAATGTGAGAGCAGAGATAGGAGATAGTGGAGCATCGATAACCTGTGATTTGAGTTTTCTACACATAAAAACAAACACTGTACAAGAACAAACGCTCTGAGGCTAACTCTGACCTCTAAGTCGTGTTTTCAGACCACGCTGATGGAGAAGTTTAGCACTAATATAAGAAACAAATCTAAAAGTCAAAGTCACGAAGTAAACTTATTTGATTTTCATATCAAAACATTGGCAAAGAAAATCGCTGAATATGGACTTTAAAACTCTTCCAAAGTGCAGGATGATGGATTTGAAGCACGCGACTAAAACGTGACGAACTGGGAAATTCAGGGATAATGCTGCGTTCCTGTTGTATTTAGAAGTCAGGATATAAAAATCACCAAATGTATCGCTAATAGACTTGTTCACTTCCAGATATCATGACTGATGAATTTCAGTCTATTTAATAACCATGAAAAAACCCTTACTGGAGCTTTAATCAACGAACGATCAACTTTTCAAACAGCTGTAGGTTGGAGCTCCCGTACGAATCCTTGACCTTGCAGCCACTGTCTTATGATGGAAATCTTTTTGTACTGTTGTAAGCAAGCCATATAATCCAGCTTTGTCTACTTGGGCTTTAATCTAAACACAATTTTAACACAAAACTGTATAAACAAAATTTTTATGAGAACTAATTTGATCCTGTTTACACCAAACTCAAAAAAAAAAAAAACACAGAAAAAAGATCGACTGTGTCTGTTTAACATCATCATGCTCAGTTATCTGGAGATGATGTGAACAAAATGTGGAGACAGACTGCAGATACACACACACTAACACACACAAACACACAAATGCTGAGACATCCAAGAACCTGAACTTGGAGGTCTGATTAACCTCCATGAATGATGGACAAAAACCTCCTCAAAGATATCAGACCATGTGGATGAAGGGTGGTATAATCTTCATCATGCATGTGCCAAAGCGTGTGCATGTGTGTGCATGTGTGATGTAGTGTGCAGGACTACAGTTGGGGCGTACAAAACGTTGCTCAGCTAAAAATAAATAAAGGGCTCAGGAGAGGAGCGAAAAGCATTGTGCGCTGTGAGTCACGACCAGGAGTGCTAGTGACGATACACTCCCCCCCATCACACACACACACACACACACACACACACTCTCTCTCTATCTCACACACACACACTCACACTCACACCTTCTCCTCCCCATTCAAATGCCGACAGGGAGAGTACCGCTTCTCAACACCGAGAGATCGAGACCTCCAGGAACTCCAGCAGACTTTCTGCAGAGGAGCGTCTCAGGATCTGAACGTCCGTCTGCTCTTTAATTTTCCTCACAGATAAACAAATCAGAATTAAACTCACTCTGCTCCAAACACGACGAAGAACAGTGTTCAAGTTTTTGGGACGTTAATGTCATCAATCACCTTTACAGTCAGCTTCCTCCTCCATAAGGGATCAGACTTTCCTGATTTTAACGGGAAATACGACATGCATGATGATAACTAACTTTTGTTACTTACTGCTCAGTTATTAGTACATCCATCTACAAAACAACATGCGCTTTTTAAACCAAGATCAGCAGCCTGCAGGGTTTTGAACGCACCTTCTTCTCCTTTAACGCCAGATTTGACAAGTTCAACCTTTTGGAAGTTTGAAAGTCTCGAAAAATGGTCAATAAAACGGCTGCAACTGCAACACAAAGTCCAAGAAAAAGTTCAGATCTTGTGTAAAATGCGGATAAAAGTGTTTTTTTTACAAATCATTTATTATAGAAATGGTTTAGAGACAACATACCTATTCTGTTAAAACAAAGTAATGTTATAGTTTTATTAAAATATTCACTCATTTTAAATTTGATGGCCGCAACACATTTAAAAAAACATAGAAAAAGTTTGAAGCTAACTGGAGATTAAAAAAAAAAAAAAATGGGGCCGAGAGTCCAGGTGTCTCGGAGGTAAAGATGGTAGAGGTTTGCTGATCTGTGAGTGAGCAGATACGTCAACATTTTCAGGACAACGATCTTCATCTGTAGTTCATAATATCATTAAAGAAACTGTACAAAAAGGGACCTTCGAGTCCTCAGGTAGCAGACGTGACTCTGTGGTGGAAATCTCTGCATGCACTCAAACTCACTCCCACTAATACAGATTAAAACTGTGCAAAGAGGAAACCAAGTCTAGACCACCTTTCTGAGCCAAAACCCATTTCAGATGAGGGGAAGTAAAAACTGTTCCTGGTCTGGAGAATCTAAATCCAACATAGTCTCTCTGTCCTGTTAGTCTAAAACCGTTTTTATCGGAGCACAGGTCCAAATCCAGCATCAGTGGTGGGATGAGGATGTATAAGCACTGTGGCTCTGTTAATGCTGTTTAAGAGCAACATATGCTGCCTTCACCTGATGCTTTTTCAGACCTTCACAAGGCAACGACAAACCCCATTCAGACAACAGGGATTACAACAGCGTGGCTCTGTAGGAGAAGAGTCCTGCTGAGAAGAAACTGGACTGATGTGGGCGGGACTTCCTTTACATCCATATCAGGTATGACGAGGACATCATTTCACTTTACAAAACTCCAGAAACAAGTCTCCTCCTTTGGGATGATCCAGCACAGTGGTAAATATGTCCCTGTAACAACTTTTTTTTTTTTATATGAATGAGGCTTTCAATGATTTTCAGCCCGTAAAACTCTGTTAATATCTCCACTGATACCTGTCTGAAAGTTCAACTCAAGATCCATCAAACTGGAACTCCAAAGAAGTCACTTTCTGCTCTTGTGAGAGCTGTTTGACTCTTTTTGGAAATGGCTTGAAAGACCCACTCTGATGAAAATCGTGTTTTTCTTGTTCTCTACACATTCATATATAATTTTTCTGATGCTACAGGATGCCATGAGAAATACGAGTGCAAAATTGTATTTCTGAGTATTTCTTCATTGAAATCTCTGTGAATCTCTGGCAGACCCAAACAGCAGGTTCAGACACAGAAAGATTTTCTACATCACAAATCCAAGCTCCTCCCCCAGAGTCCTGCTATGCAGGCCAGAATAGCATAACAAGCATGTGCGTTAGCAGATTGTAATGCTCGTAAGAAAGATAATTATGATATTAACTTTCATCATGTCCCCAAAAACATTACTGTCCAAGAGCTGAATAGCTCCTATGTTACCTGACACTTCGACTACACCTGCAATGTTAGGCTACAAGCTAGCGTGAAGAGGAGCATGAAGAGGAGTGTGCAGAGCGGCGCTGTCTCCGCCCACGACTCAGAGGTAAATTGCTAATGAGCTACTGGAGCTCTGCAGAAGAAAAGTCCTTAAAAATGACACAGGTAACGTGATTTTGGCAAAAAACTTCATAATCACATTTTAAAGACCACTGAGAACACTATAAGGAGTATAAAAAAAAACTGGGACTTTAAGTTACTTTATTTGTAGCTTTTACAGTGAGATCTGAGAATATGACAGAGGAAGTGATGATGGCGCTCTGAACTTAGAAGGATGATGGAAACACGGTCAAAGCTGTTTTTCTATCACGTATGAGAAGAGGCTAAAATTTACACTTTAAAGAAAGAGGTCGTTCCTTAAAATACGTCTTCTGTAACCGTCTGATGGTAAAGTTGTTTCAGACAGCCCCCCTCCCCCTCTAAAAATAAATCCTGCTTATTACGAACTTCATTTAACGAGTTAAACTCGGTTCATTTCTAAGTGCTGACTGTCTAACATCAGCATCTCATCTAATCCAGACAACAGAAATCTGCTGAGCGCTGGATTCTCAGTCCAACAGCCAATCGGGAGCCAATCAGGAGGAAGACGCTCAGAACTCGAACGGCCCAAACAGAGAGAGAGAGAGACAGAGAGAGAGAGAGAGAGAGAGAGAGAGAGAGAGAGAGAGAGACAGCTTTAACCCCGTTCACACATGCTCCTCATTCCTGAAAATTTCCACAGAGGATGCATGTTTAAACTCAGAAATCTGGACTTCTTAACCCTGACGTTTTGTGGACTTTTCCGTCGCGAGGAACGTGAACATACAAATGACTCTAGATGTCTCTCAAGGCTTGAGACTGAGATGTTTTTGGACATTTGGATTTGGCGGGACGGTCCAAAGAAACAACATGAACCTCAGCTTCAGTTACACCCTGCTGTTTGGAGACCTGCACCTACGACCCTGTCAGGCAGATGTTGGAGGGAGCTGACCAATCAAGTCGGCTAAAATACACTGAAATTCACTTTTATCAAGTTTTTAACTCCTTTAAATTTAACTGGATGAATTCTTGCTTCCTAGAGCTGAAATAATTTATTCCTTTTTATTTTAAAATGAGTTTCTGATCGATGATTCATTCACATCGAGTTAAAATCGTTCTTTTACAGCTAATTTAATAAAGGATCGTAAAGAGTCACGAGATTGTCTAAAATTCCTCAGCTGGGGTCGAACTCTGTCTGCTCTCAGTTAACATGTTTCTGTCTGCAACCACAAAGAGTTCTCACTTTGGTGCGGTTGAGGGTCAAGTTTGGAAAAGACCAAAGACCGAGAACTTCAGGATAGTTTTTGACTGTTTGTTGGTAAAAGCATGAGCACAGTTTTCATCAGATGTACTTTTTCAGCTTTTAGACTTTATTTTGAGAGGTCAACACAGAGGATGGAGGAGCTGCAGGTCAGACTTGATACCAGACCACAGACTCCATGAACGAGTCAAATTAAAGTCTGAGATTGTGGCTTTTTGAAGGTTTTCACACCAGCATCATACTGGGAGTTCTTGGAGCTTTGTTCCTCATGTCTTAACATCTAAAGATAATAGCAGATGTTTTCTATCGCCCAAACCTTTCCTGAACTCAGCGAACAACACCTGATCAGGTCGATTTCACCGCCATCTCTCATCCTGAATGTCAAACTGGATAAACCTGTCCATCACGTCTCAGGTAAACTCCAGATAATCAGACACCACCCCTCAGTGACTTCATGTAAATGTGACAATATTCCTCGACTAGACCACGACGTTCTGGACCCCTAAACTAACCCAGTTTCTGAATCTTCAGGCACAAAAATATGATTGTGGTCTCTGTAACTGTATTTGAAGAAAGTTTAAAGGGACATCAGGTCCACGATCTGACTCCTGGTCTCGAACAGACCACATGCTCGGTCTTCAGGTTGAAAATTAAGAGCTTGATAACTCTTAGTTTAAGTTTGACTCAAAGTTTGACTATCAGGGAAAAGTTTTGGTTTGGGTCGTTGGTGCAGAGGGAGCACCTCTTCTGTCATCTTTGTCGCTGTGGTCGGAGGTTCGATTCCTGGTCATGTCAGTCCTCCTCCCTTTAGATCTCCTGTCTCCTTAAGGCTGCGCCACAAAAATAGAAAATTTAAAGACGTTTTCTATCGATGATCCTTTTTGCATCTACATCTACATATCTGCATCTGCATTTCTATAGCATTCTGTTCAACTGTGTGTGTGCATGTATGAGTGCGTGTGCATGTATGAGTTTAAGTGTGCATGCGGTGAAGTTGGTTTACTTGCACTCTTAAATTGATTTCTAATTGATTTTTCTATAAAACTGTTTTTTAACTGTGTATACCTGTTGTGAAGCACATTGAGTCTGCCTTGTGCAGGAAATGTGCTTTATAAATTGAATTGAATTGAATCTATATCTTTCTACATCTTCATTGTACAGATATTTTTAAAAACAGATTTCTTCTCTCATAAAATCCTTCAAATGTCCAGGTTTCGTGTGGAGGTTTGGAGTTTGTGGAGCGTGGACTAACCATGTAAAAAACACCCGATCAGACCTGAAAAACCCTCAAAATTAACTGCACATGACTCTGCGTCCTCTTTTTGGGGAGTCAGAATATGGTCACCCTAAGGATTTCATTATGGAGGAGCAACTAAATAATTTATCTGTAACCATGGAGGAGAGGTTAGTTTTATCGTAATGTCACATTTCCACCTCTTTTTAATGATATAAACTCACTCGACCATTAAAAGGGCAGCTGAGTTGAAGGAAACAGACAGTTAGCTGTTAGCAGCTTATTAGCTAAGCAAGCAAGCTGTCGTAGGGTCCCTCCAAAATTTCACAGCAGGAGTTTAAGTTCTTAAACGTTTTAAATGAAGTACAAACTACAAGATTACGGAGGCAAATCGGAAAACACAGAGATGAAACAAGATGATACAAACTTACTCAACTGTCAAAAGGGCAGCTAAGTTGAAGGAAACAGACAGTTAGCTGTTAGCAGCTTGTTAGCCAGTTAGCAGCCTGTTAGCTTAGCAAGCACGCTGTCGTAGGGTCCCTCCAAAATTTCACAGCAGGAGTTTAAGTTCTTAAATGCTTTAAATGAAGTACAGACTAAAAGATTACGGAGAGGAAGAGTAAAATCAGATAGACAGAGATGACACGCCTCCACAAGATGAGACCTTAATAAAGTGCTAACTTTCAATCTTGGTGCAAGTGTGGTCAACGTTTAAGACCCACTCCGATAAAAATATTGCTTTTCTTGTTGTCGACATGTTCATGTATAATTTTTCTGATGCTACAGGACAAATCATGAGAAATACTGAGTATTTCATTCAAATCTCTCTGAATCTGTCACAGACCCAAACAGCAAGTTCAGACATAGTGAGATTTTCTACATCAAAAATCCAAGCTCCGCCCCCGAGCCCCAACATGCAGGCCAGACTCGGAGAAGTAGAGAGGACGATAGTGGGACAAGCGTGTGCGTTAGTGGATTGCAATTCTCGTAAGAAAGCTAATTATGATATTAACTTTCATCATGTCCCCAAAGACATTAGTGTCCGAGAGCTGAATATCTCCATGTTACCTGCTTCTTTTAATACATCAGCAATGTTAGGCTACAAGCTAGCGTAAAGAGGAGTGTACAGAGCAGCGCTGTCTCCACCCACAACACAGAGGGGAAATGCGAATGAGCTACTGGAGCTCTGCAGAAGAAAAGCTCTTAAAAGTGACACAGGTAACGTGATTTAGGCGAAAAACTTCATAAACACAATTTAAAGACCACTGAGAACACTTAAACTATTAAAAAAATATATACACACGTGGACAAAATTGTTGGTACCCCTCAGTTAAAGAAGGAAAAACCCACAATTCTCACTGAAATCACTTGAAACCTACAAAAGTAACAATAAATAAAAATTTATTGAAAATTAAATAATCAAAATCAGCCATTACTTTTGAATTGTTGATTAACATAATTATTTAAAAAAAACAAACTAATGAAATAGGGCTGGACAAAAATGATGGTACCTCTATAAAAGATTGAAAACTATTTGACCAGAGTGACATGATTAACTCAGGTGTGTCCTTGATTGACATCACAGGTGTTTCCAAACTCATAATCAGTCAGTCTGCCTATTTAAAGGGAGACAAGTAGTCACTCTGCTGTTTGGTGAAAAGGTGTGTACCACACTGAACATGGACAACAGAAAGCGAAGGAGAGAATTGTCCCAGGACATCCGAAAAAAAATTATAGACAAACATCTTAAAGGTGCAGGCTATAAGACCATCTCTAAACAGCTTGAAGTTCCTGTGACAACAGTGGCTCATATTATTCAGAAGTTCAAGACCCACGGGACAGTAGCCAACCTCCCTGGACGTGGCCGCAAGAGGAAAATTGATGACAGATTGAAGAGACAGATCGTTCGAATTGTATCCAAAGAGCCCAGGACAACCTCCAAAGAAATTAAAGGTGAACTCCAAGGCCAAGGTACATCAGTGTCAGATCGCACCATTCGTCGTTGTTTGAGCCAAAGTGGACTTCATGGGAGACGACCAAGGAGGACACCACTGCTGAAAAAAAATCATAAAAAAGCGAGACTGGAATTTGCAAAAATGCATGTTGACAAGCCACAAAGCTTCTGGGAGAATGTCCTTTGGACAGATGAGACCAAACTGGAGCTTTTTGGTAAGGCACATCAACTCTATGTTCATAGACTCAAAAACCAAGCATACGAAGAAAAGAACACTGTCCCTACGGTGAAACATGGAGGAGGCTCAGCAATGTTTTGGGGCTGCTTTGCTGCATCTGGCACAGGGTGTCTTGAATGTGTGCAAGGTAAAATGAAATCTGACGACTATCAAGGCATTCTGGAGAGAAATGTGCTGCCTAGTGTCAGAAAGCTTGGTCTCAGTCGCAGGTCATGGGTCTTCCAACAGGACAACGATCCAAAACACACAGCCAAAAACACCCAAGAATGGCTGAGAGAAAAGCGTTGGACTATTCTAAAGTGGCCTTCCATGAGCCCGGATCTGAATCCCATTGAACATCTGTGGAAGGAGCTGAAACATGCCATTTGGAGAAGACACCCATCAAACCTGAGACAACTGGAGCAGTTTGCTCATGAGGAGTGGGCCAAAATACCTGTTGACAGCTGCAGAACGCTCATTGACAAATACAGAAATCGTTTAATTGCAGTGATTGCCTCAAAAGGTTGTGCAACAAAATATTAAGTTATGGGTACCATCATTTTTGTCCAGCCCTATTTCATTAGTTTGTTTTTTTTAAATAATTATGTTAATCAACAATTCAAAAGTAATGGCTGATTTTGATTATTTAATTTTCAATAAATTTTTATTTATTGTTACTTTTGTAGGTTTCAAGTGATTTCAGTGAGAATTGTGGGTTTTTCCTTCTTTAACTGAGGGGTACCAACAATTTTGTCCACGTGTGTATCAAAGTGGGACATTAACAACAGCTGCCTCGCACAAGAGCGTCAGTGTTTCCTCAAACTTTGATTTTACCATCCGCACAAAAACACCAAAGTTAGTGGCCTTACAAGACGTGACATAAAACTCAAAAAGCTGATTAAAAAAAATGTGTTTTTAAAGAAATCAGCAAACAAGTGGACCAGACTTTAGACTGCAGTGAGACCGAAAATGGAGATATAGATGTTTATAATGACAATAAGCAGACACACACACACTCGCAGTTTTATTTTTAATTTTGTCAAACGTGTGTGTGTGTGTGTGTGTGTGTGTGTGTGTGTGTGTGTGTGTGTGTGTGTGTGTGTGTCTGTGTGTGTCTGTGTCTGTCTGTGTGTATGTGACGTCTCAGTTGCACATTTTTATCCCAAAGTCAAAAGTTTCTCTCTGATTTCCATGTTAGTGAAGACATCGATCACTCTGAGTTGTGGTTTAAAACATTGATCACTGATTGATAATAGTTTTTAGAAAACACCTGAGCTCCTCGACTCGGAGGACAAACCTAAATCAGACTCTTTTTAACCAGGTTATGATCATCAGCAGGATCAGGTCAGTGATGGTTTCACACACTTCACCGTATTTACGTCACTATTTAGAAGAAAAAATAGAAAATCCTGAATAAAAAATAAAAGTGAATAATTCAGGTTCAGCTGATCTCACAGCTCACTATAGATTTTTACACACCACAAACTGTGGAGTCGCACTGACGTCACAGATCTGTCAGCAGAAAAACAAACTCCCTAAAGTTGCCGTAATTATTAATTCCGGAGGAAGCAGACTGAGAAAACGTGAGGCCATTTCCTCTTGAATTAATAATCACTTTAACATTAAAAGGTTCATGTTTTTCCACTTCATAAAATATCCAAACAATCACCAGAAAAACTGTCTAAATGTAATTTCTCATGATGCCTTTTTTGTCATTAAACGACGTGAACATTTTCAGATAAATCCACATGAAGGATTCACATCAGGAGAGAGTTGACGTGAATTTGGCTGCAGAGAGACGTTCACATCTCTGTGAAGTCACACCAAGACTCCCACCACCCTGCGTGAAAACCCGCACACTTAAACATTCACATAAATTAATAAAAAAAAACAAGAATAAATAAAACAGACGGATTAAAAACCAGCACACACACTATCATTTTGTGTTTCCTACGTCCTCAAAGCTCCTGGTCTCCACTTTGAGGTGACATCATCTCCAAAAATATCCCGTTGTACCACGAGTAGACGCTCATATTAGAGAAGAAAAAAGAGGCAGTCATGGTGCAAAAACTCAGATTTTAGTGAGTCAATTTGAACCGTTAGTATCACTGACCTGATCAATCATCATATAGATCCTCCTCAGGTTTTCACAAACTAAAACAACGACTCCATTCATTTTTAACGGCAGCCAAAGCAGCAAGAATTTGTAGTAACGAGGTTTGATACTGATTTTAAATTCTGAAAAGTTATTATAATAATTCCAAGACTACTTCTAGTCAGTATTTCTGTTTATGACATGATGTATAAATGTGGTAAATACTCTCAGAGAGATTGTTCAGGATATTCAGGCTTCATCTTTCATACGCACACAAGATAAAACACACTGTACGGTCCTTCTGATGAGACTTCAGCTGTAAGAAAACAATCCTGACTACACACCACGTCTGTGTTTACATCTGAAAAGTGTAAAACGCACCAGATTTTAACAGATAACCTGACTTTGTTTTTATTTTTGTTATAATGAACACTGTAATAATTTCTTGACTGTCAAATGATGCCGCACGGTTACCATAGGAACCACAGCTGTAAGAGCAGGATTCCAAATACACACCAGACAACCACATCCGCACAGTGCCTCGACCATTTTGCATCCCCGACTGGAGCGACACGAGAAAACGTTACAAAGCTGAGCTCAGCAAAACAAAAGCAGGGCTGCATGTGAGACAAAAACCCAACCTCCTGCAGACACACACACACACACACACACACACAGAGGAACACTACACCTTTATCATTTCTATTTTAATTTCTATTTATATGACAGGATGAGTTAAAGGGTTAGTTTTCCTAATTCTACACACACATATATCCTCGGTTTCTAAGTTTGTCTTTTTTTCGTCAGTGTTAGAAAATCGCATCATGAGTCGTTTAAAAGCGACGCCACTCCGGACGACAAACAGACCTCCCTGTCAACAGTTTTCATAGAAATCAATCCCTACTTCAAAGGAAGCTCAAGAGACAACTGTTGAAAGTCTGTTTGGAGTTTCATCCAGATAAACGAAGACACTGAAAACAAACACAAGCAACATTCAGATCAGCTACGATACATGTCAGGGTCTGAAATCTCAAAACCTCCTCCAATCAGATCAGATATCAGAGAGTAAACGACACAATACATGAGAGGAAGGATGTTTTCTATGTCAGCGTGCACTTTGACCCCCACATACTGAAAATACTCTTTTTATGTCCGAGCAAAAATAGACATTAAATTCTACTTTTTACATAAATTAAAGAAGCGCTTGTAAATATAATCTTTGGGTGGATTTCAATTTCACTTTATAACTCCGTCACTTTAGTTTCAGGTACTTTGGATTTTTTAATTGCTCTCCTCCCACTGCACTGTTGTTCTGGATTGTAAAGGTGTACACAGCCTTTTATAGTTATTGTACATAGCATTGTACATAACCTTTAATATTTTTATACTTTACATATTTCTTGCATGCTCTGATTAGTTTTTATTCTAGTATTTTATATTTCTCTCTGTTTATTGTTGCACCATCATGCCAAAACAAATTCCTAGTCTGTGAATCCTGTTCAACAACAACAATAAACCCCCTTCTGATTCTGATTCTGATTCTTCTGATCTGAACAGGTGATTTCATCCACACACTCACACTTCAACATCTATAGCATCCATTTTGTTGCTTTTCCTAAAGTTGAGAGTGTAGATTTGAAATCAAAGAAGAAGGAGGAGGAGGAACCTGAAGGAAACATCAAATATTTTGTTGTAAAGAAAAGTTGTGATCAAATAATCTGAGGGTGACTCCTGATCCCCAAAACTGACACACCAACATCCTGTCTGCTTCAAATGTACATTCCCCCTCATCACTCTCTGATGAATTGGATCATGACTGCACTAATATGAGGTTTTATAGAGGAGCAGAAATAAGGAACTCTCTGGTTTTTGAATAGAGGTCTTTCTGTTGGCCTTTCTGCCCCGGGTCATGACGCACATCCCCCCTCTGCGTGTACCGGTAACTACAGCCTTATAACAAGGGCGAGGAAATGAAACGTGACGGCGGGGTGTTGCCCTGAACTGCCTGTGATATGATGACTCACACTGAGGGGTGACAAAGCAGGTATTTTGGGGGGGACGTCACAGCTCGTGCATGGTGTAGTGAAGACACAGAGGAGGTTACAGACAGATATGACCTGCGCGCACACTCACACCTGCAGACTTCTACAACACCTGGAGAAGTAGTTTTCTATCCGCACACTGACACCAGGTAAGGAGATCCTGCGCATGGACGGAGAACAAACAGGGAAAGTTCCGTCTCCAAAGGTGAGCTGCATGTTTGAGACGTGACTTTAGTTTGTAGCAGTTTGTTGTTTGATTTGCAAACTCACGGCCTGCAGAGAAGTTGAGTTTGCAAACCCTAACTCTAACAAAAATGTAAAAAAAAATGACATGATTACTAATTTAATTAAACGGTGCGTAAAAAAGTGTATGTGGAAGATAGAAGACAAAGGCCAAACACGATTTTAAAAAAGTCTGGATGACAAGAAGGTAAAATGAGCCTCTAACTCACAAGAAAACTTCAATCCTTTTAAATCATATCACATGACAGGACACGTGAAAGATTAGGCAAACTACCAAGCGTGGAAAACACACCCCACACCATCCACCAGAGTCATCATTTCTCATAAAGGTGGAAAAACGAACTTCTACGACTTTTACGCACAATTTCTAGATGTTAAACAACACGAAGTGAACAATCTAGAGACAGTAATCCAAGACAAAGGCGTCAAAACACGAAAATCTGAGTCCAGGGTAGTTTGGAAAGAGAGAAGAAAGAGGCAGAGAGGGAAATCCAGCACTACTGCGCAGACACAACACCGAGAAGTCAGAACGAGACTCGCGCAAAATGCAATTAAAAATGTGATTGGAGTTTGACGTCAGGCCGAGCAATTACCTGTCTGTCTTTCTGTCTTTCTTGGAGAAGGAAGGTCTGTCTCTCTGTGTGTGTCTCCGTTTGACTCTGTGCGCTCCTCGGTGAAAACATCCAAACTGTGGGGTCCCCTCTTTTTTTCTCTTCTCGTGCGCACATCTGGAGGCTCCCACAGCAGAGGCAGCAGGGTCCACGAGTATCCCACCATGCTCCTCTTTTGCTGCTTTTGTTTCTCCTGCAAGACAGAAAACAAAGAGAGAGACACGCACTGTGAGATTTAAACATCTATAAAGTTAGAGTGCAGACGTACACGAGCAGAGATGTGGACGTGGAGTGGAGAGGTGGATGTCACGAACAACAGCAGAGAAGTCTCCGTTTTTACGCACAAGAGTGTTTTTACTTGTTAGGGTGGATTACAGTTAAAACTTTAAACTTAAAGAGAAGAGAGAGCGCCTTCAGACCAAACTTAACTCACGTTTGTTCGCATCAAATTGTTTGTTTTTGTCTCTGGAGTGAAGAGAAACTGAGGCCTCCCCACAGGTCAGAGGTCACGATGTTTCTATTTTAAGAAAATGGCGTCCCTCACGTTACATGTGACTTCTTCTTCAGGTGTTTTTTATAGATATAGTTTATTTATAGCACGTGCTCTCTACCCTAACTAAACTAACATTTCAGGTTCATACAGACACCTTCACCAGGAAAGAACAGGTGCGTCCTCTGTGCGCCATTTCACCCTCTGCTTTGCTCAAGGGTTGCGTCAAATTACAGAAAAGCCTGATTTGACTTTTTTCTTTCTCTCTCTTTTGTTTGCAACGTGCTTTCACCTCTCTCCTGATCCTGAACTTTTCTGACTTCCTTTTCTTCTTCATTTCTCTGAGACCTCCTGTACGGTTAAATTTGGACGCCATTACGTCACTTTCTGCTCTTTTTTACGCGCCCCTGACAGTGCGCTCACTTGGCGCGTATAACTTCAAGGTTCAAGGCCTCAAATCACACGATACACGACATTTATAAACGGGGCTGCGCTCTAATGATGCGTGGACACATGTATTAAATCTATTTGAACGTTTATCATCATTTCCAACTTTGATTCTTCCTTCAAATAAAACAGGGAAACTGAGGAGAAACTGTGCGTAAAGTTGCACGTGTCTTTCTACCTCCGGGCTAAACTGAGTTGCATCTTTTTCAGCTTTTTTTACTCTGTCTTTGAAGAGCAGAAACGCTCATCTCGGAGTTTTATCTCCCTCTGTATTCGTGCACACATCCCTCATCATCACCATCATCACTCACTCAGAGTTTTTGCAGAAGTTGTGGTGAAGCTGCAGAAATGTTAGATTGGTGTTGTTTTGTTTTTGTTTGTTTCCCTCTCTCTGTGTTTTTGTTTTGACTTTGGTGGGTCAGGCTGAGAGGACGTGCTCGTCTATCCGAGTGTGTGTGTGTGTGTGTGTGTGTGTGTGTGTGTGTGTGTGTGTGTGTGTGTGTGAGTGGTGGGCTGATGCTTGAGGTGGATTAACTTCTATTCACAAAACAGGGAGGGAGACACGTGTTCGTCTCCACAGTATGTGTGTGAAAGGGGAGGCTGCGTGGATGTTCTCACGGAGGACACACACTCACAAACACACAGTCTCTCTCACATACGCGCGCGCGCGCTCGCAGTACTTCACGGTCAGTGTATTATGAAGCAGCTATTGCAGATGTTGCTTCTTCCTCTCCGTCTGCTAATCTGGGCTCTTTTCGTGGCCTTGTTGGGGAATCCCTTGCATATGCACTTTGCGTACAGTGGTGTGTGCGCGTGCGTGTGCTCGTGTGCATGTTTCTCACTTGTTTTTATTATTATTATGTTTAACGAGGGGGATTAAGGGGGGGCTCAGTGACGCCCATGAAAAGTGGCACCGCACCCTCCAAAAGACGCACACACACATACACACACACGTATACACACACCTCCCTCCACTGTTTTGCCCACGTGCAACTTGTGCATTACAAGGGTCTCCCCGTGTTTACTCTGTGCTCTGCTGCTGGGCACTGTCACTTGTTCGGTGTGGAACTGGGGGCGGGGAGGAGGAGAGGGTGGGGGGTGTCAGGGGTGTGTTTGGTTGGAATAATGACTGAACGGTGCGTGGCTCAAAGTTTGGAGTCCGACGACATGTTTGTTGACAAAAATAATAAAAATACAGTTTTGGTTTTTTTTCTGGAGCACGCAAGAGTTGGAGCAAAACTTGGGTGCGACGTGGCTGCAACGCTTCGCCACAAATTCAGAGAGAGAAGAAAACTGTTGACTCAAAAGGAGACACGGAGGAGAGGAAAAGAGGGGCTGAAAAGCAACGGAGACAAAAACACTACAGCCGTGGCAGTGATGGAAATCAAGAGAGTAAATGATGAGGAGAATAGTGCAAAAAGAAAAACGGAGCAGAAAAAAGAGGAAAGCCCTTCAGAAAATCAAAGATTGTAAAATTCCACGAGTGGAGCCGTCTTCCGATGTCGATGTCTCGGCGCGGCGATTGCGCCCTCCGCAAATGCTTTTTGGGGTAAGGGCTTCCCAGATTAATAGTTATGAACAGCAAGCCCAGACCGCAAAAAGATTCGTGAAGGACATTATCATCATCATCATCATCATCATCATCATCATCTGCTGCTGCTGCTGCCGTCCGGCGGGGACTCCGTGACACCCGGGGAGTCTGCTCTCCTCGCGCTCCCGTGGATTTATCTCCCATCCCAGCTCGCTTGATTGTATCTCCAGCCATCGGCAACCCGAGGCTTGTGTGCTTCCCTCAAACACACACGCTCACACACGGACACACACACACACACACGCATTCACTAGTAGGAGAGGAGAGGATGGATGGAGGAAGAAGAAGAAGAGAAATAGAGAAAGAGAGAAATCGGGGGGTCTCCGGATGCCAAGGCTGCTGCTGCAACTGAGAGCTGTCCAAGGTCCTTTCGCTTTGATTCCTCCTCCTCCTCCTCCTCTTCCTCCTCCAGTTTGAATTCTCCTCTATCTCCTCCCTCATCCATTCCTTTCTCCTCTCCTTCTCTCTGTCTCTCCTTTATATCTCCTCTCCTTCCTTTTTTATCCAAACACTCGGATGTGCAGAGCCCGTGTGATCACTGGGAGCTGTGCATCGATGCGTTTTGTTGTCAGTGCACTCTCTCTCTCTCTCTCTCCCTCCCCCTCCCCTCCCTGTTTCTCTCTCCTCTCTCTCTCTCTCTCTCTCTCTCTCTCTCTGTATTATATCCCCTGGTCCGTGCTGTGTCTCCGTGTATAGTGAAGCTCTGCCTCTCTGCAGCCGCTCCAAAGCTCTGGGTGAGGAGAGAGCAAGGCTGTAAACTGCTGGCAATAAATAGAGAGCAGGGAGGGATCTTATTGGAGAAGGCGAACCTCGTCATCAACCAATCGGCATCTCGCTCATATAGGGACCCCCCTTTTTGAAAAAAAAAAAAGAAAGAAAGAAAATAGACAGGGCTAACCAAATTGTGATCTATACGAGAGAAAGAGTAGACTTATGTTGGGAAATGAGGATGTGATGATTTGTTGATTTCTCGTCTTTTCTCGGTTTTTGCAGCTATGCTCCAAAGAGGCTTTTTTTATCATTGTGATGACAAGAATAATAAACAAGATATCAGGGAGCGAGAATGAGACATTTTTCACATGATCAGAAGTAACGCCCCCTTTCCTTTCCTCTCATTTCCTCGCACGACAGCTGCAACAACATCCAAAAAACGGAGGGATGCAAATGCAAACATTTCGGGAACACGTCTCCCAGACCCTTTCACATCGCATCACAACATTAGCAAGAAGCATCTGAGGCGACTCATGGTCACCTATAGAGTTCACCGGAGGGTACCACTGCAAAAAAACACGCGGGGGTCTCCGGACTGCACACTCAGCCCGGAGGAGGGGAGGAGGGGAGGGGAGGAGGAAATATCAACAAGAAAAGACATCCACAAAACTGCGATTTTCTGCAGCAACTGCGATTATTTCAGACAAAACTGAGAGTCACATGAAGAGTTAAAGAGTTCATCATCATCATCATCATCAACATCATCATCACGACTGTAAACCACCCAACCTCACACACTCGGAGTTCAAACCATCTTTAATGTTTTTGTTGTTTTTTCAAAGTTAGATTCAAATAAATAAAAACTTACCTCTTTGTTTGTTTTTTTAAATCCTGTAAAAGTTCCGGTACTTTCTCAGAAGTCCTTTTTTAACAAACTCTAACCTCATTTTCTCATTTTTAAAAAACATTATCATCTCCTGAAAGTTCCTGGACCGAGTAAACCGGAGGCCGGGTCACGATCTGGATCTGGACCCTACTCTCTCTCTCTCTCTCCCTCTCTCTCTCTCTTTGCTCCCCCCTTGTTTGTATCAGGTTTGATCCCGAACCACCCCCCCTCCCCCTCCACTATCACTGATGAAACTCGTCTGCATTCAAGTTGGCTGCCAGCATGCGCGCAAGCAGCGGGACTCACGCTTTTAGGGGAGAAAGAAAGAAAGGAAGGAAGGAAGGAAGGGAAGAAGGAAGGAAGGAGGAGATTTTTCCAGGGGTGGTGATTAGTGCTGACCCGGGGTCTGAGCCCACTTTAGACCCGAGACCCCCCACCCTTTTTTCATCCCCTCTCCTCATTGCCCCCTCCTGCTGAGGGTATTTTTATTGGGTGGTCTTTTCATTTGCAACCCAGTCAGTCACGATTCTCCCCCACCGTCTGCACCGCACAGTGACTGCCTCTCCTGACGCAGCCAACGCGCACATTACTCACTTTAGCAGTCACGACTCGGGAATCCGCGCTGTTTCCACCGAAATTACCCGCCGCTTTGAAATAACTGATCAATATTTGGCATTTTCGAGTCGATATTTGCGCGTTTTGACCGACGAAGGCCCACAGAGGGGGTGTTTTTTGGTGTTTTGGGGGGAGATGCTGGAGGAATGCATCGCAGGTGAGGTACAACCGGGATTTGCATGACAAAGACAAGTGGTCGATGTGGGTATTTGTCGTCCTCGTAGCCTGCAGTCATCACTCTGGGAAAATTTGACCGGTTTTTACGCGCAGACTGGGAGGATACTGAGCGCCTGTAGCCTGATCGGCGTCTCTCTGATCCGATCAGCCCCGATACCTTCAATCAAACAGGAGGGACTTTCTTGGAATAAAGAGCTAATAATAGAGCCGCTACGGTCCTTCACAGCCCTGAAGTTAGGCGCGCCTCTGAACTCCGACCCTGACTCTTTCACATACTTTTGATGCTCTCTCTCAAATTTATCGTTTCACCGATTCTGCTCGTTTTCACGCGCAGCCTTCCATCCCAAAGTCTGATCCCAGACGCTCCGGCTGCTGCCTCCCTCCCTCCCTTTCTCTGCCTATAGCATCCTTCGAGGCCACTCAAACTACACAGGCGGGAAAAAAAAGACTTCTTTTCGAGCCAAATGTGTCCCCCTCGGTGGGCGCAGGCGGTTTTTAAGGAGGCGGGGGTGCTTCACTTCTCCTCCAACGTCGCTTCAGGAAGGAGGATTCACTCAGAATAGAAGCTGCTGGTGTCCAAACAGGAGTAAATAGAGCTGCTTTTGGCTGCCAAGAACAACACCAGCCACCCCCAACACACACATGCATGCTCACAAACACACACAGGCACACACACACACAAACACACGAGCACCAGCAACAGCCCACTACCGCCACTTGGTGTGGTTTCAGCACCATTGCTGCTGGACAGCTCCCGGGTTTCCCCATGCGGTGCGCCTGGTCTCTGCTGCAGCAACAGCTCCTTCACTCCCTCCTCCACCTCCTCCTCCACCTCCTCCTCCTCCACCGCCGCCTCTCTGCCAGCCTGACTCCTCTTAAAAAACGAGAAAAACGGAGGGAAAGGCGTCCTTAAAGCGGTCAACAGAGGAGGGTTCCCCTCGCTTTCGCGGTTTAGCAGCAAGAGGGGAGGGAAAGAAATAAATAAGTGATTGAGACTCAACAGCGCCAACAGACAAAGGGAGTTTTTGCACTTGCTTATTTACCAAAAGGGGTGATTCCTACTCTGCAGGAAGGGTTCGGTTTTTACAGCATGCCACTAAAATATCCATGCCTACGACAGGGAGCCCTGTGTGTGTTGACACTGGAGAGAGCATGCACCACCAAATAAACCAAAAAACTCCACAGAATGACAACCTCACATGCACAATAGTCTCACTCACCATGGTGCAGACTCATCCTGGATCTAAACTGGAGCAAGAGAGAGAAAGAGAGGAAGAGAGAGAGAGAGGGTGAGAGTTTAGTAGGAAGAAGCTGAGAGAGAGAGATGCAACAGATTAAGTCCAGCATGAGTTATTATGTAGGCTTACAGTGGCATGTCCAAGTTTTTTGCTCAGGATCGCCTCCCTTTTTATAACAAGTGATACCCGTCTGTCTATTTCTGGCGCGCGATCAAAACTATGATGCTATTTTTAGGTCACAGTGGACGTGGACGGGGAGGAGGAGAAAAAAAAACACTCACAAAAGCCATCGCTTAGAAACGTTACGTGAAGTGCATGTCATCTAAATTACTTTTGCCTCTCCAACTCTGCACAAGAGCCACGATTCCTCCTCTTCTTCTCCTTCTTCTTCTTCTCCGTTGCATCATTGCAGTGATTTTTTTTTTTTGGACCCTATGTGCCTCCAACACCTCCACCACCTCCTCCTCTTCTCCTCCTAAAAACACATTTTCTTTCACTCTCAGTAACTCAAATCTGGAGTCTGTCGCTGCATCGACAATATCTGATGTCTTCTTCTTCTTGTCGTCCCGGAGCCAAAAAGAAAAAAAAAACTCGTGAATGCAAAAAATAAATAGGTCCAAATTTGTGCTGAAGGAGGATAAAACGCAGAGGAGAGAGGAGAGGAGAGAGTTTGTGTTTTCTTAGAGTCGACTGAGCTCTCTGTAAATTTAGTAATAAAGGTTTGCTGACGAGAAGAAGAAAAAAAATAAAAAATAAAATCGTTTTTTTTTTTTTTTGAAGGGCTGCGTCAGTTACTAGGCATTGACGTCACGTTCAGATTCTCTCACTTTACAGACCGTACAGCCTCTATGTCTCTCTCTCTCTCTGTAAAAAAATATATGGGGGACAAAATAGGAAAATATTACAGGTGGTTAATGTGATGTGGACTCGCGTGGAAAGAGTGCAGCAGCTTTGGAGAAGGTTATCTCCATGGTAAAAAAAAAAAAATCCTCTAATGCTGGAGCATCTGGGTTTCCATCCAGTCTCCCCCTCCCTCCCTCTCTCTCTCCCTCTCTCCCTCCCTCCTCTCTCTGTCTCGCGTTGGTGCTGTTTTGGTCTTGAAGAATTTTTATCCCAACATCCAGAGCATTTGGCGGGTAAAACGCTAAATCTGGAAACCTCTTCCTCCCCAGACCCCCCATTTTACGCACGGAATAGACCCACACCTCTCTCTCCCCAACACCTTTCACTGTGAGACCACGCTCCACACACGCCATCTGCACTCATGCCGCGTGGAGATTCACGAGACTTTACGACATGGGATGGGGTGGGTCAGATGTGGAGGTGGTGGTGGGAGCGCACTCAGATACCTCGAAAAGTCAGCTCTGAGGAGGGAGAAGAAGGGCTGCGCCCGTCGCATCGGTTTGTGCTATTTTTATCCCTGCCTGTAGGCCAACTGTATGTCCGTGACTGCTGGCGAGAGCATGTATGGGAACAGACACACACACACACACACTTTCACACACACAGTGGAAACAAACACAGGGGATCATAGTGGGGCACAAAATGATCAGAGGGGCCAACCTAAAGCTGAGGATAATTGGGAATCTATGAATGTTTGTCTTTTCCACCAAATCAAACCACATCAGAGAGACACATCTATACCTCACACACAGACCACGATCACGAGCAAACACACAAACACACAAACACACACACTCATGTTTTCATACATATATCCAACAATCAATCAAAGAGGGAGCACTATCAATGGGAGACGCAGACGAGGTTCCTCGGTGCAGTGCGCCAAGATCACCGCATGGTGTCGACAAACTCGACCACAGACTCCTCTCCTTCTGCTTTAGCAACCACCCCCCTCCCTCCCAAGTCTCACCCCCCTCCCCCCTCCTCTGAAAAAGTATGCACTCCTGAGTCCTGCAAGTTGCAAACCGCAGCAGACTTCTTCTTCTTCTTTGTCTGAATCCATCTCAGCAGAGCGACTCTCAGCGCATCCTGAATAAGTCAGGAGGCTGCACACTCTTCTCTTATATTAACAGATTAACCAATTAAAAGTGAAATTCCTCCAAACTTCCACTCGTAATAATCTCCAGTCTAGTATTTGTCTTAAAACACTTTTCTTTACACGGATTTATTTCTGCTGAATGAGTTTAAAGCTCTTTAAAAAACACCTGTTGTGCCAATTCTTCAAAGTACAACATGTAACCCCACAAAAGTACATTTTCTAACCATAAACCAACACGGTTTACACTCCTGACACACACAGGTAATTTAAAATTTGTGCCAAACTTGCGTAAAACAAACACAAAGGTGCTGTCCACGGTGCTGAACGGCTCAGCCTCTCCATCCCCAAACCAGCAGCAGCTTCCACAAATCACAGGTGAAGGTACAGAAAGTGCTCAGGAAGACAAGTGTGAGTGTTTTAAAGCTACAAAAAAAGACAACGACTCCATCCATGCAGGTCTGAGGGAGCAACACGTGTGGATTGACGCAAGTCCACTGCGCAAAGTTGTTGACAAGTTGACAACTAAATGCGCCTTGACTATCAGTTTTGTGGACAACAAATATTCATGATAGAAGAGCTGCTGTCACGCTCTCTGTGGCACGACCGAGAATAAATCACAGCTGATCACCACACAGACATATTTAGACAACCAGATCATGATGGTAGTACTCCAAAGTTTCCCCCCTCTCTCTCTCCGTCTCTTTCTTACTTGTTACCAGGCATCACGGCAGAGCAGGCAGCCTGGAGCAGAGCATCCCCAACACGTGAATCCTCCCACGCATTACTGCAGCCCGCTCTCTTTGAGTGTCTGCTAAATCCCCCCCGGATGTCAATAATCACACACACACAGGTACAAAAACAAAAAAAAACTAAAACCTGTGTGCAGCTCCGGAACTGTGCGTGAAGCCTGCTCCGATCGTTACCGGACATAGCAACTGCGTGCCAACAGCGGCATGCCCCGCGGTGAAGGCAGAGGAAAGTCTCCCTGTGAAGCACGCTGGAAAAACGCTCAAGTGATAGATGAGGAATCCACCGTGACAAGAGAAAGTCAGAACAACTGCTCGATCCGAGAGCCTCACATAATCTAGATCATTGTGTCAAAATGATGCATCCAGACTCCAAATGTTGGGCACCCTCACTCCCCGTCACTACATCCCTGCTCCTCCTCAGAGTGCTACTGCCCTAGTCTTCACATCAACCGGTAATCACCAAGTCCAAAAAATCCTCATCGTGATCTCACTGCAAACTTCACTCACGACTACATCACATATTCTGGGTCAGGATTCACAGCAGCCACAAAAGAAATCACTTACCTTTCAGATTGAGATTTTCTCTCTTTTTTTAACTCTGTTTTTGTGTGTGAGGAGGGTTTATGATGCAGGCTGAGACACAGAGGAGACACTGAGGAGACAGAGAGAGGGAAAGCAGGGCAGAGTACAGTCTGCGCTCCTGCGTCAGGATGGAGAAAGCAGGTCAGTCCGGTGTGCGTCGTCTCTGTTCTCCCGGAGACTCAAATATTTGGTGTTGTAGCCATTCAGGGCAGAGGGAGGCAGCTCATAAGGTGGGTCGGTTTGGGTGGTGGTGGTGGTGTTGTTGGGAGGGGTGATGGGGTTGGGAGTGGAAAGGTGGCGGTGGTTGGAGAGGAGGGAGGGGGGCACGCTGAGTTACAAATGTGAGCCAGCTGATAGAAAGAGCCCGCCAAATCAGGGGGACTTTACGCAATTGGGGAGGCGCGCCACACGATTCACATCACACACACTCTTTATCTCCCTTACTGTGCGTGTGCGTGCGTGTGCGCGCATGTGTGCGTGTGTGTGTGTGTGTAAATGACTGCCAGACAGAGACGGAAAGCATGAATGGGACAGGAGAAGCACGACTGAGAGTCCGCGTCCGCGCTATTATCGGAGGGAGCGAATATGAACACAGAGACGTGCATAAAAATGGGAATTCTTGATTTAAAACAACAAAAACTAATCATGTCACAACACAGGGGAGGGTTTTGGTAAAGTGTCTCGTCGATGAGACCTGCAGCCTCTCTCTCTCTCTCTCTCTCTCCTCGATCCTCTTCTTCTTCTCCAGCAGTGTGCTATTGACCTGCATTGACGTCATTGCGTCATTAGGTTTCCCTTAGAAACACTGACTTTCAAAAATAGTATCAAATTAATTCAGCTGGCGAGGAGAGAGAGAGGGGTGGGGCTTAGATGAGCGTTTGGGGTTGGGGCGTTTGGGGTGAAGGGGGGTGCGTGGGTAGGTTTTGGGTGAGGAGTGGGAAGATCGCATGTTTTATTTGGAGATTTTTTTACCCCGTCCTCTTAACAATCCTTTAAAAAATCTCTGTGCACGACCACCATCTCTGAGCCGACAGGGGTGGAGATCTGGAGCAGACACGTCGATATCTGAAAATATCTCAGATTTGTTTTTTAAATCTACAAATATATTATTATTCTATGAAAAAACAACACGGGGGAAGTGAGAGAGAGCTTACACAATTTCAATAATGTAAAAAAAAAAAAACACACTTGTAAAGCGTTTGTCATCATCAGGTCTAAATCTGTTCGTGTCTGTCGGTTACTGCCTCTATTACTCTCAGTCTAAAAATAACCTCATGTAGCCTCCTGTAGATGTTGACTCCACAGAAATAAAGAGGTTTGGATGTTTGGTAACTCAGAGGTGGAAAGTTTGTTGGATTCAGATGAGGACGAAGGTTTAGGTGAGCTGTCCATGGTGCTGAAATCAAATCTTTATTATTCTTTTCTTTTAATGTTCTAAACTATCAGCCTTAAACCTTTACATTAGTGTTTGACAGTGTGTCTTTATTCGTCCCTCTCGTGTTCAGTTTCAAAATCATACGTTACCTATCCTGCCAACTTTTTCCTACAATTCCCATAATTCCTTCTCCTACCCACAGGAACCGTTTCCTCAGACGTCACGCTCAGTGCTGTGAGCTGAAACACAGTTGGACTGATTTTCCCCTCTGTTAGTAATGTGGGACCAAAGCTAGTATTGAAACAGAGATTGTAAGTTTTTGTTTTGTCTTTATACAGGGAAAATTTTACATCCAATAATCAATCGTTTAGGAAATAAATTATATTATTGTTCGAAACATTAAAAGGACTGACAAAAGGACTTAACCCATCTGCAAAGCCTTAAAAATATGTCCTTTTTATATGTTACATGTTATCTGCAGACATACCCGTTTCTACTCGTAACTGTTTTTCCTGCGTATCATACATTCATAACTGTTGAATGAAGAAAGAATGAGAATAAAGTAGTTGTTGTTAGGGAGTATTGTTGTATTTAGGTCATGAGAGGGATACAAAAGGAGACTCTGACAATCATTATTATTCACAACTTCTCAATCAATAAGCACCAGCTTGGGTAACTGATCTGCAAGAACCCTAATTTCAACATAAAACGACATAATTAGTTTACCAATGTGCTAATGCTGGATCACAGCTTTCTGTGGCATTCAACCGCTACCACTTTTTGTTATAATTAAAGCTAACTTTGGTACGATACAATACGACAGGATACCATGGGATGAGATATGTTACAATACAATACGATCTGAAACAACGTGATACGATATGATAAATACATTACATTACGTAACAATATGATACAAAATGTTACGATACGATATAATACAATGCAATACGACATATGTTACGAAACAATACAAGATGTTACATCACAATATGATACTATACGATACAATACGATATGTTACGATACGATATGTTAGGATACGACATGTTACGATAGGATATGATACCATATGATTTGATATATGTTACAATATGATAGTATACGATACAATACAAAACAATACGCTACGATACGTCACGTCACGTTACGATACGTCACGTTACGATATGTCACGTTACGATATGTCACGTTATATGATACGACGCGATGCGATATATGTTACGATACGATACAATAAGATGCAATACGATATATGATACGTTACAATACAATTTAATGCATTACGTTATATGATACGATATGCTACTATGCAATACAATACAATAAGTTATGTTATGATACGATATATTACGATAGAATATTATACAATTTGATATATGTTACTATATGATAGGATACGATACAATACAAAACAATATGATACGATACGTCACGTTATGATATGATATGTGATGCGATATGATATGTTACGATACGATACAATACGATATGCTATGTTACAATATGATATGATATGTTACGATTCCATATGATACGATATGTTACAATACAATACAACACAATATGATGCATTGCATTGCATTGCATTGCGTTGCATTGTGTTACAACACAATTTGATATGATACAATGTTAGGATACAATATGTTATTACAGGAAATATCATGATACGATATTTTACGATACGATATATTATGATACAATATGTTACGATACGATTCAATACGATAGTAAACAATATGATACTATCATACACAAGATCATACACAATGCCAAAGGCTTGAAAACTTACCTTGAACTTTGACTGAGGGGGAACAAATAGGTTTCTTAAATGGTTTGGTATAAATTTAGGGACTGTTGTTAATAGTTAAGAGTGTACAAACTTAATTTCTCTATAAGTTGATCTGAGGTGAGCTAAGAAGTCTAACTAATGACTAGTTAAGTCCTGCCCTGTTGTACTCTGTGTCTCCATCACTGTAAGCTCTCAGCTCTCCCTAACACCATCTCTGCCTTTAGATTGACTGAGTCAGCTGTTGGCTGACAGTAACTTACAGGTTGATCTAATGTTTATAAAACCTTAAATCAGCTGAGAAAGGTGTCTGTGTGAATGTTGCCTCAGCTTCTCTGCTCTCTTTCCCTTCCCTCTTCATCTTCCCTCGTTGGAAAAGTTGGCTTGTTTATCAGCTTAACTGGTTTTTGAACTTTTGCCTTGTCATTGACTGCGAGCAAATGTGAACGTTTGAACTACCTGCCTGTCTCTGAGTCGTGCGTCTGGGTTCAAGACTGTGTCTCTGCAGAGCCATTACACTGTGTTGTTAAAGCAATTATTTGAAAAAATGTTCTGAGGAGTGGCCTCTGTAAAACTCTGTTACTGCTATTATTTTGACAGGCCTCTGACTCATTTGCTGCCCAGGAAAATATCGTGACTGCTAATTGATAATGTGCATGACGGAGCAAAAGCGGCAATACATCCACCAGAAACACTACAAACTGCAATTTGCACGTCTTTTCCACAAACCAGGGGGGATCTTTTCGAATAAATACATGATTTAACGAAGTCGTGCATCTCTAAACGAGGAGGATTTTAAAGGGTAAGAACAGAGGGAATCATCATCTTTAGTTAAGAAACTGATCTGATTATGGCAAATGTGAATTTCAAACCTATAAAATTTAGTGAGCAGCTTGACAGGCACACACTTAAAGGAGTTATTTAAGAGAAAAGAGAAGGAAATTGACAGTAAGCTCATCAAATCCATTGATGGTTTGAATTTAAAGAGAAAAAGACGAGGTATGGCTGCTCTGGAGGAGACTTAAAGACCCACTCTGGTCTTTCACCCACTCTGAAAATCATGGTTTTCTTGTCGTCTACATCTTCATATGTTTATTTTTCTGACCCTACAGGACATATCATGAGAAAACTAAGCGTGAAATTGCATTTCTGAGTATTTCTGCATTCAAATCTCTGTGAGATTTCCTATGTCACAAATCCAAGCTCCGCCCCCAGAGCCCCACTATGCAGGCCACACTCGAGTAAATACAGAGGATGATCGCGTAACAAGCGTGTATGTTAGCGGATTGCAAGCTCATAATAAAGCTAATTATATTAACTTTCATCATGCCCCTAAAGATTAGTGTCTGAGAGCTGAATAGCTCCTATGTTAGCTGCTACTTCTACTACATTGGCAATGTTAGGCTACAAGCTAACATGAAGAGGAGCGTGCAGAGCAGCACTGTCTCCACCCATGACTTACCCACAATTTCCGCTGCATCCGGAACGTCTGCGAAAAGGCCGTATGCGCCGATTGCCACTGATTGTTTCCATTCAAGTTCATGTGTCAAATTCCACCGGCTTCTTCGGCCTGCTGCGGTTCAGCGGACTCCACAGACGATCGCAAGAGTTCTATTTTGACGGATGCCGCAGCATGCCGCATAAATTCAACACATATCAACCCGTGCTGGAAAGAAAGTCGAGCACAGACTCAAAATAAAACATCCGTCTTCTTTTCAAAATAAAACACTCCGTGTTTCAGGAGGATCGTATTACACACCATGCAAACATGGGCGGGATAAACGAGTGAAAGCTTTTCAGACTTCATTTCACCCCGATGACACCATGGATGAGGAGATGCTGATTCTAGATGTCTAGATGTAGATTTCCTCCTCTGGAAGGACACAATCTACTGCATATATGATTATGTGTCTGTCTTTATAGAGACAACTTGTTTTTGCGCGATTGCACATGAATCCACAGGTTCTTGTGAGTTCTCACGATCTCTGCTGTCCGAAATCCACCACAAAATTCGCCTCACAAACGCATCTCGTAGAAATAGGCAGAGGGCAAAACTTGATGCCGTTCCGTAGCAGAGCCGATCCGAATACGGTGGAAATTGGGGGTCAGAGGTGAATTGAAGAAAAGTCCTTGAAAATGACACAGGCAACGTGATTTTGGCTAAAATCTTCATAATCACAATTTAAAGACGGCTAAGAACACTTTAACTAGTAAAATAAAACGATAGGAGTGGGACTTTAATACAGAATTTACAGGTTTAAGGAGCCGACTGGTCAGTGATTCACCCGTCCTGTTACTGTGTTTAAACTGAAGCATCTGGAGGGAGGACTTTTACAGATGCTGGGGGGGATTTTAACTCCATCAGAAAACGATTTCAATTTAAAAATCTGCAAACTTAGTCAGCAGCATAAACACTTTAGGTCATGACGACAACTTTTAGTCATCAAGTTAACATCCCTGTCCAAAGAAGAGCAGATAAATGAGATCTCTCTCCCTGTTTCCTGTCCCACCTGCTCAAAATAAAAGCCTCAATAGAAAGGAGATGTGGATGTTTTCAGATGGTCTGTTTCCTGTCCGCTCGCTTCTGAATATTCAAAGTGTCTGCTTTAAAACCTTGACCAACCTACTTTACTCACCAGGGGGATTATTTTTAGAGGAGTAACGTTGTGTTTCTTTGTTCGATATCCAAGGAGAGGAGAAAAAATAGTGATGAAGAAAAAGAAAAAGAAGATAAATACAAAGAGGGAGGGGGGAGCCACAAGCTGAGAGACTGTGGCAAAAATACTTCACCATTAGGACTGAATTAGACCTTATGATTCATCCTCTTGAATTGAGAAACACATTTCAAATGTCGTAGGATGTTCTATCTCACGTCTGGTAGCAATTTAGCACTACACCTTTCAGGTTTGTTCGCAGTGAGGATTGTGTGCCAAACAGACACAAAAAAAGGGTGTGAGTGTTTCTTTTTTTTTTGGAGGAGGAGGAGGAGGAGGTGGAGTGTATGATTAACAGCAGAGAAGAAAGACGTGAATGTACCACTAACCTGCTCCGATTTCTGGGATTTGAAGGTAGACGCTCCAACCGTTGGGTGTCTATCCAAGCACCTGGCCTTGAAACATCTTGAAGCACCCTTGAGCGAGTCCTGGAGTCTGGAGGAGTTTGTGCAGTTGCCGCTGACCTCTGTGGATGAAGGTAAAAACAAGAGTCATCATAGAGAAATCAATACGGGGATCACGATATATTGGGAAAAAGGTGGGATAACAACAAAAACAAGTGTACAAGTGTTGTTGCAGGTACAAGCTGTGGGAGTGGGAGTCAGAGGCGTGTGATCGCAGCAGAAAAAAAAAAAAAAAAAAAGGCGGGGGGACCCACATGGGGAGAAATGTATCATAGAGGACGTCATCAGCACCAATGGAAGTCACGCAGCATTCAGGGGTCAGTGCCAAAGCTGACGACAGAGTACGAGCGACAGAGAGAGATCCTGGGTGTGACTAAGACACTCTGACCATGGAAAAACAGTGTGTGTCCTCCTTCCCTCTTCCATCATAACACAAACACGCGAGTCAGACGCCGGCCTGAGCGGAAACCTTCGCCTTGATAACGATATGAAAATGTTTTCTCTTCCAAAACACAGACAAACCGTTTTTAGTTTTAACGCACGTCATGTCAATACCAGAAGACACACATCGTTTCCACTTGGATTTCAGCTCCTGTGTGTGTGTATTTGTGTAAGTGTGTGTTCATTGTATACACACACGTCCTTTTAATTTGTTTGATGTCCCCTCCCATCTGCCTCGTGGGTTTCCATCCCCACTCACAGGCTGCGTCTTTCTAGGAAACAGTGGGTGTTTTGGTCTGATGTTTACCGTCGGGCCCCGGTCGAGCATACACACTAAAAACACAAAGATGACAGTCACGTAGGTACATAACCTCGACATCTACACACCTCTGACCTTAGAGCGGTTCAGGACGAGAAGTAGGACACAGAGAGAAACCCAAAAATGTCTGAATTTATCTTAAATCGTCCATAAAGATCACGCCCTGATTGTTATTTTAAAAAACTTCATTACTGTCCACCAAAGTCTACTAAGTCCTATAATTATGGTGAAGAAAGTTAAATATCTTACATGTTAATATATACCAGGTCTGACAAATATCTGATAAACTGTTTTAAGCTCTTTGTCTTTTCTGAGTTAAGGGTTTTGAGTTCGTGGATCTGTGAGGGGTCATCTGGCTTCTTCCTGTCCGCTCTGAATCCCATTAATCATGAAATAAAAAAGGACAAATCTAATAAAAACCTGATCCTGAATCAAGAGGAGCCCTCAGGTGCTCTGGAGGGAACTGTTTTTGTGTACAGACGGATGGCCGGACAGGTTTTGTTTGAATTTCAGGTCCAGATTAAGGAACCCTGTGCACTCTCCTCCTCCCTCCCCTCCCCCTATTTATTTTTCCATCTCTCCTGCCTAAATGATGTCAATGGAAGCAGAGCTATTGTGCTATTTATAGACACACACCCCCCCTACCTCCCTCCACACACACACACACACACTCTACACTGCCTATCCTATCTACACACAACACTAACCATCCTTGGCATCACATGCTCGGCTGGGAGCTCTGCTGCTGCTGCTGCTGCTGCACACAATAAACCACCTCAAGAGAAGAATCCGCATGAATCGGGCCTGAATATTTATGAACGGCTTCGTCACATGTGCTCCATGCGGGCACACGCATGCGCACGCCCCGCTCGCACCCCTCCTCCTCCCCGGTTTAATATGTGCGCGTGTGTACTGTATGTGTTTGCTCTCCATGCCTGGTTACTGCGCGTGGAGCCGTACTTCCCTCTGCAGGAGGAGGAAAAAACACGAGAGAGAGAGAGAGAAACCCCATTGAGAGGGACACGAGCTCCTTCCTTCCTTCATTCATTCACTCACTCACTCAAGCAGTCATTCATTCATTCATCACTTTCCCTCTCACTCATTCATACAATTCCTCCTACAGACTTTGTGAATGGAGGACAAACGGGATGAATGTGGGAAGCCACCTGCTCTGTTTATACACTGTTTTTGTTTTTTCTCTCTGCACAGTTGGACTCACTGAGTTCTGTGTGTGTGTGCGTGTGTGTGTGTGTGTGTGTGTGGCGGTGGGTGGAAAGAATAAGTCTAAGGGGACAGTAGTGTACACAGTGTTCCCTGGGTATGAGTTTTGGGAGCTCTATAGACCAAATTACACCCCCCATCCCCCCTTTCTCTCTCTCTCTCTCTCTCTGCCTCTCTTTCTCTCTCCACGACTCATTCTGTCTCTTGACATTCACATGCTATATTACGTAACACAGTTGTGGTTGGTTGGTGGGGGGGGGGGGGGGGTGAAAGCTAGAGGAGTGGTTTGGGGGATGAGGAGGGGGGGTTAAGTCTTCTTTCATCAGAAATAAACCCACGGTTTGCTGCACAGGCGTCTTTGATTGAGAGAAACTCATGGAGTCGTGTTTTTTTTTTTTTTTTTTTTTAGACCGTCTTCTATTTCTGAAAGGCGGCCGTGATATAAATACCCCCCACCTCCCCCTCCTGAAAACCACCATCCACCCCCATCACACTTGGATTCAGAGAAACTGAAGGGAATCGTGTTTAAAGTCATCATGTTGATTCCTAAAATCCCAGATTTTAAAGCTCCAGTTTGTGTCTCCTTACATCCGTCGCCTTCAAAGATGTTTTTGGGCATACATTTTCTAATATTGGATTTTAATTTAATATCCAGCAACAGGAGGAGAGTATCTTCTTAATATTTATAGCTTTTTACTGTGTACATTCACGGCGGTCACACGTGCAGCAGCCGCTTCCCTGCACTCCTGCTGAAGTTGACATGTTAACACTCACTGGCTGCTATATTTAGCCCAGCCTCACAGTGCTGTTACTATTCCCAGCATTGTACATGAGGGGGCAGACGGTGCAGTGTGTGTTTTTTTCTTTTTTTTTTTGTTAAATAAAACGGTAAGTAAAAGTTCGGGCTGTCACGACTGATCTGATTACATTTGTTCGGTTTAATCTGCGGCGGATACTCCGGTGGTTCTGGGACGCGTCAGTTAGAGTACACTTGAGTCACAGAGTGAAGGGCGGCGGAGAGAGAGACGGGATTTGTGATGATTAATTCGCCAAACTGAGATAGCTGGATAACGCTGGACGCATCCATCCTTGTGTAGAGCAATGACCTTTGACCTCTGAGTTGAGTTTAAAAAAAGACAGTAGCTTCTCATGTGTTGATATTAATCTGGAGGTATTTACGGTTAAACCTTACGCAGTAGAGTTTGGAGAGTTTCTCTCTTTGGACACAAAACAGTTGCTGCTGTTTGATGGGGTTAATCTAGATGTATTTAAGGTAGATTCTGCACTTGTTAAAGGGACATTCCGGTGTAAATTTAAGTTGGTGTTATGTTATGTTATTGACCCTGAGTTAGACACCCCCTCCAGAGATAAATGTTGCCGACCGCTTGCTTCTCTAGTTATACCAACTTTAGTAACGACCTCATGATAGCAATACACAGCGGTCTGAGAAGCCATAAACAAACCTCAACCAAAACGCCACTCTATAGCCACCAATAATGCTCAGAACAGCACCTAACTTCATCAACAGGACATATAGGGTCACAGACATAGTACTAGACACCAAACATCTTTTTAACTTTGACTCATTTCTTTAGCAAAGAGACTAAACACAACTCACCTACTCTCTTCCAGCAGCTGCTTGTTTGTAGTGAGACCTCAGGCCAGTTCATCATCGACTACGGCGGGGTGATGCAGCTGAAGGAAGAACATTTATGATCACAGACGCGGTAGTTCTTCTGTCTTAGCTTCTCGGTCTGATTGTATTTCCATGAAGAAAATATCATAAATGTTCTTCTTTGAGCTGCGAAACGCCGCTGCACTCGCTGGACTCGCCCGGAGGTCTCCGTACAAGCAAACAGCTGCTGGAAGAGAGTAGGTGAGTTGTGTTTAGTCTCTTTGCTAAAGAAATTCGTCAAAGTTAAAAAGATGTTTGGTGTCTAGTACTATGGCTGTGACCCTATATGTCCTGTTGATGAAGTTAGGTGCTGTTCTGAGCATTATTTGTGGCTATAGAGTGGCGTTTTGGTTGAGGGCGTGTCTCCCTGTATTGCTATCCTGCGGTCGTTACTAAAGTTGGTATAACTAGAGAAGCAAGCGGTCGACAACATTCATCTCTGGATGGGGTGTCTAACTCAGTGTTACAGTGTTTGACCATGACTTAATTTTACGCCGGAATATCCCTTTAAGAAGCCTCTTTCGGTCTAGAATTTCTTTCAGCACCATAGACAGCTCCCACCAGACCCAAGAGTCAGACACACCCGCATTTTAATCCTGGAAAATAGAGGTCAAGAAGGGATGCTGCAGGTGTGTTTAAGGTAAGTTCTGCCCTGGTTAAGAAGACCTAAAGGTGTTTCAGCGCCACGGACAGCCCCGATCAGAACCCAGAGGTCCATATGACGCTAAAATTTCTTTTTCTTCGCAACTTCTACTAGAAGTAGTGGTCATGATGTGACGGGAGGGATGCAAGGAAAGATTCACGACCCGCTGTAAGTCAGGGTACCGGTTCTGGACTGTGGCTTTTCATCATTAACAGAAGGGACCATTTAGAACAAATACCTGACCATACTGAAGCTTAATATTGACAGATTTTAACCACACTTGGATTATCTAGTCTCATCTGGTTATATATGAACTCTAATTCCTCAGTTTGTTACATTTGGCAGCTGGTTAAGAAAATATTTTGGATTATAAACATTTGATTTATTACTTTCTGATCCCATTATATTTACCTGATGGTGTGTCATCTCACTAAAGGAATGAATTTATTTAATGCCAATATGTTTGCCCAGTATACCTGGGTGGCATTTCAGAGAGCAACTGAAGTACTCAACTCCCACTAATGTTTTGTGGCTGTGACCCTATATGTCCTGTTGATGAAGTTAGGTGCTGTTCTGAGCATTATTTGTGGCTATAGAGTGGCGTTTTGGTTGAGTGTGTGGCTCTCTGTATTGCTATCTGCGGTCGTTACTAAAGTTGGGAGAAGCAAGCGGTCGGCAACATTCATCTCTTTTGAGGGGGTGTCTAAGTCGTTACGGTGTGTTTGACCCTAAATTAATTTTACGCTGGAATATCCCTTTAAACAAGCTTCAGATTACCTGGACATTTCTTTAAATGTTTGTTTTCCTCAATAAAACAGCAGCACTCACCAACAGTAAAGTTTGACTTTAACCTGAAGCGACATTAAACTCTTATTCTGCTCAGAAACAACCTTTAAACCCAACTTTGGAAACTTAAACTGTGAAAACAGACACCCATTCATGCATGTGTAGACCTCCCCTCAGAATAAAGACCTGATTTTGTCCTGAAGACCCCCCTCCTCTCTTTTAAAGGTTGATAATAAAGTGAGGAAAACCCATTGACTTCCACCAAGTGTTTCAGGACTATTGATTTACCTTCTTTACCTTCTTTACTTGTGCTGCTCTCACATGGACTCGTACAGTCGCTCCTTCCTCCTCTCTTTCTCTCACTAAGGGTCGTCTTCGCTTTCTCTCCCGCTGCTGCCGCCCACTCCTCCTCCTCCACCACTTGATTATTTTCAGCTCCGCCGTGTGTGTGTGTGTGTGTGTGTTGTGTGTGTGTGTGTGTGTGTGTGTGTGTGTGTGTGTGTGTGTGTGTGTTAGCGTGCGTGTGTGTTTCAGTGTGAATGCATGTGCCAGGCATTGGCTGGCTGACTGGCTTGTTGGTTGGCTGGCTGGCTGGCGGGCTGGTTTGGGAAATACCTGGTCACGATCAATGACGAGAGGAATTATTTCGGTTGCATAGCGCTCCCTACTGTCCTGAAACGAGAACTGAAGCTTAGACCTTAAACGCACCATGATGCCTGTGCCAAAATATGAACATTATCTCTGTGAAAAATGGGAAAAATTCAGAATTAAATCATTAAAATACACAGAAAAACTGATGCAGGAAGAGATTGTGCAACAAAAGTGAATTTTCAGTGCATTACAGAGGGTGTTAGGATTGTTACACACACAAATATACACTAAAAAGCACTAATATATAAGCTTAAATTCAAGTAAAATTAGTATCATATGAGCTACAAACAATTTCAATACCTATCCAGCACAGTATTGAAAAGTATCTGACAAAAACAGGCAGTTTATCTCTAAATATTATCACTTTGTTTAGATAAACAGATTAATTTTCTATTATTTTGCTTGTTTGTTCCTCCAAACACTTTTTTAAACCCGAGCAGGAAAACAAAGAGAGACAAAAAGACATCATGAAAGCTTTAAGTGACTCTTTCGCTCAGGATAAAAATAGATCCGGTTGCTTTGCGAGGAAAACCCTGGTCTGGATCGCCCCCTACAGGGGGGACACTGTCAAAACAGGGACCTATAAATGGATGGAAATCCTTTATCTGTTATTTACTGCAATAGAAGAAAACAAATATTCAATAGTGTGGACTTTAAACTGATGAAACTTTCAGGTTATTCAGTTTTGTGTTTTCTTTTTGGGCTGCTATTATTTCTGCGGTTTTTCCAACATTAAACCTAAAATCTACAGTAATTTGCTGCCAGTTAATGTTTTTCTCATATTAAATATCAGCACTTTGTCAGTCTGAAGCGGGTTTTTCAAAATAAAAGCCTCACAGGACAGACGCCAATGCTTCTTGTTGGATTTGTTCCTTTTCATTGATGCAGTTTTCACAGAAATGGTTAAAGAAGGCTGAGTTTTCTCTCTGAGCATCACTGCCACAGTCGATTCAGAAAAACTGAGTCTGAGCGCCCCTCTTCCTCCAGAGCATCCACCCACCCACACACACACACACACAGACACACACGTGTCTCCACATGCAGATCTGAAACACCCACTGAGAGCGCCCTTTCTCTCCCTCTGAGTGAGTCTCTTCTGTCTTTAGGAGAAGCTGCTTTTAGACCTTTTTCTGTGTCTGTTCTGTATGAAAATCATGAATAAGATTTAACTCTCCTCCCCTCACAAGCAGAAGGCAAATGTTTTTTTTAATCACGTTATTTAAGGTGTGCAGTCTGCTAAAAAGAATTTAAAAAGAAGTGTAGTTTGGATTCACTTTGACTTTTTAGACTCTCTTTATTTGTCAGAGATTTAAACACATGTGAGACACCTGTAAACGCCCAAAAAGACAAAATCCAACTTAAAAATTTTTAATTTTAAGGTGGAGACTCTAGATTAGACTCGGATTATTTTTAGAAATAGCAGTTTAGACAGCTCTGTCTATGTAAGAGTTTACCTGAAGACCTGAGGACTTCATCTAATCTTCATGATTTTAACACCAAACTCAAAACGTACATTTTTACTAGGGCTGGAACGATCTGCTTTTCTCCCGATTAGATTCTTGTACAAGTTTTTGGATGCCGATTCCATTTCAGTTGCAACTCTACGATATTGATGTGAAACAGTTCAATGATAATAATTGTCTACTGACTATTTCAGGAACCATATTTCCCCAAAAAATACACATCACATGTAAGTTAGTTTTTCTGATTTATTCTTTAATTTGAAAGAAAAAAAAATCGTTTAAAGAATTGCCAAACCAAAAAATTGCGATACTTTTGTGAATCGATTTTTTTCTCCCACCCCGACTTGTTAGTCTTTTTTTTAACTACATTTTATATCAACTTAACTTTAAGTGTTTTAGTATTTATCTCTTTCTAGTTTTAATGACAGGATCGTCTCTAATTGAGCTATTTTGGTGCTCTTATTTTAGTATCTTCTAATGTTGTTTTTATTTCATTTTATTCATTATTTAATTTGAAGTGATTTTATGTTTTTAGATTTTAACCTAAACCTCCAGAGTTTCCTTACCTTGAATTTTAAAACGGTGTTTCCTCTGTGCCCACATTCCTGTTTCTATAAAATCGAGCTCTTTTTAAGTTCATGCATTTTAATTCATGTTTCTGTTGTGTTTAGATCGTGGAGTGGGAATGAGGGGTTAGGCTGGGGTAGATGAAAAGTTCCATATAAATAAAGACTGATTGATTGAGAAAGAAAATATTCAACTCCATTTAAGCATTTTTGGCTGAAGCCTGATGAAAACGAATTAAAGCTGTTTGGGAATTTAAAGCCACAGGTCCGAGCAGAATTATTCTTATTTTAGGAAATTATGAACAGAGAAAGTAAATAAAATGCGACCCAAACACGGCAGAGACTATTTCTGACTGCATCAATTATTAAGAGCCAGACCCCCCCTCTCTTTTTCTACTTCAAAGCAGACACACCCACAACCCAGCACCCCAACACACAAACACCATTCATGCACGCTTACTGGACCAGGAGGAGGAGATGTTGATGCAGAGAAGACCTGAATGTGTTTGAGTGTGGAGTTTAGTCTACAGACGTCGATATAAGAGAGGTGAGGAAAGAGGGAAAAGGTTTCAACATGCAGGACAGATCATGGAGAGAGGACAGAGGGAGTCTCAGAGTGAAGCTCACGGCTTCATAAAACTCATGAAAAAGACCAAAGTTCTTACTTCCATACAAGTTTATGATAAAAATCCAATGAAACAACATCATTGATTCATACAAAGTAGCATAGTCATCCAATTCAACTTAAGCTCTAATAATAAAAAAAGAAAACAAGATTAAATAAAACGGTAGAAAGAAATGCATTCATCAACATGTTGCAATACAAAAGGATCTTTATCTTTTTCCTACAACGTTCTGACAAAAATATTCATCAGTGACAAGTTTGCAGTCTTTTTGTTCCACAAAAATACACAATAATAATATTTTTAAAAAATGAAGAGAGGGAGGAAAACAAAAACACTTAGATTTCCTTCTTTGAACTATTGCCTTGGCTGAGAGGGGGAGTCAATGTTAAAAAGTCTGAGTCTGGTGACTGAAGACAGGAAGCAGAAACCCACAGCGCCCTCCAAAACGGACTAATCAAAAACCCGGGTGTGTGTGTGAGTGTGTGTGACAGGAAGTGAACAGATGTGGAGACCAGTTTAAAAAAAAAAACAGAAGAAGAAGAGGAGGAGGAGGAGGTGACGAATAGTCCAAGATCTGAATGTGATGCAGTTTATGGAGAACAGGTACTGTGTGTGTTCGGCTCAGTAGATCCGGCCTCGGCTCCTGTTGCCTCGGGCTCCGAATCCTCGTCCTCGGCCTCCCCTGAACCCGCCGCGCTGCTCTGCAGTCCGAAAAGAAGAAATCTCGTAAATTCACTCGAATAATTCATCATTTATATCGGCATCACAGGACGGCGAATCCTGCTGCAACACAGACCAACATTTGGGAGGATGATGATGATGATGATGATGATGATGATGACGACGATGGACGAGGAAGTTCACAGTTCAAGAATATACAGTAAGTGTCGTAAAATAACCCGGATTCAGCGAAGTCCTGATCCTGATCTGGATTATAGAGCAGGAATCAATCAGGGAACTTCTCCGACTAATAAAGGACGGACAATTTCAGCCAATGTAGGACTGGGCGGTTATATGATCGTGATAAATTTCAGTTCGATCACGGTGATCAGCTTTGAGCAGATTTATTGATCAATATGCCGGAAATGTGCGTGACAGCCAATCAGAGTCGAGCTTTTCCTGTCTTGAGCAGTAAACTGAATGACCGAACGTGGAGCTGAGGTCAGCAAAATAGACGTCAGCCGTGACTTTGAGTCATCCTCCGAAGATGTTATTGTTGAGAAGTTATTCAGCGTCGGTTGTGTGGCGATGGTTCAGGTTTCTTCAAAGTGACGTCGAGTAATGAAGCCGATGTGTAAGGTATGTCAGCGGTCAGTGTCCTCACAAACCGTAAACACAACAAATCTGTTTAATCATTTAAAGAAGTTCTTCCTGATTCTGCAGAAAGCATGAAAATGTGGGCAGAGTTTGAACAGCCTGTTACCTGTTACTGCTGACGGTACGAGTAGTATTAGCAGTTTAGCCACAATTAGCGATGCAGCCACCAGACCAAAGTAATCAATCATATCATCTATGTTTACATCATCTAATGTTTACAGTTTAAGATGTCCTCATTATCCCTGAGGGGGAGATTTGTTTATTTGGGGCCTTGAATACCTGAAGAAACACTCAGGACTGTAAACTAGCTCACTGTATTATTTAATATTTATCTACATTTGTTGTTCTGATGAGTTAAAATGTTTTTTTATATATTTTTTTATGTTTATTTAATTAAATTTGCTTCATTATTTACTTTGTACGTTAATAAAATGTTGAACTAATCTCTAGTTTCTTTAGTTTTTGGTACAGATACTTTAAAACTGGCAGTTTAAAAAAAAAAATCGTGATAATAATCGAGATCGGACGATTTAACAAAATACTTTGTTTTCTTTTTTGATGCCAAATCGCCCAGTCCTTCGTCAATCATCTCACTGTGATCTTCATATCACCTGTTTATGTAAACACACATCTAAACTAAGAACCCTGACGCCCTGAAGAGTCACTGCTGTAACTTCTAAACATGATCCTGCGACTGAGTTTGGGGTGACCGTGCGTCCTCTTTTACTCAGACACGTCCTCTTTTTGAGGGCGGTCCTGGTAAGTTTATGAAATCCTTTAAATGTCCACAGTTTTGTACGTATGTTTTGAGTTTGTGTCGCATGGACTTACTGAGTTAGAAGTGCGTCAAAGACACTTGATGACCTAAAAAACTCTCAAAATTAACTTTGTGTCCTCTTTTTGGGAAGTCAGAATATGGTCAGGGTGATAGAAATCAAACATGAGCATGCTACAGGATAATAAAATCAGCTGTGACCGTGTGCTCCTCCTCACCGTAGTTAAAATTGCCGATGGTGGCGCTGTACTTGCCACTCGGGGGGTTGTAAATTTGCCGTGCGTCCCTCCTGTGCTGAGGAGAGATCTGTTTTTTTGTGCTGGCGCCAGGTCCCATCTCCTCTCCTGACGGACGCTTGGGTCTGCAAACGCAAAGACAACGGTGGGTGATTAACCTGAAGGAGACGCAGCTGCAGAGTGAGAGAGAGAGAGAGAGAGAGAGAGAGAGAGAGGGCGAACAAGAGAGAGCAAACTTACGCTACTGCCTCTGCCTTCTGGACGGGTTTCCAGGACAGAGTGACTGTGCTTTTGAAGGAGGGAGGGTTGTGGAAGAGATCCTGGAACAAAAACAAAAACATGAGACGAGAGAGAAACAAGAGTTTGAACTTTTTATTTACGATTCAGTTCAAAACGAAACAGAAAAGTTTGGAGAAAAGTCGGAGAAGCTGTGAAAACGAGAAAAACCTCAGCGGCTCACCTTGATGAGGACGTTGATGTTGTTTGTGATCTTGAGCGCCACAACTTTGATCTTGTTCTGGGAAAAAAACAAAAAGACAAGTTCGACTTTTACATGTTTGAATAAATAAAGGAGGACAAAACTATTACTGGTGGCTTCATGTGCTGGAGTTTGATTTAACGACGTTACCTCTTCTGTCTTCAGAGCGTCTCCTGTCTTGCCTTGCAGTGCGACTCGCAGCTGTCTGATGTAAACCTGCAGTCCTCTGGCAAAGTACTGTAACCTGTTCAAACAAAAAAATATAATTAAACCTCTGTACGTCAGCGAAATCATCTAACGCTCGTCCAGACTGACCCTCTCACCTGATCTTGAAGTCTTTGAGGCGCTCTGCGTCCACTTTGTCGATGAGGAAGTCCGGCAGTTTCTTGCCCAGCTGGTGGAAACCGAAGAGGAGACACTCCACGTAGCTGAACTGCAGTTTGGGCTCCTCGTTCGCTGGGTTCTCTCCGTTCTCGACCTCCTCTGGTGGCAGAGGCATGTACTCCTGCAAAAACATCAACAAACACTGAGTTAGAGACGAAAACTCAAACAACAGTAAGTTCTCTGCCGACTATGTGGAAGGAAACTGAGACTAAGAGGTAGCTTCAAGGTTCAGCCCCAGGATTTCCTCCTCTGGAAGGACAAAATCTACTGCTTATATGGTTATGAGGCTTCTTTATAGAGACAACTGGTTATCGTGCCATTGCACGAGAATTTGTGGGTTCTTGTGAGTTCTCGCGATTCCTGCTGTCCAAAATTCGCACGCAATTTGCCTCACAAACGCATCTGGTAGGATTTAGCAGATGCTGAAAATCGAGGAATTTGGGGGTAAAAGCACTTTGAGTGACTGGAGACAGCACCGCAGAAATACTGTCTATTTATTATTAAAATTAAATGGGTCACAGGGTGGTCTTACTAAAGCTGTTTCTACTTAAAGACATGATTTAAAGTTGACTCCAAATCTTGGGCGATGAAGAAAGCCCACCAAAGGAATTCAATGATCGAAACCTTTAAACTAAATCTGACCAGGAGAGTGAAGAAAGTCAACAAGCCGCAGTTTCCACAAAGGTTGGCGTCTAAAACACCAGTATAACCAGTCCACCAGTATTCAAACTAAGAGATGTATGCTGACCCAGAGAAACAGGAACATGGAATCAACCTCTGCTCCAGAAATCAAGTCCGAGCAGAAGAGTCTCAGCGCCTGATCTGTTTTTTTCTCACCTAATTAGTTTTGAAAATATGAAGGTCACGAAACTCGAGGCACAGCTGACTCCACCAACAGGTGGGAACGCCGTCGAGGTTTAAGAGGCGATGTCTGTCTCTTGTTTCAGTCGACCAGAAGAAAGTTTCAGTCGGCATTTCAGACAGAGCTTCTGCTGCTGCTGATCTAGACTTTTCTATCCCTGACAACATTTAACAGGTTCAGAGAATAGAGAATATAGACTTATATTCTGGGTTTAACGATACGATGTGAAGTAAGAAACCTGCTGAGGACAGCGGTGAAACCTCGGAGTAAAAGAGGACTGAAAAAACTGTGTGGAGAGTCAGTCTGGATTTAAAGGCGTCTTCTCTCTCTCTGGTTTCTCTCCGTCACTCAGGACTTCAGGTTCTCTTACCAGCAGCTTGGTGAACAGCATGTTGAGATTAGCCTCCAGCTTCTCCATGTCTCCACAGAACGGACTCATCTCCGCCAACAGCTTCAGCACCTACACACACAAACACGAGAGCACACACATTAACAGGAAGCTGAGCAGATCCCCTCACACACACACACACACACAAACACACAGTCTAATGTGTATTGCTAATGAGAAACAGTGTTGCATGGTGCAGACTAACGACCCGTTAACAACGTGCCGTTGGCTGACACCTCTGACAGGTGGCTGCCACGCTGACTTTGTTTACTACTACAGCCGCTCGCCAAATGTCAGACATTCGGAGCATCGACCTCACGCCGGCAGCCATGTTGGTCAGGAGGTGCTGAATCACGCCAAAGATTTAGATACGGGAACGACTTTTGGAGCCGAATTACAGAGTGAAAAAAAGGAACTGGTTTGTAGGATGGACAAAAAACCTGGAGCAGTCAAGGGTCTCGGCTTTGATCAGGATGAAATCAGAGGTTTTTTTCCACAGCGCTTTGTTGTTACAGCGGAAAACTAAATCTAACATCAATGATGCTTAAACTGTGGATGACTGACCCACATTTAAGAGAAATCTGCTCAGGAGGTGATAGGATCGTTTCATGCTGAAAGGCAACCTGGGAGATGTAGTCTACATCCTCAGTGAGGTCATTTTTATACAAAATAGTTTTTTGAAACGAATCAAATGCACGATCAGTTCCAGAAACGTCTTTTTAATTGATCGAGGATTGTTTACCTCACTGGAAGTCCCGAACATCAGCTAAGGAAAAAACTTTGCATGCCTAAAGTGACCCCTGCCGGCCTCCAGGTGAGACAGGTTTAATCTGAATTACTAAAGGTAGACTGACAGCACTGATATATTAACTCACCTCCAGCTGAATGTCGAGCTCAGCCACCGGACTCGTCAACACGCTGAGGTTTGGCAGGACGTGTTCGCAGAAGTACGTAACGAATCGTGTGGAATGGACATTTTTCTGAGAGGAAAGGAGAGAAAAAAACACGATTAATTTACACCCAGATTGTAAAACCAGGTCAGATCAATTTCCAAGTTTTAAAAAGTATGAAAAATGAAAATTAAAGTATGGAAAAATATTTCTTTCCAGACTATTACCACAGTTCTAATATAGAAAAGTAGGTATTCTATACAGTAGGGTATGAATACATACAGTAAACAGTTTAGAAACCCTGTATAACACCGTCTTTACTCTGTTTCAGGGTCGTACTCACTGAGAACAGCGGCAAAGCCTGACGCGTGCACTGAAGCAGGCGGTCGACAGTGTCCGGGTCGGCTGGGTTGAGAGCCTGCTCCAGGAACGCCTGCTCCACCACCAGCTCCACCAACTGCTGCCGCCCGTTCACCGTCTGCAGCACCCGCAGGCCTGACACCATGCGCATCAGCAGCACAAACTCCTCCCCCGTCACGTCCTCCAGAACCTGAAGAAACAGCATCAACAAATTTTTATAAAGTCATTAACATCCAGCAGATACTTCCCCATCTTTAGACTCCAACAATCTTTAAACATCACAGTCCTAGTCTATCAGATCTGGAAATGCAGCGTGATCTAAACTACCTCAATGTGAGCGTACCTTCTTTGTCTCGGTGAACACATAGTCCTCCACCTCCTTCGTCATGACCTCCTCTGGGAGAGACTTCAGTTTACCCGACAGAAACTTGATGGCTCTTTCCCTCACGATGTCTTCACCCTGCAGGATCTGAGAGAAGAGGCCTCCGAGAGTACCTGGACAGGAGGACACAGCAGAGAGAGGACATCTGTCAGTGTCAGTGGAAGTTCGCAAACTAGGAAAAGAAAGTAGGGACACTGGTCCAAATTTAACTGAGGAAAATACAAAGAGAGTTAAAGGACTGTTCAGTCATATTTCACACTCACTCACCTTTAGCATCGATCTTGAAGATAGAAATAAGAGCTGCATTCACTTGGTTGAACTCTGCTGTATCATCTGTTGGAGAACACAATGGGAATTACTCGAGAAGCCGCTCTTTGAGGATTTTTTAAAACCAGCATCATCATCATGTCAAATATCGAGAGATTATTTGTCACTTTCAAAGGGCGACAGTGAAGAAGAATCTGACCCCAGGATGAGATCTAAATCTGTGAAGTTTAGAGCTCAAAGGGTCTTTTTTTACCCGTCTGCAGGAGCTGGGTGAGAATATCGGCGACTCTGAAGATGTTCTCTCCTGTTGCAAACCGCGGGAGTTCCTTGATCGCCTGCCGCCGAATCTGAACAAAGAGAAGTTCGCGATTACTCAGAGGAAAGTCCATGTGGTTAAATTAAACGGTTGTGTCAGAAGAAACTCAACATCACTTCAGGAACAAAACAGAAATGACCATTTGAACCCATGTGATCTACGAGAGCAGGAAAATACTCACAGACACGTCCTCGTCTTCACAAAGGTCAAGCTGAGCGTTGATCGCTGCATCGGCCAGCTCCGGAAAGTTGCTGAAGAACTTGGGAATAAACTGTGCCGCCAGACGCTTCTCTTTCGGTCCGCCTTTCACGCCGTCCAAGATGACTTGGTATGCATCTTTGTGCTGCAGGACGACAAAAACAAACAAGAACAGATCAGTTCAAATCTGACAGACGCGCCACAGAGACATCCTGTTAGTGGAGTTTCACATCATGGTGGTGTTTGTAGAAGGGTCTAGACTGAACGTGACTTTGTTCCTGAACATTATCAAACACAGTAACCCGCCTATCTGAGGAGAGAATGATCACTGACCAAATCAGAGACCCACTACTCTGATTGATCAACATCAGTCAGTATCTATGTTTGTTGATCACTCTCTACCGTTATAGATCTGTACTGGAGTATTTCTGTGTCCCTGTCGTTTATTAAAACACACTATCTAAAAGGATGATCAATGACTAACTTTCAGTCATTGATAAAGACTGGGTAACTCAATTGATCAATCAACTGATCAATTTTATTTGGATTGAGACAGATCTCGATTTTTAACCATTTACAAAGACCTGGAATAATTCACTGTTAAATGGGCAACAGTGACACAGAGAACATCTTTTACCTAAAGCTAACACAAACTCATGTCGACTATCTAACCAGAGAAACGAAATAATGATTTTGATCGTCTTTGTAGAACAAGAAAAACCTGCAGGACTAGACGATCCTGTAGCTTCACTGACATTTATTTAAGTCAAGGTTTGAATTATCTCTACAGCATCAGATCTGACTAGGAACAAGATCCTCATCCAAAACCAGCAAACCTAGACTTGTCAGATCTGGACTTCAGTATCAAAGAGAGTCTCCAGACTTCTTTTAACACAGCTTTAGGTTTTTAAAACTGATTTCACAGTCTAGACCTTACAAAGACCTTAAACAGACTGTGAACCAAAATCCCAATATCTAGCCTTGACAGACCAGCACTTAGTCATAGTATTGTGGTTCTGAATGAGGACCTGGTCCCTATGGGGTATAGTCAGGAAAAGAATCAATAAAACCCTTTTTGCCCTTTAGAATATGAAGGTTCTGCAAATCGGTATCTACGCCTGAAAAAAACAACAATTTTACTGGATCAGTGTCATGTTATCAAAACAAAGAAGTTGGGTCGACTTTTTTTGCGTTTTAAAGAGTAGAATAAAAGTCTCACAAATCCGAAACTCTGTTTAAAAGCTCATCGAACAGAAATTGTAATAATTCCACGATATTATTGGTGTTAAAAATGCAGATTAAAAAATCAAGAAAATCGACAATATCACAGAATCGCGATTTAAATCGGATCGGCATAAAAAAATAAAATAAAAAAATCGGAGAAGAATCAAATCGGGAGAAAGCATATCATTCCAGCTCGAGTAAAAACTTAGAACTTGACCTTTTTTTACTGTCTCAGAAACAGACAGAAGCCTCTTTACAATAATTTAGTCCAGATATGAGACGTCTCAGAGGTCTGGTTCTAGATTAGACGGGTTTTAGGTCCAGAACAACATCAAAATAAAGGTCACACTGAGCTAAATATTGGGATTTTAGTGGTCCTTTTATAATAATTTAAATATTTCTACAGTTTAATAGTTAAAGTGATGTTTTCTGAGCACGTATAATGCTCTAAATAGAGTAAATCTGATGGTAGAGGACAGTGAGGACCCTCTGATCGGGGTCTGTATGGAGAGGCCAGAACCATCAGCCCGGTCACTGATGTTAGCTAACATTAGCTACATTAGCCGAGGCTATCACAACAATGTTCACACATGATGGAGCAGAAATAAAGAGGTTAACTTCCAGAACCATCAGCTCTCAAATAAGAACACTATTTAGGGTTCATTTACCTGACTGAGGTTGTCCTTCGCATCAGCAAGGATCCCGTAGCTCCGGTAAAGATCCTCGATAGAGACCGCCATCAGCCCGCCTGCCGCTGCTGCCGCCGCTCTCAGAGAAAAACCGCCGATAAAACCACAAAAACTGCTCTATCCGCTCACTTTCCCTCTCTTCTACTCCGCTCTCTCACAAACAACGCCGTGTTTTCAGCTTAGGTGCTCTCCAGAATGAGGGCCGGGAGGTGAAATTTCGAGAAGCCTGTGAATGAAGAAGAGCCGCTCCGCTCCAGATTCCCGCACTACTACACTATGGCGTGTTAGCTGCTACGACGCTACGGAACAATGAAGAGGGTGCATGCGCGGATTCAGCCAATCGCGTGGAGAAGAACAACCCATGTGACCTTTCGCATGCGCAGAACGAGAGCGCAGTGATGTCATACAGATACTGGAGTGTTCAAGAATGAAAGACGAAGTTCTGTGTGGTTTATATACAACAACAACAGCTCAGTTAATTTAATGTGTTTTTAAACAGTTTTAGGGTTATTCTGTAAAGTAGCCATGACTCAGTGGCACAGTGACCATCTACGGAGACAAAATATACTGCAAAAATATTCGGCTGGATAAACAAAGGGTAGAAATCATTTCACACTCGAATAATGTTGCTTGTATTTCAACTGTTAGTTCATGAAAAGTATATGGTGGCCGAGAACCGCCACTGCTGCAAATCATAAAAAAAAGGAGTCAAAGAGAAAAAAAAAGTCGGTAATGAAAGTTAGAGATGCAAAAAGAAAGAAAAAAAGGAACTAAAGCCCGCTGCAAATAAAAAAAGAAACGGTGCAGATAAAAAAAAGAAGCCACAACAGACATTAACGACGCAAAAAAAAGTGGCAATGCGAAAAAGAAAAAAAAACGTACTAACTGCTTAAAATAAAATGATGCAAAAAAAAAAAAACAGGAACTAAAGCCGGCTGCAAATAAAAAAGTCACAGTGGTAGTTAATGACTCAAAAGAAAGTGGCAATGGAAAAAAAAAGTTACTTACTATTACTATTACTATTTTAACTTGCACAGAATTATAGACGGGCAATTTTACTCCTACCTTAATAAAATGTTATTGAAGTAACTTTTTACGGTAGCTGGGAACCGCCGCTGCTGCAACTAAAAAACAACGCAAAAAAAGAAGCCACAACACAAGTCACAGATGCAAAAATGAAAAGAAACCAAAGCCTGATGCAGATAAAAAAAAGAAACTGTGCAAATAATTTTTTTTTAAAAAGCCACAACAAAAGTTAATTACGCAGGTTCAATGTAAGTTCTTAAGTCAGTTCTTTGAGTTAATTTTAATCAAAATATGTTTTATTTTAACTTGCACAGAATTAAAGACGGGTAATTTTACACCTACTTTGACATAACTGTTCTTTTACCTGAATGAAATATTTTAGCACATTTTCCACCCCAGCTTTTAGAATATAAAGGTTGTTCCAATAAGAAATAATTAATCAATATTCGATATCAGTGCAAACACTTTTATTGAACTAGTTTATTGTAACAACGATTCTGTACAGGCAGTTTTCCCTTCAAATAAAATTATTTTTTGCATAAAATGAAAGTTTTAAACACAAGGAAGCTCTTAAACCAAGACAGGCAGCATCACAGAAATCTGATTCCTGCTCCAAACTGGACCCCGTCACATATCCTGTTAAAAAAAACGAGAGGAAACAGTGGTAAAGAAACAGTGAAAATTAAAAATGAGTTATCTCTAGGTCTCCTCAAAAAGCAAACTCAGAATGTGTGTGAACTTTTATCACAAGATTATACATGAAAAGATCTTACTTTACTTTATATGTATAAAACTTTAACATACTTTACACATGTAAACTCGTGTTTGAGCGACACTGAATTAAAGAGACTCATATTCAGTTTCACTTCACAGTTTGCTTTATGATGATCTTCTATGAGCAAAAATCACGACTTAACAGAGGATTAGGACTCCAATTAAGATTTTGGAAATTATTGAGATTTTGAGAATAAACAATATTGAAAGAATAAAGTCTTTAGGGGAAAAAAGTTATAAATTCATGAAAATAAACTCATAAATTTAAAAGAATAAAGTTAGAAATAAAGTCAGATTTACACACACAGTTTTAATTTTATGAGATGGAGGTTGTAGTTACAGTTAATCAATGTTGGAATTAACAGATATATCAGGGGATTTATAAGAGTATTAGGGTCACATGAAGAAAAAAATAATAATTACAGAGAGAGATCAAAGTCAAATTTTTGAGATTACAAAATGTCGTGAATAATGTAGAAATTTCAAGATTAAAAAAATTACAAATTTGAGATGAAAGTCAAAATTTTGAGATTAAAGTCAACATAAATAAAGCTGAAATTTCCACCTTTTTTTCCGAAACAAAAATATCTAACTCCTTTAATAATTTTTTTTCAATACTTTTGGCCCTAATCCTCTTTACTTACTTAGTTATTCACACAAGGTGTAGTGATTAACAAATAGCCCATCAGCTCATAACTGTTTGTGTCTCGAATGTAAAATTTTCACAATCATCATAATCAACTCACAAAAAAAAAAAAAACGTCCCTGAGGATAAATAGACTTTATTTTCCAACCAGCCCTACCTGTCTCCACTCTGGACCCCCATGGGAATGCAGTAATTCAGCTCCAGCCTGGCGATGTTCCCCAAACGCAGCACGATGCCCAGTCCGTACGACCAGCGGATACATTCAGCCAGTTTCTTGAGGTGAGCTTGTGGCCCTTCACCTGAGCAGAAACAAAGAAAAAACAGAAATCAGAGGCTGGCTGCAAAGTCGTCTCTCTACAGAGCCTCTCTGTCCGTTTCTCACTCCTCACCGTAGTTGAGGTTACAAAGGTTTCCTGCGTTGAGGAAGAAGTGTGTCCTGAAGAGGTCGCCGAAGCCCCCCCGGCCTGGTCTGAAGGGTAGAGGAGTGTACAGATGGAGACCTCCAGCCCAGTAGGCCTCCCCTCCCAAGTAGTCACCTGCCATACCAGTAATACCAGCAGACAACCTTTCAATTAACCAGCAGCCTTCAGTCTGAATACAGAGCAGCTCAGCCAAGTGAATGTCTCACCTTCACTCTGTGGACCCATACTGTACATGCTGAAGCCCCTGATGCTGGTGGGGCCTCCGAGATAGAACCTGGGGGGTTCGACAGAGACACACAAAACACAGAAATCATCCCAGGATCTATCAGGGCCCTAAATGATTCCTGCAGGAGGAGGTAACTGCTACTGATATTAGATGGTGTATATTATTATTATTATTATTAATATTATTATTTTGTATCGTGCTGAATTATTGTGGTCATGCTGTACGGAGTCGGGGTATCGGCTCTAGGTCTGATGGGCCTGATCTCACTGATATTAGAAGGATCAAGCTTCATCTAGGAGTCTTTTATTGGTACACAAACCGCACATTACACTTTGTTTCTGCATTTTAAACACTCTGCCAATGCAAAAAAAAACACTGGTATGACTGACATATGCTTTTTCTTAACTTTCTAAATCGTCTTTAATGCTTTTTACCTTCTGAATTGTTTTTTATGTAAATGTATTTTCAACCTGATTGCAACACGATTTGAAGTGAAGTGAAGTGAAGATGTTTCCTGTTCTGTCTTCTGTCTTTTTTCAGTGACCTCATGCCGACCGTCCTGTTCTTTGTAAAACCAGGAGCCAACGTTGTAATTTATCGTCTCATGAATTGCTGGTAATCTGGATGAGGTAACCTTGTAAAACGTTGTGTTTAGATCACGGTGATCCAATCCAACGGTTCTTTGAAACACAGCATGGAAACAGGATAGATTCACTGATCCTTGATTGTGAAAAAATGGGATTTCTTAATCCAGATCACTCGACTTAATCCAGATTAAACCTTCAGAGCACCTGTGCCCAGATCCTGTGGACAATAGAAAGAGGCTGGTGTGTTGTTTGACTGTACCTGTCTGCTATGCTTGTTGGCTTGTCACCGATAGGAAGGAGAAGACCGCCCCACATCGAGGCAGAAAGCACCTGAGGGAGTTTAAAGGAGAAATGAGCAAGTTTACGAATGAATAATATACAGGAGTCAGAAGATAATAACACAAATCTTTGTATCGGTAATCTGTGAGAAGTGGAGGTAACTCAGCGACGCTCCTTTGTGCCCACATTTTTCAGAGAAACCACAGTTTGTTGTTTATTTTTGATCAGTTCCTTTCTCTCTTTGTTTCTACATCTTTACTTCAAACTTTGTCTGAATCATCGTCGTTGGATGAGATCCTTCGGTTTGTGGCTTAAACTCACCGAGTCCCAGATGAGTGTTTTGTTGAGCTGGATCTCAAAGTCCTCCTTCAGGAAACTGGCGTCTCCCCCAGTGTAACCAGCGAGTTCCTGCACAACCACAACATCAAACGTCAATCGTTTGTTTCCGAACAGCGTCAGAGAGGTGGCTCTGGTTGGATTTAGAGACAAACCTGATGGATCTTCAACAGACCGCCTTTCCTCGGGAGGATGGAGGAGTTCCTGGTGTCGATGACCATAGCATGCTGGGAAAAACCAAGAATGACATTTATGAATCTTCCAGCAGATGATTTCATGAAATTGTGCATTTTTCAGAGTCAATAAGTCAGAGACAGATACCGAAAGAGAAGACTTGAGGGAATGGCCGCTCTCCTCCCGGACGGCAAAGGAGGCGGTGCGAGCCAGACAGCCCAGCTCTCTCCACACTCCCTCCCACTTCAGGGTCTGGCTGGTCTTCCACACCGGGAACTGTGAGAGGTTTTAGTAACAGTAAGAGATCACATTCATCCTTTAGGTTTGCACTGATTTTAGCAGTAACTGTTCCTCATCCTGCCTCCATACTGCATAGAGAGTAAATGTTTCTGTAAAAGACTTAAAATAGAATAATAATAAAAATGTTGAAATATGAATTAAAACTAGTCTTTGTTTCAAAGGGACTTAATTACACACCAAACTTGTGTTTAACACGAGGACTTTAGCTCTGACGATGTGATGTACAGGGATTTCTGTCAGTCATGTTGAAATTCAATCTAAATTTCTCACCAATCTTCATCCACATGTAGAAATTTAAGTGTTAAATCCTTTTTTCAAAAACTAAATCTTTAGGCACTTAGATGTGAACAAACAGGCACATAAATAGAAATAATGATTTACGCTTATTTCTGCAGAGACTCCTCGATCCGTCTCCCTCAGTGAGCTCCAAGGAAACTGACCGGTGACTTTGTAGACGTTGAGGGAGACACTGAAGGTGAAAAAAAGAAAGAAGAAGAATAAACTTCAAGGATTTTTTTTGTAATAATTTAACAACCTCAACACCATGATACAGGCATTTACAATCATGAATAAAAGTAAAATATCATTGTATTGAGATGCAGATCACACACAAGTCAAACATACATAAAGTTGACTCGACCAAAACTGATATAAATTGATTTTATGAAGCTGTTTGACTCTTACTTGCGTTCAAAGTGTCCTGGTTGTGGTTTGAAGAAGGACAGACCGTAGGACGTCTCTTTGGTGCCGTAAGAAAACTGGAAGGTCATTTTCTCTGCCCGACCAAGAACATTGGGTAACTTCAGGCCCAGGACCTGAGAGTGAAGACGACAGGATTTAGATTCTAGATCATAAAACATCAAATTTAGGGAAGATTTTGACTCTCTGTCCAATATGTTAAGATAAAACGGGCATTTTAGGGGTCAGTGTTTCACACCAGAGCTGCACACCAGCATTAGTAATGAAGCTTTAAATCAGTGGGAACAGTTTCAGATCAAACCGATGAAACATGAGCCGTCGCTCTGCTCACCATGCTTCCTTCATTGTTTCCAACCATGGTGTTGTAGCTGCCCGTCATTCGTCTGAGCTCAGTGACTTCAAAGGTCACGTCGAGGCCGTTGGGGAGAGCATCTTCACCTACAGAGACAAACACACACACGCAGCAACTACGTTAAAAACATACAAGGAGGATTTGTACATTTCTTCTAAAAGTGTAATCATTACTGATGAATGACAGTACCTCTCGACGTGTCAATAACAACTTCAACTTTCCTGAAGATGCCGAGACGCAGAAGCTTCTGTCGGGCTTCGTGTGATTTCCGCATCACCTGGAAAACAAAGTGAGTGTGTGTTTAGATGGTTTAGAAGCATTTATAAACCAAGTATTATCGATCAGTGCAGCTGGATTTAATGACACCCACATCGATCAAATTCTTCGCCCTGAAAACTTCTGCGATTTCGTAGGTCAGCAGGTCCTCTTTGGTTCGACCGAGCCCGTCTATGTGAACCTTCTGGACAACGACCTGAAACGCAGCAGAGACAGACGGGGTCAAAAAAAGAGAGTGAAGTTCACTAAAGCTGCTGCACATTTCTGTCATTTAGACTTGATCCCAGTCTCACATCCTTGTTTTCAAGAACTTCTTGCTTCGGCTCCTGCTCGATATCAGGAACCTCGATATCATCGGCTTGGACTCCCAGCTCTGGCCCCCGCATGGGCAGAGGGTCCAGGCTCTGCGACACAAAATTAGGAGGAAAACACAAATTAGAAAAACATCATCACAAGTTTAAACTCTTCTTGTCTTATTGTCTTTTTTAACCTCCTACACTGTTGGTCTTATTACTCAAAATTTTCTGTATTTTAAATTGTGTTTATTTTTGTAAAGCATCTTTGAGCACCTGTAAAAGCGCATTATAAATAAAGTTTATTACTACTACCACTACTACTATTATTTACATCATTATTATTTATAGTGGTTCAAAACAAAACAAAAAATCCTCAGTAGGCAGTATGTTTCTATCTGATCAGTGTCTATATATCTATCTATCTGTTTGAATTGATCTCTCTTGTTCATTGTTTGGATTGATTTAATTGTTTTTTTCTCTGTTTAGTTCCTGGATAATCTTCTACAAAGCTGTATTATACCGGTTTGAAAGCACATCTATTCACAACAGTTCTATGACAGTTATAGGTCTATATTTCTGCTCTCACATGAAGAAAGAACTCCCTTACTCCAAGAACAAACAGTGAATATTGTTTAAAAGCTTAAACGAGAATAAAAATCAGTGAGTATTACGGTTGTGAGGTGTAGTTAATGCAGCAGGAACACAGTCAATGAAGCTTGTTTCTGTCTACAAATGCTCACTAATCCGTGTTTTATCGACACAGAGTGAGATTACAGCACAATAACTGAGTTTTAATAGTAAACCTATCTTCCTGATCCCTCTGGTACATTGTTGCATGTGGTCACAGAGGGCCTTTTCTCTCTTAGAGCACAAGAGCTCCTCTGTCAGACAAACACACATATATTTATCTCTAGGAGGTCACAGTCCCAGTCAGTCAGCTCGGTCAGTGGACTTTCTCTTACCCTGGCGTGGACGGTGCCCATGCTGAGCTCCGCAGGGCGCTGTCCCGGTTAATGAGAGCGAAACTTCAGAGAGGAAAAAGACAAAGTAATTTAACCTACAAGTAACCGGAGAAAGACGACGAGGGTCCCTATAAGGAGGCGGCCATGTCATTTCCGGACCACGCCCACTAATACTGCGCGTTCAAGGCATCAGCGCTGCGAAATACGTAAAGGCGAGAAATTACGTAAAAATAAACGTATTTTACAAACATTTCTGCGTAACTGCCAAATCGCAAACCTGCACCCCAGCTTCATTTTGAGATCATGACTGTTTTGATTAAATTAAATACACAAAAACATATCAGCAGATAAACAACAATATAAAATCATAACTATAACAGAAAATAAAGAAATACGGAAATATAATAAATTAAATGAAAGGAGACAGTGCAGATATAAATAACTAAAGATCATTTATTGCTTTCTGTAAAAAAAAAAAAAAAAGTCAGGAATTTATTAATGTATTGTGTTTTATTACCTCTTTTTAATTTACTTTCTTTTATTGTTTGATTTTAAGACTGTTTTATTTAATTAACTTTTAACTCTTTATCACCTTTATTATATTTTATCATGGTTTTATCGTTTTAGTCCTAGATCCAGTGTTTCCTAATTTCTTTTTTAACTCAAGATAGTGTTTCCTCAGTCATCTTTGGCAAGTTGAAGAGTCCTCACCTGTTTTTTTGTGTGTGCATCTGTGTGTGTGTGTGTGTGTGTGTGAGTGCTGTCTGTGAATAAATAACCTGGTTCTGTCTTTGTAAGGTCAGTGTGTTAAAAGAATCAATGAGGTGGGACTCGATTCATCAAACTTCACTTTATTTCAGCAGAGGGGAAAACTCCTCCTCCATTACTTGGATGAACAGCTGGATGTAGACTTTTGGATACACAGAACCTCTTTATTTCACGTCTCTAAACTCTGAAAAAGTGTTACTTCTTTATAGCAAAATACCAACATCAGCATTTTAATCTCAAAGGAATAAATAATAATTCAGCAGAGGGGAAAAAAACATCATCTCATATGTAGGTTGCTGAGTATCTCTGTAGGCCCTGTATCCTGTAATAAAACAAAGAGGCAGACGATTACATTCATGATTTTGATGCGCTGGTTTTTAATGCTGGTTTTTGATACTGCGAGCTGCTCTTACGTCTCTGATTTGAATGTTTCCCGTGATATCCTATCTTCTTTTACACCTTCAGGAGATTCATTAATGTCTTTTATGCCCAATGTGGTCAGAGCTGTGGGAAATAAAACACTCAGTGTGCATTTGTTGTCAAAAAACACTTCTGTTGTATGATGCTGAACATATCAAAAAAGGAGATATAAATACAACATCATGTACTCACCCTGTTTGTACTGTGCAAAACTGATGTATTTCTGCTCAGCTGGATCCAGGATCCCAAAGACTGCATCCAGGTTGGCCTCGTTGAATAGATTTGGCCCCTTAACACCAGACTGTTGAGAAAGCTTCAGCTGTTTCAGCTGCTCCACCAGAAAATCCCTGGGATTATCTGAAAAACACATTTTTCCAGTTTTTCAATTCTAACTCACTCCAGCTAGAAATCGAAGTTACACTGCGTGTTTAAAACGCTAACTTTAGACAGTGTATGACGGTTGGCTCAGTTTACCCTCCTGTCGTCGAGTATCTGTGTTTAGTATTTATGTTTTACTGAAAAAAAAGGTTCTAACCAGGTCTGTGAAAGAAGAGCATGCTGGTCAGGTTGTCGAAAAGCTCCGGTATTTTGTGTTTCTGGAGATAATTAGCAGCTTCTTGTTCCCTCTGCGTCGCCATCTTTTCCTCATCACTGTTGTTTGAACTTGTTGCTAAGATACGAAAACGACCAACGGTTAAAGGCGCCAAAGGATACCTGGTTATACTAGCAAGGAGGGTAGCTGGATAGATGGTTAAAGTCACAGAAATACTCAGTAAACACCGCTTATATGGGAAAAATACATATCTTTTTAAGTGCTTTATTCCACATTAGTCGAAAATTATGGCAATTTGTTTCATTATTGATAACTTTTACCCATCTTTAACCTGCTGTTAGCTGATAGATTATTAACTACTTGACCTCCATTTTTAAAAACTAGCAAGGTTAAAAGAAAGTCAGGGATATTTTTAAAGCTGTATAATTAACAACAGTGAGAATGAAAATAATTTTCATAGGCACCTCAATTTTTAACCATTCCTGAAAATAAGTAAGAGGGCATGTGCCAAGTCACGTTTTTTAACTGGGGGACATTATTTTGATAAATTAATCTTAAAGAAATTATTCTGAATAAAGCATAATATTTCACGTCAACGATATTCTTCTTCACATGCAAGGTAACATATCTTGTAAAAAAAACACTTAAAAATGCAAAAACAGCAAATTGAATCTTTCATTTGTATCATTATTGTGAATGAAAAACTCATGGCTAAAAAGAAAATAATTGTTGCTCAGCAAAATCAGTGGTTTAGTGGTAGAATTAAAAATATGCAAGGAAGTCTCTATATAAAAATATCTTGATCTTTGATCCTAAAATTGCACCTGCTGACAGATTAGTAAGTAAAATCAATTATCAAAATTATCAGAAGTATTATCTACCACAAGGTGACGACAAAGGTTAGTTTGATATATTTATTTCAAAGTTATATTTCTCAAACTGGGGGAATAAAGAGAGATTCTTGAATGACAGGAGTCATGACATTATACAGTCAATAAGACCATTAGCTCACTCAGTGACCTAGTGCTCTCTGCCTTTAAGTGCAGACGCTTTCCGAAGCGAATCAACACCAACAGATCTGGATAGATAAATACATCATTTGATCTTGTTCCAGATAAGACCCTTGCATTGAAGGCAGCCATTCTCCAACAGTGTAGCTTTTTCTTCCACTTCACTTTGTTGGATGAGAAGAAAACATCAGACACAGTAAATATCTATTTGCAGATTTCCCACAGACAACTTAATGTCCAGTCACCTGCAGGTAAATTTTCACAAAGACATTGATATAGTCCAGTGGTTTGAGTGTCCATATCCATGAGGAGGAGTAAGTCCATATCATTCCACCTTTTCTTGACTTTTTATCTGTTCGAACATGGCAGCAGCTTCTTCTCTGGCTTTATAGCCTTTCAGTTCTGTCCGAAGCTCTCCTGGTTTTGGTGGAACTTCTGGTATGGTCTGAAATATACAACAACATTATTAAGCATTTTTGAACAAAAACACTCACTAGGCTTGTTTTCTTGCATGGCCCTTTTCTTTTTTATTTAAGACTTTATCAAAGTAAAATGGAAAAGGATAAATTCAAAAACATCAACACAGTTGGAAACTTTGCTGTTTACAGTTGAGCCGAGGCTCTATCCAGTGTTTAGTGGCTGTATTACATACAAATACAGAATAAAACGAATGAAACACACATTTTGGCTTCAAAACTAACAACACAAAACTTGTGTATGCATTTAATCAGTAGCTGATTGTGCAGATTTTGTTAAAAGTCCTTCATTCCTGTAATTATTTGAATATCTCTCAGCACTTTTTATGCATATTTAATGAATGAAGTAGTTAACCAGAAGATATACCCCTCACCAGATCAGGCAGGTAATACTGGTGGACACACTGTGCTCCTGCAAACATGGCAAGTATACTGGCTCCAACCATCCTCAGGTACCGAGGCCAAGACACACCAGCAGGCATCTTCACAGAAGTCCTGTATGGGGAAAAAAAGAGAAAAGACTAACAGTGACTATCAATAATGAAGTAATAACTGTCCACAAATACAAATTAAGGCTGTGGCCAACTGCACCAGCTCTGCATGAGGTGGAAACTATCATTCCTGCTTATTTGTAACACCAACACCATTTGTAACATGTTTAATATCTGTACATTAGTTTTTTACATATAAAGGTAACATAAATGCCCCTATTTAGGCTCATTACAACATCATGAAACAGTCTGATTTATCACTGCAATGCTGTTTTCCACCTGAACTGGAGTTCTGACAGAATTTGTTAGCCCTGATCTGGCAGCTTGCAAAGGCTAAGTTTGATTATAATAAACTTGTGAAACAGCAACGGACATAAACTGGAATTAAGTAACAAAATTGAGACCTTACCTTGTTTAATTTACCTTTAGTATACAAATTGGTCGCAGAGATCAGCTAATTTGAAGCATTTTACAGCAAACAGTCTGTCATTGGGACACACAGGCAGGTCATGCTGTTTGCTAACTCAGAGATCGTCTCTAATCGTGCAGAGAACTCACTCTGGCAGTGATTGCAAATTGATTTACTGTTAGCGGTTGGATTGTATTTGAGAGGTATTAACAAGACATTTAAAATGATACCATTATGCAGATTTAAGAAACAGTGTAGGTTTAGGTGGAATTTTAAACCAATCGCTAAGACATTCCACCATACTTGTTTTTTACCTAGAGCAATGCGCTCTTTATAATATGCGATCTTTGGCTGTTGTCTTCTTCTATGGTTCAAAATCGTGTTGATTATTTCATGTATACCTGAGATATCGCCGACTCGTGTTAACGTTCATGAAATTAGAAAACCTTCTACGACGACAAAAAGACAAATTCATATAATTAATCATAATATTCGTGCTTTTTTATTTATTAGCTTTTGTTTGTTACAACTTTAAGTCATAAGAAATATGCATTTTCTAAGCCATGCAATACACCTCCCATCCAGGAGGTGGCAGTAAACCTCCATTCAACCGTTTAAAGCTTGAACATTATGCGTTTAAATGGTCTTTGTTTTGGGAGGATATCAGCCTCCCCGTCCTCTTATTTGAAAACTAAAGCACAAAATGTATGACAGGTATGTTAGTTTTCCCTTCCACTTTTATTTTCCGTTACTGGAGGCGTCCTTTGTGATTTAAAAAACAGCTTTAGGTCTGTTAGATGGTGTTAGCTTAGTGTCAACACCAGCGTCTATCCGTCTCCTTTGTGCCAGCAGAGCCTCGAACATGCAATAACTAACACACAGACTGTGTCTTTTTTATATGTATTTATGCATGTGACAGTTAAATGAATGATAATTTATTTACATAAGTCAACAGTTGAGATGGAAGAAAACCAGTATACTTCATTGACGGTTCCCTCGGATTATTTTCAGCAGTGGTGAGTTGGTGTTGGAGGAGGTGGCAGGAGGTCCTGAAATACTTCACTTTCTATCCCCTCGACGTCTTCATTTCCATGCATGAGAGGGGGAAAACATCTGATATCACTCATGTTTATATATATCTGGATGTCTGGGGTTGTAGAAAGTCAGAGTGTCAGGTCATTAAGGATTAAAACTGGTCAAAATGTGACTGTATCTTGAATCAGAAGGTTTAATTTACTGATTATTCTGCATTGTGTTTAGTATAATAAGAATATTTTATAAATGTTGACATTTTACACGATCAAGCAGCTATAAAACTGTCAAACAACTCCTGCAGAGACATGAATCAGCTCTCTATAGAAGAGATCAATTTCTTCATTCCACTCTTGTTGGCTTCACCTAACAATAAGAGAAAGACAAAGCTGATGTTAGAACATGTTTGTAAATGAGAAGTCAATCAGGGAGCTTATTGTATCATGCACTGGATGAAATGCCGAGAATGCAAACAGGTGTATGTCCGTGCATGTGTGTCTGTAAGTCTTGTTAAGTTCGCTTCACCAACTTCTCCACGCACCTCATTGAACACCAGCTTTCTGTGTCCTGAGGTCTTCACCTTTTTCCTCCTCTTCTCTCTAACCGTCTTTTCCCCCCCTTAGGTACCAGTCCAGCCAGCAGCACCCACAGGCGCAGCATGGCTTGCCCTATCACAACTCGGGGTATCACGCAGAAGGTCCCAGAGACGAGCCTGTCATGACCGAGCTGTCCGTCCACCGTGAGCAGCCTCATTACCAGGAACCTGTTTATCAGAACTTCTCCTCTGTGCAAAACCACTACCGGGAACCTGTTTATCAGAACTACACCCCCCCTGTACAAAACCACTACCAGGAGCAGAGCTACCAGTATAACATCAGGGAGCAGCAGCAGCAGCAGCATCCTGCACAGCTGCACCATCAGCAGCAGCAGCAGCAACATTTGACACAGCAGCAAGAGCCAAATGTTCAGCACCAACCTCAGCCTGCTGCTCCACCTCAAGGTATGACAGAGACACTTCATCAGGTCTCAGTCCAGTCCAGACCAGTCTAACCCCATGTCCTACTGTCATCATACTGTCTGTCACACTTCCTTTCTTTCTGTTTTAGTCGTCACGCCCGTGAAGAAGAAGAGAGGCCGACCTCCAAAGCATCAGCAGCAGTCAGAGGAAGGAAAGACTCAGGAGGAGGAAGACGAGGCCGAAGCTGCTAAAAAAGCAAAGAGGGCTTTGAACCGCTTTAACGGCATGTCTGTGGCTGAGGTTATGGCCAAAACTCTGCCGGACGTCATAACCTACAACCTGGACATCCTCATCGTGAGTCATTTACCATGTTCACATGAAGAGTTTGTAGATTTTTAAATACCAGCTCGGTGCTTTGTGAAGCAGTTCTTTCTAATAGATTCACACCTAGCCTTTGTCTCCATGTTGTATGGTTTCAGACACACAAATCGATGTCTGTTGCCATGGTAACACCTTCATGTTTTTCCTCAGATTGGAATTAACCCAGGACTTTTGTCAGCCTTCAAAGGACACCATTACCCAAACCCAGGAAACCATTTCTGTATGTTGAAATTCTGTTTCATTATTGATCAGAGGGAACAAAAAAACTGCTTATTTTTATGATTTTTCTCTATCATGACAAACTCTTTTCCTCCTGCCTAGATTAGTTCAAACTTAAAATGTCAATTTTTTTAAAAAATGTACAAAATTCTGCATTTATGAGTGTCATTTCGTATGTGTTCATGCAGCCATAAAAATGGTGTCTTGGGTCTGAACGGATCAGTTAAACCAGCCATTTGTTGTACTGCCCTTAAAAAAACAGCAACAAAGAGACTACAGGAGATACAATATGTGACGCTGTTGTTCTATGTCTACAAGTTTTTTTAAGGGTCATCAGAGGGAAATAAAAGTCATAAAAGTGGTCAGTGGGAAGTTTAGGCTTTTAAAATGAGGACTTGATGAGATGAGGATGGCTTTATTCCTCCTTTACATTGATTTAATTCTTGGTTCTCATTATTGTTTGTGCAGCTTCAGCAGGATCTATTTTTTAAAAGTGTATTTTTCATCTCTGTAGCTCAGGTCAAACAAAATCTCACCTCCTCTTTGTTTTTTTCAGGGAAATGTCTGTTTCTCGCTGGTTTCACTGAAGAGCAGCTAAATTACATGCACGATCAGAGCCTGCCAGAGAAATACAGCATTGGCTTCACCAACATGGTGGAGAGGACCACACCTGGCAGCAAGGACCTCTCCAGGTGAAGAACATCGATCTAGACTGTTGTTTGAACTGAGAACAGAGTCTTCTTAGTTAACGCTCATTTGCAGAATAGCCCGGTCCTCTGCTCAGTATCAGTCATGCTCTGCTAAACTGGTCCAGAACCACCAGCAGCTCCTGTCCTCCAGCTGTGTCAGTCATTGCACAGACTCTGAGACTCCTCTTCTTATTTCGAAGGTTCCTTCATAACCAACCACCTCTATCTCCTTCATACTTTCACACATAACTTCTACGGGGTCTTAAGTCATTGGCTGTGCAGCCCCCCACGTGATTCCGACTCTCTTCCCACTTTCGAATCCTGCCCAAAAACCCCCCTCATAGGATTGCTCATTGATTTTTATCATGTAACACGTGCCTTTTATTGCAGTTTGATTTTACCCTTAATACAGATGAAGGATTTAAGTATTAAGTCTTTCACTGTTTTAATGGTGACTTCCACATTGCATTAAGATTTACTGAAATTAGTGATGTACTATCTCACTTTGACTTCACATAGAAATTTCTCTAGGAAGACTAAGAGGCCAGGGTGAAACCTAAAGCTGTTTGCATTCACACATGAAGCTCAGGAAGCCTTTTAAGTTTTGTTCATGTGTTACAGCATTAATAAATGACACCTCCTGGTTTTCTCTCTCAGTAAGGAGATCCGTGAAGGAGGAAAACAGTTACTGGAGAAGCTGCAGAAGTACAAACCGTTAATAGCAGCATTTAATGGGAAAGGTAGGAGCATTAAAACACTTCAAACATTTATTTATAAAGCCTTTAGATAGTTTTAACAGTGTGTGTGTGTTTTTCTCTTTCAGGTATTTATGAAATCTTCTGCAAGGAAACATTTGGTGTGAAAGCAAAGAATCTGGAGTTCGGTCTGCAGCCTTACAAAATCCCAGAAACTGAAACAGTAGGTTGAAAATTCCCAGATTTTTCTTTTAAGTTACTCAACAACACAAACAATAATCCTCATGTTTTCTGTTATCCAGGTGTGCTACTTGATGCCGTCGTCAAGCCCGCGCTGTGCCCAGTTCCCTCGTGCGCAGGATAAGGTTCATTTCTACATCAAGCTGAAGGAGCTGAGAGACCAAATGAAGGGCATCATTCCCAAACAAGAGGTGGAGGAGATGAAATACTCATTCGACCTCCAGCTGGCTAAAGGTAAACTGTTAGAGTCCCTTTAGCTTTACAGCTCTGCTAATTTATTTGGCTAGTTTGAGGTTAATTTTGCGGCTTGGCACAGGAAACATTTGAGTTTGCTCAATCAAACCGGTCAATATTCTGTTTCTCTCTGCAGAGGATGCAAAGAGGATGGCAATCAAAGAGGAGCAGATGGATCCTGAGTATGAAAGCTGTGGTCAGCTGCACAACGAGCCGAGTCAAAGCAGCAACTCCTACAGCTAAAAAAGACAGGAGACATGAAAACAAACAGACCTTTACACTGAAACACAAAGGTAATGAAGCTGTTGTGTAGATCTATTTAAATTTGGTTGGATCTAGATAGAGTTGGACAACATTGTGTCCTCTCTTGCCCTAATATGACATGAAGCAGTTAAGAAGTCTGAGCGATGAATAAACTAACTCTGGATAAAGTTTTATGATGGTTTCTGGAGATAGTAATTAAGTTTTATGACATGAAAAGCCTCTTCTAGCTGCTCAATCCCTCTTCTTCTGGCATCCTTCAGAAATGAACATCCATGATCCCTGCAGCTGGACGTGTTCACTCCTCAGAAATCAGCTGCACTGGTAACAGGATGCGTCAGCGAGGTGACACCACAGAAGAAGAAGAAGAGTCACACAGTTTTCTGATGCATCGCACTGTGACGCACAAGGTGGACGTCCTCAAATCACTTACATTTTCCAACTCTCGAACAGACTGTGCTTTTGTTTAGGTGTCATTTTCTATTATTATTTATTGCATTTTGTAAGGTTTGTTTGTCCGGTGACTTATTTTTGTATTTTTAAAGAATGATCTTATGATTTATAAACTGTATGTATAATGATTGTACTCTGAAATTTCTAATTTGTAATTACAGAGTTATTAAATCTCTTCTTAAACTGGCACCTTGTCTTTGTTTTGAGTCTGTCAGGGGAATCTGTGGTATACTGTCTATCTTTTTACACGTAGGGAAACCCTCTCAGAAGTTTAATTAAAGGCTGTGTGTGTGATTTTTACAGCTCTATGACAATAGCAGAGAGATCTGAAGGCAGTATTAAAGGGATATTCCGGCGTAAAATTAATTTAGGGTCAAACACACCCTAACGCCGAGTTAGACACCCTGTCGAGAGATGAATGTTGCCGAACGCTTGCTTCTCTAGTTATACCAACTTTAGTAACGACCGCAGGATAGAAATACAGAGAGCCACGTGCTCAATCAAAACGCCACTATAGCCACAAATAATGCTCAGAACAGCACCTAACTTCATCAACAGGACATATAGGGTCACAGCCATAGTACTAGACACCAAACATCTTTTTAGAGACTAAACACAACTCACCTACGTCACCCCGCTGTAGTCCGTAATGGACTGGTCAGAGGTCTCCGTACAAACAAGTGGCTGCTGGAAGAGAGTAGGTGAGTTGTGTTTAGTCTCTTTGCTAAAGAAATTAGCAAGAAATTAAACACTCTTTTGGAAAGGACAACTGGACTTACTTAAGATGATTCGCCTTTTAACGTAGAACTGGAAATCATAGATGCTGTGTCCTCAGTTTTGAACAATATCTCCAGGTTTAGGAGAAACATCTGCATCCATCCAGACAAGACCTTCATATGATCCCAAACCACATTCTGACATGATAAGGAAATGATCATAAATGTTCTTCCTTGAGCTGTGTCACCCCACTGTAGTCCGTAATGGACTGGTCTGAGGTCTCTGTACAAACAAGCAGCTGCTGGAAGAGAGTAGGTGAGTTGTGTTTAGTCTCTTTGCTAAAGAAATGAGGCAAAGTTAAAAAGATGTTTGGTGGCTCGTACTATGGCTGGGACCCTGTATGTCCTGTATGGCGTTTTGGTTGAGTGCGTGTCTCCCTGTATTGCTATCCTGCGGTCGTTACTAAAGATGGTATAACTAGAGAAGCAAGCGGTCTGCAACATTCATCTCTAGAGGGGGTGTCTAACTCAGTGTTACGGTGTGTTTGACCATGACTTAATTTTACGACGGAATATCCCTTTAATTTCTTTCACTGTTCATTTCATAATGAGAAAATACAAATAAGCTTTAATATTGCATTTAAGAGTGTTGTATGAATGAAACCAAATCTGTAAGTGGAACCATTTACACATTTATACCCTTGTATTTCGAAGCTTGTCTAATTCTTACTATATTTTCTATAATATGTGGAGTAAAAGTTGTTATAATTATTTGTATAGTAAAACTGTACACAATCCTTCACACATGATAGACGCTCAGCCAATAGAAACTCACCGTACGGAGTTTAAAAGGCGAGTGGCTTGTACCAATGGTGAAAATAGGGGTGTCCGTTTTTTTGTGTTTTCACTTTAACTTGTTAATTTATCTTGTAAACATCAAATCCAACAAGTCAACACTAAATATAACTTTTAATTACCAAATATAAAAAATGTTTGCCTTTAAGAGTCTGTTTTGCATCTCTTTTATATCTACTTCACATTTTCACCCTCCACAGTTGGTATCTCCCGGTGTCAGAGTTGACTGGCATCGCTGTCATGTCTTTGTTGCCTCGGAAAGCGCAGCTATGGTGTGAACATTAGTGTGAAACAGATGGAAAAAATATAGTTTTTTCCAACAGAAGATACTAATCCAACTCGGTACAACAACAGGTTCGTTTACATTCATGTTCTGTGGTAAATTACGTTCAGTATCTTTGTGGAGGAATCTCAGGGGAAGCGGAACCATTCATCCAAGCTAAGTTAGCTTAGCATTAGCTGCACTTGTGGCACTATTATGCTGGACTGTACACGAGTCTGTACGTGGTTTTTACTCTATTATAAGGCATTTCTGATTGTTTTAAACTTTTATTTAACGCTAGTGTACTGTAAAATATAGAAAACATAATAACTGAAGAGCTGTGTTTTAGTTTGGAAGAAAATAACCCGCAGATAAAGTCCAATAAATGAAGATATTCTACATTTATATGAATAAATTCGAGTTTTATTAAGTTTTTTTCGATGTGTAATCTCCCATTAAGTTCACTTTTGTCGCCATCTCCTCCTCAGTTTGTCAACAAAGCCCTGCCACATGCATTCAGTTTCATTCACTGCCTAACAGACTCCTCTTACTGCTGCTAAAATGACCTCTGTCCATCATTCATTATTTATAAAGTCAAACCAGCCTAAAGATGGAGGAAAAGCTGAACGGATCTTTCCCTGTTGTCTCCCCGGAGTATCTTCATCAGTGGTGAGTCTTCATCCTCACCATCAATGTGGCCAAAGAGGAGGAGGAGGAGAAAGATTAGAGCAGCAGAACCTCTGGATGGCAATGTGTGATGAAAATGAAATGAAAGCATGTGCGCCCACTTTCCCTCTTTGCTTTTGTTTTCATCATTGTGAGTTAAAGGGATATACCGGCGTAAAATTAACTTAGGGTCAAACACCGAGTTAGACACCCTCTCAAAAGAGATGAATGTTGCCGACCGCTTGCTTCTCTAAATATACCAACTTTAGTAAAGACCGCACCATAGCAATACAGAGAATCACACGCTCAACCAAAACGCCACTCTATAGCCACAAATAATGCTCAGAACAGCACCTAACTTCATCAACAGGACATATAGGGTCACAGACATAGTACTAGCCACCAAACATCCTTTTAACTTTGCCTTAAAGAGACTAAACACAACTCACCTACTCTCTTCCAGCAGCCGTTTGTTTGTAGCGAGACCTCAGGCCAGTCCACTATGGAATACAGAGGGGTGACGCAGCTCAAGGAAGAACATTTATTCATATGGTGATGATTATCTCAAGGAAATGATAAAGAAATGATCATAAATGTTCATCCTTGAGCTGCGTCACCCCGCTGTAGTCCGTAATGGACTGGCCTGAGGTCTCTGTACAAACAAGCGGCTGCTGGAAGAGAGTAGGTGAGTTGTGTTTAGTCTCTTTAAGGCAAAGTTAAAAAGATGTTTGGTGTCTAGTACTATGGCTGTGACCCTATATGTCCTGTTGATGAAGTTAGGTGCTGTTCTGAGCATTATTTGTGGTTATAGAGTGGTGTTTTGGTTGAGCGCATGGCTCTCTGTAATGCTATCCTGCGGTCGTTTCTAAAGATGGTATAACTAAAAGGCAAGCGGTCAGCAACATTCATCTCTTGAGGGGTTGTCTAACTCAGTGTTAAGATGTGTTTGACCCTAAACTGATTTTACGCCGGAATATCCCTTTAAACATGTCCTTTGATTTTGGCACCATGATTGGTAACTCTCATTATTGTGTATACTGTTGTGTAAAATGTGTTGCCTTTGCTCTGAAATAACAGGATAACTTTCTCAGTTGGTGTTAAACATGGAGTTTGCATTTTGCCAGCATTGATTTGTTTTTATTTCTTCAGGCATTTTTCCAGAATCTACAGACAGACATTTTCCTGTGCAGTGGATGAAGCTAAAACTCGATTTCATGCCTTATTTATTGTCATGTGCTGAGATTGTCACATGAGTAAAATGAGAGCCCAAGACATTTTCTGCGAAGTGGTTGAAACATTATAAAAGACTATAGATGGAGAATAAAGAGCATTATGTTGATGTAGATGCACGGACTTGATCAAATGTTGCATCTAATAAACTGAAAAGAAGATAAATCAAACTCAAAAGGATTTGCTCTCAAAATAGGTGTACGTGTACAATATATGAAGTCTAAAATCCAGTCAGAATGGAACTCAGGGCTGATGAAACCATGTGTGAAATAACAGTTCAACAGATACTGTTTCTTTTGTACTACGATTATATTTAGCATCTGTTTTTAAATGAGCATTGCGATTTAGTAACTTTAAATAATCTATAGTTTCCTCTTAAAATGTCTCTGGGACATAAACTACAGATGACACGTCGCTGATATTTCTCAGTGATCATTAAATACCTTCACACACTTTCTTTTAAGTTTGATCTTAAACATAAACCAGAGATTATAAACCAGGGAGGGTCTGAAGTATTTAGTTCACTGTTGTCGGTGTAGGATATCACAAAAAATCATTTTCAACTGAGTCAGCTGTCTTAATAATATTTGCTCTAAGTTAGATTAATGCAACAAACCGACTTATAACTCATCTAAAAACCTAAATATAAGGTGTTATGAAAGAACCAGTTCTTCGTCAGGCCTGATCGACACAAACAGTCGTAGAAAAAGGAGCATCAGCTGCGTTTGTTTGTAAAAAGAAGACACGAACCAACAGTCACACTCGGTCAAATACTGAAGTTATGAAAACAAAAACTTTCTTTTACACTCTTCCTCCTCTGCAGGGTTCAGTCTGCGCAGCAGTTTCAGGCTCTCCAGGCTCAATATTCAAGCTTCAACCCCAACCATCAGTTTCCCCACCCAGAGGGGAAGGTGGAGGAGGCAGCCAGGGGATACATGGCTAATCCAGAACCCATGATGGATCAGCTGGAGCCTGCAAACCTGGCTAAACGTACGACAATCCATCTTCACTAAACTGTAGTTAGAGCTGCTGTTGGTCAGTCAGGTCTGTTCATTGGTCCCTGAGTGAGAAGATGGAGACCGTGAATCTGAATAACCTATCTGAACTTCTCTTGTAGCCCCGCCCAAAAAAAGAGGCAGACCAGCTCAACCCAAGGAGCCCAAGGAACCTAAACCACCAAAAGTCCCCAAACCACCAAAAGTCCCCAAAGCACCAAAGCCGCCAAAGGACCCAAATGCACCCAAAGGTAAACCCGGTCCTAAACCGAAGAAGGGGGCTGAAGCTCAGGCTGACGGGAAGCAGGAGAAGATCGACGAGAGCTTCAAGAAGGTGAAGAGGAAAGTGGACCGCTTCAAGGGGATGTCAGAGGAAGAGGTCATGAAGAAAACTCTGCCAGACCTGCTGGATTACAACCTGGATTATGTCATTGTAAGAGTTCTTTTTTAAGGGTTTACTTTAGAGGTGTAAATCTGAGTTTGTGCTCTTCTCAAACATGCTGTGTTTTTTCACAGATCGGTATCAATCCAGGACTGATGGCAGCTTTTATTGGACGCTGGTTTCCTGGTCCTGGAAATCATTTCTGTAAGTTCTTAGAAATTTATGGCCACCTCTTTTTTCATGTTGTATTCAGATTTTAAGCATTTCTGCCTCCATCGTCTCGGTCTCTAAACTGGAGTTTAAGTCAGAGCTGGGACTCTTTTAACACAGTACACAGAGACGTCTGTTTCAGTCCTTAAAGGTGATGAATGACGGTTAAACATCTGAATTCCAGGGAAGTGCCTGTTTCTGTCTGGATTCACTGAGGAGCAGCTGAACCACATGCATGACACCACCCTGCCTGTCAAGTACAAGATGGGCTTCACCAACATGGTGGCGAGGGCGACACCAGGGAGTAAAGACCTCTCCAGGTAGGCCAGTCTGCAGACAGAGACTCATGTCCTCTCTGAGAAGTTTTTGTTTTTCTGTGACTCATCTTTTTGATTTCGTCTCGACAGTAAAGAGCTGCGTGAAGGCGGCAAAATTCTGGTCGAGAAGCTGAAGAAGTACAAGCCGCTGATCGCAGTTTTCAACGGGAAATGTAAGAACTCCTCCTCTGACTTATCAGCACATGTAAAGTTAGAATTATAACAGAGTAATGTTTTTATTTCCCTCCGTCTTCCACCAGGTATCTATGAAATGTTCTGCAGAGAGCTGTTTGGGAAAAAACCAACAAAACTGGAATTCGGTTTGCAGCCTCACAAGATCCCCGACTGCGATGTGGTAAAGAACATCATTATGGATTCTTAAATACTGATGAAAAATATGGATACGTCTTATTGTTTATCATATTGTAAGTTTAATAACAAACCAAAATAACAGCTATACGAAAAAAATCTAAACTCTGGAGAAATCAAGTTGTATATAGCAGGTTTAGGGTTAGGGTTCCTCCCCTCATAGATCTTAAGTCTGGCTCCATCCCTGGGTCACATGGTGGATGTCTTCTCCACTGTATTTCTCCTAAACTGTCAAACAAACGCCTCAAAAGTGAATCTGAACTTTCCAGGCTCTGTACCTGATGCCATCGTCCAGCGCTCGCTGTGCTCAGTTCCCTCGCGCTCAGGATAAAGTTCACTTCTACATCAAACTGAGGGAGCTCAGAGATCAGCTGAAGGGCGTCCAGAGAAGCACAGAGATCGAGGAGGTGCAGTACAGCTTTGACCTGCATCTGGCCAAGGGTGAGTCCAGGGTTTTACTACTTAGAGTTAAAGAAACAGAGCTCAAACTAATCCAAGTCTAAAGACAGAATTTCTCTGGATCCATCATGTCTTCATTTCTGGTTTTTACTTCGACAGAGGACGCCAAGAGGATGGCGATAAAGGAGGAGCAGTACGATCCTGGTTATGAAGACGCCTATGGTGGAGCGTACGCAGAGAGAGGAGCTGAGGGGGCTGAGGGCCAAACAAACGGTCACTGTACGTTCTCAACGGGAGAAAACAGAGGTGACAAACATTCAAACTATTTTACTTTATTAAATCTATTTGAAGTTTTGGGATTTAATGCAGAATAGTGGCGTGATTTGAGAAGTTGGTGTGTCTGAATAAAGTTTATTTAGCTGAAGTGCAGAAGTGTTACTGACTAAAAAGACACAAGTTTCTGCAACCAGAGTGTTTACACTCAGCTTTATTCATTCATTCATTCATTCATTCATGTTTATTTATTTCATTTCATTCATGATACATGATATAATACATTTCACTCATCCTTTTTTTTTTATTTTAGTTTTTTTTTTTTTTTTTTTTTTTTTTTTATCATGTGAAATGAAAAGGAGCAGACAGAAGACAAGTCTTATGTACAACTGCCCCTTCACTACAACACATTTATCTATATCAACCAGCCAGCAATTGATCAAAATATTATATAGTTAAGGTCCAGAAAATACCACAAACAAACTCCTAATGATAATGTGCTCTTTGTGGATGTCTACTTCTTCAGTTTCACAGTCACCTGGGCCAAAATGCATCCAGAGATTCAGCAGACCACTGATTTTTCTGAGCAGAAATTACAGTCCTTGACAAAAACAGACTCTTTAAATGATCTTTGGATGATCAATTTGGTACATTACCAAAAAATCGAACCTGCAACTCTGATTTTTTACGACCACAGAGTACGAGTGTGGTCTGGGACTAGAGATAGATCTTCAAAAGTTTCCTTCAGTTTCTGCCAAATTTTCACTTTTAATAACTTCAGAGATCTCTGTCCTGTTGTGTTACCTCAAATACAGTCCCTCCTAATCCTTCAGTTTGTGTTTTTCTGTGTTCAGAAGGAGCACAGGAGGCGAGCACGTCACAATTAGCAGAAGGTCAGCTCCCAGACGGACAGTGGATGACCCAGTCCTTCGCAGACCAGATCCCGGACATCAGCGGTGGACCAAAGGAGGGTGGTGTATGAGCAGAAGGACTGTGCTGACCTGTCTGGTTTTAGGTTTTTAACCTTTTTATTATTAGTGTAGATGGACTTGTTTAGAGATTTTGCAGAGATTATTTCTGCAGCTTTCATTTGTTTTATGGTCTCGTGTACATGTCTGATCACCTTCACAGCAGTCCTGTTGAAAATGTGAAATCAGGGACTTGACAATGAGGACGCTGGACTGCTCTGGAGGACGATCATGTATTGAAACATTTGTACTGTAACATACTGCACTGTGATGCAGTAGGTGTAAACATTCACGTCTACTGTTTGATAACAGTCGATGAACTCCAGATGTTTGTTGGTTTTTAAAGCTGAACAGATCAGAGTGAGCGGACAGGATCCTCGCTGAGTTTGGGGATCAGCATTAACACACGGACGTTTTCTTTTTATGGTGCTATGAACTGACCTCAGTGCAAAGTTGATCACACTGTAAAAACAGACTCTTCATTTTCAGAATGATGTTACAAAACTCAAACAGGTTTTATTTTCATATTTTCTATCACTTTATTGTTTTAGGGTGTTTAGCATTATGGTTTGTATGTTTTGAAAATGTCATTTTTGAGGAATTTTATGAAACACTTTGTCCATTAAAATATCCTGATGATGCTTTTCTATGTCATGTCATCTGCTGCTGTTCGTCTGTTGGATTAAAGGGATATTCCGGCGTAAAATTAAGTTAGGGTCAAACACACCGTAACACCGAGTTAGACACCCCCTCAAAAGAGAGATGAATGTTGCCGACCGCTTTCTTCTCTAGTTACACCAACTTTAGTAACGACCGCAGGATAGCAATACACAGCGGTCTGAGAAGCCATAAACAAACCTTAACCAAAACGCCACTCTATAGCCACAAATAATGCTCAGAACAGCACCTAACTTCATCAACAGGACATATAGGGTCACAGACATAGTACTAGACACCAAACATCTTTTTAACTTTGACTCATTTCTTCAGCAAAGAGACTAAACACAACTCACCTACTCTCCTCTGAGTGCAGCAAAAAATGTATGATTATTACTCCATGGAAATACAATCAGACCGAGACGCTGAGGCAGAAGAACTACCGTGTTCATCATAAATGTTGTTCCTTGAGCTGCGAAACTCCGCTGCACTCGGTGATCGACTCTTCAGGGAATGCAATCATTCTGAGATGCTAAAGTCGAACAACTACCGCCTCTGCAGTGCACAAACAAGATACACATGAACTCTGATTGCATTTACATGAAGTAATAATCATAAATTTGCTGGAGAAGAGTAGGTGTGTCGTGTTCGGTCTCTCTGCTGAAGAAATCAGGCAAAGTTAAAAAGATGTTTAATGGCGAGTACTTCGTCTAAATCGGTGTTCAACAGGAATTACGCCGGAATATCCCTTTAAGGCAGGAGATTCTGGAGTAATTCATGGTTCTATCTGCTGACTAGTTTCGTGGAGAAGCTGATTGTCTTTTCTAGCAGGATGTAGCACCTGCCCACAGCGCCAAAACTCCCACCAAAGGGTTTGCTCACCGTGGATTTGCTGTGCTTTTATTCGCCAGATGACTTCCCCAGACTCGAACCCCACCGAGAATCAAACTGGAGGTCACCGTCATATCAACTCATGGAAAAAGGAGACCAAACAAAGTACTTAGAGTTTAAATGAACTTACTTTTCAGAAGGTCAATCTTTGTTTTTGATCGATCTCGAGAAAAACTCAGATGCTTGATTTCTAATTTTCATGAGTTAAAGTCAAAATCATCAGAATTAACAAGAAATTGATTAAATAAAACATTTAATATGTAAAGAATATATAAAAGTTCATCTCTTTAAATCTGACTATAAAAATATTAACCCTCTGTATGATATTCAGATGATATCTGAGATACAGTTTTACATTTAAGTACATAGAAACAGCAGGAAGGCCCCAAAACTTTTCTATAAGTTTATGGATATAAAAAAACTTTACAAGAGTTCAGTGATTTTTTTATTCTATCAACCTAGACTTCAATTTTTTTTGTAACAGCACTATCAGACTGTGCAACCAACATTTTAAAGGCTAGAGATATAGAATATAGATATTAAATATAGATAAATTAAATGATCTCTGGAATGATTTGAGAGACAGAAACATTTGAACCAAAGAGGCTCAGAGACGATAAATACAGACGTATGGATATGATAAAGAGTTCATGAGAGTGTAACATTTCCAGACTTTTAAAACCCGGTCTTCCTCCCCTGCTGCACGACTCGTAACTTCTGTGATTTAAAGGCAGATCCATTCGGTGTCAGGGGGTCGGATGGTCCCGCAGAGGTAGGAGCGAAGGAGAACTGGTCCAGGTTGCGGTTGTCATCCATGTGAGGAGTTTTGTTTAAATTTGAGGTCAAAAGTTCTGTGTTTTTGTCTCCTCCTGCCTGAGTCCAGAGGTTTGAGTTCGAGACGCTGCAGGAGAAAAAAAAGATCAGGACACAGAATAAAAAATTCAAGAATCATAAGGTTTAAAGAAATCCAAATATAGATTTCCTGGGTTCTCTTACCTGTTTGGATCTTCTCCTCTGGAGCTCCATATCCGCTCGCTCACATCTTTGTCAAACATCAGCAGTCTGCAAACCAACGTGCCGCCTAACGACAACACTCTGTCACAATAAAAACAAGTTTCATCAGTGGAAAATCAGCAGATCATTACTGCCTGTTATCGTCCTCCTCTCTGACTTCATCGTTACCTTTTGGTGAGTAGGAGCAGCAGCTCGATGGGAAGCACCAGCAGCGTCAGCAGACACAGAAACACCCTCACGGGGAGGAAGTCAGAGAGCCGAGACCACCGAGAGCTGCCGTCACGACCGTCTCTGCACGCCTCACACAGCACTAACAGAAACATTTCACTCTTAGTTTGTTTCGTCAGTCCAAACTCTGTCGTGTGGCGTCCCTCAGGGCTCTGTTTTAGGTCCTCTAAAGTTTGCTCATTATCTGAGATCTCTCTCTCTCTCCTTAATGAGCAAATGAGGAAACATTGAGGGATATTTGACCACATTTAAATGCTTCTTGAACAGGAAGCTCAAACCATAATCTTTAACCTCTAAATTATCCTGATCATACTTTTAAGTTGACGTCTAGCCTCTCATTAAATCCTGTTGTCCGCCTCACCTTTCTTGAAGCCAACAGGAAGGTTCTCAATGACTCTGAGGTCCAGCCATTCATGATCTTCCCGGTGAAGGTTTCGTCCGTTCATCACCGTCTTCTTCGACTCGGCCAGCTCACAACAAGCAGGTTTTACTGCATCCATCTCTGCCTCCAAACTGGGCTGAGGACGCTGTGATCCAAGCAGATCTGTCACAGGTGGTTGACTTGAAGCAGATTTTGACAAATCACAGACTGGAGAGGAGAGTGAAGGTGGAGGGGCTCACCTCTTTCTCCAAGGAACCGAAGAGCGTCCATGTAGCCGTTGTGGCAGATCTCAGCCAGCTTCTTCAAGAGGAAAAAAAAATATTGTTGAAGGGGTTCCTCGGGTTTTGTCGTGAAGATGAGGAAGTGGAGTTAACTACTTTTACTCACCTCAGGTTTTGGAGGTAGAAATGACGTGCAGACTCGGTGCACGTTGCCAGTGTTGACCTGGATGCTGACGTTTCCAAAAGTCGCCTCAAAGAAGTTGAACGTCCCCTCTTTGGGGCAGATGTCGCTCTCGCCTGAGAACGGGGCCATGGTGATGGTGTTTCTGTGCTCGAAGAGGGGCATGTTGTTGCTCAGGGCTCCATCCATGTAGTACTGAGAAGATTCAGTAACCACAAAGTGAAAAGGCAGGTCAGGTCAGGTTTCTACTGTAAGGAGGATATATCTACTCACCACTCCACGGTATGACGGTGGGATGACAGCGCTGTAAAAAGGGAAGAAGCAGCTGCACTCGAGGACCTGCAGAACACGAACAGAACTGAACATATCAGACTCTGTCAGAACTTCAGTGACTCACCTCCAGCAGAGTTTCTTCTCACCTGGATGAGCTCCTCTCTGCTGTCGAACTGTGACACCAAAACATTCTCCAAGTCAGACATCCTGGTGAGGGACACGCAGAGCTTTCCAGAGGCCTTAAGGTGAGCATCTTCTGGAAGCTTCTGCTGCAGGAACTCCTTGGCCGTCCGCAGCAGACTGAAGGTTGGGTGGAAAACTCCCAGAGTGTGTTTCCTGGCCTTTTTAGCCGTGGCCAGAACGTCAACGCAGAACTCCTCTGTGGAGAGAATAATGACAAAGCAATGAGTAAGAAAATGAGCAACTACCCATCATGAAGCTGAAATTTGTTATGGGGGACATAAAATGAGTAACTATTACTTGGGATTGAGTAAATTAAGATAATTAACTCAGTATAAATTCTCACTTCGTTACTTTCTCTGCAGAGTTTATTGGAGTTACTCACTTTCCTCCCATTAACTAATGGTTAACTAGTAGTTACTGGCTCATTATTTAGTAACAATTAATTTTTGTACTTTTCAATAACATGTAACCAGGTAAGTAAAATAATTTGTGGTGTCAGGAATGAAAGGGCTACGTTGTTTGGCAGGTATTGAGTAGGAAACGTGTTTATGCCAAAAGAATCTCTCCAAGGTTAGACGAGGATCCACTTCACGTCAGAGGCTGCCCACTCGGTTCAGTTTCTAATTTCCATAACCACCCATCCACTGTCATAACTGATCTCTTACAAAGGTATCAAAGATTAGCTTTTTCTTCTCACGTCTGTATGTTTTCAGCGAGCGATCGAGGGAAAAACAGAGAGAGTAGGTGACAGGCGTTTCCCCTTGTTTGGCCCCACTCTGCACTTGACCCTCAGTGACCTCTGGAATTTGCTCTCACGATTACATGAGCTACTTGTGTGTCGGTGAACATTCCAGCTACAGGGTTTACTTTTACTATCACTGACAGTGCTTGTTCACAGATAACTTATCTCTGACCTTTATGAAATACAAAAAAGAGTTCAATGAAAATTTTGAGTAAACATGTCAGACATAAGGTGTAAGGACATCAAAAACAAACATGAAACCCTCAGAGTTTTACTTTAAGACACCGGAGTGATCAGTACGAGACAAATAAGAAATCACATGACAACAGTGTGACTTTTGCCACATTTAAAACATCTGTGAAGAACCCAGTGACCCTGATATTGATCCTAGTGATCGTTGTTGACAAAGTGGTTCATGTGTCTCTTTGCTGATCTGCTGCGTAAGATGGTGTTGTCTTACAAAGGCTCCAGCTTTCTGTATTTGAACAGCCAAGAGTAACTGTTTTCCAATGTAAACAAAGGCGATTGCAGCAACATGCCCGGCACAGACCTGAAGGTGGGAAATTAAAAAATACAAATAATCAATGATTCACCTTCTGGGACTCTTCTATGTTTAATCTCAATTCGTGATCACTAACCAGATGGAATTGAAAATAACTTATTATAACTTATTATAATTAATCCGAGCTTCATTTCCCAGGTCCACAGCTCCTACCAACAAAATTTACGTCATTTATTTATTTTGACTCTTCTTTGACTTCAAGTGCCTTCAATAACCGGGCAGTAAACAACAAACTCTGTCAAAGAGGGCGCTGAAACTGAGGTCACGGACGCTGCCAGCACAAAAAAACAACAACACTGCAGCCTTCAAAGTTAAAGATCGTATCAGGAACTTTTTGTTTGTGTTGATGTTGGCGTCCCCTGTGGACAAAATCATTTCTTTTGATGATTTTTTCCCCCCTACACTAGTAAATATTATGTTTTGGTAACGCTTTATGTTAAGGTTCTTATAATAAGCATTAATTAGTATGTAATAAGCCACTTTTGACACTTAAAAGATGCTTATAAACAAAAGCAAGAATTAATATTTACATAATTTACACTTTTGTTATTGGTTATTAGACATTATTAACAGTACGTTATAACAGCAAACTTTACTTAACAGTTAGCAGGTTTTACAGAATAATAAATGTTAGCTAAGATTCCAGTTAAAAGCTTAAACAGTTAAATTAATGTTAATAAACACCTGATTAAAGTTTAAAAGGCATCTTTATACTGCAATTGGTAATAAGTCCCCCAGAAGTAAGTTACAAGCTAATAATAAATATGTTAATTAATTAGTAATAAACCTTTATATAGTCTAATTAATGTTAATGAAGATCTAATTGATGTTTTTAACACCTGTCGGTTCCTAACTAGAGCTCATAAGTGTCTTATAAGCAATTATAAATGTATTAATTATGCATTTATTAGCATTTATAAGCAAGTCTTAATATTTATAAGCATTTCACAGGTGTTATTAACAATTAATTGTTTCTTATTGAAGAACTGTAATATAAATTATCATCACTTTAACAGTGGAAAATATCAGGCATCAGCTTAATTACAATGACCAGTACCTACAAATTAGAGTATCTGTCCTTATGGGGATGGTCTCATTTGTTTGTGTTGGTCACAATTAACTTTAATCTAGTTTATATCCAGATAAAAAACTCTTCAGTGGAGCTTTAAGTGATTTTAAACAATAAGAGGAGGTTCTGCTGTGCTGTATAATGGCGCAATCACAGCCCGGCTGATGTTCAGAACAACAGCTGACCTCCTGGGTGATATTTACTTTATGCAACAGTTGGAAAACACTGGTACATAACAACTGATCATTATTTTTCTATAAGTTATCCTTTATTTCATTTCTCTACTAATTGACCAAGGTCATTTGCTGTGACAGAAAAGGAAGTCTGTTTTTGGCCTTTAATAACTCCCATCCAAGTACCCAATAAAAACTTTAATAAAAGAAGGTTTTGAGGAAACAAGATGAACAAGAGCCACAAACTGCTTCAAGTCCACTGGGGCACAGGTGCCGACATAAAATAAGATAAGATAAGATATTCCTTTAATCATCCCACGGTGGAAAATTCCAAAGTTACAGCAGCGTAAATACAGATTCAAAAAGAGAAATTAAAGGATAAAGAAACTTCAAGTTAAGAAAAGTTATGTACATGAATCTTATTTACATGTGTACAGAATATAAATGTAATATAATTTATTGCACACTGAGGTTTCAGTTGTGGAGTCTGACAGCAGCAGGGAGGAATGACATGCAGAGCTGGAGGCAACACACGTGGGGGGAATAAAAGCATTACTTTCTCAGTGTTTTAAATCACCAAAATCAATCTAACCAGTATCATCCTCATCATGAAAATCCTGATTAATATCAGCAGTAAACTCACCAATAGGAATCCCAACAGCTAAAGCTACAGCCACCAAACAGCCAGAAGAGGCTCCGCCGATCTTTGAGGCTCCGTGGACCAGCTGAGGGGCCCATTCAAGGATACAGCTCAGAGCTCCCAGGTAGTAAACACTCCTGAATCCACATCCTGCAAAAGAAATGTTCCACTCCTCGTCCCAGTTAAACATCTTCTCTGAAACTCCCATCAACTCAAAACCACATCCCTGTGCCTGCAGTCTTCTTTCCACACACCTGCCACAGCTCGGCCGGTGTCTTTGACCTCCTTCAGTTTTTCCCCAGCATGTCAGCCAAGCCCATTGACAGTCTAATGGGAAGCACCAGAGTCTGGTGTGGTAGGGCACGGTGTTGCGTAACTTAGCGAGCCCCCCTGGTCACATGTTTCAAAACAGAAAACACTGCAGGGTCTCTCACCAGAGCAATTAAACCTGCTGCACAGCGTGAGCTACAGCTTTCATAACAGTGGAGGAAAAGGGGGACAGACAGGGGGGATGGGAACAACAGCTACTGAAAAAGGAGGAAAGTTCAGGTTTACAAGGATAAATGAGGCAAAAAAACCTTAAATTATGAAGACTTCAAATAAATGCATCAGTTTTTCTACTTTTTCCAGATTGGATTTGCTTTTGAAAGTTTAGAGGATATAAGGAGGCATAAAAAGAAATTGAGACTAATGAATCAAAATAACAAATTTCGTCTTATTTAAAATGTATAAATATAGTTTTAAATGTCGTCTATTGTCCCAGTGTTGCCTGATATATGATTTTTCTGTCATGATGTGCCAAATGTTTTTTTAAGGGTGACAAATCAGGTTAACGCAGACCCCCTTAAAGAACCCTGCTCTCCAAAATCTGTATTTATTGTCAGCCTATACCCACGCCATAGACACCTGTACCCATACCTATGCCCAGGCTTTTAAACAGTGTGTTTCTAACAGGTGTGTTCATGGTTTCCGAAGAGACTGCAGCAGTTTTCCTCTCCATGTCCATCAAGCCGAGAGGAGTTGGTGTTTCAAAATCATGATTATATGGTTTTGTCTTTGCATGGCACACTTTTAACCTTCATGGATTTACCATAATAACACCAAGAAGACCAAGAAACGGTTCATTTTGTATGCTTTTATTCAACATTCATTGTCGTCTTTTTTTGTATCAGTGCAATATTAAATAAGTTTACATAAATGTCGATAAGGACGCTTAATTGTTCATTTCTTAAGGTAGGAGGTTTGCTCAGATGCGATATTTCGGATCCACCCCACAGCTCGGCCCAATCCCCAGCCTGAACCTGAGCTGCTCGGTGACTCTGAGGCCTCGTCATCAAACCCAGAGGTGGGGCTGCAGGTGGGTGTCGGGGGCGGAGTCAGGGTCATGAGGTCCAGCTCATTCTGTTTGTTCCAGGTGAAGGTGAGGATAGAGGTGGGAGAGGCTTCTGGAGTCATCGGGAGAGCGTCCGTGTCCTCTTGTTCCAGATTTGGCAGGTTCAGGTCTGAGGGCAGGCTTTTACATCGGCGTAGAGGTGCGTCACTGGAGAAAGAGGAACAGGATGGAGGAAAAGTTCTTTGAAACTCAGCTGTAACTTGTGTTAATTATCAGCATAGATAAATCTGAATTTGAATCCCTCGTCGTTGTATCAATGAATCTGAAGCTGCAGTGGTGTTTCTGTGCAGTCTTTGATTGACAGCTGTCCCAGAAATAAACAGTCTCCACCTTTACTATATAATCTATATAACTGTATTTAAAAAAGGTTATACAGCAAAAACCTGTGAAGTTTACACCATCAAGAGGAACCAAGTCAGAGGGTTAGTACAGGAACATACCTCACATTTCTGAATAGAGGGTCAAAGTACAATGAAATACTTAAAAGACATGATGCAGTACAATATAGTACTATTGTGTAGGTATTAATACAATACGATGAAACATGATATGATATGATAATATACGTACATAGGTATATGATACAATAAATTATGATATGACAGGATAAACCATATAAAATGAATCAGGACTAAAACGGTTACCATGCTCACCTGTCACATTCCCCCTCCTTGTCTTTCCAAGCTTGATTGTAAATGTTACCTGCCACACCGTAGAGCCAGCCCATGTCCTTGGGTACCTCTGGGATCCAGTTCACAAGTCTAAAAGGAACAGTCAGAGTTTTGAGAGTCTGTGATATTAAAGTAACTGAAAACTGAACGTTAGAGGAAAGAGTAAAAAAGGAAAAGGGAAAAAATATCACGTTATATTCAAAATAAACTTGAACAAAAAGGGCCTAAATTGTGTCTCTTTACTTTAGATATTTAAATACTTTATTTTGATGATAAAGATGAATGCTGAGGATAGTTTGTGACGTAATTTGTATGTAAAAATGTGAATATTGTGATGTATACAGGTGAGCTGACTGTACCTCTGGACCAGAGAGCAGGCTGAGTCAACAGGCAGGACATTCGGGATCTTTGGCAGGTACTCTGTCACACGGGACAAAAGGCCACCAGCAGTGTGTGTCTCCCTGCAGGCCTCACACAGCACTGACACAAAAACAGTAACAGATACGAAGAGTTTAGTTGTTTTGCTGCTTTAAACATTTTTTTAATGAAAAAAAAAAGGATTTCCCTACCCTTCCTGATGTTGTGTGGGAGTTTCTCTATGAGAAGTCGGTCCAGCCACCAGTGCTCCTCCTGTTTTGTGTTTTCAGCTTCGGCCGACTCTCCTCTCGGCTCACAACAAGCTTGTACTGGTGTGTTTGTCTCCAGGCTTTTCATCGGAGACTCACTGCTGATCAGATCTGTGGAGGGGTTTACATTGCTATGAAATGGGTATCCAGAGGGAACCTTATCCACAGTTTATATATATGATGGGTATCCAGAGGGCCCCTTTGAATGTTTAAAAGAGTGTAAAGGACATCTGGACCATGTAGTGGGGGGTCATCTAGGGGCACTTTTCCCATATTTTATATAGAAGAGCATCCAGAGGGCACCTTCTTTATGTAGTCAAAGGGCATGTTGAGGCACTTACACATGTTTTAGATAGGGAAGGGCATCCAGAGGGTATTTTTTTATGTTTTACTCATTATGAGGGCATCTAAAGAGGGAACTTTTTCTTTTTTATATCATTATGAGGGCATCCAGAGGGCACTTTTTCTGTGTTATATTTTAATAAGGGTATCCAGAGGGCACATTTTCACGTTTTACTCATTATGAGGGAATCCAGAGGGCACCTCTCTATGTTATATTATTACGAGGGCACTTTTTCTGTGTTACATTTTAATAAGGGTATCCAGAGGGCACATTTTCATGTTTTACTCATTATGAGGGCATCCAGAGGGCACCTCTCTATGTTATATTATTACGAGGGCACTTCTCTATGTTAAATTATTAAAAGAGCATCCAGTGGGCACCTTTGTATGTTTTACTCATTATGAGAGCATCTAGAGAGTACCATTTTTGTTATGTTATTATGAAGACATCTAGAGAGCGCTTGTTGAAGTTCTCCACAGCAGTAGAGCATCCAGTGGCACATTTTCATGTTTTTTCCCACTGGGAAAGCATCCTGTGTGCATCTTTTTTCATTTGTATAATGGAAGAGCAAACAGTCAGCACTTAACCAACTTTCACAGAGAAGCAGCCACTCAAGCAGGTTGTCATGCCTTCACCATGATTGGGTATTTTATAATATTTTATTGTCTACAGGAGAATCTAAGAGGGCGTTTTCAAAGTGTTTTTTTTTTAGCCATGAGGTCCAAAGAGCGTCCTGTCTGCTCACTCCTGAGGACACCACTGGAACAACGCATCAACATTCATGCTCAATATCATACATGGTCCCTTACAAATTAAATAAATGTATAAATATGGAGCCAGAAGTTTCCCTTACTGTGATTCTGCAGGAAGCGGAGAGCGTCTATGTAGCCGTTCTGACAGATTTCAGCCATTTCCTAAAAACAAAATAGATTTAATGATAAAGATAAAAAGTTCATTCACTATATTTTTTACGTACAGCTGACAAAGTTATTGTAATAATAATAACTATTGGAGACTTGAATCCTGTATCTCAAAGTTAAAACAATAAGACATCTGACCAGCAGAGGGCGCCTTATCACGTTTACTCTCCTTGTTGTCTCACTTTTTGAAGCTCTCCTGAATTTCTTCAGCAAACATTGACAGTTTAAGACATTTCTCTTCTCACAGTTAAAGCAGCTGAATGACAGAGACATCTGTGGGAATCACTTTATCAATATCATCACCACAGGCCTTCTTTTGTTTGTTTGTCTTGATTCTGTCTGATGATTGTTGGTCATTTGTGCAGAGTGCTCTAACATCTGTGTCATAATTGAAACAGACACTTTTCTGAGGGTCTGTGGCTCTTCAAACTTGCACTCTGTGTGTCTCACCTCAGCCTGTGGGGGGAAGAAGGTGCTGGTCACTCTGTACACGTTCTCCGAGTTCACCTGGATGCTCATGTTTTTAAAGCGCACTTCGTGGAAGTTGAGCGAGCTCGCTCGAGGACACAGATCGCTCTCACCAGAGTACGCAGAAATGGTGATTGTGTTTTTCACGTGGCATCGAGGCTGGTTATCACTGGCGGCACCGTCTACATAATGCTGAGAGGAGTCAAGATTAACCACTTAAAATCAAAGTTAGGAAAACAACTTCCCAAATCTGTTAATGTGACCATGAGAGGAGGATCAGATACGGAACATGCCAGGATGCAGAATCGAGGTGTCAAGTGTCTGAAAGTCTCCTCTTTGCAGGATGTGATGTTTGTGTTGTTCACTCACCACTCCACGGTACGTTGGTGGGATAACACCACAGTAAAAAGGGACGAAACAGCTGCACAGGAGGGCCTAGAAAATGAAAACATGATTAAATATCAGTCACAGAAGCTCTTACACTTTGTTCTTTCTCATGTAAACGATGGTGTGATGTTGAAGGAGGTCAGTCTGGTACTGAGCTGCTGACATGTTTGATCCTGGAGTGACAAGGCAGACACAGTTCTTTGCATCAGGTTGCAGGTAAAGTTCAGAGATGCGTTTACAGACTTTAATTAAAAAAACTCACAGGTTATGATAAATAAAACTCAGACTTTGTTGCCCCGTGAGGATCAAACACCTGACTGAAACAGTTAAATGCAGCTGCAGACGTACAGCAGTACAAAAGTTTTAAAAGAAACCTTCAGTTTGTCTCTTTGGCTCAGATTTCTTGCATATGTTGACATTTTGACCCTTTTACTTTCGAAGAGGAAGAACACACAAGATTGTTTCAGAATCACTGCATTTTGTGCTAAATCTGAAAAAGAGGAAGAAGAAAAGTTGCAACAATCAGCTGAACTTTACCAACTCCATCCTGTCAGAACAGCAGAAACACTTCTGTCAGCTGCTCAACTACCTCTACATATTCCTCCTTCATTTCCTTAAACAACAAGATTTGTTTGCAAAGTCAGCTTAAATTTTGATAACCCAGTGAAAAGCAGGTCTCAGTAAAATCACAGACAGACTATTCCATCTTTGTGATTGATTAAAATATTAACTTACAAATATTTGATTTGATTTGACTCGTGAATGCCCAAGTACTTTGTTTAACAAATAAAAAAGACTATTATCTGTATATGGGGGTGAGAATAATAGCCTTATGGAGTAAGAAGACAGTTTCTAGTTTAATGTCTCATTTCAGCTTCCAAATAACACACCAACTCACCTGAATGAGCTCCTCTCTGCTGTCAAACTCCGATACCAGCACGTTTTTCCCATCAGACACTCTGGTCAGGGACACGCAGAGCTTCCCAGAGGCGAGGACATGAGCGTCTTCAGGGAGACACCTCAGCAGAGAGTCCTTGACGATCTGCAGCAGGTTGTACGCCGGGTGAAGGGGGCCCAGTTTGTGCTTTCTCGCCTCTTTGGCCATGAACATCAGATCAACACAACATTTCTCTGCACAGAGGGGAACATGACAGCGACAGTGAGGGTATTCATGGGGGACAGACTGAGCTTTAAGTCTAAAAACTAAATAAACCCATAAGTGGAGACACACCCTATTTTTGTGTGTTTGTGTCTGATTTTGAAAACAAACTCCTCTAGGACACACCTAATCTAATCTTATCTGGATCCTTGTGTAAGAAGTTCCTGTGGACACTGTACTACAGTTTCAAACTGTTAAGACACTTTATCTGATCTCAGTCAAGATAATTTATGTTGGTTCAAGATAAATCAGATATTCTCTGAATATTTTTCTATCAGCTGTTTGCTTAGATCGACTAACTAAACATGAAATATTGAAGCATTTTTCAGTTTAAGGTTGTGTGACAAACAGTGATATATACCAAGACATTTAGAAATACAAAAACAGTCCAAAGATTGAACAATATGACATGATTTAGAAAATTAGATATAGAAGATACAACACAACACAACACAGAAAGATATGATAGGAAGCAGGATATATTCGCACATGGAATGATACTAATGTGTTATGTTATGATGCAAATGGATATAAAACAATAGATACCGAACCACAGGATCTGATGTTTGCTATGATACAACACAATATAGTATGATTTATGGTATGATTTAATTTCATATGATTGCCTACAGTTTAATTTAACATAAAACAATACCATACACCAATCTTATTTGCCTTCAGATCAAGTGTTAGAGGCTTTTACAGTAATAGGAATTTCAAAAAACATCAAACTAACAACCACAAACATGAAAGCAGAAGTAAAACAAGAGAAAACAAATATTTTTCCACAGAACCACACCGCGCATGCTCCCTGTGATCTCGCAAAAAAAGGTAAAAAAAAAAAAGTGTGTAAGAGCATAATTCTAATATGAAGACGGTATGGTTTGTAAAGTAAAAGGAAGAAGAGTAAACTTTCAAAGTGAAAAAGTTTTAAATTCACTTTTAAGATCAACCAAACTTCAATATTTCTAAGCCGAATTACAAAACTATCATAAATTTATTTACACCGATCTGAATAAAGCGTCCAACTTAGTTTGTTTGCTTGTTTTAAACGAAAATCTTTTAACTTGGTAAAAAATTGAATGGGGTTTTGGTGCGTCAGAGGGGCACTCGTCTCACCTAGGGGAATCCCGAGGCTGAGAACTGCGGAGATGAGAGCTCCTGCAGACGCCCCGCAGATTTTCGAGGCGTCTTGAATGAATCGAGGGGCTCGTTGAAGGATACAGCTGCAGGCACCGACATAATAAATCCCCATAAAACCACATCCGGCGAAGGAAATACTCCATTCTTTCTGCAAATCCAACATCTCACCACACTGTATGAGCTGAAATATTAAAAACGTGTGCGGGGAGAGTGGAAAGACCGCTTAACAAACCTCCACCTGTGCATCGCCTCACCTGAACTCAGTTTCCCAGAGGCGACATGTTAACTTACCTTACGTTAGCGTGCGTCATTACGTCACATGCAAGATTGCAGCGACGTTGCAGCAGAATGGAGGCTCAACGGTGACATAAACAGAAATGTTCAAACCGTGGTCTGTTATTGTGTTTTCCTCTTCATGCAGGGTCTTCAGCAGAAGTTTGTGTGGTCTGTCTTCTAAAATGAGTATCCCTGTGGTGGACTTTGGCGGGTACAGCCTGGAGAAGAAGGATGTTTCTAAAAAGGACTTGAATATTTTGAGGAAGAAGTTAAAATCAGCCTTTACAGACGTCGGTTTCGTCTTTTTAACGAACACTGGCATCACTCACGAGGAGGTAGGAGACTGAATGAAGAAGTTAGCTTGTGTTAAAGTTGGCAGTGTTAAAGGAAATGTGTGTTTCTTTCTGTTCTGTACAGATGAACTATGTTATGGATATATCCAAGACGTTTTTCCTTCAGCCGGTGAAACTGAAACTTCCTTACAGCAGAGGAAACTTTTCACTAAACTCTAACCATGGCTGGGTTTCTCTGGAAAAAGAGAAGTATGTAACAAACACATCATTTAAACTTTATTTATGAACAGTCTGCAATCTTTACTGGAGTTTAATTCTGATCCATTGCCTCCTAGGTTAAATCCAAATCGACCTGGAGATCTAAAGGAGGCATTCAACGTTGTTTTACTTCATTCAGACATAGTAAGAATATAGAAATACTTCTATGTTAAAGTCTAACTTCAGTGTATTGTTGTTAGGTTACAGATTTCAAGCTGTGGGACTGATCCAGTTCAGTCTTGACTAATCAGTTATGTGGTAAGAGTTGTACTTTGTACATTTATTTCAGCTGCTCAGAGACTGTTTGTCACACATAAACCAATCATGAGTGTGTTAAAGTTACACCTTTTTGTATTTCAACTCCATCAAATCGAACATGATTGGGTTTTACGTGTCTCTAACAATTTTTGTTTAAACAAAGGAGTCAGATGTTGCAACTGCGACACTGTTAAGCAACATATTTGGTTTAATTTGAAACAGATTTCAAAGACGTAAAAGGGAAATGAACCTGATAACAAGCAGAAAGAAAAGCAGAGAATAAAACAGAAAACTGCTGCGTACTAGGTTGCTTTGATACATTTCCCTTATTAAACAAAAGCTTTTAAAAAATCAGTCTTAAAACTTGTACACTAAAAATACACGTTTTTAAACACACCTATATCATAATTCGTTTAATAGTAATAAATCAGTGCTACTTTTTATTGGTAAGTATTCGCAAAGTAACATAAATCAGTTTCTACCTCATTTAAAGCTCCAGTTAGAAGTTTTAGCTGGTTTTTAATTACTATGGTGCCTCATCATGACCTGCAAATGCAAACAAGAGTATCTCCAAAAAGACCAACAACTTTAACCACGACGAGGGGGTAGATGTTACACCATACAACTCAGAGCAACACTTTCTTTTACTCGTTCCGCTGCAAATATTTCCTCTGAGCTGCAAAAAAAGAGATTTATTTGGTCAGAAAATTTGGTTTCCACATGTTAAGGACAAGATGGACAAAAAATGAGCTTTAATGTTCTTTTTGTAAGTTGACATCATGACATACAAATGCAGTTCAATCCCTTTATCTTGTCATGTTGGACTAGAAGAGTTCAGCTTCCTCGAGCTAAAAAAAAAAGAAACCTTTATTCAACATGATTCTGTCTTACAAATAGACTAGATAGTGACCTTTACCCACATGAACGACAACAAACAAGAAACATAATAAACTAAAACTCTGTTCTCTCCTGCTCCTGTAGAGATGGCCATCAGTGAAGTCGCCTGAGAAAGAGTCCTTTCAGGAAATTCACACACGTTTCTTCCTGCGCTGTAAAGAGCTGAGTCTGCGGGTGCTTCGAGTGATGGCTCACTGTCTAGACCTGGACCCAGAGGTGTTCCTTGGCCCACACAAAAATATAGGAAGTAAGTGGAAAAGTAGAGCAGCAACTAAAAAATGATTTTATTCTTTTTTATTGGAAAACAGTAAAAATAAAATAAAAGGTCAGTGCTTGATCCAGAGTCAAAAATGTTAAAAGACAGCTTAACAATAAAACTATTCATTTTACAGTCATAGAGGAGTAAATCAACCAAGAAAATGTTTACATTCAATCACAAAATTAGAGAAACACAGCTTTCTATCTCTCCATAAGATCCCAGAATAAAAAGTAGGTCCTTGGTATTTATGTCAAGTCTCAGTCTTTGCAGCTCACACCTACAAAAACATGAAGGGTTTGAATCAAATCAAGTGAGAAATATTGTACATGTTTTAAAATCAACACTGACTGACTGCTTTGTTTTTGCTTTTTAAGTGTCATATCAGCAAATTGAGATCAGCTGATATGTGGCGACACTATCTATGACCTAAGCCCTTGTTTATCTGAGTCAGGTCTTATGACTGTGTGCAGATGTTTTCAGGCTCTCATTTGAAATCCGATAACTTTTCTTTAGGTAGAAACTTTTATTCATTTTATTGTGATGAAACATGACTTCTGTTTACATTATCTCAGAGACAAGAAGCGCTTTTTTATTCTTTTGTTGACCAGCTGGAGTTACTCTATAACACAATAACTAACATGTAGGTGTGCCTCTGGATTTGATGTACCAGAAGGTCAAAAGTAGATAAAGCAAACTTCTTTATGAGGCTCCTGTCAAGAGATTATAACTCGTTAACTTTTAAAAACCATCCTCACCTGTTAACAGTGACGTTGTGTCCCCTCCAGCGGATAAAAACAGCACCGCCCTGCGCTCGCTGTACTACCCACCGGTGAATAGTGAGGAGGCCAAGGAGGGTCAGCTGAGGTGTGGAGAGCATTCAGACTACGGCAGCATCACTTTACTGTTCCAGAGCTCTGAAGGACTGGAGGTAACTCCACCAACACCTCCACCTCTGGAAATGTCTTGTTTACATCCAACATTTTCCCTGAGAAACCTTGAATTCAGTTAATCGTGTGTTTATTGAAGATACAGGTATTATCCTTACTGTGAGTGACAAAATATTCAATGGCCTGAAATCATTTATAAATGGTGCAAACTGACAGGATTTTTTAACCAAGCAGCTAAACTAGACAGGGCACAAGTTTCATGGCATGTACATCACTCCCCTTGTCCGCTTGCCCTCCGTGCTCATGACGAGTTTTCCTCCTGCGATTTCACATGAACCAACTCAGATTTTATCCTGAGATTAAAGTAGGGGGCTGGAAGGGAAATACTCCAGGTGGGATCAAGTTGAAAATTCAGCTGTCTGTGTTCACACATGCAGCTCATCCAGGAAGTTTTCAGGAACTTTGTGCATGTGTTGCTAATTTATCATTTGGTATTTGTCACTTTAAATGAATTTGAAATGTTCGTCACATTTGAACTTGCAGGTGCGGACTCGGTCTGGCACGTTCATCGCTGCTCCCTGTATTCCCGGGGCAGTCCTCGTAAACATCGCTGACTTGATGCAGCGCTGGACCAGCGACCAGTTTGTATCTGTGGTGAGTTTAAAGGATTTTTTTATTGCAGATACCTTTAACCCCACATAGATGATTATTATTATTGAGCCGACACAGTTATCTCTGAGGAGTTTATGCCAGCTCAGCCTATCAGGTAGGTATTTTGATGAGTCAAACATTTGTGTGGACTATGTGTCATCTCAATCTGCTGTAAAAACAGAGACAAGCTTTGAAGATTTAACTTCTGAAAACTGAAGAAACATCAGCTGTGTTTGCAGACTGCAGCTGTAGGGGGGCTGGTGGTTTCCCCAGGTTCAAAAAGGTCCTGAAGTCCTGTCATCACCAAGTCCCACTCCTGACAGCTGAAGTTTTATCAGTTTATATGCATGGGCTCAAAGTTCACACACCTGCACTGTCAGGTGACTTTTGATCTCTCCTGGTCTCTGAATAGTGCAGACGTTCCTCCCTCTCTCTCCTTTGGCCTGTGGAGTCTTGTTGTTGGTCTTTCTTATTTGATTTTTCTTACATGTCACTGTAACTGAGACAAATGCATGAGAGATGTTGCTATAAGACGTAAACGCTAACCTCATCATTATAAACACCTGGGAAATCTACTGAACCACCTAATCTGTCAGCACAGACAGATGTGCTGACAGATCAAGATCTACAGTAAGATACCAAATCTGGGCTTAACCAGGACAAGTTCAGGATACAAAGGTTGAATATAAAATAATAAAATGTAAAGCTACTGTTGTAAAAACAGGATGTATTAAATGTGAAAGCCTCTCACTGCCTTGTTTCTGTCCCTCAGCGCCACAGAGTTTTGCTCCCTCCTGCTGGAGACTCACGGACACGTCAGTCCATGGCTTTCTTCGTCCATCCGGATGACGACTCTCTGATCACCTGCTGTGACGGCTCCGACAAATACCCTCCTGTGACAGCAGGCGGTTACCTGATCGAGCGTTTTGAAGACTCGTATGGAAGAAAATGAATTTCTACTTTGAGTTGATTTTACATCTTTTAAGGTTAGAGGTTTATTTCTTGGTGCTGGAAGAGTATGGTGAGTTATGGTGACAGGAACATTATTGGTGATCTTGAAACAAAGGTAAATCTCAATGAAAGGGTGAGAGCGCAAGTGACTGTGACAAATGTCAAAGTGTAGCGGTGAGACGACAGGGTCAGAGCTTCTCCAAAGCAGCAGCTCTTGTAGGGTGTCTCCAATCGTGGAAAACAGGTGAATTTGTGACAGTGAAGGTTTGGAGTGAGCTAGCTGATCCTGATCAGACTGAACAGAAGCGGTAGAAGAGGTCAAACTCCTGGAAAAGTCAACGCTGGCCCTGATAGAAAGGTGTCAAAACACTCACAGTGCATCACAGTTTGTTGTGTATGAGGCTGGACTCTCTGACCTGTCCTTGCTGACCTCGTTCACTAACTAAAGTGCCTGCTGTGGATGTGAGCGCCACAACTGGATCTTTTTGCAGTGGAAGACGGTGGCCTAGAGGAAAAAGGCAGTGTGGACTTTGTCTCTGAATTCCTCAGACCTCTATCCAGTCGAGCAACAGCTGATCTGTGGAGACATCACCTAACAATCAAGACTTCAGGTTCTTCTGTGCAGGCGCTGGATACCACAGCACACCTTCAGAGTCCATGTCCATGTCAGGTCAGAACAAGAGGGAGGCCAGAGGTCATGATGTTGGGGTTGATTGTCTGGTGTTTTCAGTTAGTCATTGACAGAGTTTCCTGACTTTTAAAGATAGTCCCTTAGACCGGGGCACAGAATGGCCCTGGTTTTAGCACACACCTCATGCAGTGGTCGCTGGTTCAACTTCCTGCCACAAGCGTTTACTGCGTATCATCCTCCTCTTTCAGGTCTCTCCTCAGCTGCTCTACACAGTTACAGCAATAATGTAAGACAAATTTTAGGTGTAATTTTTAAAGGATTTTTTTAACACTAGTTTTTTTAAACCTTGTACAAAAATGTCATGAAATCAGGAATTTTTCTGGTACACAGATTTAGCGGCTTCATGACAGGAATTTAAAACTCAAATAAACTGGACTTTTGTGTGTGTGACTTACAATCTTTGTGTTCATACAACATCTTACAACATGCACATTTAACCAGGGATAAAACCTGCTTTTATTAACAGTGGATGGGTCTTATAGAGGTAATATAAAACACAATTCAGACACACACACAGCATGAGACTCACAAGCAAACTGCTCTGGTATCACTTCATTGTCCACTCAATATTATCCTAAAGCAGGTACAATTATATTGCAAATTAAAAGACTGGTGCTTGTTGTTAAAGCAGCTGGAAAGCAGACAGGTCCATGGTGGCAAAACATCTGCAGCAGCAATTCAGAGGAACCTACTGCATGACGGAGCTCAGGGACAGTGAAGGAGTGTAATTTTTTAAGTGTTTTTACAATCATTTATACACTTTTATAAGTCTAAGACGCACAGGCTCACTGTCACTCACTCAGGTTGCAGGGTTAAAAGATCTTGTTTAGACTAGTGGCCCAGAACCTGAAGCATGATCAGCTGTAGGAGCTGGAGTCCCTGCAAGAGGTCACAGTTGACGAGTTGAATCTTCATGACCGTAAATGCAATGATAAAACAAAGGTGAGGGAGGAAACACCTGTACTTCTCCTTCTCCATCATCCAGCTGATCGAGCTGTTGCCATGCCCCCTTTTTTCTGTCTTTGTTAAGAGGCTCTCAACCACAGCCGGCCCAAGCCTCAATGGGGCCCTAAGCAAGATTTGATTTTGGGGCCCTCTATTTCTGGCAATTGTTGATCATTTACACACCTTCACAAATCTCTTTAATATTCCCTGACATGTAAACAAACCTTTATCTTGGTGTTTTTTCTCTTCTTCCTTTTCTTTTCTCTGCTCCTGAAGGATATGTCCTTTTTTTACGAAATTGTTTTGCTCCACAACTACCTGCTCTTTGGACGCTCAGTGCACATTGCACAGCAGAAGGAACATAAGCAGTAAGAATCATAGGCCTACATCAGCAGCATCACTAAATGTTTTTACTTTATTTTATTTTGACAGTAATTTTTATTTAATCGTACAGAAAGCATCACTCATACATGCAAAACATATATATATTTATATATATATATATATATATATATATATATATATATTTGGATTGCTCTTGGGGGGCCCCTATTGGCCGCGGGGCCCTAAGTAGGCCCTTGGTTCACTTATCTTGTAGACCGGCTCTGCTCTGGACTAAAGAATATGGGCATTAAAATAAGGTTTGTGGGGAAATATGGTAACAAAATGTGCCAAAACATGGCACTATTGTAGCTCTGTCAACTTGCTCAGTGTTGTTTTGTTCTATAGAAAAGGTTCATAAGAATAAGAAACACTTTAAACCTAGTTTAAGTTTTACAGTATCGTTCATAATTTTAATTTAATAAATTGTTTCTTCTAGAGTCACTTCTGAGTTTAAAACGTGATTAAGAAATTGATTTGTTCGTGAATTTATTATTTGTTTCAGTCGACTTTGGAAGGGCGGTTTTATTGTACTACTTTCGGTACGGCATAGTCGGAAGTGATATTACCGCTACCCGGAAACAGTTCCAAATTTCAGCAAGGTACCTAGAACAACATTTTTCAGATAAAATATGGATTTTCACAGATGGATCAAAAGACCCTGATACTGGAAGAACAGGAGCTGCAGTTCTCATTCCACACTACAAAACACATATCAAGAAAAGAACCACAGACCATCTATCAGTATATACAGTTGAGCTAGTTGCTATAATCTTAGGTTTGGAATGGATAGAAGCAAACAATCAAAACAACACACTAGCATCAAAGCATCAAAACCATGAAGTCATGTAGGCAAGAACTCATATATAAAATACACAATCTACTTTATACAATTTACAAGAGGGGTTTATCAGTGTGTTTTATTTGGGTTCCTGCCCATGTAGGTATAGAAGGGAATGAAGAAGTTGATTTTCTGGCCAAACAAACACTCAAATCACACAATGTAAATACAGAAATTCCGTTAAGTAAGGCAGAGGGTAAATCACTAATCAAAAAACATATGAAGAAAGTATGGCAAGAATACTGGGACATTCAAGATACGGGAAGACATCTTTATAACATACAGGAAAAAGTTGGGTTGGGAAGAAGAAGGGGCAGGAACCGGAGGGAGGAAGCAATCATCACACGTCTGAGGATAGGACACACAGGACTGAATAACACACTGTATAAGATAGGAAAACACCCAGATGGCAGTTGTGACAAATGTGGACAGGCTGAGACTGTCCAGCATGTCTTGTTAGATTGTAGAGGATATGTGGAGCAAAGGAGGATACTGGCAGCAGCAGTGCAGGAAACCAGGATGGCACTTAGCATGGGGAATCTACTAAGTTCAGAATCAGAAATTGTAATCAAGCATCTAATGGCATATTTGAAAAACTCGGGGCTACTGGAGAGGATCTAATTCCTTTTTTTTTTTTTTTTAATCAATTTTTTCTGTCTACCAATTTACTGCTCTACACTCCAGTCCAGTAGGTGGCGGTAATGCACCTTCTCGTTGGTTTGCCAACCGCCAATAAACACCATAGAAGAAGAAGAAGAAGGAAGTTCCATACTTCAGCGGTCTTTGGGACTTTCTGGCGGGATGTCGTTGTGCATTTATTCATTTGAATGGACTAATTTCTTCTTTAGAAATGAGTATTCCTGTGTCAGACTTTAGCGCTTTCAGTTTGGACAAGAAAGATATAGATAAGGAGCAGCTAAACATCTTGAGTAAAGAGTTTAAAGGAGCTTTTACGGAGCTCGGTTTCCTGTTTCTGACCAACACTGGCATCACCTATGAGGAGGTAAGACTGAGGGAAGACAGAAGTTTGTGTTAAAGCTGGTTCTGTTCAAGGATAAATGAGTGTTTGTGTTTTTTTTGGACAGGTTAAAAATGTTATGGACATATCCAGGACGTTCTTCCTGCAGCCGGACAAACTGAAACTGCCCTTCACCAGGGGGAACTTTTCACACAACCCCAACCATGGCTGGGTGGCTCTGGAGATCGAGAAGTAAGTACCAGGACCACACCGACTCTGAGCCCGCATAATGATCAGGAACAGGTGCATGTCCACCTGTCATTAACCCTTAGAACTCCCAGCTATATTTTGCTATTATATAGTAACTCGATCGTTTCAAGCAAATATATACACATCTTTTATTTTCAGGACAACCTCAGCTGTCAGTTTATTGGTGCAAAAATGATGTAAACTTAATATAACAGTAGATTCAGAACCATCAAAGTCAACCAAAAAACAAAAATGGAAAGTAATGATAAGAGTACTTTGCTCAAAAAACACATAAATCTACATTGACCAAGCCTTTTCTCACCTGCACGCCATTCTCTCAAGTCTTGGCTATCAGGAGAGGAAATATTGGGATTGGAACAAACACACAACAGAAACTATTGACATATTTACACTAATTCTTCCAGGTGTTTTTGACTATTTACAGTTGTTTCTGCCGCTCCTTGAAGCAGTTCCTGTCTGGGATGAGACAGAGGACCACATCATACTGCTCAGAATCTCTTCTTTACGTGTTTCCAAACATTGAGGAACATTATTTCTGATTTTGCAGACAAACAGGGAACTTTCTTGTCTCTTGTTGATCTTTGGTTGTCTCTTGTTGGACACTACCGTCAAGGGAACAATAGAAGAAGAATATGAGACGTCATCAAAACAGCTTTTCAAACCCAGAAGACATTAGCGGCATGTAGTGATAGTAATCTTTTTTTTATCACAACGATACGATAAATAATCCTGTTTTCACCGGTATATCACTGCGGATTTACCATCAAATGTCTCTGATCAAACACCTATTTTTGTGGCTGGATTGTAAACCTTGTGGCAGGTGTAGAAATGTCTGGAAACCCTCGATAGATCGCCAAAAGGATAAGATTTTGAACAAGATACACGGTATAGTTCCTGAGAAACTGTAAACTGTAGTAGTGGTGTCATGTGGGATCGCCAGTGTTAATATCACTTGTCTGTAAACTGTCTTGAGGTTTGATGGGTAAAAATAGAACACTCTTTTGGAAAGGACAACTGGACTTACTTGTGACGTTACTACTTAGGGTTTTTAATGCAGTTTTAACAAAGATTTATATTTGTAGATTTACACTCTGCATCATTTTTCTTTTTTCCAGGTTGGATCCACGCCGACCTGGAGACCTGAAGGAGGCATTCAATGTTTTACTTCACCCAGACATAGTAAGGACAGTTTTGGCTGCAGTATGTTTATGTGTTTACTTTTGGAGAAATAAGACTCGTGTTGTATCCCGTGACAACGTTGTGTACCGCTGTCAGTTTATATTCATGTTCATAAGTAGTCACTCAGCATACATGTCAGGTTTGCTGCAAAGGAAGGGAAATTCATAATCACAGCACTCTTAAATGTCATAGATGAGCGTCCAGTGTTTTTGTGCCGTGTCCATTTCTTTCTACAATTTTAAATCGAGTTTCTTCAAAAGTTTACTCAAACTAAAACTCTGTTTCCTCCTGTAGAGGTGGCCGTCAGTGAAGTCGTCTGATGGAGAGTCGTTCCAGGATGTTCATACAAGTTTCTTCCTGCGCTGTAAAGAGCTGAGTCTGCGGGTACTCAGGGTGATGGCTCACTGTCTAGAACTGGACCCAGAGGTGTTCCTCGGCCCACACCGTAACATGGGAAGTAAGTGAAAAACAGAGAAGCAAGTTAACTAAAGAGTTAGAGTGTTGATTTTGGTCAGAAAATGATCAAAAATAGACATCTTCTAGTCCAAAGCTGAAAATGATCCCCTCAGATTTATTATTTTACAAAGATGAGCTGAGAAAGTGGGAAATATTGTAACAGAAGCATTGATAATCAGGGAAATATGACTCATTATTTCCTATAATATACCTCAGAATAATCAATCAAACATCATTATTGTTGGTGGTTTTGATGTCAGATCTCTCGATTTACAGGATCACCGCGTTTGAACAAAAGAAGTCTCAGAAATTCATCAGTGAAATAAGAAATATATCAAAATAAGCTCCCAAGAAAACAAGAGAGTACGAACAGTTCTCACACTGACAGCTTTGGTTCCATTTCTCCGGTTTAAGCTTCATGTCATCATGACGGTAAATTGAGATCACCATGACTTGATCCTTTGTTTATCTGATTTTTTTTTCTGGCTTTAGTAAACTTTTAGTCTGGAGGAACGTCGGCTGTAACTTCTACATCTCAGGGACAAGACTGCTTGTTTGTTCCTCTCTATATTAGAGCTGTAGTTAACCAAAGAAAAACCTGATCGACCAAAATAACACCAACTCATTAACAAGCTGATCGGTGGATGTGACTCACCCTGAGTGAACTTGGAAATAAACAGGATGTGGTTTTGCAGCATCACAAATTCTTTTTAATCTCATTACTCAGAGTTGACCATAAATGTGACCTCTGTATGTGATCTGGGGATCTCAGCCCAGTAACTTCAACTGAAATTTACAAACACAGATGCATGTCGGTGTGATCAGACTGACTTTAAAACCCCCAAACTTGCCTTTAGCACTTTAGCTTTGTAACACCATCCTGACAGCGGGGTCTAAAATGAGACTGTGTGATGTTTCTCTCTACCTGATAGAAAATAGATTTAAAAAAGCACGTTTGAGCCTGTTCTTCACCATACCTACTGTTAGGCCTGTCACGATAACAAATTTTGCTGGACGATAATTGTGCTACAAATTATCGCCAATAAACGATATTATTGACACTATTTTTTAAATTATAGATAATGATATTGTATGGCATAATAATGCGAATACACCATGTCAAAAGTGATAAACTTTAATTTCCACACGAGAACAACACTGGTTGTTTTCGTTGACTAAAATATTTCCCTTTTCTCCCACGACGAAGACGTAACGTTGACGAGCTAAACATAAGTCGGAGATGACTAAAATGTGACGAGACGAAAGTACGTTAACGTTGATGGGACGAGACGAAAATGACAAACAGAGTTGCAAAACTCAGTCAGTTAAACGCTAAACATATAGGAGCAGCTTCAGTCCGCTCTGACAGCTCTCATCAGCCTGCTGTGCTCCTCCAACACACAGACACACACGCGCGCACGCACACGTGGAGTTTTGTGGTTGACGAAAACAAAACTGGTTTAAAGCCGAAATATTCCCACACTTGGGCTGTTGCGTTCGGTTTGGACACCAAAACTGTCGTGTTCATTCTGTTAGCTTGCTTTTCACTCACGACGCTCACTTGCTGCACTGTATCCAAAAGTCTGTGTCTGTGTGTCTGTGTGCCTGTGCGCGCCAGCCCCCTCGTGACAAAGACACTGAATGACTGACAGGAGGGTTCACTAACTCCGTTCATTCCGCTATAGAGCCAACGCCCCCAGGTGCCGAGAACAATGCGCAGAGTGAGACCTCTTCTCTCATCCAGCGTGTTTGGTAGCGAGAGAGGAGGAAAACAAACGCACGTCAATTATCGAGGCTGGCAAAGTTATCGACCTCGTTTTTATTTATCGAGCGATAAGGCGATTTATTGATTATCGTGACAGGCCTACCTACTGTAGATAATACGTCACAAATATGTCGTGTCTATTTAGAAACCCTCCTCAGAGTTTTTAGAAACAGAGACACCTGTTAACAGTGACGTTGTGTCCCCTCCAGCGGATAAAAACAGCACCGCCCTGCGATCGCTGTACTACCCACCGGTGAATAGTGAGGAGGCCAAAGAGGGTCAGCTGCGGTGTGGAGAACATTCAGACTACGGCAGCATCACTTTGCTGTTCCAGAGCTCTGAAGGACTGGAGGTAACTCCACCAACACCTCCACCTCTGGAAACGTCACATTTACACTAATCCAATCTGAGTCTCTAATACCACTTAGTTTGAATCAATCGTCTCATGAGCTTTTAAAAGTTATAATAATCAGACTTTTTGTGAATGTGAAATGTCTGTCATCCAGGTGCGTAGTCGTTCAGGTGAAATCATTGCGGCTCCCTGCATCCCCGGAGCAGTTCTCGTCAACATCGCCGATCTGATGCAGCGCTGGACCAACGAACAGTTTGTATCCGTGGTGAGTTTAGAGATTCATTTTACAAATACAAGTCATAATCATGGAAATCTGAGCTCAGCCAGGACCAGACAAGTAAAAGTCATACTGAGGATATAGATAAATGAAACTTAAATCAAGTGGAAACAGGATGTTTTAAATGTGAAAGCCGCTCACTGCCTTGTTTCTGTCCCTCAGCGCCACAGAGTTTTGCTGCCTTCTGCTGGAGACTCACGGACACGTCAGTCCATGGCTTTCTTCGTCCATCCGGATGACGACTCCCTGATCACCTGCTGTGATGGCTCTGACAAATACCCTCCTGTGACAGCAGGCGATTATCTGATAGAGCGTTTTAATGACTCGTATGGAAAAAAATGATTATTTTTTAATTTTGTGTAAGTTTTATTCTGATGGGGTCCAAAGTTTCCCTCAAGTCTACGGTCCTGCAGTTGGAAGATTCAGCAGACTGAAACATCTGGCAGGTGAAATGAATGTTTTTACAAACTTGAAACAAAAGCACTTAAAAGTGAGTGAGATATGAAGCAGCAAGTGATCCTTTCCTCCTTGAGGGTGATTTTTAGATGACTTTGACAAAGGTTTACTCGTAGTGGCAAAACAACTGCAGCTCTCGCCTGGTGGTCCTGGTCTGCAGTGGTCGAAGGAGGAGCTGGTCGACCTGTGAATGGTCATAGGAGGCCAAGGCTTACAGGTGTAGATGAGGAGTGAAGCTGTGAGTGGTCAGATTCAAATTGCTTAAAAAGTCGATTGGCGGCGTATGCAGCTACAAAAACCTGTTAATTGTTCAGCATTAATGACAGATACCCTTACCATGGGTACTGATGCGTCCCTGTGCTACCGAGGATTCTGGCTGTTAAAATGTGTGCTGCTAACAAGCCTGGTAGCCCCTTCCTCTCATGAGTGGATGATCCTCATCAGACCCCAGGACAGTTTTTCATTAGACCTCAATCCCTGAATGGACTCGAGCCTTCTCAGCATGTCTGAGTTGTGTTAATATGAGGTTTCCTGCATGTATGGTTCAGTTTTAACTGTGTTCACATACGGTGGTTTGTGGAAGTGACTTTGAACCCATGCAGGGATTTCCACTTCAGAGTCATGTCTGTTAAATTCAGTGCTGGCTGAGGGTTGAAAGATCAACTCTCCTGATCGCCCATCATTTAAAAACATCATGCTGTAGATTTGTACGGAAGCCTATTGCATTCACCAAAAAATGTAGAAAGTTTGTTTTTCAGACTATTTAATAATAAAAAAAAAAATCAGACTGTTTTTTCTTTTCTCTGGGATCATGACCATTTAAAAACCGAAGCTTTCATCCCCGTCTGCTCCATTTATTGGAAGCAAACATGCCCCACTTGTTTAGTTTCATCAAGTTTTACTTTTTTTGGGTTTGAGACACTGGGAGATCCTCCTCTCTTTAAGTCAGATGGATGGAATCGTCATAACACGACTTTGCACAGACACCTCAGGATTTTCATACCCTATGTTTAACTAATAACATGCTTTACTCTCATTGACCATATAGTTGAAGTTATCTAGGAGCTGGAGAATCCGCTGATTTGGTGCATCCGCGGTGGTTACCATTATCTGATTGTATATGATTCTCACAGGATTTTGAAGTATCTCATTAAGGAGAAAAACAAGTGGGCCATGTTTGCTTCCAATAAATCGAGCAGACGGGGATGAAAGTGTCTGTTTTTAAATGATCAGGATCCCGGAGAAAAGGAAAAACGATTTGTCTGAAAAATAAAACAAAACAAAAAAATAGTAAGAAAAACTGAAAAAAGTATTAGTAGAAAAAAAAAAAGAAAAAAAAAGTCAAAAACAGAAAGATGAAAAAAATTGTCCAAAAAAACAGAAAGAGGAAAACAATAGTACAATAAATAGGAGAAAAAATCTGAAAAACAGAAAGACAAAAAATATTAGTCCAAAAAAACAGAAGGAAAAAAAAGTCAGAAAAACAGGAAGATCAAAAAAAATTCTAAAAAAAAAAAAGATCAGTCTCCATTTTTTAATAAGTGAATGCAATACACTTCCGTAGATTTGTGAAGCATCATTCTGAGATTGTTGAATTACTTGCTCACGCGTTCCCTCACAGAGTTGTGAACCTCCTCCCGTCGTCTTAGACTCAGCCTCTCGGCCTTTTTTGTGCCTCATCCTGTCGCTAACTGTTTAAAATGAACTTCATTAAGCACTATTTTATTGTGGAGCTAAATCTGCATCACTAAATTCCAAACGAGCGCTTTTTTATTTAATTAATTATTTGGAGTTGTGACATTACCTATTTTTTTTAACTGAATTTTAGAGATTGTGCCGTTTACACAAACACCTGTCTCAATGTGTAATAACAATAAAAAAAGACTCAAACCTGCAAGTTCATTCACTTTATTATCCACATTCAAACCTTATTCAAGAGTTTCATGAATTCAGGAAATCAGCTGGTACACAAATTTAGCTGCTTGTTGAAAGGGGTATAAAAACCAAATCCTATAAACTGTTTTTATTCTTCATATGACCAACAATCTTTGATTATTAACCTGTAACATGTGCACACTTGACCAGAGCTAAAACCCGCCTCATGGACTGCAGAATAAATAAAGTCAAAGCATCATGAAAAACACACACACACACATACACACACACACACAGCAACACTTCTTTATCAACACGACTGTTGCGCTAACACAGATACAATCACATTAAATTAAACATTTAAATATATAATAAACTGTATACTGTAAATTCATACATGTATGTCACTTCATCTGTGAAGGAAAATTCTCTTTAATCACCACAAAGAACTGAGTGATGAAACTTCATTTGCAGGTGTAACTTTGTATTAAAAATAGAGAAACTCAACACCAGAATGAAACTGAAGTTAGAGGATTGTGAGTAACAGTTGCAGCCTGGAGACTTTATATAAACTTCTACATTTTGAAACATTGATTGTTAAAGGTGGGGTTAGGCAGGAATCTGTTAAAGGAGCATCTTTTTTTGTGGTGTATTTACAAAAAATCTTCTAATATCAGTCAATAGTTATTAGTTATTGATGACATTTGGTAATATATCGATATCTCTGTGTTCTCTTATGTCTGTGTAGTCAACATTTAAACATTTTTGAGCGGTCCGCTCTTTCTGACTGTAAACAAAGCCGTTCTCCACCTCCTCTAACCTGATTGGTTGTGAGGCAGACGCTGCTCCCCCGTGTCGTTCAGGAGCCCAAACAAAGTAAGCGTGCTACAATATCGGACAATAGAAACCAACCAGAAAGTTCAGAAAATTGTCTGAATCCTCCTTTGGCCACGACTGCCGACACAAGCAAGAAAACAAAGTAAATACCGGAGACTCTGGAGGAATAACGGGCGCTTAAAACGGAGGTAGACCGGACAAGAGCTAAAAAGCCGGGTCAACATAAACGATGGGGGACGCTTGGGGATCTTGGTGACCCTGTAACCTTTCTGCTGGACAGGTAAACCGCTTTAACAAAGTAAGACAAGTGTCTGTAACAGAAGTGTTTCTTGTCAAACGGGACCTGCTGTAGCGTGTTGTAGCGCCGCTAAACCGAAAAAACTAGCACCTCCTCAGATCCCGCCTACCCCACCTTTAATGAGCTCTAAACCTGAAAATATAAATAGATGTAAAAAGTGAACATGGTTCAGTTATGCATCCTAACATTTCATTCATGAAGCATGAAACAAACTTCACAGAAAGACTCCTGACGTTCATTTTCACCTGGTTTTAGAGGACAGTGGCAGTGAACTACAGTGTGTCGACTCAACCAAACTTGACCAAAAGCCCCTCCCTGTTTTACCTCAGAGTACCGCCCACACAGAACAAAGTCCATGTTTAGTTAAAAGATCAGAACCAAAAGAAACAAAAGGCTTGATTGTCCAGAAGAAATCTGGACCAGCTCCACGGTTCAGGTCTAACAGATGACGCTCTGGTATTGAACCTAAAGACTGAAATCACATTTTTGACGTGTTTCTGATGTTTGGGAATCATTTTTGGAGAAAAGAAGTGTTTTCAAACCCTTCACAAATAAAAAAAGTCAAATTTCAAATCATTACAAGGCAAGCACACATGACCGCAGGCTCACTGTCACTCACACAGCACACAGAGTCCTCATGGGTCCTGCTAAGAGTGGGCCGAGACCGGGACTTCCTGCACCGGCTGGCCGACGCTAGGAGCGCGATCACCTTCAGCTACAGGAGCTGCAACACAGAATCACATCACTCGTGAGTGAAACACAGATGTAAAGCTCTTAAAGCTCTGTCAACAAAACCAAAGAGACTAAACACAACGCACCTACTCTCTTCCAGCAGCCGCTTGTTTGTAGGGAGACCTCAGACCAGTCTATTACAGACTACAGCGGGGTGACACAGCTCAAGGAATAACATTTATGATCATTATTTTATCATTTCCTTTAAGTAATAATCATCATATTAATCATTTTGCTCTACAGACGCAGTAGTTCTTCCGCCTTAGCGTCTCAGTCTGATTGTATTTCCATGAAGTAATGATCATAAATGTTCTTCCTTGAGCTGCGTCACCCCGCTGTAGTCTGTAACAGACTGGCCTGCGGTCTCCGTACAAACGATCGGCTTCTGGAAGAGAGTAGGTGAGATGTGTTTAGTCTCTTTAAGGCAAAGTTAAAAAGATGTTTGGTGTCTAGTACTATGTCTGTGACCCTATATGTCCTGTTGATGAAGTTAGGTGCTGTTCTGAGCATTATTTATGGTTATAGAGTGGCGTTTTGGTTGCGTGCGTCCTCCGTATTGCTATCCTGCGGTCGTTACTAAAGTTGGTATAATTAGAGAAGCAAGCGGTCAGCAACATTCATCTCTGGAGGGGGGGTCTGACTCAGTGTTGCATTGTGTTTGACCATAGGTGCACAGGTGGAATAAAGGTTGAATCCGCCTATTTCTCTGTACTTTTTTATAAAGTTTGGTAAGTGAGTTGTAAAAGTTCGGACAAACATCCCTTCAGTACTCACGTTTGACTTCAGCTCTTAAGTTTTGGGCTTTCGTCTTTTCCATTTCCTCGACTGCCTAAAAGAAGATGAGAAGAAGATTTGATTGAAACTTTGCCCCGCACATGTCCGAGCTGCTGCTGCTGCTGCTGCTGTTGTTGTTTATTCTTAGAGAATCTTCAGGCTGTTTGCTTCATAACCTTCATTACCTGCTGCAGACCTAATCTCTGAGCGTTCAGTTCTTGCTGTTTTCTCTCCAGCTCCTCCTTCTGTTTCTGCAGCTCAGCCGCCTTCTCGTTGATGTCCTTCTCCTCGTTGGCCAAGTGTTTTTCAAACTCTCGCAGCTCCTCCTCGGTGTACAGGGGGTTCTGGTCTAAAGTCTGAAGAGGCGGGGTGGAATCAGACTTTGTCACACTGTAGTGAACTGGTTTCTAAATGTCAGAACTAACCTCCCACTTCTGTCATCATCTATCGAACTTTTCCACCTAAATTCATTCCTCACCTCCCATTCATCTTTTTCCGTGAACTCCTCTTTCTTCGTGGCCGCCATGAACTCGTCCAGCGACACCAGTCTGTCTTTGTTGGTGTCCACCTGAACATGAACACATGAAGCTGCTGTGGTGAAGGTCAGGACATGGATCATGGACGTGTGTCTCAGAGTAATCACGGTGTGTCTCACTGCTTTCAGCGCAGGTTACTGTCTGCGAGTGTAGCTTGAAGTTTTGGGTTTGTTGAGCCTGGATAAATCACCATGGCAACTAATCCCCTTAGGTGCATTCATATATATATATGAATGGGTTAGATAGATCCTGAACTGTGTTGGCTGTGTCATGTGATCACTGTCGCTCACCTCGTTCATAACATGCTCTCTCATCCGTAGTCTCTCCTCCTCCATCTCAAACATGTCGTCTTCTTCGTTTTCAGGGTTGTACACCTTCTCCAGCTTGAACACACGTACAGATACGAGTTATGACAACGCTCCTTCATTTATCCACCACATAAATACATAAATACTCTGACATAAATACCTCTTTAGTGAAGAGAGACTCGAGCTCGCTCTCATCCAGGAAGCCGTCTCCGTTGTTGTCTGAAATAGAAATCACAGGATGAGGACAGACTTGTCACTCCACTGCAACATTTCAGCAGTGAAAATTACTCACCGTGCATTTTGAAGAAGGTCTTTGGCTCAAAGTCGTCAGGGTCCAGACCGTCGGCCTCCTGCCACACCTCCTTCAGCTGGTCTTCACTGCCCTGCACATACAGCATGTTTCAGCTCTCTTTCTTTCTCATGTTTTCAATCATAATCAGTCGTTTAGTCTTACAGGGTGGTTCACTTTCGGGTGGCTGGCGTGTTTCTTCTTCATGTCCTCAAAGTGCTGCTCCTCTTTCTTGCGGTCCTCCTCGGTCATCGTCTTCAGACGCTCCCTCCTCTCGTGCTCCTTCATCATCTCGTACCTCTTGAACTCGTCGTGTCGGCTCTTGTCGTAGTTCTCCAGGTCTTTGGTCGCCTACAAATAGAATCGAAACAGTTAGCCTCAAAGCAGATATTACACCGTGTGTGTGTGTCTTTGTAAGAAGGAAGGGTCACTTTACGAAAATGAAGTTATGAGAGTATTTCTCATAACTGTAACTGATCGCTCAGATAAACCTGCACACCTCTTTTAAGATGCTGAAATTAAACCAGATTTACTCCCGATCAGAGGAGTTTTATTCATGACGCAAAACGACGAAAACTAACCGTGCCTCCATGCTGTCACACAAAGGTCCACAGAGACAAATCTGGGACAAACTGCTTTAGTTTTTATCAACCTTTTCAGGATCATTTATGCAAATTAAAAGCGTTAAACTCCTTCTCTTTTTATTACGACTTCAAAATACTAACATCAGACCATCTACCTCATTTACTCTCAGATACTTTCCAGGTGACGTCAGTGAAGTCCTTCAGGGTTTAAGGAGGAGGTTGAGATTCGGCTCATATGTGTTTCAGTTCGACTCGTTCTCTGTGTCTCTCTGCATGTGTGAATAAAAGGAGGAGGACATTTGCTGCCTTCTCTCTCTCTCTCTTGTTCCTCCTGCAGAACTTTAGTTTCTATAAGTTTAGGTGAAGTTGCTTTAACTGCTTGGTTAAGGTGGAGGATAAGTGCTCCAGCTTATGACCCTTTGTTTACCGTTTGGTCTTGAGTTTCTTTGCTTTCCTGTGTTAAAAAAAACTACACTAACCCGACTCTTGTGCTCCATTCAGCCGTGGGTGTGACTTCTGACCGCAGAGTGTGAGGCGCATCAGTTTGATAAAAGGTGTCTCTGTTTGGTCCTGCAGTCTCTTGTGAATAAAAACATCATGGCTGATACTGATCTGACTGATCACATCGGCCACACAACAACGACACACTTCACCGTGAGGATTTACATGCATTTGACTTCAGCAGAAACCAGAGAGTCATGCAAACCCAAAGAGCTGACTTCCCCTTTTGTGTTTTTGCTTGCTCACAGGAAACACCGCCGTCCTCTCAGAGTTATCTCCGCTGCACTGACCTTCCTAAAAACTGCTCAGAAAGGTTCCTGGAAACATGCAGAACCTCCAGGTCATTATTACGTCTGCTGACAGGTGAGACTGAGACACACAGCTCCCTGTTTGACACCTGTAATTCTGCACAGACTCATCCATCCTTTAAATTACTGCAATAATAACAGTTATTATGGGCATGAACTTAGTGACCACAGACGGTGGAGAGGAACAAACGCGCACTAAGATAACATAGAAATATGTCACATAGATCTCCTGACACTGCTGACTGTGTGCGCGCGCGTGTGTGTGTGTGTGTGTGTGTGTGTGCATGCTTGTGTGTGCTTCAGTCAGTATGTCTAGAGGCTAAAACAGCTCTTCTTCCTCTGAGCAGACTCGTCTGTTGACTCTGGCTGTGTTTGATGTTTGTTTGTGTCCTTAAAATAAACAGAGAGACCGTCTCGTCTGGATTTACTACGCGCTGAGTTAGTCGTGGAGTCACTCTGGGTCCTGATAGGCAGCAGCAGAGTCCGTCAGTGTATTTAAATAGGCAGGTTGAACTCCGGACACACAAACTGAGATCTGGATCAGGGGAAATCGAGTTAGTGGACCAGGTTGTTTGAAAGCCATTAAGTGTATTTTACCCTCCACTGCGCTCTTATTACCTCAGGCCCTTTTACAGCTGGGTGTGGCTTTACTTTACTTTGACAGGCTCAGCTGTGCAGACAAAGACAGTGAGTGGGTTAAAGCAGCATGCAAATACATCACACAAATTTATCTTAAATAAAGAAAATGCTGTTATCATTTTTAGTTCTTTACTTGTTTTATATGTTTTTGTTAAACGGAAATAAAATTATCTGCTCTTTGATAGGATTCAGACAATTTTACGTCTTTAAAAGTAAAAACACTCGCCTGGGATTCCTCTGAAGTAAAAGCAGAAAGTGTTTTATTTAAAATGTCCTTAAAACACTGGACATTTTCTGGTTATTTCTGAGATTAAAAGGAGCATAAAAACCAAACGCTGCTTTTCCAGTGAGGAAAATATGCATCTGTATAATTTGTGGGTGCGTGTCTCACTCACTTTTACTCCTACCCTCGTGTGTTAAAAGTAAATACTAAGGCTGTGTTCACACTGCAGGTCAATTCTGATTTTTTAACCATATGTGACACATATATGAGTGTGAACAGGTCAATTCTGATTTTTTCAAATCCGACCCAGGCCTCTTTTGTATGTGGATATAAATCAGATATGTATCCAATGCGACGGCAGTGTGGACGCTCAGGTCGCGTTTATCCGACATAAACGTCATCAACATCGGACAAACGTCACCATTGTTCGACAACACAACAACACGTCCTGCTTTCTGTGCATGCAGGTCACTTCACGGACGCATTCATTGTTGTAATGTGAACGACCGACAAAAAGATCGGATTTAACAAAAAATCCGAATTGTGCATCATAACCTGCAGTGTGAACGTAGCCTAAGACTCTCAGTTCTTTTAAAACCAGATAAATGTGTTTGGTACCTTTTCAGCTTCTATTTTCAAACTCTCATAATCTAACCATCTGATTTTGTTTTGTTTTATTTGATATTTACACGCTTTAACTTTAACGGCTCGTTTCAATGATTTCAAGCACTTTTTGACATGATTTAATTTGTGATTCAAAGATTACAGATTAGTGAATCTTCATTGTCTTTTTAGTAACTCTCTCTCCTTTTTTAATAATAATTCTTAATATCCCCTTTTAATGGTTTTGAATTCCCTTGTTGCTGAAGTGTGCTATAAAAATGAACTTGCCTTGCTCCATACAACCAATAGCAATAACTTTTATTCAGTTGAGTTGTTGAATATTTTAAAGCATCTTTTGTCAGTATTGCATTTCCCTAATAATTATAAACGGTAGTTAATCTGAGACGTATCAGAGGTACGGAGCGCTCACTCTATGAATACCTGCTCTAAAGTATATTTACTCTGTAATTTGATATGATAAAGACAGACGTGTCACTCTAAGGCATCTCTTTCTCGTAGGCCACAGTGTTTTATGTTTTTATGTCGCTGAATGTACCGATTTGATGAGGCGGTCCAGGTCCTCCACTTCAAAAGTGTTCGGGTTCATGTGGTTGAGGTGCTCAAACTGTTTCAGCAGGGATTGGTGGTCCACTTTCCAGCCTGTCAATGAAGAAATAATCAACACTATAACTTACAGAGTCTGTAAAAGAGTGTGTTTAATCGTGGTTGGTGCTGTATTTCATCATGTGTCTGTGTCTTACACCCACATCCTATTTTAAGTGATGACCCAACTGCTGTGTGTTTGTTACAAAAGTTGTTAAGTGAAAGTTTGTAAGAGACACATCAGTCCAACATGCCGGCTACATACCGTTCCCCCCCTGCATGTCGTGTTTGGCTTTAATGAGCATCCGCAGCCTGTTCATCTCCTCCCTCTTCAGCTCGTCCAGCTTCGACCGAAAGTTGTGGTGAACAAAGTCCAGCTCTTTGGAAAGTTTCCCGCTCTGCAAGCCGGAAAAAATAAACAACACGGGTCAAAACAAAATGTTCAGGTCAATAAAGAGCTACCAAAGGACTGGCATGTGTGGAGAGTGAGCGAGCAGACACCTTGATGTCATCCATGTTGGCGGTTTTGAGCTTTTCTTTAAAGTGGGGGTCTTTTTCGAGGTACTCGATGACTTCTCTGAGGTAGCGGTCGTAGTGCAGCCCGGTTTCCTGAAACATAAACAGAAGAACAGATCCGTGCATGTTGTTGAAGGACTGGTTTATTCACTCGGGTATTTTTAACTTCACTCAGAGCAATTACAACCAAGCTCTTCATCAATCTCACTCATGCACGACGACACTTTTAAAATCATTTTACAAAGTACTTAAACTTCAGAACTGTACTGCCACTCTATCTTTAACTTAAATGACATTAGTTACTGTTTGTACTCTCTGTTTGGTTGATTTGATCAGTGTCTCCATTATTTTGAAGCTGCAAACCAAGAAATCTGTGACATATGTGATTATAAAGTGTAAGCAATGTTTTCTAGCAGAATATAAACCCATGTATCCTTGTGCCCATGCTTTGTAAAAGCGACCTCTACTCTGACTTAACTCGTGAACTTAAGTACCTTTTACCCCGGGGCATTTACTCCCCATGTAAAACAGCCTGAGTCTGAATATTTTCCCTTTTCATTTAGGCTCACTCTGAATAAAAACCCTGAGCTAAATGTGGTGACCCTGCAGATCTGACGGTCCATCTGACTCACAGCGCTCTGTGGGGCATCCAGCTCCTCCTTCTGAGTCTGTTCACCCCCCTTGTCCACGCTGATCGGCACTGACTGGATACACAGCCATAAACTCAACAGAACCAGCCCGCAGTGGGCCAAAGCTTTACCCCTCACCATCTGGTTCGAGAGGTAAAGAGAGACAAATAAGAAATCAGAGATTAGAGGGACTTTACTTGAACATGCACGCTGTAAATCTTTAGTAGCTCTTCATTTAGGTACAAGTGTTTTTCCTCCTAAAACAGAAAACAGCACAGTGTTCTACTACTACTACTACTAATAATAATAATACATTTTATTTATATTGCGCTTTACATCTGAGAAAACAGATCTCAAAGTGCACACAGTGAAAGGCAACAGTTAAAACAACAAATACAAATGAAAAATAAAACAGTAAAAGGCAATAATAAAAACACAAGTGTTCTTGGTGCTATTATACACTTAACCACAGTTGTTTCACACACTGAATCACGAAGGGTGTTTCGTCAACTCCTGTTGCCTACCATCGACTCATAATGAAGTCAGTGTGAGCTTGTTTAACATTTATCTTCAGTTAGGGGACCTCACATACACTAACCTCATGTATAAGTTGGTTAAACTTTAAGTTCATTAGCAATTTACTCTAAGACCATTTCTTTGATAAGCCACCCTGTTTAAATAACAGAAAGTCATATTCTTAATGAATAATCACTTATTTTACTCAAAAACTTCTTCATTTAGATTTTTTTATTCTGATATTTCACTGTTCAATACCCATTTATTCAAACCTGATGTATATAATTTATTCACTCATTTTATTCTTACTTCACTTATTTTTCTACTCATGTTTTTCACTTTTTATATTTGTTTTTTTGCAGATCTGTTACCCAACTTCTTGTACCTCCTACTGAGCGTTGATGCAACAAGTAAATTTCCCTCAATGGATAATCAATAAAGTAGATATTATCTTTATTTCAAAGTAGGAATGATTAATAAAACTGTCCAAAATGAGTGATAAAATCAACTTTACCACTTTTCTCTTCTGAATATTAAAACAACCAAATAGCTTGTGTTTTGCCTTTTTTAATTTCTTAAAATTTGTGAATATATAAAGAGAAATAGAACGTTGTATATCTCGAATGAGAAGCTAAATCATCCTAAAATAAACATGTGGTCCATACTCACTAATGTCAAACAACTGATGATATATTTAAGGTAAACTGACTGAATAAAGTCACAGTGATTTGACAGCAAGCAACAGGTGTGAACAGTACACCTTACACTGATATATGCCTGAAATAATCATGATCCATGAGTTAATTTAGTATTTAATAATTGTAAAATATGTGTCCTTATTGTTTAGTGTGATTAAATACTTTAATTCTGTATAAAAGAAAGCAAAAACAACTTAATGTGGAGACTACATGGATGATTTTATACAACTCTCACTGTGGAATTACATGAACACGTGTTTGCTGAGTATAAATTTAAAAAGATAACTCTACAACAATAGTTTATAACCTTTAATAACCCTGTAAGCCTGTGAAAATCACTCATTCACAGGTGTTAACGGTGTTGTTTCTATCAAACAGATGGTTCACTGAGGATGTACGACACAGGTGCGAGCTAATTCATTACCCTATTATGAAAGAAAGCTAAAAAAACAAGATAAAAACGTGTTAAATAACACTCACTTGTTTGCAGTCTCTTGTTTTATCCTCTCTTTGTCCCTCTTTCTCTCGCTTCACCGTCTATAGTGCCCGTTCTCCCGGTTAGCGGTGCTTGTTTATAGCTGTCATCATCTCCGTACACTACGAGCCTCATATGGCCACAACCTACAGAAAAAAAGATTTAGTTCACCATAGCAACGCCCCGCCCACAGCTGCTATGATTGGGCGGGGGAAGTATGCTCGCTTTGTAGAACAGTCGCGTTGAGAGCTGATAGGGCGTTTGGCCTGTCAATCAAAGCGAATCAAACTGTCAGGCTGTAGCTTAAGGTGCGTTGAGGTTGAGCCATACTGTACGTGGCGTTCAGACGTCCCCCTGCGAGGGCGGAGAGCGAGAGAAAGAAACATCTTTACTTAAATTTATATATCTATTATTATTAATTGTATTTATATAATATTTTTTTTAAGTAATTTAGATTTACAGAGATGCAAAATATTATGAATCCATATGATAATACTAAGATTTCATTCATGTTTGAGATGAAATTATGTTGATCTAAATTTACCAAATGGTCCAAATCAAAAATAAAAAAAGTTTGCAAGTATAAAAAATTAAAAGATAGGCTAACATTGGTGCTGGGGTTGTATTTGGTTGTGCATAATCTCTTGTAAGTAATCTTATTAATTAAACAGACAACTTTAGACAGTAGAAAGCCGTTTATTTATTTAATTTAAATAAGACCTTTAAGGTAAACAAAGAAATAATATTGGCTTTCAGAATGACTTAATAAACAAATAATGTACTTTATACTTTTCTGTACTTTAAATTGTGTTTTTTTTTTTTTTTGTAAAGCATCTTTACAAAAAAGCTACACTTTATATATCATTAAGAATTATTTTATTATGTATTGTCAAGTACTAAAACATTTTGCTAAATAAATCACAATTTTATCTTACATAAAATATGTTCCATAGCTAACGAAAAGTTTGCAGAAAATATACATTTTTATATTTACATATTTTGTTCTCTAAAACATATTGATTATATGGTATTTTTTTATGTTTTGAATTATTTTTGTTTTTGTGAAATAGTTTGTAAAAAGTCTGAGCAGTTAACCTTCAGGGCGACCCTACATTTTACAAGAAGGCCACTTAAAGTAGGGTTAATGAAATATTCAGATTGCCTCCAGAGAAATGTAGAGTATTCAGATATTTGTAAATGAAGATAAAGAAAGACACATGACAAAATAAACTAAAGTCATTTGTAAGCAGTGAGATGCAGTAAAGACCAGTATATTCAGACTCAACTTGGTCTGACTGACACCAACCAATGGAGGGGCAGCATTGAGTGTGTTGTCAGATTATCATTTACAACCTCATAACCCTTTACAAAGTTATTTTACTCTTCAAACCTCACAGACTCAATCAGTCGTTTTAGAAATGGGTTTAGAGGCCTAACAATGATAGCAGTGTATCAGAAATGCTGATTCAACCTACCAATCCATAAAACTTAGCAGAGGCAAAGAGGAGGAGTACAGACAGGATTTTAACTACCTAAAAAATCACCTAAAGTGTGCAGGCCTTACACTGTACTATGATTCAGTGAGGATGTCTAGGAGCTAGACTCTAGTGGACACTTGAGGAACTGTGGGCCTTATTTTGCAACACAGGGGTTACCGCTTTGTTGCAACACAAACACATCCAGATAAAGTTCATTACAGTTTCTTCATTAAGGTTCGTAACATCACATCACTAAAATAAATGAAGTAAAGTAAGGGTTGGTTATGAAGTTGGATTTGAAAGGCTTTAATTCTTTCAGACATAATGCTGCTAACCTCATGAAAGTAATCAAAAAAGATAAAGAGTGCAGAAAAGCAAAATAAAAATGTGCACATATAATATTTCAGCATACCAAATAGGCTGTATAAGATAAGATAAGATAAGATAAGAAAGGATAAGATAAGAAGAACTTTGTTTATCCCTTCAGGAAAATTTAATATGGGGGAAAAAGCAAAAAAATTAAATAAAAATTTTAAATATATTAGAAACCTTCTATTCATGTTTCTCGTTCTTGTGACATAATAATAATAATAATAATAATAATAATAATAATAATAATAATAATAATAATTATTATTATTATTAAGAGAAAAATGCTGAGGTCATGATTAGTAAGAAATAAGACGATGATAAAAATAGGAGTATTCATAAAGATATTCCTTTTAGAAGTTACATGCATTACCATATTTCGACACTACAAAGATTTGTCCACACGATATCGCTGTTCCCCCATCTAATCTTCAGTACAGAGACCCATCTGAGCGGAGCCGTCCACAGACCAAACCTCCTCTACAGGAACTGACGTCCCCTCACTGCGAGTGGATGGAAAAAAAATGCAGCTGCAGGAAAAATGGCTCCAAACACCGCACCGCTAAAAGGTGAGAAACTAACCTTTGCTTCAGTAAATGTTGACCAGCTCAAGTTTGATCCTGTCGTTGAGTGAAAACTGTGATTTGTGCTCCGGAGTAAACAGCCGATAACCGTTGAACAAAAGCTGCTTTTCTTCCTTGTTGTGTGTAGTTGGCAGGACCTCCTCAGTAGCTGCTCTGGTACTTTTTGGAATAATAAATCAGAGTCTGTAAAAGTGAAACAGACAAACTGGTTATCGTTATGAGTCCAATGTGACTCTCGGTGTTTTATTATGAATTGCATATTTGTCTATTTTCCGGGTCGCTGACTGCTTTAGCGGCTAACAAACTTTAGCATCCAACAAAGTCTAAAGTTAAAGTTCAAACCGCTCTCTCAAGTATCAAGAAGTGACATCTGATCGCATTAGCCGGCTCACCAAGTTAGATTACTTTCTCTTTATCAGCTGAAAGTTCCTGTTATCTTCTATTAACAAACTGAAAGTCTTTATAACTCCGAGCAGAAAAACTAACATTGACATTTCACAACAACACATCACCTGGTGTCAGGTGAGCATCAGCCGACAGGTTTGCTCACTAAATGTAGACAGGTCGTTATTGAAGTCGTTTTAAAGCCTCAACAGCAGTAGATGGAGGTTTCCTTTAGTGATTCATACCTACAGGTGCATAACTAAGACGTACAGATCGTGTTTCTGTCGCTTAAATGTCTTCAGAAATGTTACCTGTGAATACAGAACTCAGGTGATAAGCTTTGACACCTGGAATCAGAGGAAAACTGGTTCTGTCTGAAGTGATTGGAAGAATATTTGAGTATTTTACTACCTGGTCATTCCCCCTTTTTAATGCCAGCTATCCACATTGGCACTTATCAGATGTTGTACCTGCTTATAAATGCATGCACTTATGGAAAGACAGTGTTTTATATTAAGGTTGTGCACTCAAAAAACAGGGTTTGCATTCACCCTCTGCAACTTAACATGATTATCTTTGTGTTTTAATCTAATTCATCCGCTTGACTAATCAATTCGTTGTAGGCTGGGAACTCGGACCAGCCCTCAGGATGTTTTTGTCTACTGTTTTTCACTTGTATTTTTAGCAGCCAATACCTTGTGCATAACAAGATGAAAACACTCTCTTGGGTGTTGGGGTCCAAAATGCCCTTATTTTGAAAAACAAATGAGACTATGTAAATCCAGAAATGAAACAGTAACTTTAACATTTTGAGTGATACAAGTTCAAATTTGGCAGAGTACTCAGGTGCAAATTAAAACTCTGGTCCTCTCTAAAGTTCATAAAACAGTTTCCACAGGAATAGATGCCTCTAAACAGATCATGGTCAGTATCAATATATCATCTATATTCAATAATCTTTAAACTTTGTGAGCTTCAGTTTGTTCTTTATGACTTTAATTTGAAAGGTTTGGTAAACAATACAGATCAGTCTTTCTAACAGCTCAGCTCGGAGTACATCACATACATGCTTCTTCTGCAAGCCGCTTTATTTCTTTATTATCCAACTCATATCCTAAAAATGAAATTTAAACTGTTTAGTGAATTAAAACAGTTTGTTTTACATTCATTTTCCATTTAAAGGTCATGCCCTTTAAATCTATAAACTTGACCTGGTTACTTATTTTCCTTTTAGGAGGTGATCTTGTACTTTGGATCCAGCAGCAGTTTGTTAACGTTGACACCTGCACTTTTCTCAGCTGTTAGAAACAAATCTCACACCTGACCTACCTGGACCGATCTGAATTTAAAGGATAAATGAATTTAGATTAGTTTGATCAAGCTAGATATGATTTAATCAAGCTGATTGAATTTGTAGTAAAGCATTCAGACTGAGGTTTATGTGTGTGCTGAAACGTGGTCCCAGACATGGTTAAGACAGACATGTGTAGGTCACCCTGTGCAAATGGGGCTTAAGCTTTGATACATGAAGAGTGTAAAATAAGATTTACTAAACTGTCAGATTTGTTGAAGTATTTAGCAAACGATCCTAAACTTCCCCCGACTCTGAGGGTGAAATTCGTCATTGTGTCATTTGCACTGGCGTCTGCATCTCCTTCAGTTTCTCAATCCTGCACCATGCTGTGGTTTCTGTCTTTACCCAGCGCTCAGCTGCATTAATCTCCTTCTCAGATGTTGAATGTAGCTTTTACAGGACCCGAACTCTGCCATCCTTTACCATGGCGTGGTTGGACAGAGTTTGCAGTGTTAGTCTTCGCTGCAGTTGGCAGCTTTTCCCCCATAAGTGGAAATTTCCTTCATTCTTTACATGTCTCATGTTGCCATATATGGGCTTTAGCATATGGCTATCTTGATGCTGGATCTCAGCTGTTGATACCCTCAAACGTAGTGAGAACAGCATGCAACCAAAAAAAGTCAAACTTGATTGATGAGTTAAGGTGTTACATGTTGTTTCTGACTGTCTCAGTGTCTGGATCAGGTCAGAGGTTATGGCCCGACTCAGGAAAAGTGACTTAAAGCTTTGGTCTCAGAATCACTGACACATGGATGAACTGACATGTGAGTTAAACCCTCAACACCGCCGACAGGGCGCTCTTAAACACTTTGATATTCAAAGTCCTGAAACTGTGCTCCTTTTGGCAAAGTTGGCACCAAGCTTTCCTCGTCCAAAACTTAATGAATGCAGCCACATTGTTGCTGCCTGCTGGTGTGAGCACAGCTGATAAGACAATCTTGGACCATGGTGCTAACATAATGCTAACAGAGTGGGAGAAGGCCAGAGGAAGAAAGAGAGAAAGAGGGAGAGAGACCCGTCAGGCTGCTTAGCATGCCAAATTCCTCAGCTGCACAATAGTGCTAGGCTAGCCTGAGCCCCAGCACAGCCAGCCTTCTCCACCACAATGGGAGGGGAAGCTCAGGAGAGGCCGTGACGCCTGGGGAGGGAAGGAACTCACTCAACCCTGGGACTGTGATGGTTGGATGAATGGTTGCTTTGAGAAGGCGGCGTGTCATTTTAGGACCACAAAACACTCTGTGCAGAGATGTTCTCCTCCTGTTATTGATATCAACCTTCCTCCTGATAATGTCATAGAAGGGGGAAGAATCACTGCCTGATGTTATTTTTAGAGTGCATGATTTATGCACGAGTTGCATTCCTGCACACTGGCACAGAGGTTTGTGAGTCTACATGTCAGTATGTTGTCTGAGTCATGTGACACCTCTTGTTTTCTTTAGTCCTTCTGTTAGTATGTGGTGAGTCTGCCTGCTTACATCGTCAAAGTGATCAACATGCCAACGATGTGGGCCACGCTGCGGTTATGTAACCTAATCATTGCTTTGGCTGTTTACACTCCAGCAACTAATTATTGGTGTTCAATATGTATCAGTCCAGTCAGACGCGTCTAAATCAGAGTTGTTTGAGCTGAACTTTTCAGGTCATTGCTCCACTGGTATAATCTCAAACTTGACTCCTCCTAACGTCATCTAAATGGTGTATTTTTCCTTTTCCAGGTGTTTAAAGACTCACTGCGCTACCCTCTGGGCCACACTGACTTAAAGGCTGACACACTCATGGCACCTCCCAGTTGAAAGAATGGCCCAGATATCAAGCGGTAATGGGTTCAAGCTGGATGTCCCTCAGCCAAAGGGGGCTGTGGGGAAAGAGGAGGCCCTCCGCATGGAGGAAGAGGCTTTAGCAAAGCTGCAAAGGGAGAAGAGACACACCCTGTCAACTTCAGCTCCGGCGTCGTCCTCCGCAGCATCCCCTGCGGTGTCTTCAGCCTTCTCCAAACCAAAACCTTCAAAGTCTACCACTACTGCTCCTCAACCATCACCCTCCACTCACAGACCAGAAAAGGACCTCATTGTCTTCCCGGAGACCAAGAAACAGGCGGAGCAGGACAAGTTTAGGGACATTGACGTGGACAAACTGACCAATGAGGAACTTGAAAAGCTCCTCCTGGATGAAAACTTTGGAGCGAACAGTAAGGTGTCCCGCCCCTCACTGCTGGGGTTTAACCTCAGTGCCTCCTACCCTGGAGGCCATGCTTGTAGCTCTCCTTTCCAGGGTGGCCAGTGGACCCCTGTCCTATCCACCCCGTCTAGCTCCAGTGTGTCCACTCCCACCCACCAACCCATCCCGGTGTTCCCCTCGGCTCCATTCCCCAAACCAGGCACATTTCAGAACGGTTTCACTCCAACCATGTCTCCCTTTATCACCATATCGACACAGCAGCCATCCTTCATGGCGTTTACTCCCATCCAGCCTGCTGCTACGATGGTCTTCCAGCAGCCGACCGTGGACCCGGAGATGGCCAAACTCTTTGACAAGATTGCCAGCACCTCAGAATACTTGAAGAATGGCAAATCGGCCAGCACTGACCTAGATTCCTCTCAAACCGGCACAGCATCCCTGGCACCCAACCCACCACCTCAGCAGCCAGCAGTGACGGAATCCTCCGGCATTAGCCGCTTTGACTGGCTGGATCTGGACCCGCTCACAAAGCGTAAAGCCGAGAACGAGGAGGCATCCCAGGCGTCAGGAGACGCTGCACAGACAGCACCAGGACCTTCTGCTGGGGATCCTTGGGACGCAGTGCTTGAGACTGGAGGGAATAGCGCAGACAGCAGCAGCAGCCCCCAGCTGGAGGCAAAAGCGTCGCTGTCAGGTCGCTCGCAGCACAGGAGGGCTTCAACGGGAGCAGCTGTCACCAGGAGTCACTCACTTAATATCCCAGGAACTTCCTCTCAGCACAAACCAAACAGTCAGGTAGGATCACTCTCTTATGATATCATTTCAGGTCAGTTATTAACATGATCGACCCTTAGAACTTATCTCCTCAGGCAGATCTTTACGACACACGCTGGTGTCCTGACTGACCTCACAGTCGTCTGCCAGAGCCGCCGATTCCCTCTGTATAATAAACGATAACGCTGCATCCTCGTGTTCACTCCATCAGAATTAATATTTGTATTCAGGGAAGGAAACTGTGACCTGCCAAATGTAAACACTGTTTCCTTATATTCATCTAGCTGCTTATGAAACAGACGGTAAGTCCAACCAGCAGGGACGAGACTGAAATGATCTTTATTGTAGTTTTTAATGCTTGAATAATAAAAGGGGGAGGTAGAGCGTGCAGCCTGACCAAGCAGGGATGAGCCTCAGCCCGAACCTTTATCTTTCTCTGGACTAGGAATGGGCGTTTTAAGAAAGCCCTTCGATTGATTAATCAAATCAATTAATGATAGATCATCGGTTTGATTGTTTACTTATATGACTGGCAGAAAATATGCAAAAAACTTGTTTTTCGTCATTGAACCCCCCCAACTGTTGCTCAGGACTGCACGCTACATGCTTACTCGCGCTTCCTGGTGGGAATCACCAGTGGCCCCATGATACAATATTATCGCGTTACTTGGGCCACGATACGATATTATTGCGATTTTTTTACATTTTGCAATCCAGTGAGTATTATGAGACAATATATTGCAATTTATACAATTTTGTCAACTGTTTAGCTAATTTAGCATTTGTCTTTCCTTCGTCTTATTTACGCTGTACTTTATTTTCCTGTAGCACTTCTTGCAAACCTCATTTATATTTATTGCACCAACTTTCTCCTGCTCTATGATGTTACCTCTGCCAACCTTACTGGACACAAACAGTTGATTTTAATTCTCCATTATAATAGATTTGACTTCATATTAACAATTAATTTGAAAAAATCGATACTTGGTCAATGAGACAATACAATATATTACCAGACAAAGTGTCCTGATACTTTGCTGTATTGACTTTTGTCTTCCACCCCGACCGGCTACTTTAATAAACATCATTTTTTTTCTCATTCATGAAACGCTAAAATCATTTTCCGGGACATTTTCGGACAACTTTAGCCGAGGACAGGTCATCCAAAACGAGGACTGTCTGGTCACCCTACAGTTCCTCCTTGCTAGCAAGTAGCTGATGATAGGTTGAGACTGAGAGCACTCGGAGGATTCATTAACCTCATTCGGATGTACGTGGTTCAAGTGGTCCATCACTGGGATCCTATCTGCCCGGCTACCGTGATAAACGTGAACTGGCGATGGACGCACGCTGTCAGACCTTTTTTAATAACGATAGATCGATCGAAATTCTTAACGATCAATTCATCTATCATCGATTAATCGTGTTCATTCCTACTCCGGACTCCTCTTCTCTACTCCTTGAGACTCTAACTGTGGAGGCGGAGCGTACAGCTGAAGTGGAGACGGTGTATCTTGTGTCAGGTCTTCAGTTTCATCATTCGAGTTCATTTCCTAACACCGTCATGTCTTTGCACGCCGAACAAATAAAGAAATCAAACCGCAGCTCTAACATGGGCAGTAATTATAGAGAGAAGACAGATAGATGCTGGTGGATCTTCCTCTTCAACCAAAACACCCATCAGCCTCCTGCCTCAGTCACTCCTCTTAACATCCTCTTCCTCCTGCTCCCTGTCATTAACTTCTCTCACTGTGGTTAGCTTACCCACTGATTCACCCCTGAGCTGCATGTTGGGATTAATTTTGCCACGAAAGACACAATGATCCGATTCTTTGCGATGAATATTTGGAGCATTCATTTAGGACAGCGCTAAAGGCGAGCGGCCTGGGGCAGCCCGTATCCTCTAAGTCCTTTGATTCCCCCTTAAAACTGATCAACCATCTGTCATCAGCTCTGAGCCGAGACAGGACAAGCGTTTGAGTCTCCGTGAACTTGTCACCCTCTGTGTCTCCCTCTTTATTCGGCGTTTGATTCCTTGGAAGTTGTGAATCTGCTGACAGGAAGTAAATGAGTAAAGGTTTTCACGCTTCATGAGAACAAAGCTAACCTCCGTTTCTCAAAAACTTGGTCATCACGCTGTTTTTTTGTGCGGTTTTTTAATGGCGCTCACTTCCTGCTTATTGTGTCCTGACCAAACAGTGAGTCTCTCTCCGGGACGTTTCTCACACCATAATGATTAACCTTAAACCGCCGTACAAGGGAGGCGCTTGTTTTAAGGATTCTCTATGGCGAGAGAACATGACGGACATGACGGACGTTCAAGAATTCCCTCCAGCTAACAGCAGGTCCAGCAAGTCTGCAGACTCATCAGAAGCGTCGTGTCTGCTTCAGCCAGCTGTGTCGTCCAAGGATGAGGAATGTGTGCTTCTGTGGAGGCACGAAAGGGTGTTTGTTTACACTTGACTATATGTTATGTCTAGGTTCAGGCCTGTGTTCGTCATCAGGCCTCAGTGTTGTGTCATGTGAGCCTTTTTAGCCCCCCACACACTTTCACTTCAACTTCATTTGCAAACTTATTTCTGTAATCTCTATAAATGTGAGTTTAAGATTGAGTTTCCTGGGCTGATGCTCCGATTCTGATGCATGTAGAAGTTTGAATAATGCGACAAAAGGGAACAAGAGGAAACCAAAGTCTGTTTCGACATGATCGTATGAGATAAACTAGACTTAAAAACCGCAGAGACTGTAAGACCAGGAACTTCAAAACCACAGGAGGAGTCTTTTAAAGAAGGTGCTTTCTTTCTCCGAGTTGATTCAGATTCCTGCGCGCACCACAAGGATCAGTTTGCAGCGATGACACAGCTCGGCCGAGGGCAGACTGTTATCTGGGCTCGCTCTCTGAAGGACTCAAATGTTGTTGTGCACTGAAAATAGTTCCTCTCCTGCTTCCGTTTAATGACTAAACCAGTGTTTTGATGGATTTTGCCCACATGTTATGCAACGGCGTGCTGCAGAAGCATTTTTCAGAGCAGGCAGTTGTGGAGTCGACCGGTGAGGGGTTTTCCTGCAGCGCTGACAGCTTCTGGTGGATCAGTTTACAAAGACTTCAGAAACATTTGGGAAGAAACTTTATCTGAGCGTTTACTGTTGGAAATGTCGAAGTCCCTTTTTGAGTTATGCAAATATTTTCATCCAAACCAGGAAACATTTTCAGGAGCTGTCAGGGTTTTACAAACGGGCGCTTTAGACACCAGCTGAGCCGTGAGAGGAGCACGGAGGTCAATGTATTTTCACCAGATATTTTCACGCAGAAGGTGGAACCCCTATACCCCCACCCTGATTAGTCGATTTTTGGTCGAAAATTTCAGGTAGGGCTGGGCGATAAACTGAAAATTTACCGATACCAGCATTTACAGCAATAACCAACGCCATTTTGCCCATATCGGTATATTCGGTGTCAAAAAAATAAATAATCCAAAATAGTTTTTGGATGTGTGTAGGTAGGCTATGGTCTTATGTCCCTTTAAGACGCTGTCCTACGTCGGAGACGTGACTCCACCCCATCCAGTCCGTAACAAAGAGGGAAAGACAGGTGAGGAGATGGAGGACAGAGAGAAAGTTAATGTAGGAGGGCGTGAGCAGCTTGTGGAGCAGTTATCATCTATTTATCGTTATCGAGGTGAACTGATCAATATATTGTGATATTGAGTCGAGGCCATATCCCCCAGCCCTAACTTCAGCGTTTTAGTCAACCAAGAATTTCTTTGGTTGATCACAGTCTTAATTCAGACCATATTAGAGCTTGATCTCCAAACCAGACTGGCTCACGTTGTCAGCTCTCACATGCTAAAAGGATGAGCCACTAAATATATTAAAAGATCCTTAAATCCACATCTTATCATGAAGATGAAAATCAATTCGCTCTACTCAAGGCTCAATAAACACAAGAGTGAGATCCCAAACACTACACCAAAGTTATGTAAGAAAGTTACTCCCAAAGGACGTTAAAAAAAGCCGATAAAGACTGAATGTGACTCTGACAGGTTGACAGGAAGAGGAGGACAAGTGTTTTTATGCCGTTATTACACTTAATTTTCATAACAGCTCACTGTAAAGTGAAACCTTTTATTGCTCTGACTTCCTCTCACAAAGTATCGGCGATGAGAGTGAACGCCCACCCAAGTTTTAAAAATAACTCTGCAGCACATGTAGGCTGATTAGATAGAGACGCTGCGGAGCGCAGACAGTTAGCAGACCCTTCTTCAGGCTCACATTCAAGGTGTATGAAGTGAAGTGAAGAAACTACATTTAAAGTGAGTGTAACTGCTGTGAAACTGCAATCTAAGGTCCACATTGAGAAACTCGAGAAACCCCAAAAATCAGAGCAGACCAGACATTTCACCATGTGCGGTTGAAACGACTTTCCTCCGCTGATTCACTTGTAAGTATGTGTCTCAATAAGCTTTTTGGGGCACTGTGATTCAGCCTGAGGTCGTCAGGGTTTTGTTGTGGTTGACATGATGTGGTTACACGGGCATGTGAACAGTAAGATGGAACAAATGAGCCCGAGCTCGGACAGTAAGTCAGAGTTTCTGGACCAACTTTAGAGTACGCCTGACTCATTCAGACTCATCTGCTTTTCATTTTCAGGTATTATTAAACTACTTTAATAAAAAAAAGTAAAATATCTGTATTTAATATCGTCTGAAGGCTGATCTGCTGTTTTAGTTTTGGCATCAGCTGATGAAAACAAAGATTGATCAACCACTGGGACTGTTTTCTGGGTCTTGTCCAGTCAAACTTTGAGTTTCGGTTGTAATCACAGGTTTATAACGGGGTATATTGAGTCTGAGTGTGTGTGTGTGTTTGAAGCTCAGTCTCCTACCTGCTCCTACAAGAGTGTCTCATTGTTTCCTTCCCTTGATCACTTTGCTGTCATCCTTTCCTCCTTCTGTACCTCGGTTTCCTCAGATCCTGTTGGGTCTAGTTAGTCACTTCCCTGGCGTTGACTGTAGGTTAGTGATAATAATCAGTCAAACAAAGAACTCAAACAGCAACAACAACACCTGTTCAGACCTGGCTCCACGGTTTGAGTCATTCAGCTCCCTGTTTCATGTCTGCTCTGAGGAAGACTTCTTATCAGTGCAGTTTTTTCAGGGATGGGAGTTCTGCTGGATTCAGGGTTGTTTGGTTTCCTCTCATACAGGAACGGGTTAGTTAGTTTTACAGACTAGTTAAAGGGATATTCCAGAGCAAAATTAAGTTAGGGTCAAACACACCGTAACACCGAGTTAGACCCCCCCTCCAGAGATGAATGTTGCCGACCGCTTGCTTCTCTAGTTATACCAACTTTAGTAACGACCGCAGGATAGCAATACAGAGAGCCACGCGCTCAACCAAAGCGCCACTCTATATCCACAAATAATGCTCAGAACAGCACCTAACTTCATCAACAGGACATATAGGGTCACAGACATAGTACTAGACACCAAACATCTTTTTAACTTTGACTCATTTCTTTAGCAAAGAGACTAAACACAACTCACCTACTCTCTTCCAGCAGCCGTTTGCTTGTACGGAGACCTCCAGGCGAGTCTATTGAGTGCAGCGGAGTTTCGCAGCTCAAGGAAGAACATTTATGATCATTACTTCATGGAAATGCAATCAGACCGAGACGCTAAGGCAGAAGAACTACCGTGTCTGCAGAGAAAAATGATTAAGATGGTGATTATTACTTCAAGGAAATGATCATAAATGTTCTTCCTTGAGCTGCGAAACCCCACTGTAGTTCATAATGGACTGGCCCGAGGTTTAGTCTCTTTGCTAAAGAAATTAGTCAAAGTTAAAAAGATTTTTGGTGCCTAGTACTATGGCTGTGACCCTATATGTCCTGTTGGTGAAGTTAGGTGCTGTTCTGAGCATTATTTGTGGCGTTTTGGTTGAGGTTTGTTTATGGCTCCTCAGACTGCTGTGTATTGCTATCCTGCGGTCGTTACTAAAGTTGGTATAACTAGAGAAGCAAGCGGTCGGCAACATTCATCTCTCGACAGGGTGTCTTAATTAATTTAATGCTGGAATATCCCTTTAAAAGTTTGAGCGTGGTCATGGAGATCATCAGGGTGATGTTATGAACTCGTTGGATGTTGTGTGGAGGTGTTACACACTCCTCAGCGTGTCTGTACCTGCTTTCTTCAGACTGATTCGCTCTGATCAAGATCACATATCTCTGCACGACTCCACTATATGCCGTCATGTATTTTGCGTTTTTCCAGCCAAGTGTTGCACAGTTGAATCTCTCCTTCCCCCGCAGACCTCTTTGATTTTCACACCTCCGCACCATCCCGCTGCAGACTCCGTTCTCTTTTATCACCGCCTAATTAGACCTCAGCACGGGCGCGAGATGAAGCAGCAGTCTTAACACTCAGAGAGCTCTCAGGGTTTAAAAAAAACACGAGTGTGTGTTTATGTTTATGTGTGTGTGTGACTCAGTGGACAAACAGCTGTGCGTCTCCTGACCTTTCACCTTGTTTACTCGCTGAAAACAGGAGGCATATTGTGGATAAGGAGAGAGGAAGCAGGTACAAACCAGATACTGATGCGCGGAACAAAACCAGCGCCGGCGTGTTCAGGGGGAAAAAAAAAAGAGTTGATTTATTATGCAATGTTTTTGAGAAAACATCCCAGTGAGCGCACAGATTGGAGCCACATGACTGAAAATAACAAACAACCAGGAAAAAATATGACGGGGAAACATTTTTCTACGCTGATGATGAATACTCACTATGAGCTGTCGGGTCAGAGAGTGTCCTGAAAGAGTTGAAGAGTTTACACTGGAGATGAAGATGAAGATGATCTTTCTCACGTTTTCTGTAGTTAGAAGAAGCTGGGATGTGGATTAAAAACAGACTTTTGAGAGTTTGAGAATCCTTTTTATCCTGTTTGACTGAAAATAGTGGGAAGACAGCGGATGAAATGTTGAATGAAAATATTATTGTTGTTTAAAAGTTCAAGTGTGGGTCCATCTGAGGAGACCCTGTCCTAAATTTAGGTGTCACACTGCCTGATAACATCACGTCTACTAAACAGTAAAGGATCTCCAGGTCTGGACTCTTCTCCTCCAGGGCCATGCTGTTGTAATCCCTGCTGAATGTGGTTTGCTGAAACACGAGGGTCTTGGTCTGGATGGCAGCATTTGTTACTTTAATACCTGTCGATGTGGTTCAGGATTAAAGGGGACTTCACAGACATGTCAGTGATCCATCTGTGGTTTTTGGATTTGGTTGAAATAAGCCGGATGGACCCTCTCCTCTCCAGGATAGAGAACTGTGAATCTACGACTCCCAAAGGAGTCCCAGGAGCCGGAGGAGACGTCAGCACTCCTCATGGTCATGGTTCGACATGGTTTCAGCCTGTATTTGTGGATGCAGCGGCTGATTTTTTGCTCTGACAGTGGTTTCAACCTGTATTCCACTTCAGAGTCAGTATCACCCAAAGGCCAGAATATCATAGCTATCCAGTTTTTTTTAGTCTGTCCCCCTTTTTTATGGACATTTGTTCTTCACGTACGGAAAATTATTGCATTCACCATAAAAAGACTGGTTTTTTTGTTTGTTTGTTTTGTTTTTCAGACTAATTCTCTGGGATCATGATCATTACTCTTATTACTCTCATCTGATTGTATGAGATTCTTGCAGGATTTTGAAGTTTCTCGTTCAGTCAGGAAAAAAAATGTCCAAAAACAGAAGGAGAAAGAAAAAAAAATCATACAAAAAACAGAATAAAAATTTGTCAGAGAAACAGAAAGAAGGGAAAAAATATTAGTACAAAAAACTGAAGAAAAAATAGTCTGAAAAAACAGAAGGAAAAATTTTTTTGAGGAAAATATTTTTTTAAAAGTTTACTTTTTTTTTGCAGTACACTTCCATAATAACAGGACGTTGTTCTGAAAATGCTGAATCATTGAATTGCTCACGCAGTCTCTCACAGAGCGCTGAACCTCCTCTCAGTCGGCTGAAGTGGATGTTTCTTAGGTGTGTAGACTCATGTGCACTTTACCGTTTTTAATATGAACTTTCATGTGTCTTTAATATCGTTGCTGAACTCGTCCAGATCATTTTACAAACTAATCACAGCATGTGTTTGTGTGTGACAGTCTCTCTGTGTCTGTTTCTCCACATGTTTGACTTTATCTCACAGGAAATGTGAGTTCATGAAGGATCGGTCACTTCCTAATCGAAAGAAGAAGTTGTTTTGTGTTTTCTGAGCAGCTCGTTCCTCTGATTTATCAACAGCCGAGTTTCTCACGAGCACGAGGAGGTCTCGTCTCTGCAGCAGGATTCAACCAGAAATGTTTAAGAGATGATGTCAAAATCACTTCAGCTGACACTAAAAGGCTGCTGAGCTTTTACAACCCTGAAAAAAATCGATCAGCGTCTTTTCACTAAGTGCCCGATCGGCATGAGAGCATCACTTAGCGGTTGTAAAATGAAGCCTGCAGCTACTGTCCTGTTTTCTCCACCGGGCTGAGGATGACATGCTGCACCGTGAAGCTTCTCAATGAGGCTTTTCTCAAAGTTTGTGTCCTGAACGGCTCCCAGGTTTTTTGAGACATGGATGAGGTTTCCCGCTCACGGTACCGTCAGCCCAGTCATTTTCATTAGACTGGCACAGAGAGTAGAGGAGAGGTGTCTGATGTCTGGATGTTTGCTGTAACTCAATACTAATGTTGGGATTGGAATTACCAGCAGCCACTGGTCGTAGCTGCGGCTGCAGGAGTTTTTTATTTCTGCTGCTGAGCACAGACAGAACAAACATCTCATGTAGCTCTGGCACGTTTTTCTCTATCATACACCGTCTTTTCTGGGAATTTATAAAGTGGATTTTTCAGTTTTCACTCAAATCAAATCTCCCTCTCCTGCAAGTTAAAAAAGAAGAGAGACAAGTGGAGGTGGAGGGAGTAACTGAACCAGTGGATGAAGGTTACGAACTTAGATGCAACCTGTAAATTCTGCTGATGTTTCAAAATTAACCCGTCTAACCTGCATCACAAGTCCTGTGATAGTGACTATGTCCCTCTCCATGTGGTTTTCTATCACCGTGACATATGTGCCCTTGTATAGATGCTGAAACACTCTGTGGTCTTTATAGTTTTGCAGGCCTTACGTCTTCAAAAAGGTTTCTCTTATTCGAACGTCTGTGCGGTGTGGCGACGAGCGTGCGTGTTTACACTCTACAATCGTGATAGTCAGAGACGCTGCCTGCAGGATGGTCGGTTTCTCTATGTTTCCAATTAAAGTGATTTTAGATAAACATTTATCTTAGATTAATCCTGAAAAATGAGGTGGTGACAGCATGATGGGACTGTTGTGAAATTGTGAAGTTCAAACATTTTCTTTTCAGCCTCACTTCGTGTAATTTTTGCTGTAAAAACGCACAAAACTTTAGAAAACAGATAAAGTTCTGGTCGTAAACTTTTAAAATCTGCAGATATTCAAAGCTCATGTTTTGATATGATATCGCTCAATTTCACCAGAGAGCTCCTGCAGACTCTCACATCCCTGTACACACGTTGTTAGAAACCATCATCATTCAGGACGTCTAAAAAGTTGCGTAACTGCTCTCTTCTGTCCGTGAGGTTGAGCTAACCCAGAAAAATAGCAGGAATAGTTTAACGTCTGTGTCATTTTGTCGAAGTCACGTGTATCGTAATTGATTTAGTCTCACTCTGGAGCAGAATGTGGTCGACTCACTGATGAAGGACTCTCCGGAGAAAAACACCTCAGCAGCTCCAGCGGCTGGACTCTCACCAAAACAGACGTGTGTGTGAGGGCGGGAGACGAATTATGACAGGTCTCGTGTCTTTTCTATAATCCACAAGTCAAAAGACGTGATCAGCGTTTGTTTCACATCAGAGTTGTCCTAAAAACAGAAGTCTTTAAAACTAGAAACCTGTATTTAGGTGACTGTAGTTATAATTGTTAGGAGAGGGGATACAAATAGACAGCATGGTTATTTTTATGTCTGTTTCTTCCACAACATCATCTGATTGGCCAGTTTCACATGACTGTGTGACATAACAGAACGGGTTAACCGCTAACTCCTATAAATAATAAAGTTCTTTTGTTGATTATAATCAGACTTATAAACCACTTATGATCTGGATTGTATCGGCCCTAAAAAAAAGCAGTTCTGGTCAACATGGTAAGGGGGGCGTCACTGATTTCACTGACAGGTTGTAGCCTATGGAGGACGAAAAATGTCATAAGTAGAAATAAATAAATATATAAATATACAAATAAATGGATAAATAAAAAATTAAATACATGAATAAATAAATAGATTAAATAATTTTTGAAAAATAAAAGGTATTTTTTTTTTTAATTTAATTTATTTTATATTTATTTATATTTAATTTTATTCATTTATATATCGTCACATTTATTTATTTCTACTTTTATTTAATTAATTATTTTTACATTTATTTATGTATTTATTTATTTATTTTTATATTTATTTATTTCTACTTATGTCATTTTTGGTCCTCCATAGTAGCCACCATAACTCCACCTCAGTGCTGTTGTCTATCTTGGAGGAAACATTTTAAATAATAAGAACTTTATTGGTGTAATTACAACAGCAGATTAGAAAAAGGAAATCAATCATACAATCATAGTAAATAAAGAAGCAATAAAAAACTAAATTAACAGCATTTTAAGGTCAATAGACTCCCTGAAAAGACAGAATAGAAACTCATTAAAACAAACTAATAAGTAAACAAATAAACAGATGATTTCCTTGACACTGTGTATATTTATCCAGTTTTTTCACTGCACAGACATTATAAAAGAGTATTAATTTCTTTATGTAGAGTATGTGAGTAACATTAAATAGCTTTAAAATAATAATAATATCAGAGGGGCTGCAAAACTTTGATTATTTTGCACAAGTTGCATGGTTCACAAATCCAGCTTGGTTTGTTTCATGAATGCAACATTCATGAACGATTTATTTTAATGGGAGTCTGTGTCTTTACATGCTTACATTCCTGTTTTGATCCAGTACAAGATACCTTTAGATGAACCGAATAATAAGTGCATTAAACACGGCTGACAGGGAGTTTTTTAAGGAACAATTAAAGTTAGATAAGGCAACATATTTGATCCCAGTCATTGTTCGGTGAAGTGTAATTAAATCGTGTCTTAACAGGTATCACAGTGATTTTGTTTCATTGAGCTTCTTGTGACTGCTACCCCTGTGAGACTTCCATGTTCCACGGCTGCGCTGTCATGGATTAAACCATCTTTGTTCATATATCTGTCAAACCGTCACACGCCACCACTTCCTCTCTATGACCCTCATCAGTCCTCTGAATCTTCCTGTATGTTGTACTCTGTTGTACTCTGTGTTTCTGGTGTTACGGTCAGTCCAGCGACACAAGGTGGTGAAATCAGAGACAAGGATTTGTCAATGTGTGAATCATCTGAAGCTGTTCCCATGACTCAAGACACCAGGAACCGTACGTACGTCTGCATCCAGCCAGAATCGATAGAGTGAAACAAAGCCGGGCCTGTCCTGGCCAACCGCCTGCTGAGTGTGTGTGTGTGTGTGTGTGTGTGTTGTACTGTGATAGTCGGCTAACTCGACCTCTGTGGCGTTTCTGTCCATGTTTGTTTTCACTGCAGAGAACCTTTCTCAAACATCAATACTTCAAACGTGCTCTGAAGGTTTTCTCTCTTTTCTGAACTTCGTTTTCTTTCTGTCTCTGTCGTTTTTACGTTTTTTCAGCCCTCTTTTTTGTTGTCTTTCTCTGCCGCCTCAGTCAACCTTCTTTGTTGTGTAAATCTTTGAATGTGGAGCTTTATTTAAGAGGACGAGGAGAAGTTGGAAAGCTTGGAGTGTGTGAGGAGTGAAAGTCTGAGACTGAATTTGTTCTGGTAGGAACCCAGTGTCCTCTCTCTCCGTCTTGCTGTGAGATGCAGGTGGTTGAGCGTCAGGCTTGGCCTCTTTTCCACGCTCCATGCTGACTTGGAGATTTCTGTCTCCTGGTGTTAAGTCAGGTCAGTTTATTGCTTTGAACTAGAAGTCTCTGCTCTTGGCTGCAGTCACAGTTTTTTTCTGTGGTGTGGTCCTAAACACGTGCTTTTCAGGATTGGTGACCCTAAATTACCTTAAAGTGTCTGGTTGTTTTTCTCTTTACATCAACGATACACCCTGTTTGTTGTCCTTTAACAGCTGAGGTGGGCTGCAGCCCCCTAAACCCCAAAGTTAAAGGGATATTCCTGCGTAAAATTAATTTAGGGTCAAACACACCGTAACACCGAGTTAGACCATTTCTTTATCATTTTATGCTGCAATATCCCTCTTAATATCAACCAATCACAAACTGGCTGGGGCGGGACTAGTTACCCAAGTAACCAGGAAAAGATAAGCTTGTGATGTACAGAGACAGAGTAGCCCATTGGTCAGTTTTTTGCGCATTAACATCTGAATAACCGAAACAATACAGCGTTATTTTAGACTATTCTTAGTTGTAGCAGAAGTTTGTGCGTTTTTAGATAAAAATCTATCATTTACATTTTCATTTTTCAGCTTCAACTTGACATACATGCTTACAAATGTTCCAAATAGTCTTTTTGTGGTTTGAAAAACAAAACAAATTAGAGGATCAACAAGTTTTCTGTCTGTGTGTGTTTTTTTTTCACATTTAAATATCCAGTCACAGGTGTATGTTTGTGCGAACGTGGGAGGAAAATGGATCCATATTTTTTCATTTTAACAACAGAAGTGACAGCGCAGTGACCGTAAACACTTAAAGCCGACAGCTGAAACATAAATCTATGAGATCATCTTCACTGTTTAGAAGCAGGGACTCCTGAAATGTAAAATTTTACGCAACAAAGATGCAACAAACTCTCTATTTTCATGCAAAGTAATGTAACGCTCCTCACCAAACAGTGTTTATGCATGGATCCTTTGTCTTTATCAGTGTTGAGTTTTTGTTACCCTCTGTGCAGAAACCCTTCTGTTTCAACATTCAGAGTTTGTTTTTAAAGACGGGGACGTGTGGTATGATGGTGAGATTTATCTCCTCAGAGGCTTTTATCCTAAAAGAAATGGATCTGACAACTTGGAAAACAGGATGAAGAGTTTTCATGTTTTTCTTTTTCTTTTCTTTTGTGCTTAAAGCAAAAACTAAAGTCACGCTGACCTGGCACTGGACAAGTGTTCATAAGATAACCTCTCGCAGCTTTTCTAGTTTCCTTTTCACTGTCACTGCTCACTAAAGTCCGAATCTTCCTGAACTCATCAAAAAAAACTGAGATTCAGATTTCCCAGAAGAAATAAACTATCATAACGACATTCCTAACATTTCCCTTCACCCTCTCTCTCTTTTTTTCCCTCGTCCTCCTCCCTGGTCTTCAATCTCTCTCTCTCTCTCTCTCTCTCTTTCTCTCTCTCGCTGTCTCTCGCTCGCCTGGAGTGATGTCAGACTCGCTGATTTCCAACTCATGACAGAGCAGTTTTACAGACGGCTCAAGAGTCTGGCGCAGGAAGGGGAGGGTCCCTTTCACTTCTCATTTCCTGTGCCACAGGAAACACATTCCTCAGCAGCTGGCAGTAAGACAGCGGTAAAAAAAAAAAAAAAAGAGCTGTGTGCGAGTACGAGTTCCCGGCAGCGGGCCAGCCTCCTGGAAAGAGGGCTGGCTCAGGAGTTTAGTATCTGTGAGTGAGGGAGAGACCGACACGTACAACCCCGTCAGCTGAGCTCAGTCAAAGTCTACGAGCAGAGAAATGATTTAATAAAAATACTCTAGTTTCTCTTTGTTTAGTAAAGCTTCATTCATTCAATCAGGTAAAACAAAGATGATTTCTGTGGCCACAGGTATGATGACATTAAAAATTTAATTCAACATTAAAAAGTCTTGGGAAAGATTCTGAAGCCCACGGCCAAAAAAGTGCAGAAACCCTCCCCTTTAATCTGAATTATTTATACTTAAAGAGGGTAAACCTTTTCACAGTTTAAGAGACACTTTGATTGAGGAGCTGACGAAGATCTCTCGGCCCCCGCTGACGTGTTTCTCCCTCAATAGGATTCATAGCTCTGCTGTGTTTTTAATAAAACCGCCTCTTTAACAATCCTCAAACACAAATCAGTGTAAAGACTCAGTCTGAGCCTCATTGTCTCAGTCAGTCCTGTTAAACTGAAATACAGGGTTCATATGTGCACGACCCTTTAGGTGGCAGAACTACAGGTGGTCTCCTTCTCGTTTTCTCTAACCTTGCCTCTCTCTCTCTCTCTCTCTGTTTGTCGTTTTTTCTCCCTCCTGCAGGACAAGGGGAAAGGAAAGGGCTTGGTGAAAAACGCCGCTCTGGATGAGCAGGACGCTCAAAACCTGGAGGTTGTCGCCTTCTGTGAAGACGTAGCAACGTAAGATCCTTTCTGCCGTCCTGACGATAAAACACGTATGAGGGTGAAGGTTTACAGTTAAAGGAGGGGTAGGCAGGACTCCATTAAAGAAGCATCTTAATATCAGTCAATAGATATTAGTTATTGATGACATTTTGATCAGCCCGCTCTTTCTGACTGTAAACAAAGCCGTTCTCCACCTCCTCTAACCCGATTGGTTGTGAGGCAGACGCTGCTCCCCCGTGTCGTTCATGAGCCCAAACAAAGTTAGCGTGCTACAATATCGGACAGTAGAAACCAACCAGAAAGTTCGGAAAATCGTCTGAATCCTCCTTTGGCCACGACTGCCGACACAAGCAAGAAAACAAAGTAAATACTGGAGACTCTGGAGGAATAACGGGCGCTTAAAACGGAGGTAGACCGGACAAGAGCTAAAAAGCCGGGTCAACATAAACGATGGGGGACACTTGGGGATCTTGGTGACCCTGTAACCTTTCTGCTGGACAGGTAAACCGCTTTAACAAAGTAAGACAAGTGTCTGTAACAGAAGTGTTTCTTGTCAAACGGACCTGCTGTAGCGTGTTGTAGCGCCATCGCTAAACTGTCCTCCCTCGGGTCCTGGACTATGTCACTTTATCCTCGTTGTAGAAGTCCTGCAAACATTGTGTTTGCTGGTAGTCTGTTGGCATCTACAGTAGCACCAATGCTTTTGACTTTCACCTTGACTGGGCCCCATTTGTAATGATCTGAAGTATTTATCTGCATTATATCTGAAGTTAATTGGAACGATACGAGCGAGCAGGAGCGTCTGTTTGTGGGCGGGGCTTGAGGGGAGAGGAGGAGGGGTAGAGTTTACATTCAAGATTTCTCCCAGAAACTGGCACTTCCTCAGATCCTGACTACACCACCTTTAACTGATGGCGAGGAATTACAATCTGAATGATGAATGTTGGAGAAGTGAGGCTTTGATTGGCTGGAGGGTGGCGTCACATGATCACCAAAGCCACCAGGATTCTTCCTCTGAGGATCATGAATATTCTGTCAGTTTCCTGAGTGTGAACGGCCTCTGACTGAACTCTGGTGGTTAGTTTGGGTGGAGTGATGATGAAACGGCGCTCAGGGAATCCGCTTTGATTATTAGAGTCACGCCCGCTTCATGTCCAGAGATTTCATGCCTGATGTTGGTAAACACTCGTGTAAAGGACAAAAAAACGACCTCTAACTTGAACCCAGAACAGGTGGAGTGGGTTTGAGGAGATTTTGGATAATCTCACCCTATGATCATGTTTTGGGTTCACATTGATATTCAGGTTTTGCGTTTCCTTCTTCCTTTTATCCGCCGTTATACAACTCATGATCTCATCCAGCGATCTGATCCATGCCAGCCTGACCCTGCTGTGTTTTCATTGGCCGACTAAACCAAAATACAGACGAGAAAATGTTGACTCTGCTCTGTTGTGTTTTTTTTTTCCCCCTCTCCTGGCAGACTGCGCTCCAAGTTCCCTCATGACGACAGGTCCACCAACCCCGGCTTCGTCCTCAGCCCTGTCATTACCCAGAGGGACGGTGGAGGGGACAACAGCTGCTCTGTCAAGGTTTCCATTGAAATCTCTGAGTCTCAGCAGCCTGTAACCTTCACCTGTGACGGTAAGAGTCCACGACAAGAGTGTGATCAAGGAGACTAAAGTATTTGACCTTCATAAAAATATATTAAACTGCTAAAATCTAAAGAGGAGTGAAGGAAGTCTGTGTCCACGTCTCAAACCTTGAACCCTGTCTGCCTTTAAGAGTGAGCGGCTCAGATTGCAGATATGAGTTCTGAAGGAGGAAACGACATCCACAGCTGCCAAACTTCTTACCCCCTCCCCGACTCATTTTTCTGCGTCTTTTCGGTTTTTTTTTTTTTCCTGCCGTGGGAAGTACACTTTGTTCCTTTTTCCGCACAAATAAAAGTTTGTCCCCCGCGCCAGAAGTGTAGCCATGTTGGGGCATAAAGAGGACCGGAGTCTCACGTGTCGAGGTTTCCTTCTGTTATCAGCGAACTTTCTCACTGTACTCGCACAGAAGTTCAGCTCCAGTGATTGACGTGTCTTTTGGGACCTGGAGCCAAAAACACGAGAGGCTGTCTGCCAGTCCTGTCAGACATATTGTCCCAAAGTTCGCCACTGTCTCTGCGGTCCCCGAGGATCAGCATTAGGGCCACTGTGTGTGTTTAAGTCTGTGTGTTTATTTATCAGACACTTGTTTCTTTTATAGCAGCCCCTGCAAACATTAATGCAGAAGTAAACCCTCAGCCCTCTTCACTGTGTTTATGTAACTGTCCCACCGACCCAGACGCCGCTCCACGTCGCCTCCTTTAACAGAAACAACCTTTAGGAAGTTTATTTTCCATTTCCGAGGTGTATTCGGCTCGTCCTCCTTTATTCCCTCTGCTCCGGTCACTTCCTAGATGTTCTTCCCTCTTTCCTATCATGCTGCCTCGATGGTTGTTTCCTGGTTTACATCCCGTGTTGTCAGCGGCGGCGTGCTGACCCACATTGCTGCTGTTTGGATTCCTTTACAGGAATCTGCTCTGGGGAACAATAGGGCTCAGTTCTGCTCCAAGCTTTGATAGACGGATAAAGAGAGAGAGAGAGAGAGAGAGGGGACTTTCTTTTCTTCCTTTCTTCCCCTCCTTTTATTCGCTCACCCTCCTGTTTTCTTCCCTGTCCTCTTTTTGTAGCTTTTCTGAATCTGTTTTGAAACGATTCCTGGAATAACTTGATCATTAAAAAGCCATAAACTCTGGACAGCCTTACACACACTTATACAAACCTTCATTTACCAGCAATAATCTGGAAAAACACCAGAGTAATAAATGAGATTAAGATCAGTCAATAAATTACTTGAACCATTTAGCTGTCTGAATGTGTCCCAGTATCTTCTATATGTTGTTATAACTCCTGAGTGACGGAGAAAAGACCTTCCTTTTCATCGCTGTCTCAACGTTTACATCCGTCTTGTGAGCTAGCACGAGCGACAGAGTCCTTCTGTGACTCTTTGTGGTGTAAATCTCCTCTAGACTTCATCCCAATCCTCCTGTGGGACACTAATGTTGGTCCTGCTCTCGCCGGTACGGGACTTACCTTTTTACCGCCTTTCTTGGACAGTAAAAAGTTGCTTTGATTGAGCAAATTTGACCGCCTCTTAACACTCAGGTCTCAGTGTTTCCTCTGTGCAGCTATCCAGGGAAGCGCTAGGATATGTGTGCACGCACAACCAGAAATTATGACCATTTAGTGCGTCGGTCTTTGTCATCATTTAGGTGCGTAGATAACAGGTGTTATATTTGAGTGTATATTATATTTTAGGGTATCTTTAAGGGGAGTCTCATAGTCAAAGTAGGGCTGCACGATTAATCGGATTATTTGATTAAGACGATGTTAAAAAAAATTAAAATTGTCTAATCGATTTTCCTCTTTATCATGTCTCGTGCCTCCAGGCCACCGTAGGCTCCCCCTTGCTGCGGGATGATCCCTAGTTCCCACACACACCAGTGTAAACAAACATGGTGTTTATAAAAGAAGGCGATAATTTCGTGGTTAAATAGGACAAGAGCGAGTCAGTCGTGTTGAATTGGTACGACTTCACAGTTTCAGATGAAGAGTAAACCACTCCCCGCTGTAAAGTCTGTCTGACGGCGGTATCAACCCGTCACCACGGAAACAAATTCAGGAGGAAACACTTAAGTTTTTTGCCGTTGTTTCATCCACATGGAAACAGCATTTTTTTGAAAACAGGTCAGAGAGTGAATAAATCTGTAAACGACGACCATTTCATCTCCGTGTGGATGTCTATCTGCATCTCTGGAAACGATCATGTGACACACAGAGTAACTCTTTTATGGCGCTAAAACAACCTTTAAACACGTGCTCTGTACTCTTCTTCTGTCTTTTGTGCATTTCCTGTGCAACGTTACAGCGCCACTTACTGTCTTGGCATATGAACTACATCGTTTTGAGAGATGATAGAAAAACTTTTTATTTTTAAAGTGAAGTTTGGTGAAGTCGTCACTGAATAAAAACTCTAAATCAGGATTTTAATTTTGACCAAAATCGTGCAGCCCTAAATCAAGATCTGTTTGAGATGCTACTGTGACTGTGACACATCTATGTTTACACATCTATGTTTGCTAGAGAGCGTACAGAAACAAAGACTCTTCCAGGGCTTGGCTGTGAACTCTGAGCTTCTGGGGATTCCCAACACACTGTGGCTGAAGAGGAGAAATGAAAGGAGTGGGGTGTGGGTGTTAAATACCCAGAAAGAAATAAAGAGAGATGGGGGGACAGCAGGAACGGAGAGAAAGATGATATCTTAAAGGCCGATTTATGAAAGACGGTTGTGAGGGGAACGGTGAGGGAAAATCAGACGATTCAGAAGATTTGATGTTTTATTAAACGTGTGAGATGAACGGGGGAAGAGTGACAGATGGAGGAAACGCTGCGAGTTTGGCTCGGGTTCGTGTCTGCGGTTTGGGGGGCGATGGAAGAGAGGAAACGCTGCCATGTTTCTCCTTTAACAGACACTGACTCTCAGCCACTTATAGTAGGTTAGGAATAAGTCTAGATAAGGTCGTCTTTTATTTTTATTCCACTACATAGAAATACACATGTAGAACGGCTCACACCTTAAACTGTTGGATTAATTTCGGTTTAATCTGCCTGATAGAGTCACAGCTGACAGTAAATCATCGATCGGTTCGTCTCGACCTCTTCCCGGTTATTTCTCAGAGGTGATGTGCTGTTCGGTTTGTTTTCATGTAGCGTGACACGCAGGAGGTTCCAGCTGCAGGTGAGAGTTCACTTCAACAACTGCTGACAGGGCCCGATTGGAGGAGATAGGAGCACAGGAGATAAGCTCCCATAGACGCAGACTCTCAGTCCCTCTTTGTCCCTGGATGTGAATCTGATAGTTGGACTGAGATCTGTGTTTGCTCTGAGTCACGACCTGCAGGAGTTACATCATTCCTCTATTACATCTGTGATTTAACAAGAGCCGGGTGACTTCTGCCCTCTCTCTTTGGCTCCAACACGACTCAGACAGGACCTAAATCTTAGTTAATGTTCTAGATTTATTATTTTCCTTTTGACGTATGTGTCAGAGTTGATTAGACAATCGCTGTTTTCGCTTGTTAAGATGTGCGATCCCGCCAAACCCGCCCGTCCATGTGCGAAACAGTCAGCAGCGTTGGGATGTGGAGCTGTTCTTGTCTCTCTGCCTCCAAAAACACCAGCCTGGGAATTTTCTTACCACCTCAGCTCTCTCACAAAACGAGGCGCGGTCTGTCGAAGCTGCTTTGTTTCAAAACACAGTAACACTGGTACAACCTCTGCGACCACCCGGGCACACAGGACCCGGAGAAAACCATTCCTCCTCAGGGCGGAGGTCTGTTCTCGCTGGATCCGGGGGTGGTCTCTCCCTCTCCCTGTGTGCAAACCTATATTAAGTAACCTGTGTGTGTGTGTGTTTGTGCGCTGTGTAGAGCTCCTTATCGGTGTTTGTGTGTCAGCAAGCTTCGCAAAGTGTTCAACAGCCAGGTGTCAGGTTACTCTTCCCCCTCAGTCTTCCTCTTGTTGGACACATCAGATACTGGAGCGAATGTAAACACTACAAAAACACACACACCCACACACACACACACACACACACTCCGCTGTGAGTGTTCTTCAGATCGGCGAGCAGGTTTGAAGTGAAACTCGAGCTGCGTAGAAACGAGCAGCGAAGCTTCGGGGTGCAGGAGAAATTCAGGAAAGTGTGAGGTCCAAAGTTCAGTTCCCACAGCAGCACACACACGGGGCTCTGCAGAAGAAGAAAATTGTATGTTATTGTAGCGTGACCTGACCTCCAATCCCCTACATGAAAAATCAAGAGACGAACACCGGTCTTGAGGATCTGAGCCAATGTGGACCTGCGAGAAACTGCAGCTCCAGGAGTAAAGATGGAGACGAATAAGAGTTTATCGATATTGATGCCGTGATGAGGGATGGGTATTGTTAAGAATTTAGCGATTCCGATTCTCTTATCGATACGATTCCTTATCAATTCTCATTGAGTGAGACGTAACCCCTAGTTTTCACCGCATCCAAAACGGCTACGAAAAGGCCGTATCCACCGATCATAGCTGATCGTAACAATTCAAGTTAATGTGTGAATTTCCTGCTTCTTTCTGTTCCGCTGTGATCGCCGGACTGCACAGCTGATCGCAACAGTTCTATTTTTTCCAGACACCAGAGCATGACGGATAAATTCAGCACAAAAAGCAAAATCCAAATTTTGTCCCAATATAAGGCAAGCACTAAAATAACTTTCGTAGATGTAGCTATCGTGTTTCAGCCCTCCGATCTTGCTTTTTTCCGATTTGGTAACTGAAACGCTGGGAACTCGGGTGTGACGTCAATTTCAGCCCGAACTTCTGACTTCCAAGGTAACTTGAACGCAGCATTAAACATTACCTTGATGACGCCGGGACGTTAGCTCCACTTCTGCTTTTCGCCTTTGCTAAGTGGCGTATCAAACATGTTACACTTTCGCAAATTAACTGCATGCTGGGTGGAAAAATGTTTTCACATATTGGAAGTATTCCCCTCCTTTGACAAAATTAAAGCTTTGCGAGTAGCCCAGGTATCAACTGAAAATATCAAATGAAATACAGCAAAACTCTGGAGAGCTTTTGCCTTGATGCCATGCTGGAAAGTTATGAACCAAAACACACTTCTCACGTACTACGTCATCGCTCATAGAGACTAGCAGAATCCTCAAGGAGGCAGACAAACAATTCTAAGGAATCGAATCACTAGGAACCAGTTCTAAAAAAAACAGTTATCGATTCTCATCCTTAGCTGTGATTGTTATTCTCAAGGATCCTTCTGATGAACAAAAATAAGAAAGTTCTCTGTATCAAAAACTGTGATCTGGTGAGCTGATCATGTATCTGGTCTCTGATTGATGACAGACCATAACAAAAGATTAGCTTTTCATTGACATTCAGATAAGTGATCACAGATTACCTCGATTTTTTTAAAGACTGGATTCTGAAAGTCTGTCAACATTTAAAAGGAAGAAAAAAAAACCCTGGCTGTTTCAGAAAGTTAACCATCGTAAAGCTGCCGGTCTCACAAAGCGAGTGGATTTTACCCGAATGTAAAAACAGTCTCTGGTTTGTGAATCTGTGGAGTCAGACCGTCTCTCGTCTGTGAAGCTGATTTTGTCGCTCCCAGCTTGTGTCAGTTTTCTGTTATTCATGTTTTTCCTCTGAGATAATTTTGCATCGTTCTAACTCCATCTCATCTCTCTTTATTCTCCTCCATCATCCCCTCTCAACCGCTCCACAACCCTCCCTTCACTCCCTTCTAATGTGGTTTATATCTTTCCATCAATATCCCCCGCTCACCCTCTTTCCCTCCCTTCTCTCCTCTCCTCCCTCCTTCTTTCAGTGAGTTCTCCAGTGGAATTGCTGATCAGTCAGACTCTCTGCTGGGTCCACGATGATCTGGACCAGGTGGACTTCTCCAGCTACCTGCTCAAAGTCTGCGGCCGGGAGGAGGTGCTGCAGAAGTGAGTACCACAAACACAAGTTCTCGTCTGTTTTCTTACACCCCCTCACTCCCTATCTTACAAAGAGCATCCCCTCCCTCCCTCCCTCTCTCTGTCTCTTATCTCGGTGTTTTCTTGTACAAAATGGGGTCTGACGAATGTTTCTATATTTCACCCTGTGCCCTCCTACACCGTGGAAATTCTCCTCGCCCTCTAATCTGGGATACATGGGAACGGTTCCTCCCATGCCAGAATTTAAAGGCCCGGTACAAGCTGATGTTTAAAGTTGCATAAGTAATGTGTCAAGATTATAGCTGCCTAACAGATGAGTGCGGTTCATGCTGTGCAATCAGGTGTGGTCAACATGCATACAGTTAAAAATCCTCCCAGTGTAAGAACGAACCCTGAAACATTCACAGAGAGCCGAGGTTGTAAAAAAGACCTGAAATGCGTTCAACACTTACATCACAGCTCAACCTGCAATCATAAAAAACACCGCTTTACTCTCCCTGTGATCAAACTTCACCTTTTTTTCTGTATTTGAAGCAAACATGCAAAATTTTCTCTGCACAGAACAGCAGCAGTCTCAGCGTTCAGAGCGTTTCGAGTATCAATTGATATTTTTCTGTTTCTGCAGGAAGTGGGTTTGATACATTAGGGGTTTTTTCACCCTCCTGTGTGAAAAGGAAACAAAATATAAACATGCTCTGTGTCTCAACAGTAAAATACAAAGATAGTTGAATTTATATATTTATATTTATATATTACCTGCTGTTTTGCACATAGCATCAAAGCACTTTTTTATTATTATAAAGGACTTATTCAGGCATCTGTCTGAACAGCTTCATAAAATATTGAGTAGTTGATATTGAGTAGACTGGTTTGAAGTTAGTTGAAAATGTTCTGATTTTCCGACGTCTTTTGTACTTTTTTGCCAGTATGGATGTAAAATGGATCTAATAATGTTTTATTGTGGTTTTAAAAACTCTTAAAACATCTAAAATCTAATAATTTGAATTCAAGGCCTTAAAATGTCTAAAATCCTCTTAAAACCTCATAAAATGTCTTAAATTCACATTTGAAAGGCCTTAAAAATGTTTTGATGTTACTTACAAATAAAGGTTGATTTGAAGTTTGTTTAAAACGTTATGTCTTTTGTACCTTTTTGCCAGGATGGATGTAAAATGGATCTTAAATTGTATTAATTATGGTGTTAAAAAAGTCTTATATCTGATGTGCTGAAACCTGCAGAACCCCTGAGTTAGCGCTGTCAGGATGAGAGTGCTCAGCGCAGCTCTGTGCAGCAGAGAGAGGTTATAGTTTATAGTTTATCTCAGTCAGAATAAAAAGCAAAACTCAAGCGTAGAAAAATTATTCTTCATGATAGAAATATGAAGATGGAAACCAGCTTCTGGTCTTTATTTGAAGGTTTTGGTTTATACAGACTCATTTATTTCTAAAACTGTCCTCCTCAGTCTGAGAACCGGTTATAAAAAGTCTTAAAGTCGGCTCATCTGAAGGTGTAATTTCTCTGAGTTGTATTTTCTTCCAATAACAGTATATTATTATCCCCAACATCATACTCTGTGATTTTCTGACCCGTGCCTCTCTGTTGCCATGTCTCTCTCAGTAAACACAGCCTCGGCAGCCATGAGTACGTCCAGAGCTGCAGGAAGTGGGAGAATGAGATCACGTTACAGCTCCTCTCTCACTCCACCATGAGGAGAGACTTGGCACGCAGCGTAAGTCACTCAATCAGGCGAACGTATGAGCTCAGTGAGAGATTTTTATGAACTGTGACACAAAACATCTCATACCGAGCCACTGGGAGTCGCTTTGAAAGTGTCTCTGCTGGAAACTGACAGACGGTAACCTTCAGGTTAGGTCTCAAGGATAATGTGTCACTGCAACTTAGTTACCCGCCTTCCTGTCATCTCGTGTGCTGGGCTGATAAATCATTGATAAATCTCCTCTGTTTGTGTTTTAGGCTGAAGATGACAAAGCTGCGATGGATTTAGAGAAGCACCTCGGCCAAGTGGAGAGGCCTTTCAGGGAGAACGTGACCAGGTAAAAGCGGATTTTACTGGAAAATGTCGCTTTAAAATAAAAAAGGAGTCCAGACACTTCTGTACGGAAAGTTTATGAGACTCATGACCCACACAGTCAAATATTTCAAGGAAGTAAAGAGAAAAATAACCGGTGACCCCCAGTAACCTCCTGCAATAGGGCTGGGCAGTATGGCCTCAAATTAATATCACGATATTTTGATCAGTTCACCTCGATAACGATAAATGGACGATAACTACTCCGCCGCGCTACTTAGTTTTACCGTGAGTTTTTGATGATCAGTGAAAGTCCGGACGCTGTTCTTCAGATGCAGCAAACAAAAAATTATCGCGATGAACATAAACAAGTCCACTTTGCGATTGTTATCAAGCAACACTGAAACAGCAAAAAACACCAGGATTTAGCGCCACAGCGGTCAAAAACCTTCTGCCCACAACAGTGACATGGCTGCCTTTATTCCAGGACAGCGACACCTAAGGCATACAAAGTGAACTGCAACTCATTTTATTTTATCACATCAACATATTTGGCTCCAACATGAATATATCAATATGAGCAAAACAACGTCGGTTTCAGTAATAAATTTCAGTATCTGTAAATTTTCGGTTCATCGCCCAGCCCTACCCTGTAACCTCCTGCAAGGACCACTAGGAGCCTAAAGACCCCAGTTTGAGAACCACTGACCTTGTTTTCATCTAAATCTACAGTTTCAGTTGAATCGCCTCAGATTAAAAACAGGATGACGACCTCTGGAAGTTATTTTTTTTGGTTTATCAAACTGACTGTGTTGGCTGCAGGATTTTCTCCCACCGTGCAGTTTCTATTCGCAGAGTCAAATATTGTTGTGATGTTGAAATCCTAAAAAGAGCAGATTTAGGAGCGCTAAGTTGACGTCTGTCGGAGAGGAGGTGTTTATATTTTTTCTGTGTGTCTTCTTGCAGACAAGGCCTGGCCGACTATTTAGAAGGTTATCACAATCAAGTCAACATCTGTCTACAAAACGAGGTACGTGTAAAGTCAAATGAAAGGATCAAGACTCTCTTTTATTCATAGACTGTCTGCTCGTACATCCACTCGTACTTTGACTCGTAGTAAAACCGCTGGCTTTGACACGAGAGTCATTGTTGATCTGAAAATACCTCGCACTCTCATGTTGGTAAACCGGGACATTCCTGGAAGGCAAACTTTCTAGAAACAGCCCATCTGTTTCTCAGCCAGCCGAGCGTATAGTGGAGTAATTGAACACAGATTAACGTGAGGACCGAGCTCCCCGAATAAAACCTTGTGAGAGCTTCAAGATTTATGGGAGTGGAGGTTATTAATGCAGTTGTAGTATGAAGCACAAACACACAGTGGCCTGATTTGATGTGGAAACAGTGTTTATTTGAGACTCTGTTCGATGGATTGTTGCCGCTGACCTCCTGATGTGTTGTTCCTGTGCTAAACAATGGGCTGCAGTGTTTATAGACGAGTTGAAAACAGACTTACACAACAGCCTACACGTGTAGGTGGAGATGGATGCTGAACCAAACCTCCCTGTGTCGTTTTAGAGTACTCAGTATAAGACGGTGGACCGGTTGGTTCAGACCATGAAGAACCTGTGCTGCGCTCTGGACGAGGTGGAGACACAAACCATCACAGAGGCCATCAAACGGCTGAAACACTCCGTCAATTTACCCCGGACACGCTCGCCCAAGGTGAGCCAGCCGGTGTGCTCAGTGTGTGTTTATATTTCCGTGTTAAGAACAATCCTCTGAAAGCAGCGTGTTTGTTTTTCAGATGGGATCCTCGTCATCGGGTCAGTCATCAAATGGTAAGAATGGAAGTCATCTGAATAAAGCTCTGCAAGGACAAACAAACACACAGGCAGCATTTAAATGAGTGAAACAAAGACCATAAAACCAACATGGAAATATTCCCCCTGAGTACCTGGAGGAGTCAGACACTCTCCTAGGGGCGAGCGATCTGACAATCTTAAAAAGTGACGACCGTCTGCCAAAGCACAGAGATCGTAGAACCGTCTGTATCCCTAACATGTGTCTAAATAAATGTCTTGCCCTCTGAAATCATAATTTAAGAAGTTAAGACAGCACATTTTAATTTACCCAGTGTTAAATATAACAGCGATGTGGAGAAGAAAAGAGAGAGGAGTGGAGAGAGAGGAGATTTTTGAGCTTTCTAGTTGTGACCAAAAAAAAAAAGAACATTGTAAATTTTGACATCTGGATATTTTATTTTATTTATTTTTTTTATCTTTCAGCCCCTAAAAAAAATAATTAAAAAAAAATCATGATAAAATCGTGATCGGGATTTAGCAAAAAAACAAAAAACAAAAAGTGAAATGATTTTTTTTTCCATATCGCCCACCCCCACTCTCCTCAAACTGCATGTTCACACCACCATCTCTTTCCCCTCACTATTATCCTCCTTTAAATAAAACCTGAAAGTCCGAACACGAACTCCGCTCACTCCGATCTCCACCAAACTCCAACAGGCTACACCAGCCCGGTGGAGGAGTGCATGTCCTCGCTGACGCAGGCGGTCTACGACCTGGCCAAGCTCTACCTGCGCTCCTTCTGCCCTCCATCCACATCCTTCAGCTCACCGCCGCTGCCCAAGCCCGCCGAGGGGGACGGCGTAGAAGGGAGGAGCAGCAAAGAAGCTTCCGGCACCACGGACCACCTTCAGTTCACGCTGTTCGCTCTGCACGGCATCCCGGGAAACTGGGTCAGCAGGTGAGGAACCTTTGTCAACTTAGATTTATATTTTAACATGAGACCTAAAGGAGTTTTCTGGGCTTTTAGAACCAGCCTCTAGTGGACACTGAGGGAACTGCAGTTTGTAGCACATGCAGATACAGCTGGATGTGTTTAGCTGCTGAAAGCTCCTGTATCAGCACTTTTTCTTCTTCTTTGGTATAACTCAAACCTTCAGCCGTGTATTTGATCTTACATAATCAAACCCGCCTGTGCAGTATTATTAACGCCGCCCACGTTTCTCTGTACTGCGTGGCGCGTTGTCACATCAGATCGTCGTGTTTCCCTCTGCTAAACAAACGGCTCCTGTCTTGCTCCCCGTGTCTCATTTTTCCGTGCCGGTGTCCCGTTTCACTCTGACTTTATCTCCTGCGTGTGTCTGGAACAGAGCTGAGCCAAATTTTCCGTTCCCAGCTCTGTCACGCATCGGTGGCGAGCATCAGTACACTTCAGGCCCCTCTGCAGAGAGACAGCAGCAGAGATGTTTTGATACTAAGAGGCAGGAAAAGACGGAGAGTTTGGACTCTTTGAGACGTTACAGGTGGTGTGTAGGTCTGTCTACTCCAGCCCGGCCTCTTCGCTCTGCTATTTTAAACCAACACTAAACGTTGCTGCTGCTGCTGCAGTGACACTTCCAAAAATATTTCACTCCTCCCGGCCCCCGAGGCCCCCAGCGAGCTTGGCGTATCAGTTGTTGTGTTGTGGTGTTAGTGTAATACTCCCTCATTGCGGTCTGAGTGTTTGGCGTTGTTGTGGCTCCTGTCATCCATCTGGGGCTCAGTCGATGCCGAGGCGCTGTCAGCATATTGAGACAGCATGACGGGTGGGGGGGGGCTGCCAGCACAGATGGCGTTGAGCTGAGGACCAGGATTGTAGTGGTTAAATAAAAAGGACGTTTTCAGCTCTTCTTCAATAATAAAGGTTTAATGTTTAAAGTAGGGCTGCACGATAAATTGATTTAAAATCATCGTTTATTGGTTTATGATGATTTAAAAAAAAATAAAATCAGGGGGGAAGGTCCCGCCCTCCTTTGCCTCTGATTGGCTAGAAGTGCTGGGCTCTGATTGGTTATCCCTTATGGCTGTGAAACGTCATCGTCTGTCACATTAGGATTAGGAGATTCAGAAGTGTGATGATGTTCTGTTTGATGAACAGAGACGACGGCCCGCGTTTGGCTTGAGCGTGTGATGACGTTTAAAGCTTTTCTAGCCAATCAGAGGCGAAGGAGGTGGGACTTTCCCCTACGACCTGGCCAAGCTCTACCTGCGCTCCTTCTACACACACACACCAGTGTAAACAAACATGGCGTTTGCAAAAGAAGGCGATAATTTCGTGGTTAAATAGGACAAGAGCGAGTCAGTCGTGTTGAATTGGTACGACTTCACAGCTTCAGATGAAGAGTAAACCACTCCCCGCTGTAAAGTCTGTCTGAAGGCGGTATCAACCCGTCACCACGGAGACGAATTCAGGAGGAAACACTAAAGTTTTTTGTCATATCAGTGTTTCAGGTGACTGTAAACGGTACTTTTTAAAAACGGGTCAGAGAGTGAATAAATCTGTAAACGACGACCATTTCATCTCCGTGTGGATGTCTATCTGCATCTCTGGAAACGATCATGTGACACACAGCGTAACTCTTATATGGCGCCAAAACAACCTTTAATCACATGCTCTGTACTCTTCTTCTGTCTTTTGTGCATTTCCTGTGCAGCGTTACAGCGCCACTTACTGGCTTGGCATATGAACTACATCGTTTTCAGTGATTTCGTTTTGAGAGATGATGGAAAAACTTTTTATTAATAAAGTGAAGTTTGGTGAATTTTTTGAATAAAAAGTTAAAATCAGAGAAAAAATCTGGATTTTATTTTTGGACAAAATTGTGCAGCCGTATTTTAAAGGTGCAGTGTGGAGTTTTTAGCTTCATTTATCAGAGCAGATTTGGTGGAAGTTGAATTCAGTGTGTTGCCTCTTTGTACTGGTGGCGCCTCTTTTCTATTCAAACTAAATACAGCTCAGTATCTTCAGCACCCCCAGTATCACGATAGGAACTCCGGGTCTAGAGCGACGACTAATGAAGAGAAGCTGAGACCTCTGGAAGGAGCTCAGAGTCCAGCCGGTTGAGAACTTCTCCCTTTGGGGGTTTTCTCGGCAGGCGTGACTGTGAGGACACCCCAGGTTGAACTCGGAGGCTTGTCGGAGGGATGATTTATACATTATCTCTGGAAACGTCGCTGTAGACTCGCTTAATCTTCTGTCACTGTGACCTCCAACTCTCATCGTCTTAAACCCCGTCACGACCTTAGTGCGCCCTCACATTTGTGTCCAGTTCTGATCGGTCCTCCCAGGTTTGTTTGTGGAGGTGCAGAGGAGCTCGCCTGGATATCATCATGTCTGTGATTGTCTGATGTGTGGTTTTTGTTGCAGTTATGAAAAGTACTTCCTGATGTGTTCCCTCACCCACAACGGCAAGAACCTCTTCAAACCCATCCAGTCCAAGAGGGTGGGCACGTACAAGAGCTTCTTCTACCACATCAAGTGGGACGAACTGTGAGTTATCTCCCCTCCTCCATCTGAACAAAGACAAACCGTGCACATCCTTCAATCCCTGTCCTCTTCTCCCGCAGGATTAACTTCCCCATCGCCGTGGCGGTCCTCCCCCTGGAGTCCGTACTGAGCCTGACTCTGTTCGGGGTGTTGAACCAGAACGCCAGCGGCTCTCCAGACTCCAACAAACAGAGAAAAGCCCCCGAGCTGCTGGGCAAAGTCTCCATGCCGCTCTTTGACTTCAGGAGGTGAGAAGAAGGAGGAGGACATGTTAACCCTTTAACTGCTCCAGAAAATTAAACTTTTCTCACACATAAATCAGCTAAAAAAATCTGGTTGAAGAACAAATTTAGGACGTATTTTAGCGTCACAGGTTAACTCATGTTTCGCTGTGCTGCAGCCAGAAACCAGGAGCTTTAAAACTTTTGGCCTCACTTTTGCAGAGCTGTCCTTGTTGCAGCAGCAGCAGGTTCAACTCCCATCCACAAACCTCTCCTTACTCCCTCCATTTTCTGCCTCTCCTCATTTTTTCTTCCATTAAAGACAAACTTTCCCTCAAAATCAAACTGTTGCATCGTTCACTGTGATTCTTGAAGAACACCATGACCTGGATGAATGAGAATCTACATGGACTTCGCTGTGATTGTTGTTGAATCGTCGGTCGTCGTCTCTGCTGTTTGTTTTGCAGAGTTCTTGCCAGAGGCAGCAGGCTGCTGTGTCTGTGGACGTCTGCTCAGGGAGCTGCCGCCGCCGCCGCCGGCTCTACAGGCAGCCGCAAGAGGGTCCCCACGGAGAGGATCGTGCTGCAGGTGGGCGGGGTTTGTAGCAACTGTGCGAGAAAAATCTTGCAGGCCTAGTGGACGTGCGGTCAGATAGAGCGAGGTGACTTTTTGGTCTCACAGCAGAAAACACTCGCTCAGGAGGTCCTGAGGTTTCACTGGTTTGCAGATTTGTTCTCATACTAGCTTCACCACTCCGGAGATCTCTCCTGTCCAAAACCAGGTTATGTCCTGGTGAAAAGATCCTCATCTCTGAGTTTGTGGAGGTTGTTGCTTGTTGGAGAAACCCTGTTTGGGTTTGTTCTGGTCCTTACCTCAGAGAGAGCGTCTCAGTCCAGAATCTGGATGTTGGATTTGGTCAAATTTTCCCGTTTGTCTGTGCTTCATCAGAAAATCAATCATCACTGACTCGATGTTCATGTTCCCCTCAGGTGGACTTCCCTAACTCACCTGTGGATGTTTTATACGTGGGACCCAAGGAGGCCCCGAGCCCAGACCCCCCAGTAGAAGAGCTGGACCCTGATCTGAGGCGTAAAGTGGAGAAAATCTGCAGCAGAGCTTCAAATTTTGGGTAAGACAAAGTTAGTCTGTGTTTTCAGCTCAGGAGCAGATCTCAGGAGCTCCAGATCTGGGGTTGATGGATTGTGACCCTTCAGTTTTTTGAGAGTTTATAACGGAAAGTTGGTTTTTAAGAATGATTTGAAATAAAAGAGTTGATACCACGAGAGAGGAGATCTTAATGTTGATGAGAAAAACAGGTCAGTCCTTCTGCAAAAACACAAAAACCCTTCAGAAAACTGAGGAAATGAAATAAAGGAGGAAGAAATACAAACTCATACTTGTGTGTAATTTAAATGTGTGTTCAGAGTTGGAATCCCTCGGGGCCTGAAAGGTTTGCATGTTTAAAAAAAGTATGTAAATAAAAAGCAGCAGGAGGAGACGTCCCTCCACATCCTCCGTCTCTCACCTCGGCTCTTTCTCACCTTCTCGCTGGTTAATTTCTTTCCTTTTTCAGAGCAGATGTTGTCTCTACATGTCTGTCGTGTGTGTGTGTGTGTGTGTGTGACAGTGGCTGAAGTACCTGTGCAGTCAATGATAGTCCAGCTACAAGAGCTGCAGACTGTTTTAGTTGGTGAATATAAATGTGGTCCTGCAGGGTTGATGAATAGAGGCTGACTGTTTTATTTACCGACTGTTTTCCTGATTCACTCTGTCGCTCCCCTCGTTAACTCTCTCACTCTCTCACCGGTGCGTTCATTTCATTTCAGGAGTTTTTCAGAAGTCTCACAAATATTTAGTCGGTCACTTTCTGTCCAAACTCTGTCTGGTGTGAACGTTGAGAAGATTTGGAAAAAGACTCCTAGAAAACCATCAGCTCACATCTAAAGACAAGAGTTCAGAGTTTTTAGTCTCAGACGGAGATTTTACGAAGACTGTGAATCTTACAGGTTCATTATCTACAAGAGGACGACAGGATTATTTCCCAGTTCAGTGTTTCCCACTGGTGGAGAATCTATCTGTGGTGTTTGTGTGATTTAAAGAGGGGGCGGCTCATCAATCAGCTGTGTGTTCACATATGACAACTGGGAGCTCGCTAATGCTAATACTCGGTACAGGAACCCCGCGGTGCAGCCTGTGTGCGCCGCATACAATCATATAAACTGAGTCTGAGGTGGCAGGTAAACAAATCTTTATTGTTGAAGTGTAGCGAAGTTTATTTCGCCGTGGTGGTGAACCGTTACATGTAGGGTAAACCCTGCAGTTAATGTCGAATAGACAAGTCTGATCTGCCTACAGCTCGACTTTTTTATCGTCAGTTATTCTTCATGCATTCTCTCTCTTCTTTTTTTGACTGTCAGGTTTCCTTTTCTACTTTTGTCAGAGCTCATCTATTGGTTGTTGGTTGTGTTACGTCACTGCGACTTGCGATATTTGATATTGTCACAAACCCAGGACTAGAAAAGACTGATATAAAACAGCGCAGATTACCACCACCTTAAAGTTAACGATTGAGATGACAGGAGCGTGCTGGGACTCCAGTGAAACTCGTAACCCTCATTTAAAGACCACCTCCTCCTCAGTCTTTTTCCTGACGTCATTCATGTAGTTCCGTTTCTCACCTGATCACCAACTAAACCTTCAGTTTGATGGATCTACAGTCAGCCGAGTGTGTTCAGTCTGAACCCTGTTTTCTAAACTCTCTGTTTCGTCTCTGTGCTCTAAATTAAAACCATCGTCCTGCAGATTTATCATCGTTTTCACAGAAACTGTACGTCTCGCTGCCTTTTCTCCCTCAGCAGTCAGATTTCTGGCTCCCCCTCAGACCACCCAAAGTCTTTTGGACTTACTGGATTTCAGAGGAGGTTTCTGAAGAAGCGTCCGACTCTGCCAGCCGCAGTTTCCCCGTAAACGCCTGTATGTTGTCTCCTCCAGCGCGTCTGTTCTCCTCCAGCTGCTAAACGCTCTCTCACGTCTGCTGCCAGCCAAATCTCCTCCACGCTGCCAACATCCATGAGCCTCAGCACAGAGCGCTCTCTCAGGGGGCCCGCACACCGCCTGCTTTCTGTCCCCCGCTCATTCACTCCTCCAGACATGTGGAGGACTAGTTCGGTTCATGTGGGCAAACGCAGCAGAGCGGGTTGTTTTTATGAGAGCGTGGATGTCAGGGAGGAGCAGAGGTGACCGGTCTCTCTGAAACAGAAGAGACCAGATTCAGGACCTCATTTTTATAGAAGTGCTTTAGTGAGAGACGCTTCCTGAGCTCGCTCTAATCCTCCAGGTCAAAACTTCCTCTTTTTGTGTTTATTTTTTAACCCCGTCCTTCTCTTCCCGTCTTTCTCTCCAGGCTGAAGCGAGCCGATCACCAGCTCCTCTGGGACCACAGGCTCCACTGTCGGAGGGACCACCCCAGCAGCCTCCCTAAGGTCCTGGCCAGTGTGCCCAGCTGGGACTGGGCCAGCATCGCTCACATCCACTCCCTGCTGCACCACTGGCCCCCTCTGCCCCCCGTCACTGCGCTGGAGATGCTGGACTCAAAGTACGCTCTGTACCGCACACATGTAAACAGAAAGACTTGGTGCTGGACTCTGCAGACCCCCTGAGACATAAACCGGATTTTGAACATGCATTAAGTCTGTGGTTCTGGACCTGAATGTGTGTGTTTGTGTGTATAAATGTGGTGTTTGATGGTATTTGCAGGTTCGCAGACACGGAGGTGAGAAGTGTGGCGGTCAGCTGGATCGAGAAGAGCAGCGATGATGAGCTCGCTGATTACCTGCCGCAGTTAGTCCAGGTACAGATGGAAGTTAAACATCAAACTTCTTCACAACACTCGACTTTATTGAAGAGGACGGAGTGACGGAAAATAACAGCCGCAGCTCTGATTTTGAAGGATTAAAGTGACAATAAAACAACTTACAGACAGACGATAGTCAAAAGATATTAACAATAAAATAAACTAGACGACTGTCACTCTTTCTCTCACTCTTTTACTTGCAATTCCTCCCTTTCACTCGCCGTCCGTTCATCCATTATTCACCCCCGTGTTGCTCTCTCTCTCTCTCTCTCTCTCTCTCTCTCTCTCTCTCTCTCTCTCTCTCTCTCTCTCTCTCTCTCTCTCTCTCTCTCTCTCTCTCTCTCTCTCTCTCTCTCTCTCTCTCTGTTTCCAGGCATTAAAGTTTGAGTGTCACCTAAAGAACGCCCTCGTCATGTTCCTGCTGTCCAGAGCACAAGGAAACATCAACATCGCCCACTACCTCTACTGGTGAGTCTCTGCAGACGCACTAGAGCAGCACGCCGTCCAAGTTTGATCGAAGGAAGAAAAAGTAAAAATGAGTTAAGAGGAAAAGTGTAGTTCAGTAAGAGCTTTGAGTCCTGCAGCGTGAGTGTAACGACCAGCCTAGGGGATACTGGAGGTCACATAAAGAGTTTGACCACTCCTCTGTCACTTTCACGATGACACAGCACAAAACGACTGAAAACAGGATGTGCAGTCTAAAACAATCAGTTTTTATTGTTCTTTTTCTTTTTTTATTGACATATAACTCATGAAATTATCTCAGGGAGAGGAAGCAGAACAAACAGTTACAAAAAAAAACCCTCCTTTAAATCAAAATACCTAACCTGACATCTACGATAAAAATCAAACATATACAAACCTGAATTTGACTCCCTACTCAAAAACAGGAGAAAACAAGGACTGACTCTCCCCTACATATACCGACACAAGAACCCTCTAAGGTCCTTTAATAACACCAATCCAGAATATCACAATAGAACTCAAAGATGACTCGAAACGCCGCACTCTGGCGAGATGTTGGGAGTGACAAAGGAGAGTCGGTGTCCCTGCTCCTGCAGCTGAGTTTTAAAATGCCGCCCATCAGCTCTCCGCCAATCACGCGCCTCCACTCCACAGCAGTCCTCCGATGCGCGTCTGGTGCGTCTCCACACTGCCGTCCAATCAGGGCGCACCACCTCTGCCGCACAGCCCAGAGAAAGAGAGGAGGGAAGAAACAAACTCTCCTCTACACAATAAAACGACAAACAAAACAATAATTAATACAGTTTGAATGACACACTGTCATAACAGCGAGTAAATCCATTTCAAAAGTCTGTTTCCTGTTTCTTTTTCATGCACACTTTATCAAATAAAATTCTTTTATTTGTTTTTAAATCTCTAAATAATCTCACTCCGTTTTACCCCTCTGAGCTTCTCCACCCATAAACACCCACCCGTATTTCAGGTCAGCTGATCAGCTGTTCCTAAACTATTGAACGATCTCCCTGAAAACATTAGACCGGTCTCTTCTTAAACCCTCCTCTTCTCTTTGGCCTTTGCTCCTCAGTAAGACGTCGATTAGATTTTGATCTTCTTTTATTGTTTCTTTTATTGCACCGCTCTTATTTTACCAGCATCTTTTGCCTTCTAGATCTTTTTAACTGTTATTATCTATAATTTTATGTTTTATTTAAGATGTTGTGTCTTTATTTCTGATCCTTTTATTCATTATCCTGTACTGCACTTTAGTCCTCTGTGGATGTTTCAAAGTGTTCAACAAATAAAGTTGGATTGGATCAATCGTAAGAATTTAAATTAGAGGTCTGGGTGTTATGGCGATGCGACCACACGGTTTTAGTCTTGCTAACCCACTAGAAGTTATCCCAAAGAGGTCTAGTCCTGCCCTGCGTTCCCTAAATGTTCCTGTTTTTGTGCCCTAGGCTGCTAAAAGATGCTGTGCAGGATCCGGCCTGGGGACAGCGCTACGAGCGGGTGCTGGGTGCCCTGCTGTGTCTGTGCGGCGCCAAGCTGAGGGCGGAGCTGGAGAAACAGACCAACCTGGTGACCCTGCTGGGAGCCGTCGCTGAGAGGGTCAGACAAGCCGGGGGGTCCACACGACAGGTTCTCAGTTATTTCTTTTATTTTTATTTTATTTTGATCAAATCTTTAAAGTCGAGGAATCGTTTGACTTTTCCTTCAGGTGTGATTTTTATTTCTGTGTGTTTTTGTCTGTGTGTCCAGGTGGCGCTGCAGGAGGGTCTGGAAAACGTGCAGAACTTCTTCCAGAGGAACAGCTGCAGACTTCCTCTCAGCCCCAGTCTGGTGGCCAAGGAGCTCAATATCAAGGTAACACACACACACACACACACACACACACACACACACACACACACACACACACACACACACACACACACACACACACACACACACACACACACACCTCTCTGCATGCACGTCCATGTTTAGCTGCCTCCGTCCATTTGAGGCTAAAAATGTAAGATTACAAAATAAGAATTACAAAGTGAAGAAAGGAGGAAACCTCTCCACTAAACTGCGGGTCAGAAACAGGAAAACATTTTCTCTCTGTGGTTCCAACCACCGGCAGAGTGATCTCATGGACCCTGCAGAGATCCTCTGATGTCTCATACATATATTCATCAAAGCTCTGATTTACTGTCGAAGGCACGTGTCTGATCATCACGTGCGCTCTCCTGAGGAAGAGGGCGATCATTAGCGGTCAAAAAAAAAAAAGTGCTCTGATGAATCAACCAGGCCGTCATTGTGAATTCCTCCTGCTGCACAGAGGAGCTCCTGCTCTGATCAGTGAGTTCATGTAGATCTCATGACTCTGGTATTTTTCCTAAAGGATCATTTTGCTCCTACTTGACATTTTGCATTAAAAAAGGTGAATTTTTAAGCTCCTCTCAGATGTCCGCAAAGCTGCTGAAAGTTCCTGACATGATCTGGACAGAAAATCCAGACTGAAGAGAGTTTGACTTCAGAGTTAATTTATACTCGCCATACCTATGAAAATGTACGCGCTAGTTTCAAACGATGGTTCCGTCACTGCCCACATACTTTCATGCATCTTTTACGTTGACATGGCTGTTAACCATCACATCCACCAGGGGGCAGGCTGGAGTTGAAGGGACGGAGAATTCTTTTCTCTAGTCGTACCGATGAGAGAAATTGACGACGATCCTCATTTTCAGCCTCGTCATTGTCTACTTAGTTCCTCTGTAGAGATGCGTATCGGGTAGTGTCAGCACACTGCCCCCTATGGTTTCCGGTGGTACTGCTCCGTCTGACTCGACTGATCGTCATCTGATCTGATAACAAACAGTTGTTGTATACTTTCTGGTCAAATTCTACTTTTTGTTTTATACATTACAGTCAGTGTTTGTGTTTCTACTTAATCTTTTAATTTTTGTTTTAAAATTTGACATCTCAGCGAGTTCATAATCCGCCTCTTAAAAACCGCACAGACTGACAGAGCCGACCTCCTGCTGTGAGGATGTTCATGTGTGAAAACGGCTCATAGAGAAGTGAAACTGTGGAGTCGAGTGAAACGACCTTTGAACAGAAAAAAGTGTTTCAAACATGTTTTTATTTTCAAGTCGGAGAAAAGTCCCGCCTCAGCATAAATCCAGGAGTGATTGTATCCTTGAGTAAAGCCAGAGCTTAAAAAAAACAACATAACAGCATGTTGTGGTGAAGAGGATGATCTCATCTGTTTGTGTGTGTGTGTGTGTGTGTGTGTGTGTGTGTGTGTGTGTGTGTGTGTGTGTGTGTGTAGGCCTGCTCCTTCTTCAACTCCAACGCCGTTCCCCTCAAGCTGGCTCTGGTCAACGCTGACCCGCTGGGAGAAGAAATCAACGTCATGTTCAAGGTGCAGACCCCTAAAACCGTCGATCCAGATCTGAAATAAGACCTGAGAATCCCCGAGTGTCTTTCAACCAGCGAGCCTCTGTTGTTGTTTACATGCCTGTTATCTGGGCACTGCGCCCCCTGGTGGTTGAAGTGAAATCAGACAATGTTTCTCTTCTTGTTCAGGTTGGAGAGGACCTGAGGCAGGACATGCTGGCTCTCCAGATGATCCGCATCATGGACCGAATTTGGCTCCAGGAGGGGCTCGACCTCCGCATCGTCAACTTCAAATGCATCTCCACGGGAAAGGACAAAGGTGACGGTCGAGCCACGTGTTCGCCGTTTATGTCATGATTAGATTTATCAAAGTAAAGTCCAAGTAAGAGTGAAAATTCTGACTTTGAGGATTCAGATTCTGATCCACGGAGGTTGTTGTTGTTGTTGTGGTGGTGTGTTTTGTAGGCATGGTGGAGCTGGTTCCATCCTCCGACACTCTGAGAAAGATCCAGGTGGAGTACGGGGTCACCGGGTCCTTCAAAGACAAACCTCTGGCAGAGTGGCTGCGCAAGTACAACCCCGCCGAGGACGAGTACGAGAAGGTAAAAACAGAGTTTTGATTTTAAACATGTGCGGCGTTTTTATACGGCGAGCTTTTAGAGTTTAGGCTTTTAAAAAAAAGTGAAATGGTCCTTTAAATTCTGGTTTACAGTGGTTGTAGAACTTTGCGACCTTTGGCATCTATAAATGTGAAACTGTACTCCACTCTCTTGACCTTTGACCTTGCTCAGAATCTGACCCTGAACTTCGGCAGGACGCCGGTATAAACGTGGCGTGCTGCCTTTCTAAAATGTCAGCAGAATAACCTCCTGGTTCCCTTCCTCTCCGTCTCCTTTCAGGCCTCCGAGAACTTCATCTACTCCTGCGCAGGATGCTGCGTGGCGACCTACGTCCTGGGCATCTGCGATCGCCACAACGACAACATCATGCTGCGCTCCACGGGTCACATGTTCCACATCGACTTTGGGAAGTTCCTGGGTCACGCTCAGATGTTCGGCAGCTTCAAGAGGCGAGTCTCAGAAACACTCATGAGTGGGTTTGTAAGATTTCACTGTGAGGGTGTGTGTGTCTGATTCCATCACCCACAAAAAGAATAAATCCAGGACAGTCAGCTGAAGGTCCCTCAGGTTTAGTGACACTCAGTACGTTTACATGACAGTCTTTGGAAAACCAGAGTTATCGCCTTACTCTGAATTAAGACCGGACAACTGACGTGTATATAAACTCCTTAGTCCGACTATAATCAGAGTTTGAGAACTCCGATTAAGACACCCAGATAATGTGATTGAAATTCTATTTTCTCTACCAAATAACCGTAGTCGGTTGCAGGAGTTCCTGTTTTTCCTCACAGACAGATTCTGGTTCAGTTTTGATCACGACTCGGTATTTTAGCACGTTTTCCTCGTTTACATCTTCCCTGAAACAGCAGCCATAATTTTTGACCTTTTCCTCTGACTTATTTCTGGGACTTTAAGTGCCTCGCTGACGGTTCCCCCCTGTGGTACTTTGAGTCTTGCGGAGAAGGAGGTTCTTTCGCTCTGATCTGGATTTCCCTAAGGATTGAAACCCATGACCCCTGACTCACTGAGTTTCCATGTTAGCTCCTCCCCCTCCTCAGATGCTAAGTTTAAACTCTCTCTCTCTCCCATCAGGGACCGAGCTCCGTTCGTTCTGACCTCTGACATGGCGTACGTCATCAACGGAGGTGAGCGTCCCACCAGCCGTTTCCAGCTCTTCGTCGACTTGTGCTGCCAGGCCTACAACCTCATCCGCAAACACTCCGGGCTTTTCCTCAACCTGCTGTCGCTGGTGAGACACAAACACACACACACATGCACTAAAGACACACACACACACACTGCAGATACGGAGCCTGAAACAGTCTGTATGAGTCAGTTAAAGTCAGTCCGTTCTCACAGCTCAGACTGAAACTCAAAATAATCTGAAGACTGTTTTTCCAGGACGAATCGGCTCATTTTTTAACCTAAAGTCTCTGAAATATTCTCATAAAGCTGTCACACTTTCACACAGTCCTGAGTGACATCCTCAGGTGATTTCTCTGATAAACTCCAAATATCCGGTTTACACTCATGCCTCCTCCAGCTGACCTGTTTTCAAATCTCATTTCTCATCCTGGTCTTTTGAAACTTTTTCACACTTTTGGCTCTTTCCTCTTCCTCTTGTGGAGCTGAACTAATTTCTTTGCACCTGCAAGAGCCTGAAAAACAAGAAATGCAAGCGAAGCAGAGCAGCAGTTTCTCCATCATTAATCAGCTTTACTGTAGATCTGGAGGTCTGTTCCTGCTGCACGCTGTAGTTCGGGGCAGAACTTCTACTGTCTGTACATATGTGTCTTATTAACACCAGAAAAAATCCATAATATTGTTTTTTAAAGGATAGCAGCATTATGCAATTCATTACATGTTTCTGTAGGTTTTCTCTTCCATGTTATCCTTGCAGATTTGTGGATTTTTGTTGCTTCTGTTACAAACAGAGAGTTTTAAAAAGTACCTCACCTCCTAAGTTCATCTCCTCCTGTGTGGTGTCTGTCTCACAGATGACGTCTTCAGGCCTCCCAGAACTGACCGGACCTCAGGACCTCAAATACGTGTTTGATGCTCTTCAGCCGCACAACACAGACGCTGAGGCCACCATCTTCTTCACCAGGTAAACAATATGATACAATATATGATACAATATGATATGATTTGATATTTTGAGATATGATATGATACATATGAAATGATATTATACATGATATGATATAATATCATATGATATAATATGATACCATACAATATGATATAATACAGATATGATATGATACAATATGATATGTTAAGATATGGTATGATACAGTACAATATGATATGATGTAATATATTTTCCTGTCCCCTTGGTGAAATGTGAGTGCTGCACATGCTCAGTTGCGTCCACAATACTGTTAATGTTTAAAACTACCAATGACCCAGATGCAAACAACGAAAGAACTCATACCAAAGACACGACAGCAAACAGGCAACAGATTTCACATAAAGACGGCTCAGTAAGAGGAAGACAGAAGACAAAAAAAAAAATTCTTTCATTCTTTGAGTCGGGAACATAACTTAAAGGTGTGACATGGAGCTCTCTTAAAGGTTTTTCCTTCTCCTCTGAGGTGTTCACATGCACACAGCTGTCTTTTGGTTAAAGATGTTGTCACTGAGAGACTCAGTCTGGGCTGCAACAAACTCCAAATCCACCAGGTGGCAGCATCAGCACGTTAAGGAAAAAACAACTTCAGTTTCAAAGTACAGACAGAAACTCGTGATGAGTAAATAAACTATCAGGAGGAGCTTGTTTTGCAGCAGAAGACATTTAAGTTTGTTGACAAAGAGTTTGTAAATTGGAGGCAGAGACATTGGCTTTGACTTATGGCATTTTAAGATAATCTCCACTGTTGATTTCTGTGCTCAAAAGGCGGATAAAACCACACAGACGTTCACATTTAACTGATTATCCGCTACTGTATCTGAAAACACCGTAACACCTCCTCTGGTCTCCTCTGCAGGCTCATAGAGTCCAGTCTGGGCAGCGTGGCCACCAAGTTCAACTTCTTCATCCACAACCTCGCTCAGCTCCGATTCTCTGGACTGCCGGCAAACGACGAGCCCATCCTCTCCTTCTCGCCGAAGACGTACACGCTCAAACAGGAGGGACGCATCCTCCACGCCTCCATCTTCTCCTTCCAGAAGAGATACAACCCCGACAAGCACTATGTGAGTCTTTTTTTCACCTGTTTCTGCTCCCTCACATCACATTATTGTCGTCTAACGCTCGGTCTGTCCTCTCTGCGCAGACGTATGTGGTGAGGCTCATGAGGGAGGGTCAGAACGAGCCCCAGTTCGTCTTCCGCACTTTTGACGAGTTTCAGGAGCTTCACAACAAACTCACCATCCTCTTCCCTCTCTGGAAGCTGCCCAGGTAAGACCTCACCTTTGCTGAGACTCTTACCGTCTTACAGAGAACTTCTACGGTACAAAACCTGAACTACAGACGAGCGAGATCAGTGAACAACCTCTGAACAAGATCGTTTTGTGAGAAAGTGTTTGTGAAACATGAAACATTTACTCAGTCTGACATCTCCAAACCTGCGCACGATCCACCTCTCCCTCTGTAACCTGCTGTTGTTGCCATGCCGACTCAACATCAGTGAAGAGTTGCATCAGAAAGTGCTCTTCTTTCCCTCCCTCTCTCTAGTTTCCCCAACAAGATGGTGCTCGGGCGCACACACATCAAGGAAGTGGCGGCCAAGAGGAAATTCGAGCTCAATAACTACGTCCACAACCTGATGAGGAGCTCCGCAGAGGTCAACCAGGTACATATGGAGACGTGTCGGGTCTTAGTGGGTCACAGTTGGTGTTTCGTACCTGAGGTTAAAGGAACCTCTTGTTTTCTGACTCTAGTGTGACCTGATCTACACCTTCTTTCATCCGATCGCACGAGATGACAAGACAGAAGGGTTGGACGCCACAGCGAAAGCACCAGGTACAAACCTGAACTTTTGAACCCCACTTTATTCAGCAGTAACGATAAAGGTTCATTCAAATTTACGAAGTTTGGCTTTTTGAATTTTTTATTCAACTTTTTGAAAATAAAAAGTTTTAGCAGCAGTGTAATACAAAGTCATATCATCGGCATAAAGATGAATTTTTCAACCCCAAACAGATGAAACAGTTTTATTTATACAAAGAGTAAATAGGAAAAGGACCCAGGACGGATCCTTGTGGAACACCATTTGTAATTGAACAGGCCTGAGTGCTGTACACTACTGATGTGGATGTTATTGAAGCCAGGATTTCAAGGTTCCTACGCAAGTATGGAAATAAATTTGATCAATTTCCAGGTCTTTAAAAGTACGAAAAATTAAAAATAACGTATGGAAAAATATGTATATTTCCAGACTATTACCACAGTAATAAAATACTGTTTTCTATAATAGAAAAGTAGGTATTTCCAAAAATAATTCCCAAAATTAGGGTGTAGAAAAGTATGAAAATTTCAACTGTGTAGGAACCTTCTGGTATTTTCTATTTTGGTGCAATTTTCATAAATAAAATACGTCCAGGTTTCTGTTGACATCATCCTATGATTGATCTGACATGTGACGTGTGGTGTCTGATTGTCACAGAGCCCCCGCTGAGTCCCACCTCTGGTCGTGTGGAAGGAGAAGTGAAACTCTCGATCTCCTACAGAAACAGTAACCTGTTCATCATGGTCATGCACATCAGAGATCTGGTAAAAACACAGATCACATTTTTAAAGATGACGTCTCTGTGATCGTTTCTCACTGCGTTTCTCTGTTTGCCGTCTAACTATCAATCTCTCTGCTCTCATTCAGGTGTCTGAAGACGGGACGGATCCCAACCCATATGTGAAAACCTACCTGCTTCCAGATCCTCACAAGACCTCCAAACGCAAGACCAAGATCTCGAGGAAAACCAGGAACCCGACCTTCAATGAGATGGTGAGAGAGCACCGAGAAAGTTTAACTGCACATCAGTGTTTGTCGCGATTTCACCAAATTTCAGGTCCAGTTTTAGCCTAAAGCTCCTGGTGTTCAAGTCTGAGAAGATCTTGAGTTTAGTAAAGTCTAGAGTTTGATTAGAGACCCTGTTTTGAGAGGATTAACCTGAAGAGATTTACGCCTCATGGTCAAACCCTTAATTCTCTCCCTCTCCCTCCACAGCTGGTTTACAGCGGCTACAGCAAGGAAACCCTCGGGCTGCGTGAGCTCCAACTGAGCGTGCTCAGCGCCGAGTCGCTGCGTGAGAACTACTTCCTGGGCGGCATCACGCTCAGACTGAAAGACTTTGACCTCAGCAAGGAGACGGTCAAGTGGTACAAACTCACGGCCGTCCCCTACTTCTAAACCTCTCCCCGCCCGCCGCCTCCCTCCCCTGAAGTCAGGATAGACTCCGCCTCTCTGCATTCACCTCGTACGGGAAAGGAAAGCGCCGAAAAACCTTTTTAGTTCATTAAAAAAAAAAAAACTCCAGAGCTTCCAGAAGTTGTGCGTTTGGCAATCAGCCGTCTCCCTGTGAGGGTGTTTGATCAGAAAATTTAGAAAAACAAGTAGTGATGATTTTAGTTCAACTTTTACCAAACAAATGGACTTTTTTTGGGCATGAATTGTTAAAAATTGGTTTTTCTAAGAGGTCGTTTACTTTAATTCTGATCCTGATGCTTCAGCGGTTTATCCCGTATGACCTGAATGCAGACCCCCAGACTCCTCCAGACGGATCCTGACGGGACGATGGAGCAGGCGGACTCTCAGACTGAGAGAGAGAGGGGAGGCTGCTCTTCTTTCTTCGCTTTCTCCCTCTCAAACTAATTGAGATTGTTTTTGTGACAAACAATCGCTTCTTCTTCTTCTTTTCGTCTTCTTTTTTTCCCCCTAAACTATAACAAAGAGCTGTAATGTTTTGTACATTTTGATATTAGAGGACCAAAACGGCTTACTTTCAGAAGAGTATATATAGATCGACAGGTTTATTTTTTAAGGGATAGAAAGGGGGATCTTTTTACATTTTCCTTTGTTTATTTTCTATATAGACAAATAGGAGGTATCAGGGTTTCCTGCTTTGCAGCAGACACTTCTGGGTAGAGTAGTCCAGCGCTCCAGATTCCAGGAAGTCAACAGTGACCTTATGAATCCACGAGAATGTGCCAAACGTAATAAGAGGGACGGCAAATCAAACCACTCTCCCAGGTAGGGAGCAGAACAGGGTGCCTTTGTTTGTGCTCACAATCTCTTTTACTACACAACTTGGCCTTACTGGGACAAAACTATATTTTAATACCAATCTGAAAAGTCCTTATAAAAGAAACATCTATATTCTATAAATCTAGATCAGGAGTTCTTCCAGAGCAGGTAATTTTCTAACTGTGGACTGCCTCTAAATGCACACTACCAGGTCTCTCTTTCATGGTATTACTTGACTTTTTCACACAGCACACCTTAAAGGGGAATTTGTATTATAAGCTTCACACGCACTCTTCTCTGCACTCTGTAAGGACAGATTGTGATCGCTCAGAATCACAGAGTAGAAACAGTTCAGCAGCGCTTCCTTTCTCGGTTCAGACTCTTCTCACTGCGGTATACGGACCCTGTTAACGCTGGAGTCTGGATGTGAGGCTTTTTCAACTCAGGCAGCAAAACCACGCTCACTCCCAGTGCCTAAAAGTGGTGCAAAAATGCCGTAAAACTCAAGTCGGATATTAGCGACTTTTCCTGCCGGTGAAGTCCAGATCCAGCCAGGTCTTATGATATTTTAGAGAAAACCTTCTGAGCAATGGAAGACAAAAAAAAATCTTTATAAAAAGGGAACAAGATCCTGTGCAAGAGACGAGCTGCTTCTCCTTCCACTCGCTAACTTTGTTGTTAATGTTTAATAAAGAAATTAAGATGATTTATCTGAAATTTTTTCAAAGAGATCTACAAGATATTTGTGATCAGAGAGCAACACTCACACGATGAATATTAGTGACTTGATCCACTCTTTTAGTGACTGTACAAAGAACACAAGCAGAGTTTGTATTAACATGGCCAGTTATTTATTCTTAATTGGTGACCTGTAACCCGAATGGATCAGTGTGTACTGTAATCCCTCTTTCCTAAAGCAAATTAAATGTTTTTGGAACAAATGTGAGCGGACTTGTTCTTTCTGTCGTATCGCGTGTGTCTTCATGGACTTCACAGCAACAAGAGGCCGGCACCATCTCACCTTTACAGCGTCATTTATGTGTATATTTGCCGTAAATGCACCTGAAATAAACCCATTCTACTCATCTGATAAAAACATTTCTTTACCGAGAGTGAGTTTGGCTTATTTGGTGTGATTCTTAATACATTTTAAGGAAAACTTGAGAGGATATGAAGTATAAGTTTTAGTGAACATCCACTTGCCCAACACTTAAAGGTTTAATTCTGACGCTCATCTAAAAATAGATTTTATTTTTCATTTTTCATTGAAACACATTCAAATACACAGAACCAAACATTTACAACACAAAGCCTTTCTTAAAATCCACACTGTCCAAATGAATATTGTGCCCCCAAACGTTCAAAAAAGTTTGCTGAAGGTTGATTTCACAATCGAAACTCTTGTATGTAGTGAGTTTGGTCCCTTCAGAGTTGCCATCTACATTCTTTGTCAGAAGTCTGACCCCATTTTCATTAAAAACAATGAATGATTCTGCCATATCTGAGTGCAATATGATTTAAAGAAGACTAAGATCAATTTAAAATGATCTAAAATGGGTTAAACACACTCTCAATGTGACCATTTATTAGCTGCACAAACATTTCAATAAATGCAATTCGACATTTCATGACTGAAATATGTATACAAAAAAAACAAACATTTTGCATCACAAAAAAATATTTATAAAAATGTGGGAATATTTCAAAATATTTCACTCTATGATTTAAACAAAGAAACATTAGCCAAATATATTCATAAGTGTTTTCAAAAATACACTTTTTGTTTTATCTGTTTTTTTCCTGAGTTAAATGTTTTTGCATTTCATGAAGTACTTAAAGAAATTTTTTTAAAATGGGGGGGGGGGGTGTCAATAAAATATTTTCTTGTGAAACTGTCTGTATTTTATACATTATTTATCATGACTTATGAATTATGCTTGTATTTTATCTTGCTTTGTTGTATATTTTTGCGTTTTGTGAAACCTTTTTTTTGCGTCACATTAATAATAATAATAATAACTTCTTGTTTATAGCACTTTTAAAAAGAGAAGTTTACAAAGTGCTTTGACAAACAGTTGCAAAGCATAATTATAACTGTTTTTAGATATTTGCTGCTCGTGAAAATTTCTGTTGGACATTAAATGTTTGTGCAGTTTAGGGCCACCGTATAAAGAAGAGACTTAAAGACGAACGAAGTCATCGAACTGGAGCGGAAAACAGAATCAAATCAAATTAAAGATAAACTCTAAAGATTTCCCTTTGACTTTTTGCTTCACCTACATAAAAACAGAAATTATTTAATCTCGGCTTCTTTCTTTTCTGGATGTTTCGGACGTCTAATTTCTGTACGTCTAGAAAGATCGTCCCTGCGTCATTGCGTCATTTCCGACGCAGGCGCACAATACCATTTTCTGTCGCGTGTGCGGCCTCTCTTCCTCAACCGCCATCATGGGTCGCATGCACGCTCCCGGGTGAGCTCTCTTTTTACCTAATAAACTTAAACATTAGTGACATTTACTCGGCTTTGATAGTTTTGAATAGTTTGCAAACACTTTATCCACAGTCAAAGGTGAAGTTTGGCTGATAAATTCAACAAATAAGCTCAGAAAATGTTCTGAAACACATCCTCCTCTGATCGGTATCCGTCCTGAGCTAGTTAGCATTAGCCTCCACCGAAGGCTGCTCACCGCGATTCTGCTGCTTGTGTTTAATTTACAGATTAGACAGTGGTATATGATCATTTATCTTTAAACCTCTGCTGTGTGGACTGTAAAATTGTGTCTTACTGTGTCTTATGTCGTCCTTGTTACAGAAAGGGCTTGTCCCAGTCAGCTCTGCCTTACAGGCGCAGTGTCCCCACAGTAAGTTCACTTTTAGAAATGATCTTTTTCTTTAGTTTGTGACTGTAGACAGCTGTTTATCTGCATTAATCTGTTCAGTTTGTAACCTTTGAATGGATCCTTGTTTCAGTGGCTGAAGCTCACCTCTGATGATGTTAAAGAGCAGATCTTCAAACTGGCCAAGAAGGGTCTGACCCCCTCTCAGATCGGTAAGAGTGTCTAAAATACAGAAAATTACTAACAAGACAGGACTTTAAAACGTGTTTAGTGCTTTTTATAGTCACCTAAAGGACATACAATTTTGACTGAAAACTAACTGAGTGTCATTAAAGATCATCCAAAGTTTGGGATTAAATTTTTAAAACTTTAAGTTCTGAAATACATATTTATTTCATGCATGCAGTCACAAAACAAGAATAAAGAGAGGATCAAATTCTACCTTTTAAGATATTTGACTCTGAGTTAAAAAATAATGATGGCTGACAAAGTACTCAGGTGCAAATATGACTTGACCCTAAAAAAATCCTAACAAAAGTTGTTTTTTTATAGTATCAGATGTCCTTAATAACAAACTGAAAGTTTACCAAAGTTTGACCACTAGAAAGGTGTCATTTTCACAATGGCATTCTTAAAGGGTAGGAAGCCCGAGGAGATACCCAGGTAAACAGAGTAACATTTTTAACAAACAGATCACCATGAAACTTCCCAAGAGTATAAATTCAAATATCGCCGTGGGACACTAGTTGTGCTTGTAATCACCTATCTGTCTTACAAATATGTTAACTATGTTAAAATCACATGGTCAAAACATGTATCAGGCGCCAGTATTCCTGGTTTAGAAGGAACACAAAGGATTAATGGTCATTTTAAGGACCTGAGATAAAAAACACATGGAGGTGTTTGTATTTTTAGGGGTGGTGAGAGTGTTTTCTCATTTACAGGGTGATAAAGAGAGATAATCAAAGTCCCCCTCTGACTCTAGTATGTCAACAAAATAAAACTAGAATTTTGAAAGGGGCTTTATCCCATTGTGTGGTCTTTGGTTCTGGAAATGTATGCAAATTAGTGCATATTTAATTAGATATTACCTCATTTGCATAGTCAAACATAACACTTGACAAAACTTCTTATCCAAAAAAATATTTGTCTCAATGTAAGTTATAAACTTTGGAAGTTTCATGGTGATATCTCTTTGTTAAAAATGTTACCCTATTCACTTGGGGTGTCTCCCCGGGCTTCCTACCATCACGGACGCCATCGTGAAAATGACACCTTTCTAGTGGTCAAATTTGGTAAACTTTTAGTTTTTTATTAAGGACATCTAATACTATAAAAAAACTGCTGAGAAACCTTTTGTTAGAATTTTTTAGGGTTAGTTTTTTTTTTTTTCATAAATGCACCCTCCTAAAATCAAACTGTACTTCTGAGATCAGTTGACAGACACATAAAAATATTGGACAACTGTATTATGAGCTGTTTGTTCTACTGTAATGAGTTAGTTTAATGTTTTGAACGGTGAATAAAAATGGATTCTTAAAGAACAGGTGCTTCATTGATTTTTCTAGTGTAGGAGAGGAATGTCAAATGGTCCAGTTAGTATATTTTTAACAGATTTCCATCTCAGCACTTGAACTACATTTACAAGCTGATCATCTGTCATTAACTCTGAGCAAGTTGTTATGGTCAGATCCACTAAGTAAGCAGCAGATTGAATCCAGCGTTAGAACTCCTGGAGTAACTAAATATCCTAAAAATGTTTGCACTTGTCTGTCATGCAGCCTTTGTATCACAGATATAGATCCTTTTGGTCTAGAGGCTGAGGACAGCAGAGATCACTGGTCCTGGGGTGTGACCCTTTAACCAAACAAAATGTCATTTTTACTAAAACTTCATAGAAGTTATTAATCTTCTATTATTAAAACATGCAGTCACACATTTACAAACATTAGTGTAGACAGACATTTGAATTAAAACTCCTCGAGTAATGACATGTTAGTGGTGTGGGGTGATTTTACTTTACAAGATACATTCTTGTTAATCATTGGGTCTGATGTAAAAGTCTCTTTTTCTGAAGATCTGTTTTTAAATATTGTCTCATCATCAGATTGATAAATTTTAAACCGTACCTTTAAGGCTTTTTTAAAATCTTTTGATGAAAATCTGTTACGGTTGAAAATCTGGCTCATGTACTGTATCCACTAACATTTAACTGGTCGTCTTTTCTCTGAATCATTGTGCATCTGTTTGTGTGTTCTCGTGGATGGGTGTAGATCATCCTTCACATTAAACTGAAAACTGATTATATGTTTCTCTCCAAAGAAAGCTGCAGTGACAAATGCACATGTTGAATGTCTGTAGGTAAAGTATAATCTTAAACCCTGTTTTTCCTCTCTGTAGGTGTGATTCTGAGGGACTCCCATGGTGTGGCCCAAGTCCGCTTTGTCACCGGCAACAAGATCCTGAGGATCCTCAAGTCCAAGGGTCTGGCCCCTGATCTGCCCGAGGATCTGTACCACCTCATTAAGAAGGCTGTGGCCGTCAGGAAGCATCTGGAGAGAAACAGAAAGGTACAACTCTCAAACTTTTGTTGATGTTTGTCTCAAATACTTAAAATTGTGGCTGCTGTAACCTCAGGTTTAGAGAGCAAAACTGATGAAGATGTTTGAACTCGGTTTGATTGGAAATTACCACCAGATATTTACATGTTGTGAAAGGGATAGAAAGCTCTTTTGTTTCCAAAACAAAGAAGAAAATGGTGAATAACTTAAAATAGAGTTGTGGTGTTAACTTTTTTTCACAGTAAGGCGCTGGATGAAAATCAAGTCTGTATTCTAACGGTCAGTTTTGTTACTTTGAAGGACAAAGATGCCAAGTTCCGCCTGATTCTCATCGAGAGCAGGATCCACAGGCTGGCCCGTTACTACAAGACCAAGAGAGTACTGGCCCCCAACTGGAAGTAGTACGTATCAGATCTACTTTAGGAAGCTTCTCTTTGTTGTATAACAAGAAACATTTTTGTTAGTGATGTTTGGTGTTGTTGAATGAGAATACTCAGTGTTGAACTCAAGTAGGTCAGAATGATAACTAACCTTCCACTAGCTGTAGGTTTTGAATTTAAAGACGCACAATTCATTGTCCTGCTCTTCCTTTATTGAGAGTTGTGATATTTCTGTTGTGCCAGAATAAAGCTGGAGGTAAATTAGCAGAGCGGCTGCCTGGTGCCACCTCTGCCAGTCCCCTTCGTACAATGTTTAAAGTTTTATTGTGAACATGTACATTTAGAAACATGAGACTTAGCTTCACAATGAGAGTGCAGTGATATAAAACTCTGATCTGATAGAATAGGAAAAGACACAAACACTTGATATTTTCCTTCAGTGTAATCTCAGTCGTTTGAGGACTCTCACTGAGTCGGTGTGATGAAAATGGCGCCCTCTAATGGTGTGTTTTTTCTCTCTCTGTTTACAGCGAGTCCTCTACAGCTTCTGCTCTGGTGGCATAAACCCTTCACTTTTTGGATTAATAAAACAATTTGAAATTGGAAACTGTTCTGTGGTCTCAATTTTTATATTTATTTTACTTTTCCTATCACACACAAACTTGGATATCTGGTTTAAAAATAAGTTCTAAAATGATTAATAAGTTCTAAAATTAATCAGGTATTTACAGAAACTTTAAGGGGAATTAATTCTAAACATTTTAAAGCGATTTTAAAGATTAATCCTTCACAGGTCTGTTTTTTTCAGCTGTATTTGCTCTTTTTTTTTATCATGTTTCCTTTTTCAAGTTTATTTCTATGTGAAGAATTTTGTATACTTCGTAAGAATAGAGCTTTACAGAATAATTTATTACTTAAATAAGTAAAGATTTAAGCACAAGTAAAAAAAATCACAATATTGAAGTGGTAGAAGCACAACACTGACCGTGTTTGTGAAAGGGAAAATTAAAACCAAAACTACCTCATTAGATCGTGAAAATTGGGAATTTACTTTTCCTTATTTTTCAGGAGTGTTTTGAGAATTCCCTCTAGTGTATTTCCAGCACTAATTTCGCTTCCCTGTCTTGTTTTAATCGGATATTTATTCGGGCTTTCCTGGTGACCGAGGAAATTTCCGGCACTTTCCGAGCGTCAGACATTACGTAATCCGGGGGAGGAGCTATTTCGGGTAGAGTACGTGATGTACGTGTAAGTATCGTAGTGAGTGACAGCCGTTTTGTCCAATCACAGCGCAGCTCTGCGTCAGGCTTGTTATTCATAAAGGAGGGTGTTGCAACATCGAGACATTCAGTTCTACTACAACAACGAAGACAACAACACGAGACTACAGAAACATGGAGATAATACAAGCGAAGATTTGACGAAAGACACCGAAAGATGGCACAAACTTGCCAAAAAATGAGGCGACAGTACATCGACGTGTATCGGTCACTGAAAAATACAAGAAATCTGCTGGTTTTTGTCGAGGAATACCAGAATACGTGAGGAGTTTTTGACAAAATCGGAGAGGAAAGGAGTGAAGATGGCTACTGTTGTTGGTTCCGATAACGGTTCTGAACGTACGGCGATGGAGAGGTTTGGTAGCGGAGGGATGGCGCTTCTTCCCTGGACTAAACAGATACTCACCGTGCTGTGGGAACAGCTTCGACTGCTGCTTCAGGTCATTTACTACACCTTCATGTCAGGTACGGAGAAAATTAATCACAAGTTTCACCTTTAACATTAATGCAAACCTACTCTGGTGTTGTTTATCTGCTGCGTGACTAACGCTTTTGACTTGACTAGGAGGGGGTTTCTGTAATTAGTCAAAGTGATAACAGGAATTTACGATACAATAAAAACAAAACCAGTAAAATTCCCTACGAACTTCCTTTTCCTTAGTCAAATTAGGTCTCACACTGTTATCAGTTTATATCTCTGAAATTTGAGCTTAGTCTGTGTCATGTTTACAACCCGATCCAGTGGCTGTGCACGATATTAACGGTAGAATAACGGTATCGCCAATATCGTAGAAAGTTACCGATTCTTATTGATAAATTGTTTGCAGATGACAGCTTATGCACAACTGAAATTAGTTTCACAATTTTTGCTGTATGGATATTTACTGTATACTTTTTTTTGTAAAATCAGATTTTGTTTGTACATTACAATAGTCTTGCACAGGAGAGGCTTTGTGTTTTTTGCAATTACAGAAAGAAATATTTAAGTTTTTGTATCATCACCAACCATATCCATATGCTTGGTGATAACCCTAATAATAACTTTTACACCTATTCTTTGGTATCTATTTGGCAACCTCCCACTGAGCATTTTTTGGTCTAAAAGAGGTCTAATAGATGTCTAAATGTAGCCTAGACGACTGGTCTAAAATCAGGCTACCACAGGTCTAAAAATGAAAGTTTTTGCTCAGTGGGCTCATAGTTAGGTTGTATTTTTTTGATTTTTGTTTTTTTACGAACAGTCAAACACAGTTCTGTTGCCAGGTCTACCTTGTGTAGTAAAAATAATCAACCATATCTCAAACCCTTGGCCCCGTCTTATGGTGTCGTCATGCTCTTTCCTATCAAACAAAAACCCTGATAATGGTACATTTTTGTTGTCACCCAGCTGCACGTTTAAAGGCAGCTGTCGTGGTGCTTTGCTTTCTTGTGACAGAGATCATATTTACACTGTGAGTCTTGAATTTAACACCCGCCTCTGATTTTCCAGTTTTTCAGATGTTCCGGCTCGAGGTTCACCTGAGAATCACAGACGAGACAGGTCAGCACATCCAGCACATGAGTGCAGCAGCCAGTCAGACAGACACCTTCCTGTTCTCCTCGTTATTTGACGGAGAAAACGGCGTGATGGTTGGCGGTTCCAATCCCCTCTCTAACTTCTGTGCCGACGTCGGCGACCCCTTCACTGGGAAATCTCCCGCTGAGGCCCTGCTATCTAGTCTGCGAGCTGACGACCTGTGCTGCGGATTAGTGGACGACTTTGTGTCCAGAGCGAGCGGCAAAGAAGACGGCATCTTTCTTGGACACCAATCCAGCTGGAAAATGGGTTTCCCCGGCGACTGGAACATCTTTGTATCGAGCAGCGACAGTTCAACCGACGGCTGCCATAAGAGTCGAGAGAAAGTCTTCAAGCAGGAAATTTCAAAGGAGAAAGTTTTCAAACAGGACGCCTCAGAGGAGGAGAAGAGCTCTCATTGGAGTAGTGAAGAAGACCAGAACGTGGTAGAATTTGACAGTGAGGAAAGTCGAGCCCTTTGGGAGTCTCTGTCAAGATCCAGCGATCCTTATAACCCTTTCTTTTTCTCCGCCTGCATTTCAACAAACACCAACATGGGGAAAAATAAAAGTGAAGTGAGAGATGGCAGCCCTGCGGACGTCATGTCTCTGAGCAAAGCCACAGAGGAGGTGTTGGGGCCTTTGGGCCTCAACATCTGGGTCAGTCGCTCTGACAGTGAGAGCAGCTGGAGTAGTTGGGCCAGTTCTGACAGTTCGAGTCCTGACATCGATAAGGAGGAGAATGAGAGGCTGCTGGAGTTCTTCAGCAGTCCTGGAGACCCCTACAATCCTATGTGCTTCACTGCATGCACAGAAACCACCACGTCCCCTAAAACCACCAACACCAGCACAGTCTCTAAGGCCTCTTCTGCTCCCCCCTCCAAGTCTGACACTGACACTGAGGAGAAGACCAGCAGCTTTCCTCCTTCATCTGAGGATGATGAAGAAGAGCAGCTGTGGAAATCTCTCAGCCTGAAGGACGATCCATACCACCCTCTTAACTTTCAAGCCTGCCTCAAGACAAACACAACAACAAAGACACTCCAGTCTGGAAAAGACCCAGCTCCCCTCGAGGTCCCCCCGTCTGTGAAGGGCAAGAAATGTGAAAAACAGTCACTTCAAAAATCAAGAGCCACCAAGCCCCGTCTGCCACAAAGGCGGACAAAACAACACTCCCATCCAGAAACAACATTCGTACCCTGGAGAAGATCCCGACAAGCCCCTCCATCAGAGCCAGGAGAGAGGAAGGACAATAAGACCAGCAACACCCAGAAAAAGGTAAACAGAGTACTTTAACAGAGTTCATTTTACCACTTTATTTAACTGTAAACAGGAATTTTGACTCAGACAGACACAGCAGCGTATTCACTCCCTTTACATTTAAATTAAGTCCATTTTTTCAGAGGGGAGTGTCTCTCGCTGACTGTTGCTTCTAATTTTGAGACCTGTCGTCTAGTGAGGCTTAGTTCTTCCTCCAGTAGACACCAACTGTGCTGAGTTGTTGTCTGTTGAGTAGCAACACCGCATGTTGTCATGACTAAGCCAGTCATGTGACTGCGGCGAGTCAGCAGAGACTTGGACTTCCTCACGGACTAAATAAAGTTGCAGCAGTGTTGCAAAGTCATTTGAAAACCTCGAGTATTGGTGTCTTGTTGCATCAGATTCAGAGAAATAAACCCTGAGGCTGAAAAATTACTTCCTAATCACGATTTCACTCGCATCAGAGAACTGAGTGTGCTGCTGGGAAAGCACAGGATTCTGATGTGTGATTTTTTTTGTTATTTTTACATTAAACTGAGCCGACTTCCTGTGAAGTGACCTCTTCTCAAAGATTAGATATCCCTGTACAGTCACCAGCACATGTAGTTTAGATTAAAGTGCTTTGTGAGTGAGAATCTGTCAGAGATAAAAGATTGTGTATCTTATATCAAAACAGCATCATGTGTCTTTGTGACTAAGTGTTGAGTTTCTGTCTCTGTTTTGAACTTCAGGTGCAGTTTTCCCCTCTCGTCCAAGTCCACGTCATGCACACCTGGCCATTCGCTCGGCAGGCGTCTCGTAAAGGACACTGGGAAGAAATGGCAAGAGACCGGGACCGCTTCCGGAGGCGGATCCAGGAGACGGAGCAGGCCATCGGGTACTGCTTCACCCAGCCTCACAGAGAGAGGATGCGGGCGTTCGTGGACTGTGCCTTGAAATAAAAAAACAAAAACACTGAATGTTGAATTTCCTTTCTGAATGAGAAATTGTGATTGGTTGCAATGCAACAGTGATTTTTGATGTAGGCCAATTAGAAAATGGATGTTAGGCCAACCTTAATGTTGGGTGTCCAGTTGAACAACTTTGTACCTCATCGGGTTTTTACATTGTGTGCACTGACGGACACTTTCTTCTATTAACCTCAGCATTACTGTGTGGAATGTTGTTTTTGTATGCCTTATATACTGACCTAGTAATGTAACTTATTTATGCCCTATGGAGCTCGTCCTTTATTATTTTTTACCTTTTGATAGTGTTTCTATGTGTGTGAACAGACAAGAATTCAAGTAGATCATCTCCTCAAATCAGAGTTTTATGGTTCAAAGTGTTTGATCGTTTTAAGCATGATGGGTACAATCATTAGTTCTGGTGCAATGCTGGTCTTATTGTTCAGATCTTTGAGTTTTTTATTTGAGTTTTGTCTTGTATTTTATCGTTCAGTTTGATAACGACAGTCTCTTTGACTCCTTTGTTCTCCTACCCACTGAAAAGACAGAAAAACACGCACTCGGATTTTTGTGGCAACATTTCACCGCCGAGAGTAAAAATGTGATGAAAAAATGTCTGTAGCAAACTTTTCCATGAGGTGATTTTTCAGTTCAATAAAATGTGTCACAATGTATTATTGCTCTCTGTTTTTTTCTTCATGCAGCAAGTTTTTGGTGCTCAGTGGTTGAACCATGCACCCCATGTAAGGAGACCGTGACCCTCAGGTGGGCGGCCTGAGTCTGGGTCCTGTCTGTGGTCCTTTGTGGTATGTCATTTATGCTCTCTCCTCACAGCTTCTTGCTTTGTCCTGGCTGATTAGAGAAGGTAAAAAGTGGTGGTTTGGGTATTCTCTGTTTTACACAAGCAGTTTTTTCACCCCAGTCATATAAATACTAACGCCCATTTCTTTCCTTTGAGCTGGCACGCGAAAATAGAAACATGACATAAGGATACTGTGAATGAGCAAGACACAACACCCTCAGCTTCCAGTCAAACGAACCAGTTTAACCTCTCACCCAGTTTGGACTCACCCAGTGAGTTCAGTCACCTGCTCACTGTAACTGTTAAAAAACAAGACACTTAGAACACAAGAAATGAGCTTTTTCGTTTGTTTTAAAGTTATTTCTTGTCTTTATTTGAAATAATAGCTAAGGAGAAATATTGACAAAATGGAGGGGGGCAGTAAATGGTCGTGTTAGAGAGATTTATCAATGATTTAGGTTACAGCGCGGGCTCAAATCTCGAGTTTAGACCAAAATGGCGGCCCAGGAGTTTTAACCGTTCTTTAAGTGTTCTCAAATGAAACTGAACGCCCGTGTAGTTCAGTTATTTTTCGTAAAATGTCGTTTAATGAAAGTACTGTAAATACAGCGTTAAAACTGACTTTTCTGTCGCTACCAAAGCGGAAGTGCTGTGGCACAACTTTGGTAACCTAGCAACAGTAAATGTCAGGAAGAGGCGCCCTGAAAATGAGATTATTGTCGATACCAGCGAAAAAAAGACAGTTAAGGACACAAAACCTATCAGATATACGTTTTAACAAATTATAAAGACTACCTGTGACAAGACTGAACATTTCTATACGTCTTTCTGTTACCAATGTCCGTGTAACCACCGTGTCAAAGAGGCATATCATAACATGCCAAAAAAACGATATTTTAGAAACTGTAAACCGTGAATACTCACAATAAATCATACTTTGAAACACAGCAGGATTAGTTTTTTCTTTAAAAAAATAAGTACTTCTTTTCACGAACAGGACAAAACAAGCGAGTTACTCATCCCTATCCACAGGGGGCGTCAAAGTTGATTCAATTGAGTTACAATGAGTATCCCACAACAACCTTTTTCAAGTAAAATTCAATAACTTTTTATTTATAATTTATTATTTTATTATTTCACTTTTATTATATTAAATACTAATATTCAATATCTATAACTTCAGGAGAAGATCCATTATTAATCAAAGAGAAGTAAAGTGTCATTTATGTAGAAATTAACACGTTTTTTAGTTGTTTTCAGTCACTACATTGTAACCAATTTTAATTTAATTATATATTTATTTATCTTTATTCATCCTTCTTGTGTCAGTAATATCACCTGTTTGAGGAAATGTTGGAAAAGTACTCTGCAAAAGATTTTTTCCTGAAACCCTCTGGACCCCGCCTCCATATTTACATTCTCTCTCTCTCTCTCTCTCTCTCTCTCTCTCTCTCTCTCTCTCTCTCTCTCTCTCTCTCTCTCACGCACATCATGCCACGCGCTCAGGAGCTTCTAATTTCCCTCAGGTGCTGTGGGTCTCCGTGCTCTGACTGCTGTAAGGCTTTCGTAAGACAAGGGTTAAAAACACAGAGTATGATGAAATGACTTTCCTCGGGGACGAAATCAATTAGCAGCTCCCCACCTCACACACACACACACACACACACACACTTCTCCACAGCCAAACACACTCTTACACATACACACACGTTTACAGGGATGGTGCAAAGGTGAGCAATCGCTGACACTGTCGTTGTGTCAGCCCAGCGGTGGGTCCTCTGCTGATGTTGTCTCACCTGCTGCTGCTGATGCAAATTCATCTCCAGACTGCAACAACCAATGGAAAATCAGCTTTCTGTCTACAGCTCATCATACATGCACACACTGCAGCAATTCAGAGCACTCACACAGAGCAATGAGAAACACAGATTTACAATTAAAAAAACAAAGGTGGTCCAAGTCAGGGGAGGTCTGATCTAGGAGATTATTCCATGTCTGTGTTACATGATGAAAAAACTCTGCAGCAAAGACAGCTGATGGTGTCAAGGTCTGGTTCAGTCCAACAGGGCTTCATTCTGGGTCCTACTCTTTTTACAATATCATCCTTTAAAGTCATGTCTGTTTTAACATCCTGATTTGTAATAACAACCAGTCAATCACAGCAACTCTCATTAAAGGTACAGTGCAAAGTATTTAGTTGGATTTTAGCTGCCTAGACCTGGTGTCAGAATATTTATGAGTTTTTTAAAAAATGCTCTAATGATCATCTGGTTATAAATATTGCTTTGTGATTTAAAATGAGCTTTTCCTATATCCATAAAAGTTTTAACGGTAAAGTGAATTCATAAACATGAAGGTGAAACATGTATTTTCAACATTTATACAGTGAGCTATTTACATTCAAGTTTACAAAGTCATTATTTGTATCTTTACAATGTTAAAAATACTCCTAAAGTGTCTTGAAGTTTTGGCCAAATATGTTGAATCTGCTTCTGTGGTTTTCATTAGGTTACCTGCATCTGAGCCTTTGATTGGACCAGACTGTGACATGTGATCAGGTAACCAGGAAGTGATGTTGCTCTGGCTGTGAAGTTTGTCTTCAGAAAAGTGAATTTATGAAAGTTATCTGTCTCCATCCCACAGTGTCACCAGGTTTCTAAGCCTGACAGATGAAACCACCAACATACATGCTTGTGTATTTAGTAACAGGTCGACACAGATTCTCTCCTTGAAAACCACCATCACCTCTCCATCTGTAAGGGTGAGTAAGGTTTTAATCTAACCTCTAAATAATCCCACATACTGCAGCTTCAAAACATTAAACTCACCAGAAATACAAAAATTCAGTCCATATTAGGGCTGGACGAAAAGGATAAAAGTTTATCACGATATTTTTTTTTCTTATCAGTTGATATTGACATGTATCATGATTAAAAAAAAAAATCACTTGTCAATCTTAAATGTTCCCTGATACTTTTAAATTAAATTTAACATGAACTCAACATAATTTTCAGTTCACATTACTCTGCTTCATGTCCAACCTCAAAAAAACAAAATACCTCCACACCACCGACGTTTTCATAACGCCAGTGTTGTCGACGATGTGGTCATCTGTTGAGCCTTCATGGTCATTTCTGTCGGGGGTAGCACTCATTTTCTTTATTTCTCACCAACAGTGCTGTCGGCTTCACCTGTTAAAGTGCTATGGTTGGGTGGAGCTGCTGTCTGCTACGATGCAGTTGTTTGATACTTGGTTCTAATTCAGCACATGATTGGTTCAGCGTGAAACGGACCTGTATCAACTCCTCTTTTCATTGGCTATTCCTTTAGTCTACCAAAACGGTAGAATGCTGACTATCGAAAAGCATATTGACCATGTTTTATATTGATATTAATTAATTTTTGATATATATTGTTATCGATTTATCGCCCAGCCCTAGTCTGTACATAGAAGAAACCAGCATATATCTGAATAACACTCAACACATGTCATTTGTGATTCTGGGCAGCACCCTTTTAGCCTCTGTCAGCTCTTTAAGTTCATAACTTTCCCATCAAGCCCTCTGATTTATTGATAAACTGAAGAAGTTTTTTTTTCACTGCTGGTCTTTCTTGCATCTTTTATTCATTTAAAGCCATGATGGGTTTTCCATGATGCAACACTGAGGCATCCTTTAGTCAGGAGTGTACTTTTTCTGAGCAGGAGCTGAGTCTTGTTGCTGGGGCGTTTGCTGCTGATCTGACTGAAGTCAATAACAAACTCTCAGGTCTATTTCTAATCAGCGAGTCAAAGACAAAGACCCGGGCGGATGCATTTAACGAGATCAAATGTGCATCTGCTATAAGATGAAACACCAACTTTCTTCTCCGATCTTCTGTTTTTTTAAGCCCATTCCTCTCTTTGTGTCTTTGTCTCCATCTTCCTCCTCCTCATCCTCTCCCAGCATCATTAGCTTTGTGGCCTAGACGACCCCGTCTCCAGGCAACCGACGGGAGTGGTGAGGGCGTTGAAAGGATTGCAGGTGATTGCAGCAGCAGAGTCAGAATCAGCAGCAGCAGAAGAGGCGGTGGGTTTTCCCCTGCACACACACACACACACACACACACACACAAACACGCACGCACGCACGCACGCACGCACGCACAGGGATACACACAGGGCCTCCCTTTCTTTCGCCTGCAAGAGAAAGCTCGTATTTACATGTTAGTCAACGTTTTCTGCAGCAGCAGTGTCCTCATTGAAATGCAAAACCTTTTTTTCTAATATTTGACGAGAAAGCAACACAAAAAAATGACTTAAGAGAACAAACAACAGACTTATGCAAGCAGAAATGACATCTCCTGGGTCACAATTAGCCGATGATGCAACCCACCATCAGCTATTGTGTCTGACAGCAGCTCACACAGACGGGCTGGAGTGAAACGCAAAAAAAGGGAAACAAAGCTTCTGTTTGTTCTGATGCAGAGATGAAAATCCACCTGTTGTTTGCAGATTAAATTTGATTGTGTTGTTTAGAAATTCCCCTCTTGCGTGATTACAATTTTAAAAACAAAGTCATTTAGTTTTAACAAAAGGCAGACGACGGGGGGGGAGACAAAAACTGAACATGTCTCACTGTGTCTCAGCCTGCTGCTCTGAATGAAAATCATCAAACCAGAAACATTCAAAGCTCAGACCAACAGACGCTCCAACTGAGACGTACAAATAAATCTAAGTAATACAAAGCAGCTGGTCTGCGGTTACCATGGAAACATGCAAAGTAGCTTAAGTGCAGGTGGATGTTTGATTTGCTCGGAGACTGTTGACAGTTTGAGCTGAGTAATGGGACTAGTTAAGTTTACTGATTCTGGTTTATTGTAAGTCAGAGTTAGAAAACAGCAGTTAGACGGCTGGAAACAAACAGTACAACAAACATCAAACATTATATACATCAGATATACGTCTGCAAAACAAATAAAATAAAATAAAACCGTCAAATCTTAATCTTAATGATTGCAGAGTGATGGGAACTCTTTGGGGCATAAGGAAATAAGATTAAATAAGATAAGATGTTCCTTTAATAGTCCCACAGAGGAAAATTCCACATGACTCACTTCAAGAGAAGAATGAAAACAACTGTTTCATGACCTTCCCGATCACTGTTATTTATGACACAGACAGTCTAAACATCATGTGACCGTCACATACTTATCTCCTCATGAGGATCAGGGTGTCTGACCAACACCCTGACAGTCTAAACTCAGAACACTGACTGAACACTGACTGCTCTGTGGTTTCTGTCAGAGGAGGAGTCGGGTGGGTGTAGTGTTACACTTGGAGACACACCTTTTCTTATCCTCATGACACAACAGACACTGAGAGATTACGCAGACACACACAGAGAGGCGAGGGAAGGGTCATAGAAAACCAGTTTATAAAACCAGTTTAAGCTACGTGGTCGGGTTTGAGTTGATTTTGATGACCTCTGTTTACGAGTGAGACCAGGTACGTCTCACAGGAGCTTATTGGAGTTCAGTCAAAGGAGTTTTTAGTTCCAATAAGACAGACTGAAATAAACACTGATGCTCTTTTAGGACTCACAAATTAAATGGGACCATGAGTGATGAGACTGTTTTTCTTCTTAATAGAGATTAGTGGTGTAAAAAGTAAAAGCAGGGTGGTCGATAAACTCCACATTATCTTTAGATTCACTGATGGAGATGAAAAAGAAATTTATTGATATCCAAAGAAAAATTTCAGGTCTATTTTAGGGTTTGAAAAATGTTATGTGAGATTTGTGTAAGTCAGAAACGTGACTTTTACACATAAGTGCTTCTTTGTCCACAGGGGGCGCCAAAGTCAACATGATCTGAAAGTTACCCACAGGAGCTTTAAATGGTGTTGTTCCTTTTATTATAGAAAATTAAACAAAAGTATAACTTTCCTAAGTGTCTCAAAAATATCTTAATTGCAGCAGGAAATAAAAAAGCAAAAATTAGGTAATTAAATAAAAACACAATGACAATAAACTTCTCTGAAAACATTTTTCCTTTTAAGGAGTGAAGCTAAAAGTGCTTATAACACATTACAGATGTTTTTATACTTGTATTCTTACTACATAACAAACTTTCAATGATTTTAAAATAGTTTCTGATTTTAAAAACAAAAGCACATGTAAAAAAAGTCTTTTTTTTCCAACTTCAGCTGGATTAAGTAATGTATAAAAATTAAGACCTTTTTTTGTCAATCTGGCCTTTAAATTACTGCATGAGTCCACGTTTTTCCGTTTTTTTCTATTGTAATTTTATCAACCCTCATATTTTTTGTCCTATATTATTTTTACTGATTTTGGTTGATATGTTTATTAGATACTGTTGTTTTATTGTTGTTATTCTGTCGTCTTACAACATTTAACTCACTGTTCATGTCTTTCCTTGTTTCTGTCTGTTTTTAAATTATGCTGTGAATCTCAAATAAAGCAATGAAACATCAGAGAAAAACAAACTGAAATAAAGTTAATTAGTAAATATCAAAAACCGTCTTAAAGAGGCAGAAACACAGGAGTAATAAACAGTGGTATTAAGGAGTCAAATAAACAGAAACAGGATTAACAGGAGGGCGAAAAACAACACTGGGCTGTTTATCTGTTTTTCAGATTAGTTCAGTCTCTGGACTTTGGTCACCATGACAACCACATGCCTCTGTTTATTGTCACATAGTCGGCGCTTCCTTTCTGACCATATATGGACAATCAGTGTCAGCGTTACCTCAGACAACAACTATGTAACTCTGCTGCCCTCATGTGGCAGAACTGAGAAGTGCAGGAGATTTAATGGATCTGTGATTCATGATAAATCCTGGATACTGAGATGTGGAGGCAGTTAAAGAGGTGAGGTCTCAGATATGACTGTACAACTAAAACTGGAGATCCTCTCTTCTTTTCTGTCGATGCAACAGAAACAGAAAAAGAAACATGTCCAGATAAGTCCCAGAATATCAGATAAACAAGGGAAATTATACTGTAATCCAATCATCTAATCGGCTTTAGAGGGATCCCCCGCTCTGATCCTGATGGATCAGCTCCTGACTGAATATCAGCAGGGGTCAGATCAGTCAGGATTTCTGAGATTATGATGATAAAAAACCTGAAAATCAAGATCCTGGTGTTCCTGGGTGGTGTGGGAGGAATGATAGGTAAATAAGAAGATCCCCTTCTCTTTTGTAGAAGTTTGTTTTTCTTTTTAATCTTTCTTATTCTTTCTTTTTAGGAGTTATTTCTCTAAAAGTACCCTCTACCTTTCTCTCAATAAGTTTGATTTTAAGAGACTAAACTGTCTCTCGGTTATCTACTTTGAGGTGAAACCTGAACTCAGAGGACTTCAGCACTGCCAGCCCCGCTGAAAAGTTCCTCCACCTTTGTAAAGTGTACCTGCAGAACAGGGTCAAATGAAGCTTTCAGACCTAATTTAGATCCTGGTCCCTGAGGTTCCTTTAACAGTCCCTCAGACCTGGAAAAACACCTTTGATTGTGAGGTATTTGGGAGTTTATGGAGTGAGGTTGCTCGAGTGTTTCATCACACGGATGACATTTCTCAGCCCAGAGAGGAATCTGTGACGGTCAGGTGAAATTAGAGGAGGTTTCAAAGTGACATCAGAGTTATTTCTCCTCTATGTCAGTCTCTGCAGATAAAGTACAATCCTCACAGAGGCGATAACAGCGAGGGGGGGCTGGCAGCTCTTTTGTGATGAGCTCAGCAGTTTTATAAAGACTTCACGAGTCAGCAAACATCTGTGGACACATTAATTACAAAAGTTTTCCACAATGAACAAGAAATAAAGTCTCATTTATTTACCATCATTAAATTAAAGTGTGGAACTGTGAAATAAAGCTGATGTGCCAAAACCTGCAGTTCTCCTGGTGTCCACTGGGGGCAGACTCTAACGGAGAGTGAAGTCAGGCTTTAGGCTTTAGGCTGGATTACACCGAGTCCTGATTGTTAAAAATGAAAAATAAAAAGTCTTAACTGAAAGAACAAAAATTAAATGGAAAAAAAGCAGTTTTAACTCAAATCAAAGTAATTTAAAGTGACTAAAAACAAGAAAGCACAAAAAAGAAAAATAAATCTAAAACGGGAAAATTTATTAATAAAGAACAGGAAAAGCAAAGACTGACGCTCACTAACAGCAATAAAATAAAATGTAATCACAACAATAAAACAGAAGAGATAAGAAAGTTAATGTTAAATAAAAAGATAAAGATCAGTAATTAAACATAAATAAAAGCAACAAAATAAAATGACAGCTGTGAAAGATGATAAAAAATAACATTAAAACTTGCTCTTAAAGTTTTTTAGGTGAAGAAACAGAAGAACAAAATGATCACATGACTTTATCTATTTCTTAGTTTTATGGTCCAAAATGGAAAAAACGTGGAAACTAGAATTAAATTAGAAAAGATAAAAGAAGAAAACAAAAGACCAAAAATTCTCTGAGTTTGGTTCATCGATTTAGACTGTAAAATGTTGTTTTTCTGTTTCTGGTTTTGAACCAAAAAAATAAATGAGTGATCGGTTTCTTGATCACAGTTTAAAGTCCAATTATCCAATAGTATCCTGATTGTTTTATTAATGCTTTTGCCTTTTAGTTCTTTTTCAATATAAATTTATGTTCTCATGTTCTTATGTTTAAAATTGAGACTGTGACAGATCGCTTATATTGTTTATCTTGTTTCTAAAATACCTGATCCTGTTTTTTTGTCCAGAGTAGAACAGCTGCATTTTAATTTCGTGCCGAAAAAAAAAAGTGCATTTTTATTAACATTTTATCAGATTTCACACAATATCAGTGATATAAAGTGGAAAAACATCCATCTATCTTTGCTGAAAAACTACTTCTTAGTTCCAGCAGAGGGCGACAGAGTCATGCAGAAAATATCTCAGATTTGACATAAAAATAACATTAAAAAAATCAAATACAAATCTAAATTTGTTGAGATTTTCAGCAGCCTTTGACCAAAACCTAAAACCTTTATCAGTGAATGAGAGCTGCACACCATTATCATGTGATATTTGTTGTTTTCAGTCTCAACGTAAAGAATGAATGCTCTCTCTCTCTCTTTCTCTCCCTTTAGTATCGTACTAAAGTATAATTTACAAGTATTCCTAGTACTTCTCTGTGTACTTGATGTCATTTAGTTTAAATAATTGATGAAGAATCCACACAGGCGGTGATTGTAGAGGCAGAGAGACTCCATCAGACCCTCAGGCTGTTACACGAGTTACAATCTCTGCATTCATTATTAACTCCACATTTATGTACAACAGAAGCAGAAACATGTACAGCTGATCTGTCTGAGCACATCTCCTTCATCTGAGAGACTATTACAGCTTTATTACACACCTGAGGATCTGCTGCTCTGCTGACAGATGTTGATGCATTCTAGATGAGAGCAGAAACCCTCCGACTCCTCAGCGAAGCTCTCAGATACCCATTTAGAGGAGAGAGAGGAGGAAGGAGAGGAAGCGTCAGATAAAGAAAAAGACCCTGTATCTGTGAGTCTGTATGTTTACTGAAGGATTGAAGCCAAACTGAGACTTTGTGGTTCCCGTTAAACAAAGACAGGTTGGATTAGACGTTAATTCCCTCAGTTTTCCTTTAACATGATGAAACACGGTCCTCAAATGAAAGATTTATTTCACAAACTCTGTTCCCTTCAGTGTTTGGTTTGTAAGAATTTGTGTAATTGTCGAACAGTCTTAGTTTTGGTGTTTGAGACTGGAACATTAAGGCCTGTTTTTACCTCAGCGCTCAAAGGATCTAAAGAAACATGTCTCTAACGCTGCACAAAGCTGTTCGCCGTTTGTGTGTTTTCTTTCATTCGGCTGATGTCTCTTTCACTCAGCTCTTCGTGTGTTTTAGTGTTTTAGTGTGGTTTTAATCCTCTTGACTTTTTCTGTGCTAGTTTTCGACCAATCTCAAGTAAAAATGTCAAGTATGCTGCCAACAAATAATACTGAAAACTAACTCTGTCAACAGGAACAGGTGAAATCATGAATATTAGTTATGAGCGAATAGATCTGATATGACAGATAATAAAGCTTTACGATGTCAATTTTGCTCCTCAGACTTTAATTTCATCCATTTAACCTTTTTAAACACATGCTTATTAAAGCTCCTGTGAGGAACTTTTGATTTCTGTCTATATGGCGCCCCCTGTGGACTACATGGTCTTTACTTATAAAACTATTGATCTCATCAGCAGTGATCTTGTTGGTTTTTGTTAATCACAGAAAAGAAAACAAAGATTTAATATCACAAACATCAAGACTTCACAGGAGCTTTAAGTTTGTGTTGATTTTGGCGCCCCCTGTGGACAAAGTGAAACTTCTTTTTTCTCGTGTTTCCTATCAAAAAATCTTACCCTGCATTATTTTACAGCAGTATTTTTCACTCACTGTAGATATCTGCTATGGAAAATGTCAATGTAGTTTTATTAAATATAACAAATACAGAAATAATCAAAGGTGGTGCTCTTGCCGACTTTTCCAGGTGGTAAAGAAGCATCAGTGTTAATCTGAGTCTGTCTCCTAACAGGAGCTTTGATCCTGGCTCACATTCGAGGTTGTTGTTCTGGTCTGTTCTGCTCTGGCTCCTGCTGTTGGTGTTTGGTTTAAAAAAACGAACAAAGATGGTGCCAGTTTATGTCTGAGGGGCCCTTGAGCACGGCAGCTTGGAGCCCCTTATCTGAGTGCAGCCCACTAACTCCTCTTCAACTGTGCATGTCCATGTAGGAACCTGTCTGTGCATCAGCAAAGTGAAACTTCTATGATTTGATTGAATCTTCCAAAACTGTGCAAAATCCAGTGGGTTGGATTTAGTGCCATCTAGAGGTGTGATTCCATATTGCAGCTACTTGCTTGTATGCACCTCCATTACTTACTAACCGTGCATGCTGCAGTTGAATAAGTGAAAACAAACCATCCTCTTAAAAATCCAGTTAGTCTTTAGTTATACTGTGAAAGAAACTTTGAAGATCTACCTCTTTGCTGCAGCTAAACTGGACTTTTTTTCTGAAATGCATCTAAATTAAAAGACAGAATTAGGGAAACATCCGTCCTGAGCCAAATAAGAGAATCAAAAAAACACTTGTGACGTGAAAGTTTGCGTAAAACTTCTGTCATTGTTTCCTTAAGTGCAGTTCAGAGTAAGAGAACGTCTCTGCAGAGGGTCCAAAGCTGAACAAACACCACTCCTTCTCCTGTAGGTCAGGATGTTTGAACCATCTTCTGTTTCTTAAGAAACATTTATTTGCTCTGCGGCAGGTTGAAGGCCAAAAACCCTGTCCATAACTCAGAAAACCGGCCATGATATCCAGCTAAACTTGCGTCCGTTGGTAGTTGGAGTGCAGAAAAGAGGCCCTGCAGTGTTTGCAGTGGGAGGAGGGGGCTCCTGAATCCTGTTCTTCATCTCTGTGTTTGTGTATTTGCTTTCTCTTTGTTTTCTCTGGTGTCTTTCAGCAGATCCATTCAGACTCACAGCTAAAGATGCTAGATGTCCCTCTGGTTGTTAACAGCGCTCTGCTCTGTAACACGTTATCCCTCTGCAGTTAAATAATGCAGAACGAGACTCCTCATTTCTTGTGTTTGTACATTTCCATCCGAGCGAGAGCGCCGTGTTCGCCTCGGTCCTGAACCTGTGGGGACTGAACTGCTGTCTCCGGGAGGAAGACAAAGTTACAGAGTGAATACAGAAAGACACGGACAAACATGGCCGACAGTGTCCGCCACAGAGAAATCAAAGTGTCAGCGTTATGGAAGGTGCAGTGAAACGTGTTAAAGGATAAACAGAGGAAGGAAATTAAACAAAAGTGAAAAATCTCTAATCCAGGAAATGAAGTCATCGAGTTAGTGAGTGAGTGTGCTTTTATTGTGTGTGTCTGTGTGTGTGTGTTTTGGCACAGTGGGGACAGTGTGCTGTTACACAAGGAAAGAAAATAAGATTGCAGGAAAAGAGAGAGGGATGGTGCTGTGCAGGATCCAGGACTCCTGTCTTTCTGCTCCATGAGAACGACCTGATAAAGAGAAATATGTTGACAGATGTAAACGACATGAGACAGTAGGAAATGATGTGATGGGATAGGAACTAATACAGTCCAACACAATAGGGTACACTACAGTATGATGGAGGAGTAACAGTTTACAATAAGAAATCATAAAAAATGTTCCATCATCATCATCGTCCACTATGAAATTAAATGTGCTTTAAGACTTTATAGGACATGAGAAGATAATAAGATACAATACAAATGATGATGGTACAATTTAAAACACTATGATGGTCCATAACATGAAACTCTCAGATGTGTAGCAACATGATACTATAAGATAAAACAGGAAATGATTAACTTCATTATGGTATAATTTAATTGGTTAGAATGATGATAAAATATGAGATGATACAAAATGATACATAACAAAACAATACAGGATAATACCAAGCGACACGATACGGTACAATTAAATAGAATAAAGTACAAGCAAGATACATCAAATACAATAACATGTGATATGATACATTACATAATGATACAATGTGTTACAATCTGGAACAACAATTCAATATAATACAATAAGATATGACAGGGTAAGATATGATATGATACAATATATCATCTGATAAGATAAGATACAATAAGATATGATAGGATACAATATGATACGACAAGATTTGAAGTTTTTTTTTTGGTATGATATGATATGAAATTATATGATATGATGCGATAGTACGTTATGATACGATATGATATGGCATGTTATGATGTGATACGATAAGATTTAATATGATACAATATGACAAGATAAAATAAGATAATATGTGATATGATAAGATAAAATTCCATATAAAACTCTTCCTAGACAAATCAGCAGCATGTGTGCAGGTTCAGTGTCAGGACAGCAGAATCACACACACACACACACACACACACACACACACACACACACACACACACACACACACACACACACACACACACACACACACACACACACACTATTACTCCTGTTGATATTTGTCTGTGGAAATCTTCATTGTCCTCTTTATCTGCAGAAATTGGAGAAAAGTCCTCTGGGATTTCAGCGGTGAGGCTTTGTGTGCAGACCTCCACCTCCACCTTCTTCTTCTTCTTCATCCTCCTCTCCTCCTCCCTCCTCTGCCTCGTCAGGAGTTTCTTTGTTGGGGTTGAGGTCCCTCCAAACTGAAAGCAAACAAAGGAGGAGATAAAAATCAAACTCATGCACATAAAAGTCGCCAGATGTGAAAAATATGCTCCGAGTGTTTTTGGATAAATGGTCAGATTAGGTCTGATGGAAAGACTGTTGGAAAGTCTGGCTGCTGGAAACTGAAGTGATGAGACTGTTCTTTCTAAATGACTGTTTTTCTGAGGAAATTCCTGCAGACTGTGGACTTAACAACAACTTCCCGGTGTGGATTTCAAAATAATAGGTGTGCACGGACAGGGTGTCAGGATGTTGTCACAAGCATGCCGCCGCACGCCTCCTAAATATGTGGAGCCGCTTTGGGAAACGAAATTCCAATGAGCTCCGAGTTCCTGCAGAGTGACTCAGAACAAACAGCGTCTGACAGCTGACTGAAGCTCTTTCATGAGCGGCCGACGAAAATCAACAATAACACGTTTGCTGCATGTAAATAAAAGAGCCTGACCGACATACCAGCAGGAGAACGTTTCCTGTTCAAACAAGCTCATCACAGACGTATGATGGTGAGTGTGTATCCTGGTGGATTCATGAATATTTCTGTAAGTTTAACAATTAAAAAAGTAATATTAATTGGCTTAAAACTGCAAAAAAGTGAGGATTTCATGGGTTAATTCTGCACAAAGGGGAACTACGATGTGATTGGGCATTATTGCACTCAAAAACAAATGTGGCTTCATAGTGGAAGTCGCCGCATTGGCCTGAAATCACTTCCAGTTGGTCTATAAAATATGAGCCTTAATATAGAAAAACATGATTAAGAAGAAATACCAATCATCTCTTCTTTGTTTCAGTCTTTTTGGAAATCATGGACACAGTTCAAAAGTCAGCATCCCTGACTGTATTGGGATGCATAAGTGTTCATAACATGGCTGAATAATATACGCTGGTTTTGGCTGACGTATTTCTTCACAGGCACACTTTTAGTCATACGTGAAGTTTCTGATAACAACTCGATGGAGAATAAATCCCTCAGGAGTTGGAGCTGTTCTGTGAAACTAAATCTGCTTTTAAAGTTGGGTAAGTTAATCCTCATAAAAGACCTTTTGTCCTTGTTTTCTCCTAATAAAGATCAGGACAAAATGGACTCGTGAAAGTTTCCATGTTTCACCTGCTCAAATTATTTTAAAGAAGCATTTTTATTTTCTTTTTAGGCTTTAACAGGAAACATAAGATAAGGTAAAAGACAAAAAAAAAAAACACCATTACCACACTCATCGACCACTGATGCTTTCTGAGGAAGTGTTAGGAAGCTCGAAGACAACAGCTGCTGTTCTGGGAAAGCGTTTAGACTGAGCTTAAAACGCAGAAAAATTAGACCTCCCTTTATTCCCTTTCTGGATTAGAAATAGACTGTTGTAAACCTGTGTCACCTTTTAGATCCACTTCAGTCTGGAGCTGAGGCGGGCTGAATGAAACATGATTCACCCTGATAAAACTCTTAAAACTCTTCACCCTGATATGAGTCGTGAATTTAATTTATCCCTTGGAAAGTTTTGGTGAATAAATAAAAAAGCATCCAAGATTAAAACAGTTTGTTCAAGTTTTAATCATATTATTCTGTCTTTATATATTGTCTCATGGTGCCTTATGGGGTTTGAGAGCATTTGGAACATGCCTCTAGTGGACACTCGAGGAACTGTAGTTTTATTATGCTTCTATATTAGTGTTAATTTCCAACTGCCACAAGTGTTAAACCCTGAAAATGTCAGGACATGGCAGCTCAAACAAACCGTATAACCTGTGCCAAGTTTGTCATTTTACCTGCAGAATATCATCCGACATAAAACCGAATAATAACAAGAAAACAGAGAGCAAATGTTAAGATTGTAATTCTTAATATGGGATTGGATTGTGTTCCCCTTTAACCTCCATTTTTCATGAGTATTTTCCACATTTTTAACTTAATTGTTCTGTGTTTTCTTGACTTGTGTTTTGTTAAGTATTTCCTTTGCATGTGTATCACAGCGGTGCACTAAAAGAGTCATTTTTGCTAAAATCAACATCAAATGTTGTGCAGAAAGTCGCAGAACTTACCTGTTACTTGTAGCCTGAAGGTGGCGTTCATCTGTCAACATGATGTCTGACCTTTTTTCTCCCTTAGAGGAAAGGAACCACATTAAAAAGCTGTAAAATTTCTGCTTTAAATTGATGGTTTAAGTCCCTCATGGAAACCTCTCATGCACCTTGGTAAGAAGATAGACATGACAGGTTTTTAAAAGCCAATAATTGGTAATAGAAGTCTCTATTTTCTCTTTAGTTTTCACACTAAGTATGGTTTAAGTTTGCAAATTAAAACATATAAATGCACAAAACAGACAAATGCTGCAACAAATTAAAGTGTGTGACAGATCTCATGCTGAGTTTGGGGAGAATTCATGTGTATGCAGTATAATTAAAGACACAGCTTCTCTTAATAAGGATCCTAATTGGTTAAATTAAGTCTTTAATCTCATTATCAGCCTCGTCCCACTTAAATCACTTAATCACTGAAGGTGGTGCACGTTTAAAAATATCCAGAATCAGCACTTTTTTCTCCTTTGATTCTTACCAATTAGTTTAAAAAGTCAGCAGCAGCTCCTCTTCTCTCTCTGTGATGCATTTAAGTCCAGAGGGAAAAGTAGTAAATAAGGGAGACTGATGTCAGCAACTCCAGATAATGAGAGGAATATTGTGACGTTATATTCAACTGTGTTTACTTAGTCTGTTCATAAGAAAATAATGTTTAATTTATGTAAATTTGTATGCCAAAGAGTTTGAAATGCAGAAAACTTCCTTTAAAAAAAAAAACTTCATTAAAAATTGAGTGAAAATGTGTGAAACTAACCATAAAAACCATAAAAAGGAGGCTAAAACTTTCCTCTATAAGGCCTATCTCACCCAGTCTTTAAAAGGACAGTGATTTATGAGTTGTTTTTCACTCTCAGATGCTTCTTATTCTCTTTTTTCCCTCTGAAAACTCTTTTCTGCAGCGTTCCGATGTTAAATGTCATGCCAAAACAGAAGCCGGCATCACTTTATCATAATGCAAACTCCAATCCTGCACCAGAGCAGCAGTTCCCTTCTGTTTTTGAAGGTTTTGGATGCAACATACAGTGAAATATGCACCGATTACAAATCAGATTTGATATCCAGCGTGATCCAAATGACAAAAAGACTGTGTGCTCATACTTAGCTGTAACATTCTTCCCTTTACACTTCATTAAACTGATCAAATATGAGAACCATTCCTGATTAAACATTTGCCTCTGGCTGCTCCTGTTCGTGCTGACATGACTGCATGTCACAAGACAAAAGACAACATGGCAGGGCTGAAGATCATAATAAGGTCAATGTACAGCTTTTGTAAGCCGATTATCATCAGTTTAGTTTGCTTTAGGTGGATATTTCTCTTTTGCTTTGAGTTTTTAAGCTGATTTTGCGCAAGTAGATGAAGAAAAGTGAGACAATGAGGAGAGAGGAGAGAGATAGAGGAGGATGTGCAGCAGAAATCCTCTGCTGGACTTGGTAGTTTGCATTACCATCATGTTAAACCCAGAGGCCGGTTTGCTGCCACATTTATTCACTTCCCTCTGCAGGATACTTAACATAACTTTGGATTTTAGAAACGCTGGGGTCAAAAGTCCAAAAATCCCCCGGCCCCAGTGAGAAATGATTTACCAGCACATGAGTGAACGCTGTAAACTTCTCTGAACGTTCAATCAGCTGTTGAGTAATTTTCTATTAACATAATCCCACCTAATTATCATCTAGTTTGTTGTTCTCTCCAAATCAATCCACATTAACACCCTTCATGCCTTAGTATGCTGAAACTTAAAGGTACAGTACGCAAACATTTGAATATGATCTAGCAGTCAGATTCTTGGCTGAAATGCCGAGAATCTTGACAGATTTACAAACGGTTTTGTTTATTACAGACCTTAGTAACGTGGCTGTGAATCGGGATGTTTGGACATATTAAAACTGCAGATTTTCTTTGAGAAAAAAAGACTTAATCATGCAGCACAGTTGTTTCAGGGCTATTTGCACGCAAGGGCTAACTTTTGAGCTTTGCATGAGTTGTCAAGGCTGAGACCACAATCAAGAGTTTAATTTCTTGTATGACAGCCTTTTATTTATTTATTTATTTTTCGTCTAAGTGTCAGTCTTAGTGGATGTGCTTGTGTTTATCAGCTGTCTAACTTGGCTAACAGACTCGCTGTGAGTGAGACCAAGTACATATTACAGAGATGACCCAGTAATTTTACATCAGTTCGAGAGGCAGAAATGTTCTTTCGTTTCAACATAACTTAAGTTACACATGATTTCCAAACTGTTTGGTTTGTTAAAAAAATCTAAAATGGCAATATGAGGCAGAAATTTATATTAAAAATAAATAATTATAAATGTTTTTGCTATATGTTATTATAGTTATCCCTAAAATAGAAATAATACTAATATAACATACATGGAATGATTAAATGTTTTACATATAAATGATTTAATATAACTGTCTTGTGTTTGTAGGCCTTTAGCTACTCCTCTACCTATCTGCTCAATGTTTATTTATGAAAGTCCATGGTTAAAATTATTCTTGAGTATACAGGAACATAACTAAGACTATGACGTTTGTTACAAACCAAACCGTTTAAAAATCGGTTTAAAATTAATAAATCTATGGTTAGTTAAATGCTACATGCGCCGTTGACTGGAATGTTAGGAGTGGGCGAGCTGCCTGAAGCAAGATGGCCGCCATGCGCGGACGTTGGTCTCCATTGGCTAATAGCGTGCGTAAGCCATCTAGCGTTTATATATCTATGGGAGATACGCTGTTCGAGCTGAGCGTCAGCACAGCGACTCTCGGTGACTCTCCCGCCAACTGCACACAACGCTATTGCGCAATGTTGGTTTCAGGAAGTGAAGAAAAACGCGGGATTACCGAGAGCTTTTCGGCTTCAAATCCGTGTAATGGCGGAAGGCGGAACCTAGTTTTTCATAGTATATACAGTCTTCGACTTTACCTTATTAAATTTATTGAAGAAATAGTTGTGCTATTTCATTCAGTTTGGCTTAAAGAGTGAGTTAAATCGAATGTTTTCATAAATAAAGAAGTTTCTATGATAAATGTTCAAAGTGTTGGTCTAAAAAAACGCCACAGGTTTGGATTTTATTAAATTTAGTGTTTATTTACACAGGTTTATCTGTAGGTGCTCGAATATCCGGGCTTCAGAGGAGTCCCTGAAGGCAGCGCTGGCCCTGGCGGTGATCATTGAGCTCCCGGGAGACTCCATGGAGAGGGAATGAGATGAAATAGGACTTGAGACCGGATCATGGCGGCGCCTCTCGGGCGGGACGCCTTACCTGAACACTGGTCTTACGGTGTCTGCGCGGACGGAAGGGTCTTCTTCATCAAGTGGGTGTTACTAAAAGCGCTTTACCGCACCGTCTCCCCCGGTTTAACGGGAGTTGTCTGCTGGTGTTTCCTTCCCGGTGGTGTAACAGGTGTTTTTCTCCTGTGTGTGTGTGTGTCTGTGTGCAGCGATGAGACGCGGACTACCACCTGGCTGCATCCCCGCTCCGGTGAACCGGTAAACTCCGGACACATGATCCGTTCAGGTAGCTGTGCAGGGCGGGCAGACCTGTGTGTTGTCGCCCGTGTGCCCTCATGTTTACTTTACCGTATTTTAACTTCTGCATTTATGGCCGAGCCTGAGAGGAAGGAGGGAAAACTTTCAGGTATGACTAACAAGAGTCTGTGGTCCTGTTTCAGATCTACCTCGGGGATGGGAGGAAGGTTTCACCACTGAGGGGGCCAGCTTCTTCTTAGAGTGAGTACCTTTACTGTGTTTTAGCTGGGAGTCACCCTGCAGATTAATATGGCTCCTGTCTTTAATTCCCGGTTACTAGCAGGTCAGATTACCTCAGTGTGGAGTTCTGGGACTGGCCTGCTGACCCTCTAGTGACTCCACGTCCTGCTCTTATTTTGCTGCTGTAAACACTAAACCATGAAACTCCTTCATGTTCAGCCTGCAGGCATGTTTGGCTGCTTTAAAGTGAAATTAATGCAAATTGTTTGACTCCTCCTGTTGTTTACACGCTGGTTATTATAATACACCTCTACCCTGCTGGCTTTGCTTGGACCTGGTTTTCATTTGACCCTGTTATATTCCCTGTTTCAAAGTTTGCATATTGCCAAAGTGTGACTATGTTTTCAGTCAGTTTTGTTGTCAGTTATTAGCTACTGTTTCTGGGCTGAAACAGATACAACAGTAAGGATGATAATTTATTTTTTTTGTCTTATGTGTTTTTTCTGCACGATAACAAACCAGAGAAACTTTAAGTATGGCGCCCCCTGTGGATGAATCAGTTTCTGCTCATCTTGTCCTCTACATGCTGGAGTAGCAGCAGACAAAATTCATATTATTCTGACTTTTGAACGTGATTAGGAGAAAAAGAAAAAAAAGAAGCAACTATATGTGGTACTAAAATGTTAAAGGCTTATTTTTTCCCATTATGGGTTAATTCATTTTAACAAGCACATCAATCTAAAGCTAAAAACTCTCTTGTTTCAACGTAAAAATACCTCATTAACTGTTATCCAAAAATAACACACCTCAAAGGCTGTTATTCGAAAATAACACACCTAGTAGGCTGTTTATAAAAAATAACAAACCTGGTAGGCTGTTATTAAAAAATAACACAC